GAAAAATTATGAATCAAGCAAATATAGAACAATGCAATGAATAAACAAAATATCATATTCTCTCTCTCTAAATCTCGTCTCCTCCGCGTGTTAAAATATATGAATTATTTCAATAATAGTAATACCTAATATTAACATATTAAATATTTAACATTAATACATTTCTTTCTACGATATTAAAAAAATGACCACCTAGAATTTTCGCAGGTTAACTGAAGTTTCCATCATCATGGGAACATCAGTCGGGTGTGGTACGAGTTTACTTCTCGCACTATTTCCATTTTGGAGATAAGTGTCGAGAAGAAAATAAAAACTCATCACGGGCAAGTTTGAAACTTGCTGAGAACAGTTCGTTCTACCCATTACTGATGATGATGATGAAAAAAGAAACTTTACGCTGCCATGGCTGAAAGTACCTCGACTGGAAAAGAGGAAGAAAAAAAAATGAAGCGGGGAAGGGAATCGAATGGATTGAATACGAGATAGGATAGAAAAGCAATTGAAAATCAAACTTTTCTGTTAACATTTTCCAATCGATAAAGGATGAGCATGATAAAAGAATTTTTATCTGCTAGCAATACAATAAATAGAGAAAGAATGAGAATTAAGTTTAATTCAAGATTTCTGCTATACAAAACTTGTTTATTTCCAGTCCGTGTCTCAACTTATTGATTATTGATCAAATTTACGCTGAAGCTTCTTCTTGAAAGTTGTTCATCAATTGGAAAATAATTCAACTTCGTTTTCAATCGAAATTAATTTTCCGTTTTCATTTTTCCCATTTCCTCGACTCTTGTAAAATAAAATTAATTTTATTTTTTATTTCTCTTTCGGTACGACGACGATTCATGAAAAATTCTGAAAGCGAATTGAGCAGTCAACGACGAGGAAAGCAAACAGAAATGAGAAATAGATGGAAATTTAATAAAACTTAACGAGTCTCAATTTGAGTGAAAATTTGCATTTAAATTTGATAATTTATTTTAATTACGATTTGATTTTGTTTCAAGTTTTGTCATCGACTCATCATCGTGTCGTTGAAAAAGTGTCGCAGACTGGTTGACTGTGAAGATTTATGGTAATTTCCCTTCATCCGAACCCTCGCAGCTTCTTTATGTTGAGTTGAAACAACTTCTTAAGAATTTAAGCAAACAAAGTTCTTTTATGAAAAAGTTTTTCTTGCTCTTTGAGAACGAGAAGAAAAGGGTCAAGAACCAATCAGAAGTATCATCGCTAAACCATCGAACTATGACAAAGTTTCTCTTCTGTTTAACTTTTATATAAAGCAAAAATATTTGCACAACAAAATTAATCTAAGCTTGTAATCGCTTTGTAATTGATTTTTTAAACTTTTTGATGAGTTTAATATCAGCAACATGAGATGAAGAAGTGGTTAACATGTGAAATAATTATCCGGCATATCCGACACTTTGCACTCATATCAACACGTTATGAAAAAGTAATTTTCTCAGATTTGCGCTGCTTATTCACCTCTTTTTAGTGTCGAGGACAAAGAAATTTCATTTTTTCATAAAACGAGCAACTTTAATGAGAATTTTTTTCCTGCCAACGATATTCAGTCTCAGTAGGAGAAAATTTAATAATCTGAAGAAAATGGAGTGAAAAAAATCATTCATAACTCGAGAATATTTGCTTGGAATTCAATTTGAAATCGTCTTCGATTGCTTTCTAAGAGAATTCTCTTAATCTGTAAGTAATGAATTTCTCACACTTTACAGAGATGAGTTTACTTATTGAAATTGATTATTTACTGATGTTTGTAATCCAGAAGTGATTTGAAGTAAATTATGGGAAATTTCATGCAGACATGAGACGTTCTCCCGAGCGGCACAACTGCTCCGCATGCGAAGCTATAGGTTTCCTTTAGCAGATTTCGTGTGGCATTTCCATATAGCCTTTCCACGAAAATTCCGCTAAAGTCTCCTTGTAGGAAAATTCACACGTGAATTTTCCTACAAGGTTCCTATACGCACCTATTATCGTCACCGCACGAACTGCAACAGGAAAAAATAATTCCGCATAGCAGTTTTTTGTGGCAGTGAATATATATGAAAGTTCTCTGAAGCTTCGAAATTAATTTTATTTCGTTTATAAGCTATAATTAAGTTTTAAAATTAAATTTAAACNAAAATATAAAATAAATATAACATCCTATTTATAAGCGTTTTTTCGTTTTTTAATTTTCATCAGTTCTACTTAGTCTCGAACCGGCATCGTCTGTTTCATTTTCCAACTCCTGTGCCTCTAAGCCAAATCGTCTTATGTACAGTTTTGGCAAATGTTTAATTTGAATGCTTATTCAATTTTATTATAAAATTCTAAACGCTTTTCAATAACATTACATTAAATTAATTAAAGTTTTCATTGATTGATATTTCTTCTATTTGAATACAACTTCCTTTTTTATTTTCCCTTGAAAAAATTTCAAACCTGAAACATACTTGAAAGTCTAACTAAGTGCTGACTTTAAAAACCGGCATATTACGAACTTATCAAGTAATTTCAAATTGATTTGAATTTCTTCCTCTAGAAAGTCATGAGCTAAACTTCACGGAATTTCTTTACAATTGCCTTGGAAGTTTAGCACATGGCAATCTTAAGAAGAGAACACAAGGAAATTTTAAAAATTGATTTCATTTTCATCATATGCCAACCTTTGATCAAGATTGTGCAAAATTTGACGGAATTGCTTCCCATTTGAATTAAAAAGCAAGCCGATGATGAAAATGAAATTGCAATCTCCGCTTGTGCCGCTCGGGTCTAATTCTCTGTTTGATTATTTCTGATTTCCTGAAAAATATTTAATCATTGCTTCTGACAATTTGCAGTTGAAGAATCAAGTTACATGCAATTTTAATTATATTTTCCCCTGATGACTTCTGATAGTAAACAAAGCAATGTGTCCACAACATTTCATTCACATTAACAATGGAAAATTTATTTCTGATCTCGCATTTTTAATACAATTGTTTTCTTGCTAACTCGTGGGGATTTTCATTATATGCATTTTCTCGTTTTCGTTCTTCTATTATCAGTACAAAGAGAATTTAAACTCATCATAATTTTAATCATCATGAAAGCTTCTGTTGTAAACATCATGGAAAAATATGAAAACTAAGCAAGTAAAATTCTTTACTCTTGACTTCTGTTACATTTTTTCCACAGCAAGGGATGAAATCCTCTATAAGTTGTTTAACTAAAGCGGATTTAAAGAAAATTTATTTGACTTTTTTTGTCGTGATATTAAATAAAATGAAAAATTAAATGGAAATTGTTTGAAAGTGTTTTTCACTTTTCTCTTCTTTGAACTTAATCGACTCGATTGAGAATCAAAAGGATGGAAAAGAGAATTGAACATAAGAAAGCGGAAAAGCTCTCAATCCCTGAAATTTTCCACATTTCATTGAATAAAAAGTTCATTCAATTTCAATTTTCCCTCGTTAATGCTTTGCTAATACACCACTTAACCATTTTCATTCCTGCCAAACTCCCCTTCTCTGTATCTCTTTACATTTAAACTTTACAACTCGCATGCTGAAAGCAAAGCAATTCAAATGAATAAAATAAAAATGTAATAAAAAGTCAATTGATTTTCAAAAACATTTTCAATTCAAAAATTGTTCTCCATTTAAAAAAATGGCAAGAAGATTTCACTAATGCTACTCGAGTTGGATTTTTCGCGAAAAGTCGTAGTTAAGTTTTGCGGAAAATCCTCGGATGAATTGAAAATGTCATTCAATTTTCAATTATTTGTCATTTAACGAGGAAGTAAAGGCAACTCATGTCGTCAAAAGTTCAATTAGTGCATCAGTCAAAGAATCAGCAATTGTTCGTGTTCTGTTTTCTATCTTCGTTAGATTTATGTGAATTCTGTTCGTTTGTGATGGAAAAAAGAGTTGAAATGAACAATGTTAAATCTATATTTATTTTCGAATGCTTGATGGATGGAATTGTGTGAAAATAGGCAGACGACGATGAAAGATAAAAAAAAACTTTTAAGAGAATTTAATACGTCGAAAAGCTTTTGCTTTGTAAAATGTTTAAATTATCATTTTTCTAGATAGGTTTGTTAGGAAAACTCGCACCACAATCATAGCCAAAGTTGCACGACTAGCTTCAAACTTCATTTTGTGGGTCTATTATGAAAAAAAGAAATAATTTTAAAAGTTGTGCTGTGAATTTGCCTGAGTACCCTAAATTTGTACCGTGTAAGCAGATTACCTTCTCAGAGTATAATGATGTAGCATGCAGACGTTTTTAATCTTATGTTGACATCGATACATTTCCTATTTGCAATTGCAATTCTTCCTCATTCAAGACAAGGAAAATGGAAAAGTAGAATAATAAAAAAGCAATTCTGCAGTAAATATTCTTTGAAAAGGAAAATGTCATTATCGAATGGAAAAAATAGAACTCCATGGTTCAGGAAGTGCTTTGTTTTTCATCTTTTGAAACGAAGGAAATTCTGTAAAATAAAACGAAGCACAATGACAAAAGAAATTAAAAAGAATGAAAAGGAAAAAAGATTCAAAAGAGAAAATTTTCTTGTCATTTAACTTCTTCCTTTCATTTCAGTTTCTTTTTCATTGTTGAGGACTTTTGTGTCTTCAGCATTGTCGTAATTTATATAAAGCTTCATTAGCATGTCATGACTGTTGCTTGACTTAAATGACTGTCGAGTGTAGGACATCATCCATGAACTTAGTGACGTCATCTTTAATTACACCCATATCGAAAGACGACAAAAAATAAAAACAAGCAAAACGCAGCAAAATTTTACTTTTGAATTCAATTAAATATTTTATGACGATTCATTTTCATTCAACCATTTCAAAATAAGGAAATCGTTTTTTTCTTCCACTTCATGTTTTATGCTCGACTTGGTATCAACATAATGAAATTGTTTTTGTAAAAAACTGAAAGCAAAATGTGACATTAAAATATTTGATGAACTCCGACGAGCTTTGAATACTTTTTTAATTATTTTGAATTTAAATATCGCTCAAGATTCATTACCATGCCGAATTATCTGGCTAATCAGGCTGATTAACTTTTTAAATCAACGTCGCTAAGTTTCTTCCGTGGTTCAACAAAGCTTAGTTTGATGATTAATGACAACCGCTGAGTTTACATCCCATAAAAACTAGAAAAAGTTTTAATGAATCACGTTCCACGATTACGATTGTTTTTGTTTAGTTTTTAAATCCAATCTCACATTGTTTTATGTGGCTTAGCTTGATTTGTTTCTTCATTTTCTTCTTTCTCCACCAAACCACTACATGATCACGATATCTATCGTCTTCACTAAATAACATCGTTCATCATTCCATAAGTTAGTAAACATGTTGCACAATCATTACATAAATTTACAAGAAGCATTTATTCGGCGAATAAATATAAAATCATTGAAGCAATTTCTCAATGTTTATATGCCAATGAATTCCTAGACTAATTAATCATGTCGAACTTGATGATGAAGGAATGAAAGAAGAAGAAATGTCTGCGTAAAAGTGTATGAGAGTGAAAACAAATAGATTAGTGTTGAATCAAAGGTATGAAACCGAAAATCAATGACTAAGTTATTCGAACGAAATTGAAAGTTAATGGCATTAAAATTCGTGAGCTAAAGAAATCTTTTCAGACCGCAACCTCAATTAATACTTTTTATGTGGAACAATCATCAACGTGCAAGTGCAAATGTGCAACTGCAGCAATTTTAAATCTTGCAACATCGCAATCAATGTTAGTTATGGTTAAACACTTTTGAATTCTTTGACTTCTTGCAATAAGAAACTCAAACGGTTAAGGTTAACAAGTTTGTATTTGACCACAGGCAAAATCTTTTCTTAAGCAAAATAAATATCAACTTGTGGTGATTATTTTTTGCTTTCATTACAATCTTAGATGGATAGAAAGCTTGATTTCGTATTATTCGCGTACGTGCTTCAAGATTTATCATTATAAGCTGCATCAGTAATTGAATGGCGCTTAACATTTACTGCGAATTCATCTCCGAATTAACCACTTATTAAAGTAATATGATGAGACCTCTTAGGCACTTCCTTGATGTAGCCAATAAGTGTTAAAAGCGATTTCCGTTTCAAAACATGATCGTCAACTAAATAATTATTTCACTTATTGAGACATGACAACTTAGATCTTTGACTAGATTATAAACGCCTTGAGATAGTTCACGGTCGTTTACAAGATTCATCGGAGCAAGTATCAGTGACTTTCGATTATTTGTCATTGAGTTATCCATTCAACTGTTAAAACAACTTGAAACGTTTGAAAAGACATGAAGACTGCGACGAATTTTATTCATTGCAAAAACATTTGAATATCTTTTCTGTCTCATCAAATCAGAAACAATGATTCTTGAAGTTGAATAAGAACCTTGAATAAATACTTGTTTGCTCTGTTTCACTTTCCTACATCAATGTCCAGGAAGTTTCATGTTGGTTAAACGAAGATTGAATCATCATGATTGCTTTTAATTGCCGATTTAATTCTTTTTTTTTTGTTTACACAACACTGAAATAAATTTTTTCGTTCCTCAAACTTATGATCAAAGAAACAACGAGCTTGGAATTTCATTTGCTTTTATCACTTGACTATTTTTTCCACCAAATCTTTAAGAAACTTATGTACACATTAAACTTAACAACGACCTTCTTAACTAAAATTAAAGAGTCTAACAAAATTGTGTTTGCTTTTGTTGTTATCAGTCCTAACTAAACATTTTAAGTTGAAATAATTAAATAAAGTTTTTAGGTCACAAGCGTTATTATGGCTGAAGAATACTAAGCCCTTGAAGCTTTCCTTGATCACGAATTGCATGTTGATAAGCTCGTTCTCTTTGTTTTCCATCAATTCCTAGCCCAATTCGCTCCAAATATTTTCCGGCGCGATAACCATGAAGCTAAAATTCGTAATAAATAAAACAATACGCACAATTTAATGATTTTTGTTTCAAAATGATAAAAAAAATATTTTACTTCAAAAAATTGTTCACGACGTTTTTGACTGACTTCAGGATCGAAATCCCATTTAACTGTCTTATGTATGATTGGAATTCCAGCAACGTTCCATTGTAAAAGATCTCTTATCAAGCTATAAACTCCACACTCGCACTGATTGCTGGCAATTACAACTAACGTTAACTGCAATTTTAAATGACGAGGAAATAGTTTAATTAAATTTTAATTTCGTTTCATCATGACATGTCTCACCGTTAGAAAGACATTCTTGCACGACACCATTATTATGATTTCTTGTTGACTTTGGTTAAAGATCAGATTATTCTCATGTGAGCGTCCACAGTGAACGTTTGATGAACACTAAACTGCAGAAAATCCTTCACTCTTCACATCACATATTCTTAGCTTGATTGTGACCTTAACATCAAATTATCTAGTTTTTCCGTTCTCAAACTAAGACACAAACTAACCACTTGCGATCAATTCACTTCAGAGGTTTTATCTTAAATATTTTTATTTCTTGTCTTTTTCGCGCTGTTGCATCGTTTCGCAAAGAATACTCGTTGTTGAATAAAATCAAGTTTTTCTTTTTTCATCAAAGGTAGTTCAAGCTATAAAGCCGTGTCGAGTAATATCTTAGTATAAGACATGTACTCGTATAAACTTGAGGTAGTTGAACGTTTCTTTACCCACACAAAGCTGAATAACTTCAACTTGAAGTTTTAGTGTCTTAAATTATACAACGGAAAAAAAATTGATCATATGGGTGGAAGAAAGTGTGAGATTATCGACTTATTTTATCATTTCATAACTTCCGATGAGCTTTTTTAATTAAAGTTTTCATGGCAAACGTATTAATATCAAATGTTGCATCATCATGCGTGTGGTTGTGGTGATTAGACAATGGAAAGCTTCAATTTAGCGTTATTTCCAATCTTTCACCCACTCGGAAAATACATTGAAACAAGAAAGTAAAAAGAATTAAATTTCATCACATTTGAAAGCGTGATAATTGGTCCGAGAAGTTATTTAGTAAATAAAACGTAAACTTACACAATTTGAGTATTTTATTTGATGAAGTTCTTCAAGCATTTCGAGCGAAGTAGTTAAATTAAAGCGGAACGAGAGATTATTCCTTTTGTTGAGTGAGAGTTGAAGTTTAAGTTTTTGTTATCTGATCTATCTTCGTTTACATTTCACAATATTTTTATTTTATTGTTTAACAAAAATCTGAAATTGTTTTTAATGTCGAATGTAGTTCAATTTGAATTGTAGCTAAACACAAATCTGATGAAGAAATTATATAAAAAAAATTATTTAAACATTCAGCGTACAATTTTTCACGCACTTAATCGACACGGCATCAAACAGTGAAAAGTAATATCATTTTTATGATTTAATTTGACTTTGATTAATAACAAATTTCTGTTCATTTATCAGCTGTTCAAAAATATTTCTGTGGAATTTTTTACTACAAAAATCTGTCGTAATTTTTATTTCCAATTGATACAAACGAATTATAATGACGACGATAGTAATAAAAAAAGTTTCACTTTCTGCTTGTTCATGTCAGAGATCAATGACATAGCATCGAGATTTGCGAGGAATTTCATTCGAAAATGAGCTTTTGATTTCTTTCTAGCAAAATGTTTACGCTTACGGTCCACCATTACATGATCTCATTTCAATTACTACCATTTTTTGCATGAGTTTATACACAATCGATTTGTAATTAAAAAATCTTGAAACACTTAACGGTCGATGTACTAATTTACTAATTCATATGAGTCACCTTAAGTACTGTACGCTGATAATCATACATGTGTGTTCAATCAATTTCAAATTAATTAAACAATCATAAAAGTAAGCGGTTTGATCTCTTTAAACTTTAAATTCAATCAACTAATCGATGTTCATTTAGATTGGCTTTAAGTGAGCTTACTTCAGGTGTGAGTTGAACAGTTCAAGTGTGATGGTCAATGATATTCATTTTAACGAATGAGTTAACATAAGAGTTAACAAAAATTCAACAATTGGTTGCATAAGTTCATTGCATCGTGTTAAATGGCTATGAAAATGCTTCAGCAATTGCATAGACAATCACTGAAAAAAAATCTGCACAACAAAGTACTTTAAACGCTTAACGGTGTTTACAATCCATGTTGATATTACTTTTTATGTTTCAGTTTACGATCTTGCTTGCCTTGCGTGAAATATTTTAAAAGTCCATCTTGTCTTGAATGACGTAACACTTTTAAGAATAAACATTTTAAATTATTTAATGAGAGTAAACAAAAGAGGCCTTGAAGTATTTAGTGATCAAGTGATTTACATGGATTTCTTATGGCTAAATTGCAACGTTTATAAGTCAAATGGTTCTCATGGTAAGCTTCCGCAAACTTGCGATTATTAACATTTTCAATTTTGATCATTTTGTAAATTACGCAAAGTTGAGTTAATTCTTCTTGCATTTTATATTCCACAAGTTTTTGCAAGACGATTTATTCATTTTAATGCAAAAGTTGTATGAATGAATGTTTCGGCTGAATGTGAATTTAAATAAAAATCAATGACGAATATCAAAAGAAGGTAACAACTTTTGGTATTATAAAATTATGCAACTGTTGAAAGCTTGACATTAAATGTTGAGCAATTGGGTTCAGTGCATTTCATGTCTGACAAAAATTAAGAATTACTCAGCTAAAAACCAGGTTTTTACCAGTTTCACTCAACCTTCATCAACCTTCAATAGGGATTTCTCTTTCACGACGAGTGCAACACACTGCAACACATTGGTGAACAATTTTTATTGATTAAAAAGTTGAATAAAGTTCAAGATAAGATTGCAATAAATTATGTTAATTTTATTTATTTTTTCAGGATAACTTTCAAAGCCACTGATTTTGATTAATTTGTTGCCACCCAGAGTTATGATTGAAAATTATGACATCAAATTTTAACATTTATAATGATAATTTAATAGTGTTGTAAATGATAGATGTGTCGATTATTACTCCTCAGCGTGATTAATTAAGTTAAACTTTATTAAATAATGTCTAATTTAAATTGCATAACTTTAAGGGGCATTAATCATTGTCAAAGTCGTTATCTTTAAAGTTATGCAATTTCAATACAAGTTGATTAACAGTCAAGGCCTTGACTTAGGTGGTCTCAATTATGCTGCATGTTATGATATTGACAATTTAAATAAATCAACTATTATTAACCTAGGACATTCCTCACACCTTTCGCATTTCACAAGAAAAAATATGTCATTAAGTTTCATTTGAAATCAATTTGATTGATTGCATCGTACTAATTAAAAAAATCAGTGACCACAATTTGTTTGTGACTTACTAAAGTAAAGCATTATTTATTGTTGCATTTCAATGCGGTTAAATCAGAAGTCAAAATCTTTACAAAATAACAAATTCATTAATTTTGTCTTTCGCAGCATTTAAATCTTTTATTCAAGTTTATTAACGACGATACGCTTATCGCATGAGCGAACTCACGTGGCACAGTTTTCCGTGTTCATTTTTTTCCTTCATATGAATAATTGAACACAACCACACGATTTATGATGTTTCATAACAAAACTTAGAGAGAGAAATGGAAACCAAGCCATATGATGTTCCATTGCGTTTGTGATGTGATGAGTTATGAAGAAAAAAAGTCACGAAAGATTGTGAAAATTTTGCTTTTCCTCCGGATAAATCTCATTAAATTTTAATGTCTTCCTAAAATATTTCTTTTAAGATTTAAAGTTATCGAAAAATGAATTTATTGAACAATTTTCAATAGGAAAATCTTTATAATCTATGTACGTGACAAATTGGACATATTCATACATGTTAACGTCTTCAAATTTCGCTCCATCATTTCGCTCTTGTATTTACACAAACGAATAAACAAAAAATTTAAACTTTCACTTTTAAGTCAACTGCTCATTTTTTTCTTCGAAGGCAGCTTGTTTTGAGTCTCTTTTTCATTCGGAGTTTTAGTATTGGTTGAAATCGCTAAGCGTTAACATCGAGTAACTGTGAAAATAAAGTTGTAAAAAATAATCGGCTGGCATTGTGTCTCTCATACGTTAACTAATAAAAATTCTTAACCCGTTCATTTCCCAACTTTTCTTTTATTGAACGTGACAAGATTCGTTCAGATAATTTCAATAATGAAATTGGGGAATTTTATGCTACTAACTGTAAGTTTGAATAATGAAATTAATTTGGAAAGTCGAAAGTCATTTGCCAATAACATTTCACAGATTGTGACGATTGTGTTGCTTTTGTGTGTTCATCAAACAGTCGCTCAACTTCAACCAAGAGCTCCAAACTTCCAATATTTTGAAAGGTGAGAAACAAGAAAAATCCCCTAAAAGCAGCATCATTAAACCATGCAAATATTAATGTTTTTCATTGAGTCGGTTATGTAATTCTTCATTCATTTCTCGCGAGTAAAACCAACTCAATAACTTAGATTTAGTAGAAATGGCAAACAAGTTTGGATTGAGGCCGAGATCTAAAACAGTCTTGAATGCAATTTTATTGAATGTTCAGCCAAGCGGAAGTGCGGAAGATTGTTAATTATGTATTAAATTAAATTGGCGTGAAATACCTTGATAAAAAGCTTCGCCGAAATAACGATTTATGAATACATTAAAGTTAACATCTCGTGAATATTCATGTGTTGATGCGTTGTTGTACTCACTCACAAGACACAGCACTTAGTTTCATTACGCAATCAATCTTGGGTTGGTTTTGTTTGAAATTACTCAGAGAAAATTGCACTGAAGCTTCTGTTTAAAACTTGATTTTATTCATGAATATTATTGACATTTTTGATTATGAAAACTTTTGAGACCACTTTTAACAATTTAAAGAAGTCACAGCAGTTATTAACGAAGGTCGTTTCAAGTTAACTTTTTTTAACCGAAATCTTTTTTTTTCTTTAAGAAGTATTACACGCTCTTGGATAACATATTTAGAACGAGTCTTTCAAGATTTAAAAATAATTAATTCATTTGAATTCTTTCCAGACCCAAATACAGATATCCATACTATGACATCAATGGAAAGGGAAAACTTCTGTATGGATATGGAGGACCGGAACTATATCAATATAAGTCATACTCACCCATTGATGGAATCCATTGATTCAACAGCTGACTCTTTCTTATGCTGAATGGCTGTTCATCTCTTTAAGAAATTACAAAAATGAATTTTCATGATCCGATGGTTTTTTATTGAAATTACCAAATATTTATTGATAACTTAGCTTTTAAAAAAGTGAAAAACATTTACTTTATAAAGTTTATTTTTGCAATGATATGAATAAAATTATTATTACATTTGCAACGGTATTTATATCAGTAGAAATGATGTCAATTAGACTAGAATTCGTCTGTGTGTTTGTACTACGCTCAGCCTTCTCCAACATAATGATTCATAATTTTTGAGTAACAAATAAAGAAAAGTTTTCTTAAAGGTTAATTTAGATCTTTTCTATTTGAAAATCAACATCAAATAATTGTTAGACGCTTTTTTAACTCATCTATAATCACAAAATGTCGTTCTTCAAGAATTTGTTTGGAGTAAAGAAGGCTGAGGCTCAGCCCGAACCATATCTGATAGTATCCAGATATTGCGTGGAATTGAAAATAGTTTATTAATGAAGCAAGAAATGCTTGAAACAAAGATTGAAGCTGAATTAAAAATAGCAAAAGAGAATGTGTTATCGGACAAAAGGAGTGAGTCATTTGTATAATTAAAAATCATTTTATTCCGCATCCAAGGGGGCAATTTGCTTCATTGTTCTACGCGACTAAACACTGGTTTTGTATCGAATGCGTTGCGATTGTGTGGCTGATTTGAGACTGGTGGTGCTCAAGTAGATCTGAGGTTTTCAGAGGTTTAGATACAATGAACTCTCGATATAACATTCTCTCGATACAGAATTTCTCTCGATATAACGTCTTCTTTCCCTATCCCTTCAGAGTATGTTATAACGAGGGTACGCTGTCTTCCCTTCTAGCCAGTTCTGTCTTTAGCAAAAGTTTACGTTGCGACAAAAAGTGCTGAAATGGCTTTTTGTATCGAGTTGATATTCTTATCAATTTAAACAACAATGAGAGTCTTCTTGCTTGAAATCTCTAAGAAGAAGGGAGTTGAAGGTGAAACATCTCTATCGTCCAATGATGATAGAAACAGCCCGAGGTTAATTTTTAAGGGCTTTGGGAGGATTCAAAATCGTCGGCAGTGACTAGTCAACACAAAATAATTCTACTAAAATTAATTATGATTTTGTTAAATGTTTTGATTTGTCTACAATTTTTAGTGGCTTTTGAAGCATTAAAACGAAAAAAGCGCTGTGAACAATATTTGGAGGAGCTTCAGGGAACTTTGACGGTAATCGAAACGCATCGTGAAGCATTAGAGAATGCAGATACAAAAGCCTCTGTTTTGGATACAATGAAAGGAACCTCTGATGGGCTTAAGAAGATACACAAAGATATGAATGTTGTCGACGTTCATAAATTGATGGATGATATTGTTGATCAGAACGACCCAAATAGAATTGCGAGTGCTATTTCAGGGGGTTACATCTCTAATGATGATGTTGATAAAGAAGAATTGGTTAAAGAGTTGGAAAAACTCGAACAAGGAGAACTTAACAAAGATTTACTCAATGTTGGTCCGGCTACGAATATACCCGAAGTTCCAAGCACAGATTTACCAACAACTTCAAAGGACAAAGAGAAGAAAAAAGGTAAACTTATTTAATTAATCATGTATGACGTAATTCTGACTCGTTATGATTGTTTATAGCAAAACCAGTTGCAGCAGATGATATGGATGATGATCCCGATATGAAAGAACTTATGCAATGGGCGAATTAATGTGCTGTCGAGTCGATTCCAAGGCCTTTGTCTTCATCAGGTCCCTATAAACTAATTATTAATCGTCTCCCCAAATCCTTATCCGTGCTTCATGTAAAGGCGCTGGAACGCCTCATAATCACATATATATAAATATATATATTCCTATATATATAAATATATAGGTATATTCCTATATACCTATATAAAACACGTATAATAAACTTTGTTATATTTTAAATTTTATTTGTAAATTTTTTTTTAAAATAAACTTCTAACTGAAACGAAGCTTTATAAATGAAAAATTTAACGGGAAAAAGTAGTTTGAACTGAAATTAAAATAAATATTTTTGAACCGGATCAATAATGATTCATAATTTTTGAGTAACAAATAAAGAAAAGTTTTCTTAAAGTTTAATTTAGATCTTTGCTATTTGAAATCAACATCAAATAATTGTTAGACGCTTTTTTAACTAATACATTATCACAAAATGTCGTTCTTCAAGAATTTGTTTGGAGGAAAGAAGGCCGACCCAGCCCCAACCACATCTGATAGTATCCAGAAATTGCGTGAAACTGAAAATATGTTATTAAAGAAGCAAGAATTCCTTGAAACAAAGCTTGAAGCTGAACTAAAAATTGCAAAGGAGAATGCGTCATCGAACAAAAGGGGTGAGTTATCTGTAAAATTAAAAATCAACACATTTTATTTCGCATCCATTATTTCATGACCTTCGTAAGATTGAAGCGTTTTCGTATGTTCTTAGAGTTGTTGTTGCCATCATTCAACGAAGAAAAAGAAAATGCGAAAAGTCCAAATGATATCTGCCTAAACATTTCTATATTAAATAGAAATATAAGCTCAAACAATTGCAATTAATTATGATTTTGTTAATGTTTTGATTTGTTTACATTTTTTAGTGGCTCTCCAAGCATTAAAACGAAAAAAGCGCTATGAACAACAATTGGAGCAACTTCAGGGAACTTTGACGACAATCGAAACGCAACGTGAAGCATTAGAGAATGCAAATACAAATGCCGCTGTTTTGGATACAATGAAAGGAGCTTCTGATGCGCTTAAGAAGACACACAAAGATATGAATGTTGATAACGTTCATGATATGATGGATGATATTGCTGAGCAGAACGACGTAGCTAATGAAATTTCGAATGCTATTTCATCGGGTATCATTTCTTCTTCTGGTGTTGATGAAGATGAATTGGCTAAAGAGCTGGAAGAACTCGAGCAAGAAGAACTTGACAAAGATTTACTCAATGTTGGTCCGGCTACGAATAAGCTACCCGAAGTTCCAAGCACCGATTTACCAACAACTTCAAAGGACAAAGAGAAGAAAAAAGGTGAACTTACTTAACTTAATCATGTATGACGTAATTCTGACTCGTTATGATTGTTTATAGCAAAACCAGTTGCAGCAGATGATATGGATGATGATCCCGATATGAAAGAACTTATGCAATGGGCGAATTAATGTGCTGTCGAGTCGATTCCAAGGCCTTTGTCTTCATCAGGTCCCTATAAACTAATTATTGATTATTAATCGTCTCCCCACATCCTTAAAGATTCGTGTTTATATTAAAAAAGCAAAAAATGCAAATTATTCAGATTTATTTAACTCGATTTTTACTCTTTTGTTTTTCTTTCATTTTAATCATTCATTTTTGAGATGAAAATCTTAGCTTCAAATACACAAAAAGTAATGAACGAGAGAATGAAATCCTCGTTAATGCAGTCATGTCCATTTGTTGCTGCTATGCGCTTCTATATAAAAAATTCTAATTCTTTGAATAAACAATGAACAAGATAACTAACATGAAAGCTTTGTAAATATGGTTGCTGATCGTGAGAAAGTTAAAAACAAGACGAGAGATTAGTTTGGGTTGAGGATTTAATTGTTTGTCGATTCTGTTTTTTAAATTATATTCGCATATAATTACAAAAATTGCACTATTTTAATCAAACCTTGAAATAAAAATGAAAGAACGTAAAAGTTGAATGGATTGCGTAATTTTAATTACTTTTGACAGGGTCTTGGGTTGTGTGACAATTTTTGTTCGTTCCGGGATAAGAAAAACGGAAGTGGGACAAGGGCTTGATTAAAATCGCCGATTACGCGATATTTTTGGACATCGTTAAGCAATTTCACTTTCTTTTCGCCTTCAAATTCTTTATGTGATATGAATTTTTATAAAGCGCGACAATGCTCGATTATAATGAATTTGACTTAACAAAATTATTCAGTTGCATATTGTCAACGTGTGGGAATGGTAAGGAAATTAAATAATTGAAAATGATAAAAAAAATAAATTATTCATCCTTTAGAACATCAATTATCTTATCATTTTTGTTGTGATGATTATCAACACCCACACATCCCAAGCGACCTTTGACTTCAGTAATGTTGATCTGGTGAACTTTCAATATTTTAAATATCCGAAAACATCAACAACAAATAAGCCGTTCTTCTTAATAGAGAGAAATGGAAGAATTTATGGGATTAGAAGGATTCCAGATCCACCAAATAAAATTCAGAAGACAATTGATCATGCAAAAGCAGTTTTTAGTTATCTGAAAGGTGTGGCGATCGGAACATCAAAAGAGAAAATAAAATCGAAACATGTTTTTGATCCTGAATTTGGTGACAAAAAGAGTTTTGCCTTTCAAGCAAAACATGGAAAATTTGGAGAAAAACTTGTGGATTTACTTGGCTCCGGTCCATCATACGAAAGACTCGTTCAAAGTGGCGCCATCGATCATTAAATAAAAGTCTGATGATTTTATATTCCAATTTCAACTGTGTGTGAAGTTCCTTTTGGACTTAATTTTTTATTTACAGAAAACATTTTCTTTTTTCCGTTACATTGCGTGTGTGAGCGTGACTTGGATTCAACCAGCAACGACAATTGATCACCATGAATGGAAAGTCACTTACAGGAAGTAGAATAAGGAATTTAATTAATTTCTAAACACATTCAGAGCACAAATAAATGATGGAACTTAAGCTGATGGTGCCGGTTTTTGTTTTGCATCAACTGCTTTAATCCGAGCACTGTTCACGCAATCAAGAAACTCACGAACTTCACTTGAACATTTCAAAGTCTCCGTTGGGTTCTTTCGATAACATTCAATGATCTTTGATTTTAAATCCTGACATGGTGGAAGTTGACTTGCAATTGATGGTGTTGCGAAACGTTTCTTTACTTCACTCAACTGAAATTATTTAAATTATGATTTTAATTGCCGATTAATTAAGGAAAATTTGGTTTAACTTACAGTGTCGTTGAATTCTTGCTCCATAATTTTACTATTCTTAAGAAATTCTGATTCTTGGTTCTTAAGACGATTTGCCCAATACTGATCATTAGCAAATAGTTCAGCTTCCTTTTCCTTCCTCACTTGCATTGCTGTGGTTGTTGGCGCTCCATGATAAATTATTGTAGGTGCTTGTTGATGAACAGGAGCGGCGATAATTGGCTGTTGTTTCTGTATCTCACGAGCTTCTTTCTTTTGCAATTCTCGCTCTATGAATTCCAGTCATTTGAAGGAGTAGATATTAATTATCGTTGTCAACGTCAAAATTAAACGAAAAGAAGAAGATTGTTATTCAATCACACAAACATGATTTATTCTATTTTTCTTACCTTTCTGCATATCACGTTTGAGACGGGAAACAACATCTTCACTGATGTCAATTATACCCGAGGACTCATTGTCAAATGACACCGTACGGGTCTTACTCTGTCCTTTTCCCATCGGTGTTAAAAATTCAATTTTTTATCTTAAGAAAAAATGTACAGGAGATGGTTCAAAAAGGGGCATGAAACATTTCGATAAAACCGATTCGCCTTATGAGAAAATTTTCCTACCCCTTGTTATTGAAAAACCGAATTTCATGAAAACCACAATTTCAGCGATTAAAAACGAATACCTATTCTTTTGAAAAGTAAACATAAGATATAAAAAATGTCTCGTAAGGAAGCTCTTTCACAATTTATCAATCAAATACATGGACGGGCTGTGGTTGTGAAGTTAAATAGTGGAGTTGATTATCGAGGTTTGTTTTTGTTTATTTATTTTCCGGTGTTTTCCTTTCTCTCTTATTAAAACTTTTTTATTTCATTCTATTTCAGGTGTTCTCGCATGTCTTGATGGATATATGAATATTGCTCTTGATCAGACTGAGGAATATCAAAATGGACAATTGAAAAATAAATATGGTGATGCTTTCATCAGAGGCAACAACGTCCTTTACATCAGCACTCAGAAGATACGACGAGCTTAATGATATATCCTAAAAATTAAGCTTTTTCTCATTACTAATTTAATAAGTTTTCATCTCAGTGATTACATGGTTTGATTAAAATAAAAATTCCATCTTGAATTCAATATTTAGAGTTTTAAAGAAAATTCCATGCAAAGTCTTCATTGCTGATTAATTATTTTCCTAGGAAACGTCAAACATCAAAATTAATTTTAAATTGTCATTTTATAAAAATAGCCGACAGTAAGCCTATTTATCAAAGCAAAAGAGAGCAGATAACGATAAGAAATTCCAGACAACGAACTTCACTTCTAAATATTTCGATCGGCTTTCATTTATTTTGTTTACTCTTTACAAGTTTTGATATATTGCGAATTTTATTTGCAAAATTTATGAACTGATAATGCTCATAAGTTCATTGGCATCCTTACAAATTTGATTAATTTTCTTTCTAAACTGTTTGTAAAATAATTAAACAATTATAGGAAGTGATTATGCAGGCACAGGTCGAATTTGTTGCTCTAAAACTTGTTTTTCTTCCGGTGTACGATCAGATAAGTCATTAATCGCTGCCCCATGATCTGATTCACCACGTGCAAATTTAGCATTTTGAGCTTCTACTAAAGCCAAGTTATGCTTATAGATCTGGAATCGCATTTTGTCTTCAACCTTGTCAAAGCTTCTTTGGAAGAGATCCTAAATGTGATTAGAAATTTTTAGGGTCATTAAATATCGCAAATCATTAATAAAAGATAAAATTTAACGAGATTTTCCTACCTTAAAATCATTCCATTGTTCCTCGACAGTTTTTCCACCTGAACCTTGACCGTAAGTGCATCCAACGAAAACAAGAATGATTATAAATAACTTCATGATATCTTTTTGCGATAAAAAATCTGCTAGAATTAATAGAAACAAGAAATCAATGTGTTCAGTAATAGCAATCTCTTGATACTGAAAATTATTCTCACAGTACAAAAATATGACAAAGTCGCTCGAAAGTCTTATCAGTGATTTTACTAACCCACAACCAAAACTGAACTTTCTTATGAAGCAATCATTTTTATAGTCATTATCTGATCAGCTGAAAATCTCGTGCGAAGTCTCGTGAGTAATTGTTGGATCTTTCGTTGTAAATTATAATGAAATTAAAGACACGTGACAGTTCTTAAAAAAAGAAGAAACCAAGTTTCTGAACCGCTATTTGTTAAATCTTTCTAATTTAATTCTCTTCTAGTTCTTTCACCATTTAAGCATCAAATGAAAATGAAAGCTTCATTGTTAATTATGTTTATAAACGACAGCATTGAATCATTAAAACTTCATTATGACATCAGTTATTTACAATGATCAAGCTTATTTATGATGAAAGAATTATGAAAACTTAACGGTAGCCATCGGAAGTGCTGACGTTTATTTTGTATTTTGTAGAAAGCGGTGAAGAGATTGAAGAAAACTCACTTGCAACAAGAACAATGATTCTAATTTCTTTCAAAAACATTTCTGAAGTTTGATTCTTTCTCTATAAAGTCGCTTAACAGAATGAATTGGAAAGTTTCTCGACGATATTTTATAATGATAAAATTGATGTCTTTTCGTCTTCCAACAGATTACTTCATTCCATGGGTCAAAAGTAGAAGCTTTTAACTGCATTTTGGATAAGCTAAAACAGAAGCAGAAGCTTTAAGCCGAAAAATTTTTAAGTTTCCGACCCTCGTTTATTCAGTTAAGAAGTAAGCTACATCAAGATCACCTGAATTTACATTAGTTTTTTTTCTCGGCTGCAAACAGCAGGCTTCGTATTCAACATTTAACAATATAAAAGTATTAATATTTATCACGGAGACTTCTACGTTAATGTTAATATATTTATGAAACATAAAATAAAATAAAATTAAATATTAATTACGTATAAAGTGTTAAATTGAGAAAGAGAATTAATTATCTTTGCATAAATAGCTTTGAATCTCACCATCAGAGCATCGAAAGAAAATGAAAGTTTCTTTATAAAATATGTTGAAGCATAAATGGAAGCATTAAATGATGAAGACTACAAAAATAAACATCAGATTATTCATCACGCTTATTCTGATGAAAGAATTATGAAAGCTTAACGGTAGCCATCGGAAGTGTTAATATTTATTTTGTAAGTATTCTGTCAAGAATTGTCGGATTCTGGGAATAAAAGATTTTAATCTCTAATTACAGAATTTCACAGTTGAAAAAGCGAGAAGAAAAAGAAAATTAAAGCCTAATTGTGAAATTATGTTACAAGAATCAGTCTCATGACTTACATTGAATTTTTGAAGTCACATAAAGAAGAAATATTTAATATTTAGGTGAGAATTGTTCTCTCTTACTGACCCATCAAACAACACAATGATGTTTGAGTTTAAATTCAAGTAACAGAACATTCAGCTAAACAATAAAATTTCTCATTGCACAAGATGATCCCTCAAAGCGAACTCCCCAAAAAAAGCGATAAGCACATTTAAATTTCTGTTTTCAGATGATATTAGTCTTCAGTTTTTGTTTGAAAAAGTTGGAAGTGTGTAAAAATTCGATTAAGAATGAAAATTTATGTCGCATTTCTTTTGTTCTCGGCTGTCATGTTTGTTAATGGTTTGACGGATGAAGAAGAATGGGCAGAGTATAAGGTATCAACATATTGACATTTAGAATAAAAGTAATTACTTATCAATGTTCAATTTAGATTAAGTTTGAGAGAAATTATGATGACGAAGAAGACAAAATTAGGTTCGAAATTTTCAAGGAGAATTTTGCCAGTGTAAAAGCTCAAAATGAAGAATATGAAAGAGGTGAAAAGACATGGATGGCACACTTGAATAGTTTCAGTGACCGAAAGGAGGAAGAACTGCCATTTCGAAGGAGACCAATCTTGAAGAATAATTAAAAATTGAAAGAAAAGATAAAAAAATATTTAATAAGAGAGAAGTGAAGGTTTTGCTTTTTGTTTGTTTTGAATGGCTTACAAAAGTTTATTAAAACATTTGTTCAAACAAAATAAACGAGAAAAACACCGTAAAGTCTCTAAATTTTGTTTTTCAATTGAATAATCTTCTTTAACAAATTTAATTTCTTAAAATTATTTCCTGTCAAGAAATGAAACAATAAAATTACAAGAAAGGTTCTCAAACTTTTCTTTAAATAAATTTTCTTTTACAACTCGAAAGAATTTAAATTTTTATCGAAATAAGAAGAAGATTATGCGTAGGCTGCGATGATATTTGTTATTGTTGATGCATGTATAACCCAATTTCTTCTGATTCCTATGGATTATGGAAATGATATGACAATTGATATTCAATATTTAATACCAAGCAGGAAAAAGGGAGCAAATAAGTCGCAAATATTCGCATAATTTCTGACATTGCAATGTGAAAACTGACACACGACATAGATTTGATTTACTCTTCTTTAATAAAACTTTTTATTATACATTCACAAGTTGTGAAGTATTTCATTTCGATTTGTGAATTAAATTATGATTAAGTTATTCAATACTAAGGTATGGAAAATGAAGGAAAATTTCCATCTGAAAAGAAAATATTTGGTAAGTTTTATTCACGTTTAAATTGTTAGTAGTGATTTTCTTACCACATTGAAATGATGGACAACATTGACCTTCAACATAAATTGCTTTGCATCCAAATCGTATTGAATCGCATTCTAGAGTCGAACATTTGATATTGCCGCACTCTGAACAAATGCAAACAGAGCATGGATCATCATCAGATGGAATCTCAGATCCTATTGAGTAGAATTGTCCATCTTTTGTGCAAGTATCATGACAATTTACATCTGATGCATGCAGTGAATCTAAGAATGGAAAATTTTTCATTGCAAGATTGTTTATTAACACGTTTCAAGTATGCAAATTGTGAGTCACTTAAGTGCTTAGTAAACACACATTCATTCTAAAACTGGAACTAAATNAGTTGACCAGATTGAAGTTTGTGGATGTTGGGATTAAATTTGGGACCATCCATAGGAATGAAGGGGAATGAATTGCCTAGCATTAAAAAGAAATATTTTTATGCCTTGTGTTAATTTTAAAATATATTTAAGTCACTCACTGCAATCATATTCTGGGCAACACTGACCAGGAAGGAAGATAGGAGTGCAGTCATCGGGAGGTCGTGCGCAATCCATTATAGCACATTCGACTCCACTTTCAAAACATGTACAGAAGAAACAAGGATTGGGATTTGGAACCCTGTCACCAATTGAATAGTAATTTCCATTATCAAAACATCCTTTAGTACAAAGTCTGCTACCATGCGAGTCAGCATCTGAAGACAGAAAACTTGTTAAAATAATTTTAAATTCATTAGCAGTTAAGCTTACGTGTAAATGCAACTAAAAGCGCAGTTAAACAAATGACAATTTTGGCTGACATTGTTAAGTGGAAAGCTTTTGAAAATAACTGAATTGTCAACATCGTGAACCTTATTTTATATAAAAATGGCAAAGCTAACAAGTTCACGATTTTGATAATAAAATAATGAAAATGATAACAATTGATATGACTATTGACATTCAATAATTTATGCCAGGAAAAGGGAGCAAATAAGCCGTGACTAATCGTATAATTCCTAAAACGAAAACGAAAACTGGCATGCCACAAAAATAGATGCCATGAGAACTTAAACAGAAAAAAATCTTGAAATGTCAGTAAAAATGATTTGAATTCATTTTAAAAGAATTAAATTTTAATATTAAGATTATTATGTTAATTTATCTCCATTGAAAAGATACTTAATTTAATTATGAGAAAAATTATGTTTAAATAAAAAGAAACTTGTTCTGAATTTTTTTACATAAAATATTAAAAATATCTGGTTAACGAGATCAACAAATATTCAATTAAAAAACGTCATCAAAGCGTCACAAATAAGTCATCAAAAACAAGGTAGGTTAACAATTTTATTTTCATAAAATCTAATAAACACTTTGATTTATCTTTTACAAGATATTTTTATTTCATCTTTCATGTTTACTTTCTTCTGTGAAGCCAAAGATGAAGAGAATGGAAGAGAAAAGAGCATAGTGCGCGGAAAATTGCTCAGTTGATACTTCAACACTAACATTATTACAACTTTTTATTTCTCGACACAAAATTGTTGCTCACATTCGTAGAGTGCAAAAGCAAACACGCGGAGAAAGAATTTTTCCTCATTATTTGTGTGCAAGAGTGGTTTTTGTTAGACAAAACTTGGAATCATTTCATTCCATGTTCAACCTTAGATCGGTAAAGAACGGTTAAGTTGATTGTCGTATATTCGCATCAAGTTTTGGTTTAATAAACATCAACGCTATCGTGCACTTAAGAAATTTGATTTCATACGAAGAAATTTCACGATAAAATAATTTTTCCAGGTTCCATTTGATTCAAGTGTTTATTCAAATTATTAAGTTGAGAAAGAAATAAAAATTAACAAAATCCATCGATCTTTCTTGAAAGAAAAGCTTAAACAGAAAAAAGGTTTTTTCATACCACAAAACTTAATTTCATGTTTAATAAAGATTAAAAACTCGCGTTTATGGGAAAAAATTAAAAGTGTTTAAGTAATAAAGTGTCAAGAAATAAATATCAGTGAACAGTTGAAGCAAAAAAAATTTATTTTTATGAATTTTAATGCAATTTCTCGAACAAAATGATTAATAAACTGGAAGTATTAATATTAATGGTAAGTTTCTTAATTTCATTTCTTACTCGCACATGTGAACTTAAAAAAATAAGAAATTAACTTCAAATCTTTTACGTCGGTTTACTTACTTAAGTATCATTGTAAGAAGCTTCAAATGAAGGAAAAAGTTGTATTAAAAAATATCAAATGCGATACTTATTGAAGATGATGATCAATAATTGCGAAATTATGAGTATATCATGAATTAATTCTATAATGAAACTTTCTTCGTGCCAGTATTTCATTTTAACGGAATCTTAAATTGGTAGGAAACACTTCGAGATGAGTTTAAATATCCTAAAAAAGTAATTCGATATTTCGATAATGAAGAAGCTTGTCAATCAAACATTTTATATTTTCAATCTGACAGTTTTCGCTTTCTGTATTTAATTCGACATCATCACTAATCAAAAATATGTCATTAATAGTTAGCTCTGCATTCAGAAATAAAATTCTTTTCTGAAAACAGTCTTGTTCCCATCAATTAACTCTTCAATCACCTCAATATTCATTCATAAAATGTTTGAATTTTTTTATTAGTACGTTGCATAATTACGGTAAATATTTCTTATTTCTACCTTCTTTTGTGCATCGTATACTTAAACTAAATTAGAAGACTTGAAGGGAAAGGCAATTTAAAGAACAATGATATGGAAGAAAAGTCAAAGAATGAGGAAGCCACCTGCTTTCATTCATTTCATTTCAATTCAATAATTTTTATGATCCATAATGGATTCATAAATGGAGTGAAAAGAGTAAAGCACACAAAAAGTTGTAAAAATCATTAATAGCGAGGAAGCATAATCGCGAAAATGCTGAAAAACTGAAGCATCTGAATCACTTGATGATCCATTAAATCTTTCAGATTCAAATCTTTTTCGTACATCATAAAATCGTAACAGGAAGGAAAGAAAAAGAAGAAGAAAATGAGAGAAAAAATCGGATAAATGTTGTCGAGTTCAAGTGATTTCAATCATAATCGTGAAATATGTTGCACATGATGAATTTTCTTGAATATTTAATTTGAAAGATAAAAGATTCCGATTTGAGAATGATTAATCGAAGCAAATATCTTTATCAAGCGAGAAAAATGTTACAAAGCTTTCTATCGTTCTTCGATTATTGCAAATTCTGCGTAAATAAAGTTTGAAATAGTACGAGAAGCCGTTATAACTCTTGAGTAAGAATCTTTGATGCGCAACATTAAATTAACCAATTATTGATGCACTTTGCTTATTTCTTCGTGGCTTTACATACTCACAACTTTGTGTTAACATGCGCGAATTAAACGGTATACTTTTTATCCATGATAATTCAAAAAGCTTCACGCTTCTTAACACCTGTCGATGGAATTGTTTTGTTCTCATGCATCATTCGAAATAAGAAAATTCAGAAATTCTGGATCGATACGGAACAAACATTCTCGATTCATGATTTACTTGCATTTGAAGTAGTGGCAAATGGCTGTAAGTGAGAGAAAGTGAAGTTCAGAACAATAAAACATCATTGATTATCGAGCGTGCTAAAACGAATTGATTTTATGATTCACTTGACATGGGATTCGTTTTGGTGTAAGGGGACAAAGCATTAAAATGATGAAATTCTCATATCTCACTGCTGTTCAGCGCATAAGGCTGATGAAGATGTTAATGCTAATAAATTTATCTATGTTTCAACAGTTGAATGCTTCCATTCACTTAAATAAATATTCGATCACTTGAAGGTCATAAATAATCAAATTTTCGTTGCTAATGCGAATTTTTGTTTTCAACCCTTCGATAAATTTGTTGTTTTGCTGTTTGTTTTACGATTGTTTGTGGTTTCGTGTCAAAAATTCTTGATTTATTTGTGTTATTTGTAAAAGTTTAAATTTACATTCATAACTTATGAAGAATTTTAATTCAATTTATGATTTAAATAATGATTAAGTTGTTCAATACTAAGGTATGGAAAATGAAGGAAAATTTCCATCTGAAAAGAAAATATTTGGTAAGTTCTATTCACGTTTAAATTGTTTGTAGTGATTTTCTTACCACATTGAAATGATGGACAACATTGACCTTCAACATAAATTGCTTTGCATCCAAATCGTATTGAATCGCATTCTAGAGTCGAACATTTGATATTGCCGCACTCTGAACAAATGCAAACAGAGCATGGATCATCATCAGATGGAATCTCAGATCCTATTGAGTAGAATTGTCCATCTTTTGTGCAAGTATCATGACAATTTACATCTGATGCATGCAGTGAATCTAAGAATGGAAAATTTTTCATTGCAAGATTGTTTATTAACACGTTTCAAGTATGCAAATTGTGAGTCACTTAAGTGCTTAGTAGACACACATTCATTCTAAAACTGGAACTAAATTAAATAGAAAAAGTAGAAATTACTTGAAGGAAGCAAAATAAAGAAAGAAAAAATATTGATAATGACAAATATTCCCGTCATTCTTAACTCTGAAAGTCTACACAGAAACTGAAGTGAACAATTTTTCGTTTAAATCCAATAAATAATTTTTATAACTTTTAATGAATATTTTTATTATTTTCCTTCTCACGACTTCAAATTTTAAATTTTTGATGGCTTTCTTGAAACTTACAAGAAATTTAAATTTTTTCTGATAATCGAAGTTTTTTCAGTTGACCAGATTGAAGTTTGTGGATGTTGGGATTAAATTTGGGACCATCCATAGGAATGAAGGGGAATGAATTGCCTAGCATTAAAAAGAAATATTTTTATGTCTTGTGTTACTTTAAAAATATATTTAAGTCACTTACTGCAATCATAGTCTGGGCAACACTGTCCAGGAATGAAGATAGGAGTGCAGCCATCGGGAGGTCGTGCGCAATCTGCTACAGCACATTCGACTCCACTTTCAAAACATGTACAGAAGTGACAAGGATCTGGATGTGGAACACTGTCACCAATTGCATAATAATTTCCATTATCAAAACATCCTTTAGTACAAAGTCTGCTACCATGCGAATCGGCATCTGAAGACAGAAAACTTGTTAAAATTATTTAAAATTGATTAGCAGTTAAGCTTACGTGTAAATGCAACTAAAATCGCAGTTAAACAAATGACAATTTTGGCTGACATTGTTTAGTAAAAAGCTTCTGAAAATAACTGAATTGTCAACATCGTGAACCTTATTTTATATAACAACTGCTAAAGTTGCTTTTCCGCTAACAAGTGCACGATTTAATCAAAAAATACTAAAAATCACAATTTTAAAACGATAGCAATATTTAAAAGTAAGTCAATTAAATGCTTTCTGTCATGAGTTTGAGCAGATATTCAAAAACATTTATTTCCACTCCCGTTAAAATAATTCTTTTGTGTATTGAGAACTTTAAAATTATACGTAATCCAACATTAAGATCTATGTAACCGTTGTCTTGTGGTAATTTTCATAATTCAAATTGATACCGTTTCTTTGAAACTGGTCGGTTGAATAACGAAACTTTCAGTTTTAATTTTAGAGAACAGCAGACAGAATAAGCGGAAGATCAAACTGAAATTTTTTGTTTTTGTTTTTAAATTCTGTAAACTGTTCATCACAGCAGCTCAAGGTTTAAATAAGCTATTGGTTAGTTCATTGAGCTTTAAGAAGCTATCGCTGTTGGATCATTATTAGAAATAGCAGTAATCTAAACATCAAATAAAGAAAAGAATTCTAGAACTTTTTTTTTGAGAAATATTAGAAGAATAAATTGTGCAGGAAGCGTTTAGCAGATTTGACGGTCGCTCACTGGTGGTTCGAGAGAAAAGACGTGGCGAATTGATTACAATAATAGAGTTCTGCATCATCGATGATGCGATTACAATGAAATTAATCTAAAGAATGTTTGGTTTTTCATGAAATCAAATCAAAGATTTTCCATTACATGCAAATATGCAAATGCAGTGGAATTGTAATCTTCTTAACCAGAATTATTGCTACTCGCACATGTTGAAGTTAATAAGTATTTGCTTTTATTTCAATTACATGTTGGTATCTGCAAATGATGAATATTTCTTTTTATTGTTCTGAACTCATGCCTGAAGAATTAGTGTAGTCAGATATTAAATGTGAAGACTGAAATTAGTTTGAGTTTGAACAAATCGGTAGCATTTTATGTTTAAAAACATATCATGGGAATTCAATGATTGAACATTCATCTCAACATAGAATTTGTAGTAAAGGATTAAATAAAACAAACATTAATATCTATTCCATTACCCGCTTTGCCGCTTAAAAGATTTTCAAATCAAAATGGAAAATTCATTTCATTATTGTTCCCATTTCCCTTTTGAATCACAAGCACATGTATTCGCAGTGGTTTTCTCGCAGATATTTCCAGTTGATTCGATCTGCAAATTACTGATAATCGTTGAAAAATTGCAAGAGAAAGAAAGATGTGAATTTTCTCATTTGAACATTATTGAGATGGAGAACCCTAACAGTTGTTTAGTTTTTTTATAATATCACGATTTATGTTTTCTATGAAAAACATAAAACATAAATGTCTTTATTAATCAAAAGTAAACGCTTGATTGATGCTTATGGCTTAACCTTAAACATCACATTAGACTAAAGTCAATTTACTTTCTTCTAACTGCTTATTTGAAATGGAAAACTAAACAACAGAAGCTTTTGTCATGGAGGTCGCTGCCATTAATGATTTCACTTTTATTTTCATTTTTCCTCTTAATTACATAGAGAAATAATCAAAATAATCATTAGGTATGAGAGAAGACTTTTAACACTCCAAGATTGACTTCACACGTTTTCACATTGACAATCACGACAACTTTTTGAAGTTCATAAAAGCTTTCATCTGTTAAATTATGCTTGACGCCTTCAAGTCAATCAACTTACTTACTTATTTAGTGCTTGATAGCTAGTTAGGTGCTCTGCTTGTTAGGGAATCAATTTAAATTGGAAACTAAATTAGAACGCAATGATTAACCGCAAAGAAAGCGTCATGAACGCATTTTCATGTTGTGATTATCAATCGAAGATCAAATTAATTTATTTTCGACATTTCTCGAATCCATTTCTCATTTTAATGTGGCACCAATCGATTTCAATTAAGTTGTGTTTTCTCCAATTAATTTGCATAAATCATGTTGTCGTTCTTACTGCTTTTGGTGATGTTGTTCAACAGACCGATGAAATCATGGAGAGAAGAATTAAATTAGAGGGAACACGATTTTCCATAGAAATCTTTTCACCAAATTTGCGAAACACAGATTCGTTGCATGACGCGATCTTCTGTAAGTCTTTAACTTAACAATGGAAATTTCAATTTTGTTTAAGATTTATAACGAAATAGTTTAAGAAAGTGTTGTTCCGGAGAAAAAAACGAGACTTCTCTGACCCATATCGCAGACTTTCTTGTCGTTGTATCTTTTTTTATGTCTCCAGTTCTCATTCGTTGTCATCATTTTTACGGAACTGGCATCATCTTGTTCACTCTCGATTCGGTCATTCATCGATTTATCTTCCATTTATGAATAAAATTGAATATTCTTGAGTGATAGTCTAACAAGCCGCAATGCAATCAAATTTTAAACTCTTCAGAATTTTCATGGAAATTTATTTGTAATTGAAAACTTAATTGCTGAATCAAAAGATATAAACATAAATTTCAATCATGTACGCATTAACAATATTTCATCTTCGATGGTTATCATTTTCTCATAAATTATAAGAAAAATTAGCTAAAGTAAGAGTTGGTGTTTATGAGTGGCAGTTTAGTGCTAGGAATAATCTTTATCGGGTTCGTCAGGTTTCCATTACCTCGTTTTCTAATAGTGACTTGTCAAGAAGAGCATTCTAGATCTGATTGAACTAATTTTATCCAACACTTCGTTCGTAAATCTTTTTCATTTCTTTTACTCTACTAAACGGATTTTTTTATTTCGTAGGTGACTAAAGTGTCGTTAGAATTGCATGTTTATTGTTGATCTGCCACCTGACAAGATTACCAGTTTCAAGTTGAGCCACTTTAAGATGTTTTTCTAATTTTAAATTCATAGAAATAGATTAACCGTTTAGTTCAAGAATTAAATCCGCAAGTCGTTTGAAAAGTTCTGTAAATTTACTTTGTATAAATTGAAAGTATTTTTAAATATTCAAAGTGGTCAAGAAAGAAAAACATGACAGAAAATGTTGTTGTTGTAAAGAAGAAATGAAAGAACAAGCAAAAAAAAAAGTAAAACTGATTCAAATCATTAAATATTCAATCACGCGATTTGTTTAATATGTTTTATGTTGTTCTACAATCTTTTCAGCAAACATCATTGGCTCGTGCAGTCTTTTTTATCTCAAACATGCCACTTTAATATTCTTTTATGATATTTATACACTCCCGTCATGATGAATTGTTTATTGTGCAAAAAATATCTCCAATTAGTTCCTTACGTGTAAGTTGAGGAAATAATGAAAAAATTCGTGACTGCAAGTAAAAGATTCGTTCAGAAACAGAAGACTTGCCTTTGGCCTTCTTAATGTTTATTTGATTTGAGTCGCTTAACACGATGATGACTGTGAGATAATGAATGTTAAATTAAACTTCAATTTCTTTCATTTCATTTCAGATTTTCGTAAGTGTTGTTACATCAATGGATCAACAAGAACAGAGTATGGTGACATTAGGAATTGAATGTCATCATGACATGGATTGTTCGGATCACATTAAAGGAAGTTACTGCTCGCTTGAAGGGATTTGTGAATGTTCACCTTTTTATGTAACGTTCAACGAAACTATTTGTCTACCTTGTGAGTTATTCTATTTATTTATTAACAACAAATGAGAGAAAGAAATGTTCATCTATGTCAACAAAGATCTTTCTCAATGTTGTTCTGGTGAATGTATTTACAAGTGGAACTTAAATATTTACATTCCATACATGATACCGAGAATAAAGAAAGTTAAATAATTCTTCGTCACTCAGACGATCATTGACAATCATCATTTCTTGTTTCAGCACAACTTTTAGGAAACGATTGCGTCAAAGATGAACAGTGTTCGATGCGTGTAGCTAACAGTGGATGTTTAGATGGAGCTTGTCGTTGTACAGAAGGATTTCTACAATTTAGAAAACATACTTGTCTTGTTCGTGAGTATTAAACTATGAATAACTCGTTGTGTTTACAATTTACGTGATTAACATGAATGGAAGTGGAGAAATCGCGATTCGCCAACGCTTTACATTCGCTAAATTCTTTTCATCATCAATTGATCATTGTATCCACATTGTTACCAGAATTTTCACAAATAAAACAATTTATCAGATTTCAAGACTCGTGACTCGAGGTAATATTGTGAAAGAAGAAACAAATGTTTGCATTTCTGTTGATTACACTCACATGATTCAATTTGAAATCACATGAAGCACTTTGTAAAATTTATTTGCAAACTTTTTCTCTCTCATTTTCATGATTTATGAATTTGAGAAGCAAGGTGGTAAATTGCCTCACGGGATTTATTATTAAAGATGGTTTTTAGAACAGCATAATGAATCAAATGAAGTCAATAACAATTTAAGAACAATTTATGATTCATTCGAGAACACACAGCACCAGTCTGCAGAATGCAAATATTTAAGATTTGCTTCAATTCAAACAGAAACAGAGGAAGAAAAAAATTGTTTATTAATTTCAGTTTATCGACATGGGGAGCTTGAGGCGAATTATTAAAGAAACTAGAAATATTTCTTGTAAGAATTCGCAAGCTAAATGTGTACGAGTTCTCACAATTATCAACTGTTGGAAGTTCCAAATTCACAGTTTATCTTTTATCTGTATACGGCATTATTGACCTGATTCATTATGAAGAATATCACTTCTAAAGCAACATCCAGTTTGACTCGATCATTAAAATAAGAGCCGCGATGATCTCCACACTCAAATCTTGCAGGGAAATAGCGCACAAAATTAGTTAATTACTGCACTTTTAAGCTATCAACGGTAAACTTCTTAATGACGCTTAATATCTGAAAATGTTGACCAAATTTCTCTTCCGAAAATTCCATTGTGAACCTTGAAACGTGATTCGGAAGCAAATCATAAAATATTTTAATGACTTGAAGCAGTAAAGTGATTCAAGCGTGCGTCATCAATCAAAATGCCATAAATAGATGAAATTAACAATATCGGCGGAAGACCTTTTATAGATTGATTGGTGAGACTTCTAACAACTAAAGCAATTCAATTGCAAATTTGGAGATAATAAAACAAAATTGAATCATTAATCTGAACATGAACAAGAACAAGTAAGTTAACGGTCGAACGTCAGATGATCTCTTTCTTCCATTGATCGCCGACAGTGTGCGATTTTGAATGTTGCGGTTTATTTTTCAACTTTTATTTTACTGTCGATTGCAGATAATCTAACATTCTTTTTCCTTTCTTACAAGATTCGATATCTTTTAAATTGAACACAAATGCTTAAATTATTTTTAGAATGTAGAAGTGGAAGATCATTTAGACATTTCCGAAACATGAAAAGATTTTTTCTTTTTTTTTTGCACAATTTCAAAGAATTAATTTTCAATTCTTCGACATGATGAGCTTTGGCATGACATGAAAGTCTTGGGAATTGTGTAATTGGAATAGCTAGAGAATGACCACATAAAATCAAACGAACGAACATTTGCGCAACCCAAATTTTATTCTTACTTTCTTTCTTCTCAAGCGCGGCACTTTCTTTTAAAAATTTATTTTTGGACGATCTCTGTGAATGGCCAATGGACAAAAGTAAAGTTCATGTTGCCCACATAAAGAAGGTTTAATGTTGGTTGAAAATACTTAAAAGAAGAAAGCGAACACGATGCTTTGATTTAATAAATAATCAAAGACGCTAAAGGTGATCGAAAGAAATTCCAAACATTTTCTATTTATCACGACACCATCCTTTGAATGTTAGAAAATTTCATCGTTCATTTTATTAAGTAAATGCCAAGTGCAACATCAGCTGAAACATTACCCGTACATTATTGAATTCAATTTATAATTTCTATTCTTCTTGTGTACCATCAAATAATATTTGCACAGATAGAAATTTTCCATCAATCTCAACATGAATAAAAATTGAAATGTTTCTAAATGTTAATTGAACATCGGAAATATCAAATAGAAATTCATTCAAAGATTGATTATATGCATAAGCATAAAAAAAGTTATTTTATGTTGCATCTTGCAACTCTTCAAATCGAGAGAGATTAATGATCGTCAAGATGGAACGTGAAGTGCAATCGATAGAAAAAGAAAAAAAGTTTATTTATTAAGCTTTTATTTCGATTAATTATTATTTATTCATTCTTTTTCTTCTATTCATCTTTCTTTCCATCTCTTTCTCTCTTTGTCATTTATGAATGTCGATGACCAACCGAAGATGTTCCACTTAGTTTAATAGAAAATCTTTTTTGAGGTTTTAAACTGGTTAAGTTTGTAATGAAAATTATAAATTTTTAACCATTTTTACACGTTCAGGTGACATGCTCAATGTTATGGTAATGAAATACCATAAGCCGATGAATAGAGCCAATTTACGTTCATAGAAATTATGCTTATATGAATGTAGATCAACAGATTGCCTAAGTTGGCTGACAACTGAATAGTCTTTCGAATTTTTATCGTACGGTTCCGTAGTTGACTTAACTATCTTCCATACATACAGACTTGCAATTACTGCAAATTTATGCAAAAAATAAAAGAATATTTTTACACACAATGTGAATGGAAAAATATTTATGAGATTTCATCAGTATGGGAAATGGGTTGAAGAATTTCATCGATGATTTACTAGAATAGAACAGAACCTGGCAATTGTCCAAGAAGAGACAAATAAAAATTCATTCTTGGTAACCCTTAAGTGAGTCGAATTGAAATTAATATTCATCGAAGCCCTCACAGAATGAATCTTATAAAAGAATGTCCACTGAGTCACAACTGCCGACATTGCCAGAATAAAAATTCTTTAACTGATATTTAATTAAAATAAATTTTTGAAAATATGAAACAGTTATGACTTGAGGCGATAATGTTATGTCGATTACAACTGTTGATTCTTCTTCGCACAGCACAGCACAACAGACATGACTTGTTAAACAATAAGAAGCCAAACAATAGAATTTCTCTTATCAAAACAACACATAAATCATTAAAACAATTACGAAAAAAAAGTTCTTTGCGGAAATTTCTTTTTGTTTTAATCAGACTTCTTAATCAGATGCCGCAACTCACGTTTCATTTCTTTCCATAGTCATTAAAATAATTTTGAACGAAAAGTTTAAGAATCTTCATCAATTCCCAAGAAATCAATTTACCATCATTAAAGTGTGAAGCTGTTAATCGGATTAACCCATTTCAACTTAACTTCTGTTGATTATAGCTCGAAATTTGAAGGAAAAAATTAAAAAAAGCGTTTGGACAATTAATCGAGCGTGAATGTTCATGAATCAGTTGCACCATCTCAATAGCATTTCCTTCTCAAATACCATGACGAAGCTACATCCGAACTGATGCCGATCATGTGGGCCATCAATTTTGTTGATTTAATTACCAACTTCAAGTCCATTAAGTTCCATAGAAATGAGAAATTGAAACAATTCAAATGGTGCCAAAATGTTACGGTGAAAAGCAAACACATCATTAACATCAGCAAACAACACAAAAAGATTCTTCGAACCTCATAGATGTGTCCATAATTTCACATAATTAATGGTCTTCTTATTCTTTTTTTTTCAAATTGCAAGCAACCACAAAAAGTAACGACAGTTGGAAAAGTAAATTTCTTTCTTTCCATCTTCATTTTGTTTCGTTGAAGTCCACATTTGGGTTAATGGAAATTTTGGAATTTCATTAAACGATAATTAACAGCAGAACAATACTCTAATATTTTTTCTTGGTCCACAAATTTTCTCATTTCTGTGACAGGTGAAACAAGATATTGTTGTGTGTAACTCGGAAGAAACAACAATTTTTCATCATTTTACGGAAGAAAGTGAAAATTCATTTGAGGTGAAAGGAAATGCGTTAACTATGATGTTTGTTTACTCTCAAGATGTCAGGAAAAAGAAAATATTTTGCAGACTGAGAAATGGGTTAGGAGGTTGAGATGCTAAACTATTTTTCAGTGGAATAATTGAATCTTGTACTTGTAGATAAGTTTAGCGATTCGTCTCGTAAGAAAACTTTTGTTATTTGCCATATCATGTTTTCAGAAGATCGTGAGGTTTTCATAAAAAGAATTCATCCAGAACTAAACTAAATTAGATCTCGATGATCATTAAGAAAGTCGTTAAAAATTCTTCATCACAACAAATGATCAGTGATTTGATTCAATAATAAATCAAAGTAGAATGTGCTAGGCATAAATTGCACATTTAAACTTTTCGTTTTATAGTTTGACTCATTAAATCTTTAACGGTCAATAAAAAAGAGATTTTACTTATACTTATCATTTCACGGATGAATTAATAAAGTTTTGCTTTTGTATTCTATAAATAGAAAGGTAAACACACATAACAGCATCTATTGTATCTAAGTACATAATAATATGACCTAATCAAGTCATAAAATCATGACAACCAAATGAATTGCATCATAAACTCATTCACACGTCATACATAAACAATCTGATTTCATGTCTTCATCATCATCATCATCATCGTCAAAAGAGAAAAAAAAAATATGTTTTGTTGTTGAAAGATATCGCATAACTAGTTGAAGTTCTTTAAACGAACATTAACATGCACGAGATCTGACTCAAAAGTTCAACAACGCAATCGCGTGATGTGATTCTAAATTGAACTCGTTTCAATTAAATGCCGACTTAGTTATGTTGTCAAGATGCCAATAAATACACAATTATTATTATTTTTTATGCAATCAATCGATCTGATTGCAAGAAGATAGAATTACTGAAATTCCTTTTCAAGTAAATGAATTTATTTCACCCAGATTGAAGCGATTGTTGCTTGCCAACTTTCCATTGATAAGCAGCCATTGAATGTGTTGATGATGTATGAAATTGTGTAAGAAGACCAAACCGACAATCAGTTGGAATGCAAACTTGCTGTTACTTCTCGTTACGATATCCAGTTTTGGCGTTCATGACTTGATCAGTTACTTGCAGTTTGTTTTAATTAGAATTTTTAAATGTTGCAGTCAAGCAAATATTGAAAGAACGCTCGTGTGATCATTGTTAACAAGTTGATGATGACCCATTTTCTCCTCTGTTTTATGATCTTGTCCGTGCCGACCTTGAAGTTGATGGTTCAGTGGTGATCAATCAATGCAATAATCTGCCATGTAATTCCCTTGAAAGCTGTTGTTGCGCAATTTATTTATTCTTTCATGATTATCATAAATGGAGCGCAACATGTTTAGAAACAATAATAAAATAAAAAAGAAGATTCAGAAATATTCTGATGAAATAAAATTTCCACTTCCAATCAAGCGTTGCACAACGGAAGAACCATTTTCGTTCGCATGCTATTAATGGTTGTTCTATTTGTTCCGTTACAGCCGCACAACCTGGCACTGTGTGTTATTCAAATCACCATTGCAAAATGTGGGACGAGAATTCACATTGCGACTTCCTGATTCCAAATCTGTTCGGACGTTGTCAATGCACGTCGCCGGCAAAAATCGTCGGTTTGAATTGCATTGCGGAACAACCAAACACAGAATTCGATGACGGCATTAAGGTCATTAACACATTATCTGAATTGATTTATCCACAATTGCACAATAATTATGAATCGAAGCAACCTGAACTTGAAATTGCAAATTCAGTAACCGAAGCTGAAATTACAGAAAATCTCATCGATGATGAACCAAAAGAACATCAAGAAATTATAAATCTTCAATCTTATGTTGATAAAGATGAGAATAATGATGAAGATGAAGAAGAACCGGAATTTTCAGAACCCATCGATGTTACTGACAGCGAGCATGATGAATATCACGATGAAGAAAATGAAATTCTTGATGAACACGATGATCTTGAGACCGAATTTATTCAACATGAAACCGAACCATTATTGCAAGATCTCGCCAATCAAGTGATGCATTTGATTGAAGACAACACAGGAAAAGAAGATAATCTGGAAGGTCAATCTAATGTAATTGATAAAGAAAATATTGTGCAAACAGAAGCAACAGCTGTTGAAGAAACCACAGAGATGATTGATAATGATGCGGCTGTTACTGCTGCCGCAGATGATGCAAGTGAAGCATTAGATTCAGAGCAAATTAACGGTTCTCAAGTAATGGAAGGTAATAAAAACGAAGACCTGGTTGAACTCACAACAAATGCTGTTGAGACGCTAACAGAGAAAATTGATGAAAATGAAAGTTCATTAGCATCTGAAGTACCTGAGACAACAACAGATTTACCTGCTGATGATGAATTACCGACGACTACAGAAGAAATTGCGATGGACACAACAACACAAGTAATTTTAGAATTAACAAGTCGAACGAGCGTTATGGAACCGAATGCTGAAGTTGCTACAACAATTACAAATTTCGTGCACGATAAGAATGAAGTTGTAACAACAGCTTCGCCATTCTCAATTGAAGCTTCAACGGTAGACACAAGACGTGAGTTCAACAACATTCTTTTCCAAGAATTTATTTAAATCTTTTTTACTTTGCTTTAGACAAAGTTCATCGAGCTGAGTTGGATAACTTGGCGGTTTCTTTGGGACTTCCTTGTCGAAGCGATAAGCAATGCCAACATGCAGATCCACACACGTATTGTTCGGAGCAAAATATTTGTGAATGTGAAGCGATGAGAGATGCTGTGGTTTCTACTTCATGTTCAGCTCACAACACTGGGTGCGCTGAAGGAACTTTCCAGGTTTGTTAAATTATGAAAATTAATTTAAATTTTAATTTGTCAATTTTCATATTTCAGTGTCGATCATCAGGTATCTGCATTAGTTGGTTCTTTGTTTGCGATGGACGTTCCGATTGCAGTGTAAGTTTGCATTCATTTGTTATGAATTAAATGTAATTAAAGTTTAATTACTTCAACCAGGATGGATCTGATGAAGAATGCACTTTCGATATTTACGGAACAAAGAAAACAAATGAAACAGTTGATTGTCCACAACAATCATTTAAATGTTATCGAAGTGGACGATGCGTCTCGAAAGCTGCTCTTTGCGATGGCAAACCTCAATGCCCTGGAGCAGAAGATGAAGAGAACTGCGATTTCCGAAAGTCAAGACGATGCCCAGCAAATACTTTTCCATGCCGATCTGGCGAATGTTTACCGGAATTTGAATTTTGTAATGCGATCGTCTCATGTCGAGATGGAAGTGATGAACCACCACATTTATGTGGATCAAACATCATAATCTCGAATTCATTCCAAAGACCTCAGAGCTTCGCAGTTGCTCGTGGAAATCGCTATTGTCCATTGAAATGTGGAAATGGACGTTGTCGAAGTTCAGCGATTGTATGTTCAGGCCGAGATGGATGTGGAGATGGAAGTGATGAGCAAAATTGTTCAGTTTGTCGTAAGTTTCATCACAAATTATTTATTCTTGTTATGTTAACTTTATTTTTTGATTATTCTAGGATGTCCCGTTCCATCACCGAAGACAGCATCAACAACCACACAACAGTCAACTTTCAAACGAATTCGAAAGAACCGAATAGGCTGGTTTCAGTTTCTCAAAAGCTTAAACTGAAACTCATTACATTGAAAGTCTCTTAAGAAATTTTTAATTTTAAGATTTTAATTTATTAATTAAACTACCCAAAAAAAATTAGTTTTCCTTCATCGTTTATAAAAATTGTGCCAGTGGAAAATTTTGTAAAAAAGAAATTTAATAATTCAAGAATTTTCTCGCTCGATTGGCTATGAATCTTTATGTTTAATTGGAATAGCATTGATGAAATCATAAATGATAATGAATTGAATAAAATACTAATGGCACTGATTTTCAGAAGCGACAATTAACTTTTCTCCTGTTTAGTTTTGTTTTGTTTACAGATGACATCGAGTGCGATATTTTATAATCAAATGAAGGCGATCGACGAGAACATTTATGAGAAATGCAACCCGATGGCAACGCGATGTAACAATTAAACATTTACAACAACCTGTAACTAAATTTTTATGCTAAACCGCTATGAAATATTTATAGAAAGCCCTGAGGATGAATCTAAATACAATTCGAAACTGGGTAGTCGATCGAATCAGCAAGGAAAACCAGAATTTTTTCCTGCAAGTTTGTAACGCCGTAACTAAAGCCATTTAGTAATTACCAGACGTTAAATCATACGTTAAAAATCTTTATGGCTGAAGTAGTAAAACGCTTTAAAAATTTTACGATCGGATGGAACTATTGAAAAAAGTTCACGATCTTGTGAAAATATCGGAAGAACTGAAAACAGGTAAATAAACTTTGCTGTCAATAAACAAAAACATTCTGAAAAAAAAATTAAATTAAAAAGTTCTCAACTCTTTTCATAAGCGGATGGTTTTATTAAAAATTTCAGGTTTTCGCGATATACATTCGTCAAAGTTGCACTAATTATGCTCAATCTCATTCTATTTCCATAGTTTAAATGCTTCAATATAAATATCTCTTAATTACATAATTTCTAATCTTCATTTCTCAAGCCAGAAACATTTAAGCTTTTAAATTTACGTTTTTTTGTTATAAAATTCTAGAAAAAGCACACGAACTGGAGACTGAAAATCAACTGCTTTGGAATAATTTTTTTATTATTATTGATGTTTGAAAAATTGGAAAAAGTTAAGTTAGTGCTGGTTGATGAACATCCTCCAGTTCATCACATGCACTTTCTATGAAGTCGAAACGATCAATCGGTCATTTTCGTGTTGAAATTTCAAAAAAAATTATAATTCACATTTGAGGCAGTTGAAAGTTTTTATATCTTTTGCTCATTTGTTTGTTTATTTATTTGATTTGATGTTGTAAGATAAGTATCAAAGTGTAAAGAGTTAAGTTCGCTGCAATGAAAGTGACAAGTGAACTTCTTTTTTTTAACAAAAAAGCTTCAAATTTATCTAAGAAGCTTTGTAAAATTTTTATACTGCCTCATTGCATCAGAAGCTTTTGAAACATCTTTGATTCTTTATTATTATGAATGTAGGTTTAGCTGTTAGTCTTCATCCAGTGAAGTCGCTGATAGTTGTAAAAAATGTTGTTTCAGAGTGAATGAATCCTTAGATTGTGTTATGAACGTTTATACGACTAGATTACTATTTGTTTTAGTCATGCTTATTTGTAATTAAAATTAATTATGTTTATAACAAAGAACAATAAAAGACGACGATTCTATTTCGACTTCTAAATATTTAAAACAAAGTAAAACTAATTTCAAAAGTTTGAAGGATGATCTTTTGGATTGTCAGCTAGATTTTTACATAAAAACACGAATTTCTAATATTTCATTATTATACTTATTAAAGACATTTGACGGAAAACGTCTATGACAATATTTATGCTTTATAAATGCTTTCAAAAAAGATTTTTTTAGTTATGTTTTAAACTTGGAATTAGTTTGTTTTTAAAGTTGATACGAAGAAGTGCAAAGAACAATTGATTTAGTCAGTCTGGCGATTTACATTATGAGAAGAAAAATATTTCCCTTCAGCCCTTTAAATATTTTTTTTACTTATTTATTTATTTAAATTTAATATAAAATGAAATGGAACTGAAATTTCATGTCAATCATGTTGGGGGAATAGAAAATGTTTGACAGCTTTTCGTCATTTTACTTTATCAATTTTCCACTCACGATAAATTTTCTTTCTTCAACATTCAATTCTGTTTCCTTGGCTGCTTCATCACATCTTTCTTTGAACTTCGTTCACTTATTGCTCAAATGATTACCTGGAATCGTTTCTAAACATTTCACGGCATGATTTTTATCCAGAACATAAACTTAAATATGTTTCAATTCCCTCATTATCGTAAAAAGATTAATTAGGTGTAGATTTGGAAAATAATCAGAATACTTAACACCGAACAGATTAAACACAACAACACGGGCAGAATCACAACAAATCTGATTGATCTGAAATGTAAATTCGAGTTTTTTTTTTGAAAAAAGAAAACAGGGAGAAGATTGAGAAGAGAAAGAAAGAAAAATAAATGTTTTCCAATCGTACGATTCAACTTTGAGTGATAAATATAAAAAATAATTAACTAAACGCTATCTTAACTTAAAAATTGATTTTTCATTGTCAATACCTCCACTGCCCATGTGCCGGATGTCAAAGGTCAGCCATCTCAAGATCCAATTGATCAACTGAATTTGGATTGCTTTGAAATAAAGTAGTGCTATCTTGCGATGCTGGAATCTTCGTCGCTCCATCACTTCGATTCTTTGACTTGCCTGTTAGCCAAAAAAATACTGGGATTCGTCCAATATTGTTCGTGATAAGGAAATGATTAATGAATTTTCAAACTAAAGAGAAAACATAAATGCTTCGAGTGGTGCAAAGATGAGAGTAAAATGCGTGCAAGAAATAACAAAATCATGTAGAAGGAAAACAACTCATAATTGTTCATTAAAAAAGAATTAAAATGAGTAAGAAAAAAAAGACAAAAAAAGATGACAATGTTTCATCAAGCCAGCATGCAATGCAAAGCTTTTCAAAAACAAGAAACTTTCTTCTTTCATTACTGAGTAATTAATTTGATGGCATTTCAATCTCACTTGCCCGGAAAAATGATTCATTTTTGACTCACCACCTGAAAAGCACAAACAACCACCATTGTCATTCTGACAATTCTTCTTGTTCATGTTCATTTCAAGCTTCTGTTCCTTCATACAACGCTGATAGTAATCATAATCTTTCAGATACCAAACTGGCGGCCAACGATTTTCTCGTAAATATTCTTGATTGTCTGGATGAAGTTGTTTCAAAGATTTCGGAGAATGACGACAAATGCTGTTGTAATTGACACATAAATAAGACATGCACCACTCAGCGAGTTGATGGGCATTGTGAAGCTAGAAATTTAAATCAAAAAGAAATTTCATTTCGATTGTCTTGTCATGAACTTCATAAAATAAAAATTCTCACCTTTACTGGCTCTAATAATTTCAAACAAAGCTCAACAGCTTCGCTTGTTTCACTTTGTGATATCTTTGTTAAGTTCTCAATGACACGACATTCAATTAGATTTAAAAGTCTCGGCAAACATAATCGATTTGCAAGCTCTAAAAGATTTAAACATTTATCGGCAGAAACTGGTGGAATTTCATCGGTGTAGAGATAACACAAAAGTTTATGGAATGTGTACTCAGTCACGCCAGGCAAACAAATCTAATTAGAATTAAAATTTGTGATTAATTTAATTTACAAATAAATCTTTCTCTCACTGTATGTGCATGAGCTTCACGAAAGTCGCCATTCAACATCGCACGCATCACTTCGCATCGCGCTACTAAAATTGCTCGATGGGCACGCACTCGTCCATCATCTAATTCGAATGTTATATCAGCATACATTCCATTATCAACACAATATTTTTCTAAATTTTGCTTCATACACTAAAAATATGTGAAAAACAAAGAAAATTCAAAAATGGATTAAGATTAAGCATTTAACTCCGATTAGATTTTAATCTTGATTAAAACTTAAGTGAGATTAAATTTAATCCTTACCGTCGTGTAATGTTGGATTGTTTCATCATTCATAAAACTTTCATTGGACTGAGTGTTGGACAATAGAACCATGAGTTGAGGAAGTTCCAAAAACTCAGCTGCTTGTCGCACTTCCTATCAACAATGAAATCACACTTGAATTATCATCGGCAATATCACGAGAGAATTCACGAAGATAATTGAACAAAATCACGCAAAACAAAAATCAAAGAATTAAATAAAAAAAGATTTTTTCCGTATAAACTTTGCTACCTAGATAATTATCTAAGAAAAACTATTCTATTTATTGTTGTGAGTATCATGATTTACTCAACAAACTCCTTGTCATATTCGTGACATTAAAACATAAGCTTTGTGTATTTATCATTATTTACCAGCAAAATTCCTATCGAAGCGGTCTGCTTTTCACCCATAGAAAAATAAGGAAAAGAAAAGTTTGGTAAAGAATAAATAAACTCATAAAAATCGCACTCATAGATTGAAAACTAAAAGCAGTAAATGACATGTAAAAGAGAATAAACGACCAAATGATTGTTGGTAGCAAATCAAAGTCTTCAACTTGTTGATTTTTGTCGTTATGTCGTTAAACGACAAGGATGAGCGAGGAAAATGTAAATGGAAATTTGAAATGGAAATTGTCGATGATTTTTCATTCTTCTACTTGTGGTTTGCCTTTTCTATTATTGTTTTGATAAATGATGAAATTTATTTAACAAATAATAACAAATTTCTATCTTACGCAATTAATGATTCAAAGCTTAATGAAAAATTTGTTATGGTAATCATAAACATAATTTACCTCAAGTTGAAGATATTCAGGCTCAATTGTACCCGTATAAATGAACATAAGACATTGTTGCATTGCTTTTGCAGTTATCACTTTACTCAATGAGACAATTGTTTGGTTTTGAATAATACTATTACGTTCTTCGTCAACCTGAATAAAAATCATTAGTCAGAATAATCAGTTAACATATTTAAATGGTACAATTTACACACCTGAACGACTCGAATATTATGAAAAACAGGATGATGCAAATCACGATAAACATCTTTCTTTGGCTCTATCGTTGGCAATGCTTGATAACTTGATCGCCTCTTTAATTGTTCCCACATTCTGTGAAATAAAGAAATTACCATTCATCATTTAAATTAAAAAAAACTTCAAAAGCTACAAATCTAAATGAGAAGTAAAATATTAAATACAACATTTGCCTTGTAGTGTACCTTACAGCTGGTTTCTGATCATTTCTTATCAGATATTCGGTATCGTCATTGAAATCAGTGCTTGATTCACCAAATGTCGAGCTTACCATACTCGATTCACTTGAGCTTCTCGCTCCCATATCGGATGTTAAATCCATGCTTAATAATCTATAATTAAATTTAAACATTGCGTTTAAAGCAAAAATTGCGTAAAGATTGTCATCTTACCTATGAAATGCATTTGAATTACTAGCTAACATAAATCTATGAACAGCGAAACGAATATTTCCCGCAACGAGAACGAGATCGGTATAACATTGAGCATGAAGCATGTTAAGCATATCTTTTGGATGGCTTCCAGTAAGAACAGACACTTCCGGTGGTGTTGGCTTTGGTGGTCGGAATGGTAGTTGCAGAAATGGACGTTGAACTCGCTTCAACTGATTGAAAGGGAAAAAATGAAAAGAATTTCTCAAATATTTTCAATTTCATCGGTGACTTACATTCGTCATCCAAAATCTTTGCTGTCGGCGAGCAATTAGCGCCGCTCTGATTGCATTCTCAAACACTTCATTAACACCAAAATATGTGAAAACGCTCGTTTCATAATATACGATACCAAGCTCTTTAGCAACGGCTCGTGCTTCATCTGGCATCACCAAATCACTTTTTCGTGCAGCACGCACAAATGGACTTCGATCACCAAAGTATGATAAATAAGTTTCATCACGATACATGTAGCGCAAATCGTTTTTACAGCCGACAAGAATGACCGGTGTTTGCGGGCAAAATCGTCCTAAATGAAAAGTTTTTAACTTACGAAAGAAATGAAGGAAAAAGTTGTTCAACTCACGAATCTCAGGATACCACATCAACCGACAATTTCTCAATGATATTGGATTTGTGATGGAGAAGCAGAGAAGTACAACATCGGATCGGCCATAAGCGAATCTTCTGTCTTTCTCATGGTCACCAAATGTGTCCCATAAACGAAGCGAAACATTGACTGAATCTACAACTTCCCAAGATCTCTCGAGAACGTCTTTGTAAATTCGATATTGATCGATGGCCCAAACAGTCGGCACATGAGTTGATAATAACTGTGATAACGACACATGCTTATTGCAAGCTCTCGCGCAAATCAATCGCGTTTTTCCAACAGCAGTATCTCCGACGAGTACACATTTTACGAGTTCTTGATGGGGCTGTTCGTTGTCCATGTTGCCATAACCGTTGCTGCCTTATCGATTCTACGATCTATTGGGATTTCCAATAAATGAAAGAAGAAGTGAACAAAGAAAGTGAAACAATTTTCTTTTCGCTACTTTTAAAAGTCAGATAATAAAATTTATTGTCAGTTGAATGCTCTCGGAATTGGAAATGTCTCAAAACAAAAAAGAAAACATTTCTCCTTTATAAAATCAATTCCCTCAATAAAAATCTTTCGTTGATATCGGAATTCAATTGAATTGCTATAAATATTCTTCCTCATAAAATTTATGTAAATAAAGAGAAAGATCCGGTAAACGCAATTATGTTTACATTTTGGAAGAATATCATCAGCTCATGAATGTGAGGAAAGATTTTTTTCTGTTGAGTTTTTAAGGAATTTTGTAAATATTATTTAGATTTCACTAACAAGGTGATTGATTTTGTTTAAAGTTTAAAAAGTGAAGATTAAAGAAAGAATTTCATTGGAATTCATGCTTTATTATATCTTCCGAGATTCAGAAAGAAAGAAAATTCCTTTCATGAAAGAATCCAACAGAAAAGTTAATTAACTTGAAAGTAGAAAGTCATTTACCCTTACAATATAAATGAATTCATTTACAAAACATAACACTTATTTTAAGGGTGTTTGCCTTCAAATAATAATAAAAAAAGTCACAAGATTTACTACAAACCATGAATGCGAAATTAAATGTAAAGGAAAATCAAGAAAATGTGCCAAATTACAACACAAAATGTCAAGGCGATGAGAGAGATGAAGAAAGATTAATCATTTCCGCGAGCGCACTTCTTGTACATGTGTCAGTTGTGTGTGAAAAACTTTTTTTTGTTTACCTACTAAATCTTTGATGTTTGTTTGTATATTTATTTAGTTTTATTCAAAATGGTAAATTAGCATAAGATTTGCATGCAAAAATAAATGACGCAGTTTGAAATCTTTTCGACTTTTATTCGCTCGGATATTTATTTCATTGGGAAAACTTTTCTTTATCATCTTACACATGAACGATTATTTTCCGGCCTGGATAAAATGAATGAATTAATAAATCACACAAAAAATATTAAACATAAACCAGCTGATGTTTTGTTTTTTAACAATACGAATGAATCATTTTTGTTTTCTTTTTTATTAACACTAGGTAAACACTCGTGTTCATAAAAAAAAATATTAAATGAGAAGTCGAATCGATTTTTTGAAGCTTTTTCTTTTCAATAGTGATCTGCGCAAAAAAAGAGCTTTCTTGTTACGAAATAGAAAAGTTTTTCTTCTCGCCCACATAAACATGAGATTTTCATTCATGGCTTTGAGTTTACTAGCATAGATACGTACATAAAAACAAGCTTACGTCACATGAAAATCTTGTCGATGTTCTAAATTTATTTTCCTTCTTAAAATTCATTTATTGATTTTCATTCTTCATTCATATTTTTTTATGGCGTGTGGGTGGAAAATCAAATGATTTTCCTTTGAAGATCTTGGAATTATTCGCTTGTTAACGATTTCTAAGTGGAAAAAATAAAATGGTTGAAAACATTCTGCTAACGATTGATATTAAACAGAAGCCCACAAACTCATTTATAATCATGTCTGCTCTTGACTTTCGTGTTGAAATAATTAGTCCCTTAATAACCTTAATCAACCTTAGTCGAGCTTTGGCTCGCGGTTAAACTTCCGCTTTTCTGAATGAAAATTTTTCATTCACAAAAACGAAAATGCTCGATTTTCATTCATGCGAATACTTATGGGCGTCACATTTTCTCTTGCTTTTATTCATTGCTGATGAAACTGGCAGGTGGTAGTTGTTAGGATGACTAAACGGTAATTTTTTTTAATTTAACGACATTACCTAAATCACAGCGTAACCAACCCTCGTCATCAAAAGCTTTTGTTTTTCTTTGTAATGACAAAATCGCAAATATGCATAATTTGACCAAAAAACAGAAATTACGTTCATTTATTTTATTGTTCTAAAAATCTATTCCATGGATATGGAACATTTATCGATTTATGATTATCAAATAGTTAATTATTTGACTCAACATAGCTTTGACTTAGATTAACTTGAACAAAGCATTGATAAGAGAATCAATAATAATTAAGGATTAAATGTACGTATAAAAAAGCAAATGCTTAATGACAGGTGTGGCAGATTATTTTGAAACGCTTCGAATTGAGAGCTCTTTAGCCACACACAATTTGTCATTGTCGAAATAACGAGAATGGAATGCTTGCATTTAAAACGTCAAACTATTCAATCAGAGTTCTAAATGAAAACATTTAAGAAATGAATTATCAAAAAAATGAAATAATTCAACCTTATTACTTAAGGTCATTTCCAAGGCAAACTGAAAATGAAGCGTAGGCGAGTGGCTTAAAAATTCACACGTGCTGTCGCTATCAGCATTTTTGAGTTATTTGTCGAAAACCCGAAAATGCTTTAAGAAGTAAATTTTTATTGTATTATGAATGCGAGAGGAGCTAATAATAGAATCTGTTTGCTTTCGTGTTGCGATAAATATATACGGAAAGACGATAAAAGCAGCATACCGCACAGCAATCAGTAAAGCAAGCGATATTCAACCGGCTCTCTGAATAAATACACAACAAAAGCAAACTTAACTCGCAAACAAAACTATTTTTTTCTCGTCTTCATAACAATGCCAAAGAATATTATTTTCTTAGTATCGACCATAATTTTATCACAACAAAGCAAATATCTTTCCACAACCAGACACTATTCTAAATTGTGATAAGATTGCAAATCGTGTTAGAACTAACAAAGGAATTAATTTACATCAAAATAACATTTGTCGTTGCTGCTGTTTCTTTTTTTTTGCGACGCGAATATTTAGAGCGATGATCTCCATCGCAGCTTGCGTTTTGATGTTTCGCATTTGTGTTTGTCTTTAATTTTCATTCAATCACGCTAATTGAAGCGATAGCAAATTTAATATGTCGCGTTTACTGAAATAAGCGTAATATAAACAGTACTTGAAATATCAACTGGTTATGAATTGAAGATCAAAAATGAAATAAACTTAAGTGGATTACTTGAGTATTAAAGTGTCTCGTGTTTATCTTTTTAGATATCTCTTCACGAAGAAAGATTAAAAAAGTTCATCCAACTTTGTTTGTGTTGTGCACTTTCCCACTTCCTAATTACTAAGCAAACTTTTAAAGTTACCCAAGCTAAGAATCTTAAGTGCATGCATAACAAACAAATAAAGACAGAATGAATTTGTGCTTCTCTCTCTCTCTCTTAAAAATGATTTCATTCACGTTAAGGCGTCTTAATAATCTGTCTGATGAATTCCAAGTGAAAAGGTCAAACATACTTCATTCCTTTCTTTTCATCTCCATAAATCAAATCATCAATCTCAAGTATTTCCAAAGTGATAACAATAATTTAATTTTTTATAATTCCTAAATTGATCGATAAACTTCCCACAAAATTATTTTTTCCCTTTTTTATTTTAAAAGCTTTTTTAAAACGTCAGTCATTCAAAAGCACTTGTAGGAAAACAATGAAATTCCAGCCACTTGAGGGTAAACGAAGGAAGAACAAGCGAATGAATGAATAAATATAGATGCCAAAAAAAGACGAGCAAGTGATGTTTCTTTTCCGTTCCATTGTGTTTCATCAAGAAATGTTTCAATCATTCAACGAATGTAATGTCATTTGATATTGTAACAACAACAAAAGATGCGATAAAAAATGAAATAAAGAATAAAAGGCAAGCAAGCTAGCTGGTAGAATTGCGTTCCAAGATATCACGATTCCTTTTCTTTAGTGAAAAACTTTGAAAGCGAATGACGAAAATAGAAGTTTTTCTTTTATATTTTATTTGTGGAGACCACGAAATCATAATAAACGAGCTGAGAATGAAATTTTATTGAAAAATGTTATGGCAAAAACCAGAACTTAATTTCTCCCATCTACTTCACCACCCTCGGGGTTTTCCTTTAAAGCCAACGATGTTATTAACCTTAAGAGGCGCTTACAAGCTTTTTTATTGGCCTATAATTTGCGAATTTCTTTATGGAACGTAAATCACATGGATTCATTTCCACCAGGAATTTTTCATCAATTATTTTCTTTCAAGCTGATACAGAATTGCTTTCAATTTAGATTGCGGAAAGAAATCATAAATCGTTTTGAGAAAAACTTGAGGAAAACAAAATATTTATAGCAGTTTATGTTATCTCTTTGGAACAATTCGAGGTTCTCATCATGTGTAAAATTGTCAAAAAGATAAAACGATAAAAAACATCGCTTTCTTATCAAAACAAAAATAAGTTTTAAGCTATTATTTTGCGTTGTCATAAGTGAGTTATTATTTAACATTTGAACATGTGTGTCACTACTTATACGGCGTATAATACGCCATTTATTAAATTTGTCAGCTTTTCACACACAAGTTTAAATTAAACATATTTTCCTTTGTTCACGGATCAGGTTAAATATTCTTCGAATCATTTATATTCATACAAACACTTTCCTTTATTGTTATCAATTGCTTCTTTTATCTGCCTACACTTTCACTCGATTAAATTTAGTAAGGCATGCCATTTCTTATCAAATAAAGAACAACTTTCTTTCATAAGAAGTAACCTTTGATGTTCAACATCATTAGCATTCACACAACTTATTTTAATGATGGGGTAATAAGCATTCATTAAAACAACGATATTTTATTTAGTTCATAACAGAGTTCATTAAATATTTTAAAACATTGCACGACAAATGTACATAACATCGATTTTACTTCCTTCTGTAACATTTTTTGCAAGTTATCAATTCCACTTCAATCAATTTTACTGTTCTAGTCACAACCTAATTTTTTCGGCAAATAATAAAAAGAACGATGAGAACAGAGATAATTTAGAATTGACCTTCTCAATGATGACATTCTTAAATTGGAAACAAATAACAAAAAAACAACAACAAACAAAAGTTCTGACATATTCTTCGTTGTGATTGTATGATTTCATTCAACTTACACACGCAATTCTAACAGCTGATCATGTATAAAATCGTTAAATTAAAAAATGAAACTACAAAAGCAAAGAAGAATTTTACGATTTCTGAGTGTGATGTGCATTTTGAAATTAATTATCGACTTTAAACATTTCTCAATGTCTGAACAAAAGCAGAGCTTTCAAAAATATTTTAATATTTTACTTTTTTTCTCTTCATTTATTATTGTATCGGCCAAAGTTCACATGCTTCTGAAGGAATCACGAAATGTTGGCAGTTTCACTGACTATAAGTCATTATTTCAATTCCAGAAGATTCTCTCTTTTTTAATATAATTATATTTCAACAAATTTCCACATCCACTTAGATCAACAAAGAATTCCGTGACTACATATGTACGCTATTATTGAAACTATTCGCGAATCGCGATCCTCTAATTGTGTATTTTTCGTCAGTAAAATTGTCCACTGTTGTAGGCAAATTTGTTTATTTATAGACAACGTTATAAAGAACTTTTCTGAGTTCGTCGCATGTAAACAAAAAATTAGTCTTTCTTTCTTTCTTCCATTGTGTGTTGTTACTTTATAGTCTGAAGTCACTGGCTTAGGAATGTGATAGCAATTTATGAGATTGTTTACTCCGTAACAGCAAACACGAGCAAATAAGGGAGAAATAAAAATAAATAAAAAAATCTCTAGACCAATTAAAAGGAATTGATTTAGGTTGCAGGACTTCACAACTCCATTAAGATTAATTCCATAATACATTTTGTTATTCTTTATAAATAACAGCATTTCTTAGGTTTCGAATTGTGTTATTCTATAAAAACTTTGCTATATTCGTGTTGTTCCTTTAAGGCATTAATTTTTATAAAACATGTTAGTGCTGGTTTGTGAGTAGATCGACGAGAAAACAACCTCAGTAAAAGAAGTACTTTCTGTGTTATTGATTAATTTTTCTATTTTTTCTACAGCTAAGATTTGCTTGTCAGAATAAATTTTCTATCGACTTTATGTTCTAACAGACCAGCTTACACCTCTACTTCAATCATTTTACACACTCACCTATGTTTGCTATCAATTTAGTGCAATTAAATCCAATTTGACGATCGTTTACTGTAGATTTCCTTTCCAGTAATATATTTTTCCTTTTTCCTTTCTTTTGTTCCTTTCGTCGATAGAAAAAATTTTTTAGTCGCACTTTATGATTTTCTTAAAGTTTTCACTTTTTAGTGTTGAAAAGAACAACTAGAAGACTGAATTGTGAAATTTTATCTTAAGTTTTTTCTTTTCCGGTGATTTAAGTTTGAAGTTGAACATTAAACTGAAGTCTGATTTTTTTTGCGAAGTCTTTTCTCTCGATTTCTTCTTTGAAAAACTACAACGAGATGATACGTTTTATGAACAGTTTCTGAATTGAAATAACATGAAGTAATTTTATAAACACATATTTTTGTTTTGATTTGCCGATTTTTGCAAAATTTTTAATAGAAAGATTCTCTGATCAATTATTATGATGAAAAACATTATTTCAGTGACTTCAAACTTTTCCGAACTATCTTTGACAATTGACACTGTATACTTTTTCTATAAATTAAAGTTTTAATAAACTTGTTCAGGTTCGAGGTGAGTTTATGAATGATTTTTGTCAATGATGAATGGAAATAGAATTCTAATTCCAATTTTCATTTTTCCCTCGATCTGAACAACTGAGAAAATGTTTCATGCCTTGAAAGCTGCTAAGCGACACAACAAGCGAGAATAATTTTTCTGTTCTCGTAGAAGTGACAAGTGAAAATATAAGGAGAGAGCGTTGGCTGCTTTCAGTAACATTTTGCTTACTCTTCCAAGAACACGTAAATTTGAAAGAATCCGTCACATTTTTTTTCAATGAAAAAAAACTAAAAATGAATCTAGAAAAGTTAATTTGATAAATCTCCCTCAGTCACCATCGTCAGTGAGAGTGTTCTGTGCAGTGTGTGAATCAGTAATCAAGTGTGTGAACTTATAATTTCATTAATTATATTTTCCCTTCAATCGTCAATTTTTTTCCGACCAAATTTCTACGTCAAATATTGAAACAAACGAGAGAAAATTTTATTTTCTCATATAAATTGAACGCAAAAAAGGAAATCCCGCAAATTTTTCATCAGAAACTTCATCAAATGAAACCAATAAAATCGAATTTAATGGAGCCGGACAATCCACGAGTTTATCGCTTGGTGCTTACAGGAGGTAATAATTTATTTAACTTCCAAAAAAGTTGAAAGAAAAGAAACGCGTTTGTTCTACCAAAATTAATGTTTAGGAAAAGTCACGCGTTTTTCTTAGTCATTTTATTTTTAGAAATACCCTGTTATTGTTGCTCTCTTTCTCATGTCGCTTTCCGCTGTTGTCAAAAAATTCTGTCTCATCTGCAAACAATTCCATGTGGTTTTTAACTTTTTCTTACTATTTTTGTACATTGCAAGTAGCGTTTGAATGCTCTCTAACATCTGGACTCTCACTTAAAAGTTTACTTCCTTATTTGATTAGATAATAAAAGTATAGAGAAGAAATTCATTGATTACTTCTTGATCTTTGTGTGAATTAAAAGCAAATTCTTAATTCTCAGTCTTACAATTTCGACACAAAGAATCAATTTCTGACATAAGTTTCACTATCGTGTTGTCACCAGTTTTTTTTGTATAAAACCATCACTGTGAGAGTTGCGATAAGAAAGCGCCGAAAAATATTTTTAAGTGTTATCAGTTAAATAATATTTTCGTAATAAATAATGCAAAACGATGTTCTATCAGTGATGAAGTATAAATTTTTATTTGTTGCAATTCCAAGGTCCCTGCGGAGGAAAAACTACCGGTCAAGCTCGTTTATGCACCTTTTTTGAAAATCTCGGATGGAAGGTAATTGAACCTCATAAAAATTGCACGATACGAAACTAGCTAACCTTTATCAAATTATTACTCATCAGGTGTATCGTGTTCCAGAAACCGCCACAGTTCTGCTTAGGTAAGTTAAATATTTCTAACCAAATCAAAGAAAGCTGAGCATTGACGAAACTCAGATTTCGCTGATGAGAAAAATCTAAAAGATTAAACGAAGATATTTTCTTTTCAAATCATTACATCATCAGTGGTGGAATAAAGTTTTCTGATCTATCAAACGATGAAAGTGAGTATAATTGATAATATTTATGAATAACGATTCATCATATTATTGAACTTGATAAGCTACTAACAAGCCTTCAACAAATCACTTTGAACGAAAGTATTGTGCTTGTTATGCGTAATTTCTAAAGAATAATCATTTGTAAATTCCCTCAGCTTTAGTTTGTAGTTTGCCGAGGAATATTAGACAAAAAAAGAAATAAGCATAAATTATTTATAATATCTCCTCAACATAAATCATAAATCATTATTAAATTACCTACTTAGTTATCTTAAGAAATCTATCAACATCATTCCAAATGAAATTGATCAGCTTGAGTGGTCATTGGAAAGACTGAAAATGATGACTCATCAAGCTTTCTTTTAAGCGGTTATAAGAAAAGAAAATCTCGCGACAGTAAAACTTGTGTTATGACTGCTTGCGATAACAAGAAGTGTTGTGTCTTTAAGATAAATAATTTAGCACGATCTTTAGTCAACAAACGCTGGTTTTATTGTAACAACACAGCGATAGCAATCTGTAGAACTTAATTTAAGATTGTTTTTTTTTCTTATATCTTTGACAAATTGAATCATCGTCGTATAATTTCACGATTGTCACGAGTTTATTCTGTAATTGGTGCAATTATTCATATTTTCTCGTAAATCTTTCTCATGATCATTTCGCAATCGCTTCTCAAAATTAATCATTATTTGAAATTTAAGTTAGAGAACTTTTACTGAAAAGAAAATCTTTGGCGAGGTTCCGGAGGGTCGTGAAAAATCAGCAGACTTTGATCACTTGTAGGCTATTGCAGAACAGAATTAAATATAGTAGAGGAAAATAAATAACAATCGCAATAATCTATCGTCGTAAATTTATTTCGGAAAATACAAACAAACCACCTACGCTTCAATTCTGTATTTCACTCATTAACTTTCGGTAAAATCACATGTTTCAGCTGTCGATCTTTGTTTCTCTTCATTTTATATTTCTACGCAAGAACAAAAATATTCGTCGCGTCATGACGAAGGAGCTGAGATAAATATTTAACACACCTCCGAAACAACTAAAGCCTCGTGAGTTTGAAATTAAAATGAATGTTTGGAATTGCGTGTACAAATTTGAGAACTAAATGAGAATAGATCAATTTATCAATAAAGATTGAATTTAATTTCCTTGCAATTCCTTAAAATGCTTCAAATGTGTGGCAGTCACATGTTGACGTTTTTCATCGCAATATTCACTTCCCAACGTTTATCGGTTTTCTCTTCAAAATTCATTGAAATGATTATTGCCACGTTTATGGTTTCACGCCTCGGTTAGAATTTCTCATCTTTTTACACTAATTGGATATTTATGTTTCATCCTGTTGTTAAGAATCAGAGATATTTTAAGAATTCTTTGTTTCTTTTATCGACCACACGATAATAAAATAAAAGAATTTTCTTTCAATTTCCCATATTTTTACGTTTTAAAATGCTGAGTCGACATTTCTTTAAAAGAAAGTTCTATCAAACGACCTTCAAAAGGTTTTTGCCTTCTCTTTATTGACTTACTGCATCGATTATGCGATCAATGTCCCAACGCGAAGTATTTCGAGCCACGTTAGATTTTTACTATATAATATTTGTCTCGTGGCCAACTACTTGATAGCGTGCACGATAATAATTAAATTAAACGGAAGAGCTAACTCATATCTTGGGATCTTGTCAATTCACAAAGAAAGTTATTAAAAATTCATTACTAAATCAATGAAAAATAGCAAAAAGAGACATTCAAAGGATTGATAAAACGCCAAGGAAAATAAAATTAAAAAAAGAAAGAAAAAGATAAAAGACGCGATGATGAAGCTTTAGTAAAATTTTAACAAGACTTGATGAAATTTCAAATTTCTGTTTATTGCTGGCAAAAAACATCTTGTCGTTTGTGAGAAATTGACTTTTAAATGATTCGCCAAAAATTATCTTTCTTCTTTAACTAAATATAATTGACTAGAAAACATCTCCAGACAATTTCCCTACGATGACTACTAAGAATATAATTTTGACCTCAATCTGACCAACAACACTTTATTTATTTATTATTTAGCTCACGATTCTGATGAAATAGTTAGAACCGTCCAAATTTTAATTACTTACGAAACCGAATCTTTTAATGCTTCATTAAGAAGACCTTAAAAATATATCTTAAAGCATGGCACAATGTTTCAATGTCTTTTTCATTTCCCCAAATTACATTTTTTCCAAAGGAAAATAAGACCGAATTCTAATTAGAATGAGTCTTTTCCGCTTTGACATGAATAAAATTAACTTTATTTACTTAACAACAGTTTTTGTTGATTTTACGTTTGTTCATTTTAATTGCTTGCTTGCTTGACGTCTTAGTATCAGTCATGACTTGTGAAACAGTTAAGAAAATGAAGTAAAACATGAAGAAATGTTTATGACGATAAATCATGCAATTGAATGAGTAATTAATTTATCAGATTAATTGGTTCGTTAACTGTTCAACGCCGCTCAATGCGGAGGAAACAATTTTCATTAATTTTTTAATTACAATTTAGTCACAAAAATTGTTTTTGTAAACAAGAAAATTGAATTTTTACGAATAATTTCCTGACTTAATTGATAATTCGTTTCCTTTTTCTCAATTCTTTAAACAATATTGAACAGCTGCCAACAATTGTGTAAATTTAAGATAAAAGTTCGACAATTGAAGATCACAAAAAATAAGTTAAATGTTGCGAGATGAAAATGAATTTCAAAGTAGATATTACATTTTCATAGGCATTAAGCTGTTCTCTAAAAGTGAAATTAATATCAAAAATTGTCTGTTACTGAGCCTGCTTATCTGAAATTGTAAACGATAACCAGATACATGTCACGTAATTTTGATACATAAACATTGGTAACCAAAATTTGTTATGATTCATTGTCTAATTATTCTCATAAATGTCGTAAAAATGAGAAATTCTTACAAACAGTCGCGACTTTAAATAAATAAACAAAAATGGAAATTGATATATTTAAACTTACCATAACTTATTGTTATGTCTATTTAGCTGCTTAGTGACCGATGACATTGTTTCTTTGCTTCTTCATTCCTTCCACGAGGAAATCAATGTTCTTAAAACAAAACTTTAAGTACGAACATCGACGAATCAACATAATAATAATCCTTGAATTTCATTTAATCCTTGCTTTGCTTCCCTTTTTAATTCCTTTCTAAACATCTTTTAATCCTTTTATTATTTGAACAAATTCTTCTCAATTCCGCTACACAAATTGTTGTGAAATTTTTGAAAATCGCCCAAGAGCAAATGAGCGAAATAGTTTTGTACAAAATGTTCTTGCTTAAGTATTGCCTTTTTAATAATTTCAAATCTGATGTAGTCATCTCACTAATCTATAACTTATGTAGCTACATAAACCATGATTCATGACTAGTTTGGATATGTTTCGATTACAACATTGATTAAAAATTAAATAATAAAAATAATGTTTTAGAATTACGCAAGGGTAAAATATTAGATCTAACATCATTCAAAGACAATGTGCCCGAACACAGCGTTGACTTACATGCTGCATGTGTACGTTGTTTGGCGGTTGAGGCCTCAAAGCCCGGTGCCACTGATGGTGAGTTAGACTCAGTTTTTAATGTACGCGAATTAATGTAAATTTGTTTATTTCTTAGATAAGAAAAAAAGATTTTTATCGCGTCTTACATTTTCCTTCTCATATTCTATTTTCAATCGAGTAAAATATTCAATGTGAATAATCTTTAATCACATGACTCATCATGGAATGTTGTTAACGCCATTCATTCATACAATTATCGCGAGTTAGTGAGATTGCAAAAAATTCTTATATGAAAGAAAACTGGCAACAGACATACATGCGTTAGTTGAGTAAAATCACTAACAATAACACAAAAAATAGAAATTTAAGCTTTTGTATTTCCCTTTGGCTGCTGTCTAATATCCTAATAAACTGATTTTTCATTCACATTTCGCCAGCCACTTGTATCGTTGTAAAAATAGTTGAACAACGATTAACATCCCACACTCTTCGCTTTTGTATTTATAACAACGATTAATTAAGTTTTATTTTTCTTCTCTTTTGCTGATCTATGATATCGAATCTTTCTTGTGAAGCCAAAAGAATTCCCGCAAAATAAAATTCGCTTTTTTATTTGGCAAACGAAACATTGGATAAACGTGAATCAAACTGAATTACTTACGTATTCTTGGCACAATATGCGTAACCATTGATTAAATTAAAAACACTTCTCTCAAGGGCAGTTGCGAGCATTAAATAAAATGTGAAGCACGAAAATGAAGTAGGAAAAGAATTAAATGATAACATGAGAATAAAAAAATGTTTTCTTACATGTACATGATTTTATTGCGTCGTAAGTTGATCGCATGAGTTTACATATGACGCCCTTTGAACGGTTTTCCCATTTAGAGTTCAAAAACATCACAAGATGAATCATGATTTGAGTGCATGGAGAAAAGTTAAAAACATCTTTAATAAACTTTGACGTGGTTTAGTAGAAGTTGTTTATTATTGATTTAAATTGTTGTGTCAGGAAGTAATTTTGGCAACTAATGCTTCCGCTAATGCGAGAAATAACTTCTGAAAATCGATGATAATTTAATTGTCAACAAATCTTTTATCTATTTTTATCAAACTACTGAATAAATAAGAGAAAAATCGATGAAAAGTTTCCTGTTTTGACTTTTCTTCAGTTTGTCCTCAGACAGTTCAAAGCTTCTTCTCTCTTAAAATCCGCAATAAACGATTCGGATCGAAAATCTTTCCAACCTTGACACAGATGTTTGCCCTTATGAAAAATTTTCTTCACTCACTCTCTCCATCTCTCTTCACCACTGTTCTTGTAGCTTGAAAATTTCCTCCTTGTAATTTATAGTGCAATGTTTGAACTTTTATGTACGACAGCAAAAATCTACGCCAGCACTTCAATGAAACTTTCGTTCCCTAAGCCTTCAATTAATTGAAAATAGGTGAAATTAAATATATGAGAATGAAACATCGTCTTTCAGATTAGATAAAATATAAATTGAAATGTTCAATTGTTGAGTTTTTTCCAAATACTCTTACAGAGAAATGTTTCAAATCAAGAATCTAAAAAGGTTTGCAAGGGTTAAACCTAATCTTATCTGATTGAATTGTTTGAAACCCTCACATATCTTATCTAAATTCAATGTTTCTTTTTCCATAAAAATGTTTATGTCTTCTTGATGTACAACTTTGAAGAAGGTTGAGAAAAAATATTTGCGAAAAACTCGATTTTATCTCGATGAACAAACACAGGGCGATATTCGCTTCAATTTTCTTCTTTTTCTTGCACGTGTTTGAGATAATAATAAAGAAATCTTTATAAATAACAACATGCTGCCATCATTTCTTACAATTATCGGAAAATGATTTTTATCGACTTGAAAGCAAAAATAAAAATGAGTAAAAAAACAAACAAGCTTCTGCAAAGCAACAAGTTGTGTGACTAAGAAAGAAGTTCCCGTTCATTACTTTTATTTTTATTTGCAATTAAATAAACAGTTTGTGACCTTGACATTGAGTAATTGCAGCAAGCACAGGAGGTGGCACTACAATGTTTAAAATGTCTCTGATTAAATATTTATTTCTGGATGATTCTGAGATTGTTCAGTTGTTGAACTGTGGTATTAAGAATCATCAGATAAGAAATTAATTTGATTGACAATTACAAAGCGAAATATTTGACTGAAAATAATTCTTTTCGCGGCCAAACGATGATTTTTTATTTTATTTTCTTGAACAAAAAGAAATATCAGAAAAAATAAACATTAAAGAAGCCTTGACGATTCGAGAGTCTGTTGAGTGTCTGTTTTTATTTTTGAGATATTTTCCACATTTCTATCTCTCATTATTTTTAATTCTCAGATCGCCTTCGACAGAAGACTTTTCATGCAAATAAAATTGAAATAGAGAAGAGACTTCCAAATAATTTTAATTTTTTGGCAAGCATTTTGTTAAGCGTAACGAAGAGTTTTGAAAGTTAGTAAAAGATGAATGTTTACTCAATGAATATTTCGTAGGTAGAAGAAGAAAGGCACTCGTAAAAATAATTTCACGTGGTTAGAATCATATTAAAATTCAAATTCCAATGTTCGTCAATCTATTCAATGATTTCAGTAGATTTGTAATCTTCTAGCAATCCAAACATCATCTTAACTCATGACATTCAACATATAATGTTACATCTATCACCAGCAAGCTCACTAAATAACAATAATCAGATGTTACTGTTCGCAATTATCAATACGCTTGTACTGCGCAATTTGTGATTTGTTGATGTTTTGTTTTTGTAACTAATCGAGTATGATTGAAATATTTAAGTGATAAGATAATAATTTAAGGCAGTTTGTTTATATACTCGAAATTGTAAATAAACGTTGAAATGTCACTTTCTTTAATATTACAAATTGCCAAATTATTTATGCACTTGATGTATGTTTGATGATGGATGTTGACGAATCGTTACGAGAATATGAAGACATTCAAATGTCTTGTAGCAGTAAAAATTCCATCCATACCAACATCATCATCATCGTCGTCGTCGTTGTCAATAATGTCTAAATAATTGATGAATTTATTTTCCCCAAACGCTTTTTTCCACCTACAACAGCTTACAAATTTCAAGAAAATCTTCTTCGTACGATGATTCAAATTGAAAACACATATTTTGAATTGGCCAAGTCGTGCAAAAGAAATGTTTTGGTGAGTTGTCGATTTAAGATGTAAAAAGTAAGAAAAATAATAAATTTAACTTTTTTATTCAAGATTATTTGCGATCGTGGAGTTATGGACGCATCAGCTTACATTGAAAGCGACAAATGGGAGAGAATGAAAACCAGCAACGGATGGAATGAAATTGAGATGCGCGACAATCGTTACAATCAAATTGTTCACATGGTTTCAGCTGCAAATGGTGCTGAAGAGTTTTATTCAACGGAGGTAAAAGTCGAGTAGATAAATTCTTGGAGTTCAATCTCTTAGATTGAAGATTTTTGTAGGAACATTCATGTCGTTCTGAAGGTGTCGATCATGCTCGTGATTTGGATTACAAAGCTGCAGCTGCTTGGATTGGTCATCCATACTTTGACGTCATTGATAATTCGACAGATTTTGAGACGAAAGTCAATCGAATGATTGAATGCGTATGTCAAAAGCTTAGCATCGATACCGGTGATCGCTTATTGCGAACATCGAGAAAACTCAAGTTTCTTGTTTCCGGTCCGTTACGAGACGATCTCTTTCCATCATTCCAAGATTTTAACGTTGTTCATCATTATCTTCAATCAAGTGGACAACGTGTTCAAACTCGTTTACGAAAACGTGGACAAAATGGACATTGGAGGTAAATTCTTCCATCCATTCCAGAACTGACATTGTTAATTGAATCATTTAAATTCTTAACAGTTACATTCATACAACACGAAGACCACACGTTCATGGTCAATCGATTGAAGTTAAGACCCAACTAACGTTACGTGATTACCTCAATATGCTAGCACAGAAAGACGACGCTCACTTTACCATCTTTAAGAAGCGTCGCTGCTTTTTGGTAAACAATCAATACTTTCAACTTGACATCTATCAAGAGCCTAGTCATCCACGGTAATTTAACTCTTATTTACCTCCAATGACTTCAAAACTCAATGGATTCAATTTCAGTTGTCGTGGTTTGATGTTACTCGAAACTTACACCTCACTTGAAGGTGAGCAATTGAAGAAAAGCTTACCTAAGTTCCTCAACATCGTAAATGAAGTGACAGGAGATCCATACTACTCCATGTTCAATCTTTCACTTAAAGAAGACTGGAACAACACGAAAAAGTTCTGCTACAGCTTGCACGGTGAGTTACACGTTCATGATGAACATGAAAACGGTCAACCGGCATCATCAAATAATAAAATTTGAAATTTTTTGTGTGCTAAATTAAAATTTATTTTGTGCTCGCGAACTTTTATTAAAAATGGCCAAAAATGAGATAAATGTTAATGAAAAAATGAAGTGGAACTTTAAGATGCTTAAAAATACTTAAATAGTCAACAATATTTCTTGTTGTTAGAAAGAAACCCGAAAAAATGAAGAACTTGTAGTTGTTGATAAAAATTTAATTTTTGTTTTCAAATCGTTTAAAGATTAAACAAGAAATGTTAGAAATAACGCGACCAAAAAATAACTAAACTTAGATTAGAACAGTCTGGTCTCATCACCCACGCATATTCAACAATTGTACTTACGAATTGTACTTAAATTATAAGTAAGCTTTCATTTTATTGTTTTGTGGAGCCGAGAAGAATATTATTTTCCATCTAAAAAAATTACGGGAAAAAAATTCCAGATTTATGTTATTGCTTGGCAGAAAATTGCACGACATTTTTTAAAATTTAAACCGTTAAAAATGTAAATGCGTAAAAAAATATTCTGTGAGTTAAATTTTATTAAATAACAGGGATAAGAAGTAAAAATATATTGTATTTAGCATCATAATTTGTCATCTTAAACATTATATCATGATGAACATAATTTAAATATCATAAACTTAAAAACTTACCTTAGAATTTTTAACGGTAAAAATTTCAAAATCATCATGCAATTTTCTGTATGGAATAATTTTCATGCAATAATCTGGTCGCGGAATAATTTATTCGTGGAAAAAAATATTCCTCTCGTGGAGCCTTTTAGAGCTTTTAATCAACTCGAACTTAATTTTTGTTTTTGAATCATTTTCCATTAATTAAAAATTCGTTTTTAAAGGAAAATGAAATGAGAAAAGCACGAATAAATTTTCATTGCACGTTCACAATTTCTTTTCGTTGGTTTTTCTTGAATTAAATCAATCGTCTGGGAAGTGGATTTGCATCGCTTTTATTCTGTAGATGTTTTCAATAGACTTAAATAAAAGCTAACCACATCATTAATTTTTTGTTTTCTTTTTTCTTTCTTCCCATTTTTTATCGTTTGATTTTCTTTTCTCATTGTAGATTTAGATGATGGCGAGAGATTTAAGAAAGATTTGAATGCGCCAAAAAAGTTGGTGAATGGAAAAGCTTGATAGAAGCTGGAGGATTTTTCTTTCTTCTTATGTTTTTTAAAGGAAGAAAAGTATTCATTTTATGTTTAGAATCTTAAATCATTTTTGGGGATGTTTTTTTAATTAATGTTTCGATGAATTTTTTTTTGTTTTTCTTCGATTCTAACTTTTCTTAATTTTTTTTTGTTTTCAAAATTGAAAATTAATTTTCGTCTTAGTTAGTTTCATGTTTGTCTTAACAATTTCTGTTGATTTTGTTGAACGTTTAGAAAGATAAAAGTTGCGATTTCATTCCGACACGAAGTGTTGCTTTAATGTGATGTCAAATGTGAAGGAATAAAATCGCAATTTTAATTTACTTAATTTTTTTTAATGAAATTATTCACTTTAATCAAGGGGTTATTCACGGACGGTTGCTTGAGTCTACCATGAAATTGCTGAAAATTGCTGAAAAGTTGCTGGAGTTGCTTGAGTCGACCTTTTCGTCCGTGAATAACCCCTTGACTTTAATTATTATTTCAAATCAATCTTATACAAAAAAAGAAGTAAAAATACAAAAAAAAACTTATCATTGAAACTAAAGAAACGTTAAGTGATAAATTAAAATTGAAACATTTTAACTTGAATATTTCAACAGATTCAAATGTCAATGGAACATAAAGATGTAATAAATGAAAAGAAACAGAATTATTGGATCATATTTAATTAAAATAAATGAATGAAGAAAGAGAAGAAACATATTTTTCTAAACTCACATAATTATGTTGATCATAAATTGAATCACTTCAATAAATTAACGTGAAATAATCGATGAGAATAAAAATTAAAACCTTTTTATGTTTGACTTAAATAATTGCATTTTGCTCACATTTTAAAGTCGTCATGATCTTGAAAAATTAATCAAATGAAAAATTGTCAAAGACATTGACGCAGAAAGAATAAGAAAAAGAAAATTGAAACGCTTTAAAAAATAATTATGGACTTTGGTATCTTTTCAATACCAAGAAAAATAAGAAAAAGGAAAATATTAAACCTAAACCAACTTAATTATAAAAATATTTGATGTTTGTTGAGATTTCTTCTTTTTCTTTTTGAGAGAAAGTGAGAAGCAAAGAAACATTTTCATGAATTTATCAAATATATTTTGCATAACTAAATGATTAATTAATTAATAAATAATGATACGATTGAAAATGCCTGCAAACTGGCTTCTTAACTCATTCACATTTATTTCCTACACTCCATCGCCATACAAATTGCTAAAAATGTTTTGAAAGTTGAATGAAGAAATGAAATGCAATTCAATTGCATGATGAGAAAAGAATTGTTTATGAGAAAGGAAGACTTCCACTTAAAAAAGAAAGCTAAAATTATGTTGGTAGATGGAAGAAAGAAAATCAATTTGATGGAAAATAAATCTTGAATGTTTGAAAATCAAACAAAAACCGTCTTCGAAATGTTTTATTATGTTTTAGGATGATCATTGGTCGATTGGGGTAGAAAGGAGACCAAAATTATAAGATTAAATAGAATTTTATTTAAACACGTATTGTGTTGTTACTACAGAACATTTCAACACTTAACAACACATTGGAATGTAATATAATTGGTTCACCATTTGATGTAATCGTTTGAGATGTCCTTGTGAAGATCTATAAAGTTTTGATACACGTGATGGTCTTCGATTTTGTCTCCATATTTCTCCCTGAGCTTTTCAACCGGCCTTTCGTGAATGAGTAAACTATACCAACCTGCACTTCGAGGACCGAAGTAATCTGTGACTGGCGTATCACCAATATGCAGACATTCCGATGGCTTTAAATCTTTCAACTCACTCGATTTCATTGCGATCCGGTAAATCTCTTTGTCAGGCTTCTCAACACCTGCTTGATAAGAACTCAACACGAAATCAAAGTAATGATTCAATTTCATGTTTCTCAGCAGAACGTCAAGACGAGAATCGAAGTTACTAATGACACCGAGTTTAAAATGCGGCTCAAACTTTCCATTTTGACTTGCGTACTGTTTCTGAAGTTTCAGGTAATTCAAGAAGTCGACGGTGCCATAAGTTAACTGCCAACATGTTGATGTTTTGTATAAATCTAATAAGTAATTCGTCATGTTGCTGATCTTGTCATCTGACAATTTGTGAGCATCAAACGTGCCTAAAATAAAGTTTTTTTTATTTGAGAGTCAAAATTTCAGTTGTTTGTTTGATAATGCAAAGAGAATAACGAAATTTGAAGTTTTTCTCTTGTCTCGTCAACAAAAATCTCATTCACAACAAATTATTCCTTCTCCTTGACATATTTATTCATATTTTTGTTTTTGCTGAGAATTCTGCTGACATTTCCACGTCATAACAATCTTACCTCTTATCAATCGACGCCACCACTCCCGTTCTCCGATTTTCGTTTTAAGTCCAAAATTCGGATGAGCTCTGTTCATCTTTCTCCTATCAAAAAGCAATGAAAAAGTAAAATTTTTATTTTCAAGGTCGATTGTTTTCGTAAACTTTTTTCTAACCAATTGGCACGAAAATTAGCGACTAGATCGTGATGATCATCTTGATTTACACCGAATAAGGCTCCAATTTCGCCGTATTGCTTTCCAGGAGCTGTTCGAAACTTGATTAAAGTGTCAGTAACATCAAACGTAATCAGACGGAATCTCGATAAGCAACTCATAATGTATATAAAATGAAGGCCACAAAATAAAATAAAAATCAACAAATACAATTTAAAATCTGTCTCGCCTCTTGACTCAATGAATGTTCCCAACTAAGTGAGTCTTTGCTTTGGGAATGTGAGTGCGTCGCATTATATTGTGAGAAGTATGCTCTTCTTCTTCAAATTCTCCAGTTCGACTCACTCTTTCTGTGGTTTGCGTTTCAAAATACTCGGAGGAAGGAAAAAAAATGATAAGAAATTTACAAATTCATTTTTTCGGCGTTAGCTAAGCTTGTGAGAGAATACAAAACAGACGCGCTCCAATACTCAATCAAGTTTATATGCAAATTGAGTTTCTAAGTTCAACGATCAGAGAACGAAAATGATTCTTTGTTTCGAGTCACTTTTCTTGTTTCAATATTCTTGATAGATATTTTGTTGACATTTCCTTCTGAAAGATTTTCAATTAATTTTCAGTCAAATAAACATAAATTTTCCATCACTTTCTCTAAAGTTTTTATTTATGTAATTCTTATGCTTGCTATGTATGTAAAAAGCATAGCTATACTCTAAGCTTTTATCGTTTAATCTTGTCTATAATTAACTCTTATCAATGGCAAATCAGAAACTTTGTAACTTACATTCTACATTTGACAAAACTCGTATAAAAACAGTTTAATTAATCATCGATGTCATCTTGGTAAAGTTCTTTAAAAATTAACTTTTGTATTCGCATTCGAATGCGTAATTTTTGAGGTCCGGTAAATTGTGTCAGATACGGTTGCAAGCTCATAAGAAAATGGTAATCATCATCGTTGGATGAGTTGGGGAGATTTCCACTTGGACTCGATGCTGATGGATATTCGTCATTTGAACTAGCGCCACATCCCGTCGTTGTCACTTCGTCAGTCTTTCTTCGCTTTCCATTGAAAGGCGTTGACGACGAAGGATTCTGGAATTGTGGGTTCATGTGAGCTGGAGCTGGTGAAATTGTTGTTTGCCCTACAGCAGATCGAGCTAAAATCGAATGAACATCCATAAGATTAAGTTGAGGAATGGCACGAAGTTTTGGTGGAGGTCTTGCATTTGACTTTGAGAGGTTCTGTGGATTCGAAGGTGGTGATGGATCACGTTGTGTTTTTACAGCTGCCATCAATCTTTGGTGTAACTTTGGCGACAATTCAGGTTTTGTGTCTTCTCCTATCTCATCATCACTGGGAATCTCAATTGCTGGTTCAAATTGATGCAACAATTCATAATTCGAATCATCGTAATGACTGTTGTAGCTATTTCGAGACTTTCCCATGTTATCAGCGAGAAATAACAACGGTCGATAATATTGCCACTTAGTGCCAGTAAATTCTTCAGGCGATACCAACAGCTGATCATTTTCATCGCGTGGTATCATCTTCCATTGAATGCGAAAATTGTCTCGTAAGCCTTTCCATTTCGCTTTTATTATTTTCTCTATCAACAGAAGGAAGAGGGAAAAAATAAATAATAAATTAAAAATAAGCGAAAGAATGAATGAACGTAGTAGAACGTGGATGAGAATTAATGATTACAGGAGAGAATCTTCTCTCTTCACTCTCACAATCATTATTCTATCAATGATGATGATTGTGCATGAAGCACAATCACAAACAATGTAGAAAGAAAAGATGAAAAGTGTGTAAAACATCATCAACTTACTCGGAGCGTTATGGATCGCAGCCTGAAAGGAAGGAGAATCATATCAAATCGGGATTAAAAGTTGTTCGTGTTTTGATCGATTTTTTTTTCTTCTTTCTTTCTTATTCTATAATGGAAATATGAAGAACTCACCAATTCTTCCCAGGTATCTTCAAGGAATCCTTTGTTCTGTCGTCCGTTGAAGTTTTTATCCCAAATTGCAGGTCGTGCTGCTATGTCCGTTATCAATTTATCAACATCCAAATTAGCGAACATTGCCAATGAACTCATCTTGACAAACTTAAGATTCCTTTCTTTTCTTATTCTTCGTTTTAATCTTTGATTGGCTTTTTTCCACACGCGCGCGAAATTTATTTTTCTTTTCTTTTTACTTTACTTGATTTTGATTGAACGCAGTAAACAGTCAGCGAGAAGTTTGAAAAATTTTTGCGATTTTTTTAAGTTGATCGAGACTTGAAATTCATTTACATCGGCATAAGAAACTCTTTTATTTTTCTTTCAACAACAACGCTGCTTAGAACAACAGAAAATATGTGTAAATTCTTCTTCTTTTTTATTATATATTCTGCCGATTGCGCTTGTTTCAGTTACGTCTGTTCGGCAACGCTTAAACTTTGCGACTGAAAAAAAAAACATTCTCGGTCTCAACACAAATAAAGCGCGTCCCAAACCGAAGCGAAAACCATTTCTCAATGATGATGAAAGCAACAACAAAAACAACAACGTTCAAGTGAGGAAGGGAAGAAGAAGAAAGATTGTGAAGCCGCAGGCAAAAGTAAAAAGCCCAAAGCGATGGGTAGCGAAAATGTGTAAATGTGTAGAGCAATAAGAAGAATAAGAGCTAAGAAATAGGGAAGCATACATCCAGTTGAAGTTGCTTATTTGAGATGTGACGAGTAAAGAGTGTGAGTTTGATGCGCCGATATAATATAATTCGAGAGGGTTCTTCGCCGAATGATGTTTTAAGCCGTATTTTCCATCCTTTTCTTACTCACAGTCAAACGCTTAAAAGCATTGCATTGTACTTTTTTGTGCAAGCAACATACATTGTTGACTACGGCGACACGAATATATTTAGTGCAATATCGGCTTGAGTCAGAATGAGATGGAAGACTGTCAAGCACAATAAACAGCCTTAAATTCTTGTCTTTTGAAAAGATGTATCGTATCGTCTTTCCGACTCCCACACTTTTACAAGTTGAGGATTAAAAATTGGCAGATGTTTCGTCTTCAACTCGCTTAAGGTTTTCTTTTTCTTTCCTGTTATATTTTATTTCTTATCCACTTCTCAAAAACCGTATCCATGCACATGTGTATGACTTAGAGAGAGAAAAGTATCATCGAACGAACAAAGGATGAAAATGTATGATGATGATTTGCTGTTGTTGATGAAATGTTAGAGATGCTTTTCGTTTTCGATCGATTCTGTGAGTGGAACTGAAAATCACATTAGGCGAATGGATGGAGATGAAAGTTTGAAAGGAGATTAGGAGTTGTACATGAATTTTGTCGCAAAATATTTTTAATGTTTTATTAAATTAAACATTGATCTGAGTTTTAACATTTATTCAATATATGTTGCAACACTAAATGAAGTGCCTCAATTGATGAATGAGCCCATCAGAAAAGAACTCAACCAAAGTCTTTCCCTAAGTCCCTTTTCTTTTCATTTTCTCTTCTTTTCATCTGATGAACAAACCTGAACCCCCCTCATCATACTCGTAAAGCAATTCTCACAAAAAGGAGATGAACATAAACGAAGAAGTCTTTCAATCGAGGCATAAAATGGCAAATGTGAGTGAGAAATGTGTGAGGGTGAAAAAAAGTATCTCGAGATGAATTTATTTTTCTCCTCGTGCGCCTATCGAAGGAAAAGAAAAAAAAACTTTTCGGCAGATTTTGTTTTTAGGGGTGATTGAACTTTGCTTAATATTCTCGCGATAAGTTTGCAGATGGACATGAGAAGTCGAACAAGTTTTTTTGCGCGCTCTAAGATTAAATTTTTTTTTCTTTCGCAAAGCGCACACATGTGTCAAATTATCATAAACGAAATCAAGTTGCGAATTTAGATGAGTCGCACTCGAATAAGTTTCGTTTTTATTTAGCCTTTTCCCTCTCGTTCTAACGCTTTAAGCAAGATACGAAAAAAATATACGCGGCACGCGAAAATGCGACGATGAAGTCGGTAGGCAGCAGCTGAAACCATAGCAACGGTCAAAATTTCTCATCACCCGACACACAACGACGGAATAAGTATGAGTCGAACAGAATTTCTGTCTGCAAAACAGAACAAAAAAAAATCTCCCTCGCTTTGATTTCAAGCTTATATTTTGAGGCACGTTTCGTAGGAATGTGTTTGTGCGAAAATAATCATTACAAATTTGATGACTGTTGACAAAAGGAAAAAGAGAATTTATGCTTCATTTTGAGAGAGTTTCGTACCAACATTTATTCAAGCATATATCCATTCATACATGCATTTATTTGGCTTCAAGACTGCTATGTTTATGACATTGCAACAAATATTTTTAAATTTTAATTTTCACTAAAAATGTTGCAAATATTTCATATCCAAAAATCATAAATTTTTACTCAATCAATTTTTCTCATGCACACCTGAATTGAGTCGAAAGAAATGAACTTAAATTCGAATGATACTTCTTCTTGATGATTCAAATAAATTCAAATCTTATGCAAAAAATACGAGGCCATATCAATTTCACATTTTCTTGCACCAAATTTTGTATGGTATCGAAAAAATGTATTTGCAATTAATGCTGAGAATTAATTCTAATTTATTGGATATGAAGTAAATATCTAACTTATTGAGTTTTAACTGGTAAGTTGTAACTTAATTTCTTGTTATTAGATGAGAAGCTATAAAATATTTGAAAGGGAAAAATATGAAAACCAGCGGAAAATTTTTATTCAAATAGTACTTAACGGTTGAAAAATATTCGAAATTCACCCAGGAGACACATTTTTGCAAATTTCTCTCTTTCTCAATTTCTTTGGGATTAAGCTGATATCTGATCCCCGAAGAAAAATAATCGAATAAAAAATTCCAATTTAAGATTTAACAAAGTTCAACTTAATTAATCAATCGGTTTAGATATGGCAAGTCAAACACAAGGCATTCAACAGCTTTTAGCTGCTGAAAAACGCGCTGCAGAAAAGGTTTCCGAAGCACGAAAACGTAATTATTATTTGGAATTAAAATTTTTTCCACTCTTCATTTAACTAAAAGAAAATTTGTTTTATCCACATTATAGGTAAGCAAAAACGTCTTAAACAAGCCAAGGAAGAAGCTCAAGATGAAATTGAAAAATACAGACAAGAACGTGAACGTCAGTTTAAGGAATTCGAAGCTAAAGTAAGTGTTCAATGTTTTTAATAATCGATAAAAACTTCTTTTCAAAGTGTAAGTACATTTAAGAATGGATCCCATGACTCACCTAATTAAAGCTAATCACGACATTTTCAATTTAAATTTTACTTAACAACAAACTGAGAGAATGTCTCGTGATGTGATTGAAATTTATTACTCAATATTGAGCTGTAAATCGCACTTAAACTTTTTTATTGAAGGTCATTGTGGTAAACTTGATTGGAATTGTAATTGATTAATTTTAGCACATGGGATCCCGTGAAGGAGTTGCAGCAAAGATCGATGCTGATACAGTGCAGAAAATTGAAAAGATGAATCGTGATATTCAGAGCAACAAGAATCCAATCATTCAAGAGGTTTTGGGACTTGCTTACGACATCAAGCCCGAAGTTCATAAGAATTTCTTGTTGAAGCTGAATGCCTCAAAATAAACATTTACATTCGAAGGTTTAATCCAATGTAAGATAAATGTTTCACTATTTAATTCATATTTTATAACAGTTTTTTTATTTCAGGTGTTGCAATATATTGCTTGTTATTCCAAACCGATGTGTAAGAATATTTAATCCCCACTATCTAGAATCATCTTTAAGATTCATACAGACAATTCATAGAAAATCTTCGGTATTTACCAATAATTATTACAATCTCTATTCATGACATTTAATTCGAATTTCTTTCTCGTAAGTTGAATTTATTAAATTTATTTTGTTTTTCTTTTCTACAATTTGCCACAAAATTATTTTTAAAAGAGAACTTAAATTTAAAATTTCTTGATTTTCTTGAAGAAAACAACATTTCTGGTTCAACTTTGTCTTTAGATGTATGTAATAAACATAAATTTTAGGCTTAGTCTATCCATAATATGTGTCATTATAAAAAGATGAAATAAAGTTATATTAATGGTTGAGTTAATCTTAAAGGTGAAAACATTTTCATAACTTATTTATTTTGGATCATTAATTTTGATCGACTTCATCAATTTGAACGTTTCATGAGTTGTTGTCAGCAATGCCAATTCTCTATATCTTACTGGTTCACGTTTCGTTCCCGTAAAATCAGAGAAAGTCGTCAAATCTCTTGGACATTCACCTAAGAAGTCATCAGTGTCTACAAACCAAGTCCAAACTCCACCAAGATTGTTCTCAAACGCATATTTCACTTTGTTTGCAACTGATCGAGGTGAATCATAAATAACAACATGAGTCAAATTATTTTTAACAAACTTTCCGATAGTCTGAGATGCTAAATTGTCAAAAGTCAATTCCCATTGATATTCTTTCCTTAGTCTACAAATTTCATTGTAGCCTAGAAAACCATTTTCATTCACAAATGGTCCAGGAAAGTTGACATCATTTAGTGTCTTATCTCCAATGTTCCCATTAGTTGATGCGATGTAAGAACGCCCAAAGAATGGAATTCCCAATATCAACTTTTCAGATGGAATGCCATGGTAATCTCTGAAATATTTCACTCTCGAATCAATTGTTCTTTCACCTGCACCATAAATTGCAGCTGGATATTCAATCTTCTGATCCCAATAACCAGTAAAGTCAAATGTCATAATTAAAATCGCATCAGCATATTTTCCAATGCTTCTCATGTCATAAGCAGACTCAACGATATTTGCAGGTGTACGAACAAAAACACTGAGAAAAAGATTTTCTTGTTGATACACTTCGTGAATCTCTTGCAATAATAACCCAAAGTTTCTTTTATCAGAAGGAGAACCTCCACGATGTGCTGGATGTTCCCAATGAAAATGAAGGCCATCAAAGCCATATTTCTCAAGATAATTAGCTGAATTAACAGCAAATCGCTTTCGTCTGTTAACATCAGCAGCAAGTTCAGAATATTTCTTTGAACCATCAATCCAACCGCCAACAGCAAGTAAAGTCCGAAGACCGTTATGAGATTTTTTTAATGATGTGAATCGCTTGTAAAGATTCTGTCCACCATTGTCTTCCAGTTCTTGCCAAGGATTTGTCGGCTTGAGACTATCACCAGCTTCATCGAGATTTGACAATAAATAAACAGCAGTTGTGCAAAGTTCAGGTCTGAAATCATTTAAGAAAAACACGCCGTCACCTTGACGACCTTCAGCCCAACTTTCAAAAAAGCAGAAAATTTCTTTCTTTGAAATCTTTTCATCAGGATTTTGATTGGGCCGTAATGGTGACGACATGCTAACCTTTTTTGATGTCTGAAGAATCCACTCGTTAAATTTTACAACATTTGTAAAAATTGAATCATCGGAAACTTGACACTCGTTATTTTCATTTACAAATGAAGCTGAAACGATGCCTCTCAAATACCATCGTCTGTTTCGATTTCCAAAACTGACAAAAAGACCAGAACCTGAATCACCTCTACATGGGCCTGACGTTTCATCTTTACCAGCACAAAAAGTATTTAAAGAAGAGATTGCAGCAAATCGATGATTTTTCAGAAAGCAAACTTCATTTTTAACAATGGAAACTTCCAATTCCTTTGGCGTGCTCTCATGTTCAGCTTCTGATTCTGACTTTCCCCATCCAACAACAATTCCGTTGTCTTTTCTTGGCTCGTGATTTTTATCCCACAAACAAATTGGTGAAATTTTATCGGTAAAGCCAAACTGTGTCTCGAGAACAATTATTGCAATATCTGAATCATAGTTTTGTGTATAAGTTTTCCAATTTTGATGAATGATTATGTCAGATGGATAAACGGTCATGGAACCTCGTTCTAGTGGGTCAGTGAGATTGAATTTTCCGAGCTTGACTACAATTTCATTTGCTTGAAGAGGTTTGCTTGCACCTTTATCAATAATACAATGAGCTGCCTGATTTTAAACGATTAGATTATTAAAAAAATTCATTCAAACTTGAACATGACATGTCTTACCGTCACCACCATATTGTCACTAATTAAATTCCCACCACAAAAGAATTTATCACCTTTAGCCAAATATAACGCAGCCAACCAAGGCCATGCACCTCTCTCAGATTGAGTTCCATTGATAATCAACCCTGATGGCTTACCAGCAATTCCACACGACGTCTCAGTTCTTCCTGAGATTATGAAATTGCAAATTAAATAAAATATAACAAAGAACACACAAAAATACGACATGATTCAACGGAGTTTAAGTTAAAAATGAATTAGGAATTGATAGCCGACTATCTTTGTTTGATTTTTAATTATCCCCTCCAGTCGAATACAGCTGTACAGAAATTTGAGTTGTAAATGAAAGCTAATAAAAACAAGTTTGGTCGACATGAAACATTGATGAAAGATTTACAAATTGACATGAGATTATTGTTTGTGGAAACACTCAGTGTGTAGTATTAGTGAAAACCTGAAGTTATCTGAAGAATTTACCTGTTGGCATACGACGCTGTTCAACAACGTCTAAATATTCCATTCATCCTTTAATATACATTTGTGTGCTTTTTGTATGTAAACAAAAGTAAGTTCAAAAGTTATCAAGAGCTTGCGATAATTAAAATTTTGTTTATAAACATTTCTTGAAATGGGGAATTTCTAATAATAAACTTTGCAAGTCAAGTAAATTATTTTTGGATTTTCCAGAAGCTGTTCAGAAGATTCTTCTCGTTTATTTTTAAATTTTAACTCATCCCATGCGTGCTTCCTTTAATGAAATATTTTTCAGCTTAAGCTATTTGATGCTTCATAATGAGCCTTCATTATTCCAAGATTTCACAAAATTAACTGATTTTGTTTCAAAAATAATAAAATTTCATATCGGTGAACCCCAAGAAGAAGTGGAAGAACTTTTAACAATGACATCGAAAACAATTGAGATGACTGACAAAAGCGTGAGTGGAAGTGAAAGATAACAAAAGAAATTTCAACTTCACCTCACTTTTTATTTCTAAGAGAATTGAATGCAACTAGTAGCGCAACTCTTCTTGATCAGTTTGTATGTTTTAATTTTAGCGGCCAAAAATTGAAAGGAACGTGAAAATTGTTACAAAATTATCTTTTTAATTGCAAGTGAATTTAATTTATATTTTCATACAAGAAATGGTGAGTGATCAATAATAATTTTTGGGGATGTTTTAAACAATTTATCGGCCATGTTGTCAAAACTTTTAAACTTTTCATTTATCTTTTTCCCTTCATAGCGTGAAGTTATCTCTTTAAATGTTGGCCAAGCTGGTGTACAAATTGGATCAGCATGTTCGCAACTCTTTACAATCGAACATGGAATTTCGCCAGATGGAAAAATTCTTAATGAAGCGTTGATCGATGAAAACATGTTCACATTTTTTTCCGACACTAAAACAGGCAAAGTTGTTCCGCGAGTATTGTTCGTTGATCTCGAAGAAACAGTGATCGGTGAAATAAAAACTTCCGAATATCGTCATTTGTTTAATCCAAATTTCATGATAACTGGCAAGGAAGATGCTGCCAAGTAAGTTGATGAAAATGCAAAGTTTTCAGTTAAAATAATTTTTTTTTTGTTTAGCAACTACGCACGCGGTCATTACACGATTGGCCGTGAATATATCGAGCCAGTAATGGAACAAATTCAAAAACTGTCAGAAAACTGTAATGGGCTTCAGGGATTTTTGATTTACAATTCCTTTGGTGGTGGAACTGGATCAGGATTCACGTCATTAATTGCTGAGCGTTTGAGTAGTGAATTTGCGAAGAAATGTCGATTACAGTTCGCTGTTTATCCAGCACCACGAATCTCATCAGCTGTTGTTGAACCATACAATGCTGTTCTTACAACGCACAGCACATTGGATCACAGTGACTGCACATTCATGATGGACAACGAAGCGATTTATGAAATTTGTGCAAAGAAGTTGGGCGTTCCAATGCCAACTTATCGTAATCTCAATCGATTAGTGGCTCAAGTTGTATCATCAGCTACATCATCTCTTCGCTTTAAAGGCGATATGAACGTTGATTTAAATGAATTTCAAACAAATCTCGTGCCATTTCCACGAGTTCATTTTCCACTCGTCTCTTATGCGCCACTCTCATCAGCTCACAGCACATTCCATGGTTCCAACTCCATCGCTGATCTCACAAATGAAGCATTCGAAAACAACAACATTATGGTGAAATGTGATTTGGCAAGAGGAAAGTTCATGAGTTGTTGTATGCTTTATCGCGGTGACGTCGTTCCAAAAGATGTAAATGTTGCCATTTCAACGATGAAGTCAAAGAAGCACATAATGTTTGTGGATTGGTCACCAACTGGATTTAAAATTGGTATGACAATTTCAGAAAATATTTTTGAGAGAATTTTAAGTCATTTCTGTTCTCAGGAATTAATCACAGTCAACCATCCTTCGTCCCCAATGGTGATCTGATGAAGACATCGAAAGCAGTTTGCATGTTAGCAAACACGACCGCAATATCAGAAGCTTGGACACGTCTCAATGCGAAGTTTGATTTAATGTACAACAAAAGAGCTTTCATTCATTGGTAAGGAAGATCGCAAATCTTTTATTATAATTTTAATTATTTCAAATAATTTACAAAGGTATGTTGGTGAAGGAATGGAAGAAGGAGAATTCACTGAAGCGAGAGAAAATTTAGCAGCTTTGGAAAAGGATTTTGAGGAAGTTGCTGGCGAGTCGGTTGATCAAGATTACTTTGATGAGGATGAAGAATATTAAGTTTTAAAGTTGAATTGTTTCTAATCATTAATGTTTTGTGATTAGACAACTAAGAAGAAAAATTTATGATGATAAATCCGTAATAAAAAACATTTGTTGCATTATAATTGATTTCCTTTTTATTAAAGTTTATAATAAAGAGAAATAAAACTGGAAATGAAATGAAGACATCAATAGCCGTTAATTGAATTTCTTTAATGATTAAAGTTGGTCTGGAAGTAATTTTTCCATTTTAAGAAACTTTCAGCAAGCTGTTTCAAAACTTTAAATCAAAATTATTAAAGAACTAGCGAAGGAAGTTATTTTTGTAAATATCTACTTAATTAGGCACAATTTGAATGTTTCTGTGTTTGATGTCTTAAATCTTTCTTCCAGATATACATAATTAAATAAGTGGTGATTATTCTTTTCGAATGACGAATGTAATAACAAACAGAGCAAGTTTTAGGCTTCATATCGATACGTAAAACCGATAAAAATATTTTAAATATGTGACAGAAATAAAAATTCTAACGAAAAACTTTCAATTCTAATTTATGCGATCGGCTTCTCTTCATGAATTGGTGAGGTTGGTGCTGTTGTGTTAGTGGAGCTTGCGATGTCATTAAAATTCTGAACTGAACCAGAACGTGAAGTTGACACTTTTGTCTGTAAAAAATAAGCTTTAAGAAGTTTTTGTCTTGAGAGAATTTGAGATTAAGAACCAACCTTAACACTTTCATAAGCACCGCCGACTTTCCCTTCGAATGATTTGAATGATTCGGAATTCTTCATTTGACTGATTTTATTAGTAAATCCACTGAAAAGCGAGGAAGTTTTCTCAGCAGTTGTTTTAAGGACGGCTTCGGTTTTGTGATAACTGTGAAAATGATAAATAACTTTTAATAAATTTATCAAAAAAAATTATGTGAACTACAAACGTCATGCATAAATAAATAAAAATAACTAAATCAAGCACACAATCACGTCCAACAAACGACGCTTACCCTTTGGATATCCTAGAGTTTTTGATCCTTTAAAAGCGTATTTGAGATTCAAGAATAACAAAAATTATTGACATAAACATTGCGAGCTTAGATTTGTTAATTAAAGTACATGTTAATGGAAGTCAAAACATTCACACTTTTAAGTTTAAGAAGTTAATGGCGTTAGAAATCTTAATTAAATCTTTTTATCTCATTATAAAGACCCCAAGAATGCAGAAAACTTACATCGGTGTTTCAACAACAGCAGTCTTAAAGCCATCAACTTTTGATTCAACCGTCTGATAACTGATAAAAATTTACAAATCATAAATTAAAGCAACAGATAAAGCAAACGATTGTTGTGAACTATTTTCCTTAATTAATCTTTTATGGAAGCTAAAATTAAGTTCATTTAATTGTAGTATAAATACTTACACATTACTCTCCTTGACATTCTTAATGCCCGATGAAACATCATCCGTTATCTCCTTCCAAACAGTGATGCCGAGCTTGCGTTTCAGTTCAGTCGAGTGATGAATTTTCGAAGCGAGCACAGTTCGAAGTGTTTGAATTTCTTCTTCAACTCTTGATAATTCTTGACTCCATTCAGCACGTTGCTGTTCTTGTTCTTCCAGACTCATACCAGCGAGTTCATTGTAAGCTTCTGATGCAGAACCAACAGAACCAGCTGGTGAATTGTCTGACAACTTTCCAGACCCATCTAAAATGAAATGAAATTACGTTTGGTTAGCGGCGGTCTTTCGTTTTCGCTTTAAATAACTAATTGAAACACTTTCTAAAATTAATTTGAAAATTTGTTTACGATCTTAAATAACTTAACGATCTTAAATAACTTCCTTTTTATTACAATTTAATTAAGCAAAGTTATTTCGATACCTGGAAGGTGTCCGATGTGAAGAAAGTTCTTGTAATTATCACGACTTGAGATTTTTGCGAGATAAGGTTTGGAGAAATCAACAAATGTAACTCGAACATCGCGCATTTTTTTCCTCGTCAGAAATCTTAATTTACTAATATTTAATAAATATCTTTTTAAGCGATTAGATTTCGTAAGCACTTGATCCGATGAATTTTCATTTAAAGGACTAAATTCGGTTTCAACTGTTTGCAATTCTGGTGAATCATCGATTAGGTTATCAGGAATTGTTAGGATTTGATCAAGCGTTAAAGATCTAAAATAAGCGTCAGCCTCTTCGGACCAATGACGAGCTCCATTTTCATCATAAATATCAGCCAGCTCATCTAAGTCATCACAGTTCAAAAAACGATCATCGTATTCAGGTATTTCGTCAAGCGACGGTGTCACAATATTGTCATGTTTCGGAAGATATGAATCTTCGATATATTCGAGACTTGATGGCTCCACAGACGGATCATCTTCGCTTGTTTTCATTGCTTTCAGCCACCGTAAAATGTTGAATTAGAAAATAAGGCCACGCGCCAAGCGAAAAACAACAACACTAACTTAATTTTATGTTTCACATTTCCATCAACGTGGAGTTTGAAATGGAACGAGTGCTGTTTGATGTTTATTTATGTGTTTCCGATATGTTGTTCTGTTCCTATGGTGACGAATATTCCACAAGCTTCTACAGTTAATGTTTATGCCCTTCAAAAGGTTCACAACTATCGCTAAAAACAAATGAATTTTGCGATGCTCGAATCCATCACTAAAACATTTGGAACTTCACTTGTGTTTGTGATCTTGAACCAAGTTTTCAACCGTGAAAAGATTTCTTTGATTTTACATTCAAAAATTAAAAGAAATTTCACTCGCAGCAGAACTTTTGCGTTATATTTATTGAAAGAGTTATCATCTTTGTTCAATAATAATCAAGTTGATTTCTTTGTTCTTTTATAATTTATCGCAACATTTAGCCTATGAAGATTATTCGAATCTGAGTGCTAATTAAATTTCACAAAAGCTTGTGACAAACAACAGCCGCGGAATAAGAAACTGTTTCAGTTAACAGTTCAAAAACAACTGAATAGGTACAAAATTTCATGCTTTCGAGCTTTGAATGTTGTGAAACATTGATTTTGTTTTTTCTTCTCATTATTCCGCTCAACATTGAACATTCGATTCCGTCATAAGAGACTTCAACAGAAAAAAAAATTAAAGAGAAAGGCGATATGAAGAAAAGGTTACAAAGAACGAACGAACAGCAATGTGTGGTCAATTTTCTTCTCATCATTTGAGCAACGGTACGTCTTTTTATATTTAACATTAAGATGGAACGCTTTCAATCATGCATGATCGTGAAAATATTTAAGACGAGATGGTGATGTTGAAGCGTTATGATGATATTCAACTTTGAATGAACGAAACTCGCTTGAATTATCGAGTAAGTTACACGGAAACAGATGAAACTTAACAATTTCTAAACTTCTTGTTTGATATCAAATCATTTTCGACGATCATTTAAAATTTGTGTAAATGGAAATCGAAGCAATCAATTTTTATCCTCTTTAAATTATTTCCCGAAATTTTTCTAAATTTTCTAAAAAGTCCTAAATTTCTCGTGTTTAAATTTTATAAACCTTAAATGGCTTGTTGTGAACAGAAACGCTTTGTCAGCTTTTATTTGTATGAAAATGGAAAGCCATGCAATCCTGAAGAACTTCGAATTCCAGAGAAAGATATTTCGAAGCATTTTACTAAAAAGGGTCAATGCTATTTCTATGATTGGTAATTCTTTGAATTGTGATTTAATTCAGTAACTAAATCTTGCTTTTAAAGTTCATACATTGTGTACGATTTAGAAGGAAATTCCGTCGATTGCCTTGATGGTTCTGAAGATGTCACAGCCTTCGTACTTGTTCCGTAAGATTTTATTTCTTGCAATTATGCAACTAAAAATGTTTCAGGCTCTTCTATTAATGAATAAATTATTAGGAAAAATGACGACTTCATTGCTGATGATTACAAAGCAGACTTTAACGAAATATTAAATAAAAATAATCAAAATTCGCCTCCCCGGCAAACTTGTCCACCCCCAGCCCGTCCACCACCTAAAAAGGATAATGGATGTTCACCTAAACCCAAACCAAAACGCGGTGGCTGCTGAAGCATTTTGGAATTTATTGGCGTTGATAAATTTTAGATCACTTTTTAAATTTCTATGAAATTGTTTTAATAAAGAATCACAATTTAACTAATTTCATCTTTGTCAGCATTTAATCTTTTTACTGCAGTACACTGTGTCAAATTTCATTTATATTTCAGTCAGCAAATTTTTCATCAGAATGATCATCGAAAAGAAATTCTCATGAAAATTCAAATCTAAGCAATCAAATTAAACTTTTAACAAATTTTCATCTGTTCATCAATTTAACAAAATTTCTCGTGACTAAACTTTATGAAAACATCTTTTATGGATAACAATAGTGAACAAAATGTTTTCATAAGCATTTATCTTTATCAAAATGGAAAAGTTTGCAAACCTGAGAAGCTTCGAATTCGACGGATTGACATTTCTAAGTATTTCAATGTAAAAGGACGATGCTACTACAATGGGTAAGTAACGTTTTCCTATTTAAAGCTTTGATTTTATGTCTATTTAAAGAACTCGTTTTATTTTTCGTGTCTTAAAGCTTACACGTTCTTCATACTTTGGATGGAAAGCCGGTCACCTGTCTCGAGAACCTTGAGGATAACACAGCTTTCGTACTTGTCATGTAAACTGTTTAATTTTATTTGTTACTTTTGAAATAATTTAATCTTTAACCGTAAACTTTTAAGATCAAATGAACATTTCATTTGTGCCAAATACAAAGAAAATTTTATTCAAATGATGAATAAGAAAAATAATTTAATGAAAGTTCATACACAAAAACGTTCAAAATCTTCTCCCTTAATTGGTTGCAAAAATTCATCTAACATTTCATGTGGTAATTCAAGTCAGCAATCAGTTGTTAAGAAGATTAGTGAAGAAGTTTGCGTTAAACCGAAGTGCAGATCACCAGAACATGTGCATTGTGTAACAAAAGATGGATTTCCTTGTTGTGATCATGATTCAGAATCAGAAAGTGACGAATTTGGACAGAGTGAAGAAGAATGTTATCCAAAACCTTCTATGAAGGCATCGGCATCGAAGCGTCCAAAATCTCGACCGTCTTGCGATCCTTGTGGAGAAGGCAAGGACAAAGCTACTTCAGCTTCGAAGAGAACACAAACTACAGACTCTGATTTCAAGAAAGCCAAGAAAACTATGAAGAAAGCAATAAAAGAGGAAAAGGCCCGACAAAAACGATACGGAGGAAATAAACGATTTGGCGGAAATCAATGTGCTAGAGACAAGGACACAGATGACGATTGCTTGAACAAGACAGACGCTGATATACGTGAAAAAAAGAAACGAGAAGATGAATATAAGAAAGCTCGTCAACGATACCACCTACAACGAAAAAACTTGATTTCGAAAATTAATAAATCTCTCGAAAAGGAAGGACTGAACCGTAAATTTTGATGCCTTACATTGTTGTGGGTCTTCTCTGTCGAATCTTTATAAATTCAATAAAACTTCAAATTTCAATGCATTTGTATCGACTTTACGTAGCATAAATGCGGAAGGTATTATTTTAATTTGTTAGCATTTTAATCGAGTTCATTGTTCTTTGACGATGAAAAAAGCTTATGTGGCAGAATGTTATAGTTGAAAGATTCTTGAAGACTATTTGACGTCATATCACAAAGTTTTAGTCATCGAATGCTGAAGTTTTATCAATTGTGATTCATTATTATTGCTACTTATCGCGGCAGATAATTTTTAGACATAAATTTTAACTTAAGAATCATGGAAAAATCAAACAGGTTTCGAAATTCATTGTCAGATGTATTGAATGAAAATATCTCAGAATATTTAAACTCAATTAGGTGAAATTCAATCGATACTAAACAGATGCTACAACTGATAAATTGATTTAGCAAAAACACAAAAGAAACTTAATGTAAATAAAGAAAATTAAGTTCTTTTTGTGAGTCATCGAAATGAAAATTGATATCAAGATTTTTTTGAATTTTCAGTAACAAGTTCTTTATATCTAAACTTAGTAATTATGAAAAACTTACAAGATGGTGTATTGTCCATTTCTGTAAGACTTTATTCACTTTTAATCCTCTATTTCACGAGTTATAAGTTAAAGTGCTCGATTGTTGTTTTCGTGATAATAAAAATCCGATTTTAACTTGTGTACTCTAGGTGGCGCTGCTACTGCATTTCCAATCCTTGAAAATTCAAAATTCTCCCGGGCGCGTTATATTTTAATTAAATGGGTTTTATTGTACTCATGGTTTTCATATGCACTGAGAATGGTTCATTAAAGTATAAATCATGTCATTTCAGAAATATATTTGAACTCCAAAAATTTCTACTGTGGAAGATTGATAAAATATTCTTGTTTTTAAGGTAACATTTCACATTATTTGGGATTTGGCAGGAGATAAGGAACAATATCATAATGCTTGATGATAAAATTAAAATATAAATAGCTTACAGATCATAAATGTTGTTAAAAATTAGGAAAATAAAAGATCCGAAAATATTTTAGTTAATTATCACAAATCAATTTTTTTGGTAGAATTTTCTGTTAAAGTCTACGTGACTTCAAATTTAAAAGTTTTAACTAAAATAATACATAAATAAGGAATAAGTCTTGATTTTGAGTATTTTTGGGAACGACAATTTAGAGATTTTGAAGAGATTCATTAAAAGTCCTAAGTATTCATAGTCATAGTCGCATGATCGTGAGAGTATTGATCAGAAAACAAATATCTGAGTATCGCAAAATAGTGAATACTAGCAGCAAGAACAACAAATAAGTGCCAAATTGCATGTGCACAAGATAAATGACCATCAGCTTTAAAAAAGAACACACCAACCAAATACAAGAGACCGCCGATTTTTAATTCAGCCATTCCTACGAATTCATGTCCATAAAGTATAACGACAGTTGCCGGTCCAATTGCGATTAACGCGTAGAAAATTGTTTCCAAACTTTTATACTTCTCATGAAATATCTGAAAAAGTAAATAAAATTTAGATTTTTGTCCAACAATAATTAGGTATCAGATTTAGAGGAAAACAAACCTGTTGGTAAATAATTCCAAGCGCAGCTAGAATCCAAATTAGCCATTTAAGAACATAAACTATGTACGGATGTTGAGTATGTCCCAAGTTCAACCAAGGAAAGTAAGAGCCAGCAATGAAGATATAAATCATAGCACGATCCATTCGATGTAAAATGTCTTTAAGCAACAAGTTTTTCTTACAATAAAAGACACAATGGAAAGCAGTACTAATGCAGAAAAGTAAAGTCAAAGCTGATCCATAAATAAGGGCAACCATCACTTGATCCTGATTTTTAGAACGGAAAAGAAGTAAAAACGCAGCATACGCAGATGGTAGAATCCAAAATCCATGAGTGACAATATTAGCAATGTGTTCAATCTGAAATCAATAAGGTTTAAAATCATCCTAATTGCAAAAGTTTTTTCTTTCTGTACATGTTTTGCCTTAAAAAGACGAAAGAATCTCGAAATAAATTGCAATACGACCTATTAGGGCTATTTTAAGAATGAAAAAAAAATCAATTAAATACCTCTGTCGGTTCATAAGCTTTACGATTCTGAGGTTTTTCATTCATCCATTTAATTTCATTAAACTGAAAGTCGTAAAATTTCCTAATATCAGATAGGAGTTTGTTAATAAAATTATGCTGATGATTCTTTTGAGTGACGTTTTCCTCTGAAGAATTAGTTGATCTTCTGCGAAACTCTCCCATATTCTGCATATTCAAAGGATATGAATTAATACTTTGATCGTTACATATTTTATTGTTGTTCAACTTACTTCAGTTCAATTTTTGATTACGTTATCACAACCAATACTACTCGAGTCAGCGGAACTAGAAGAAGGTTGTTCAGATCTTTATATGTACAAACTTCTGTCAAATGATGTAAACAAATAAAATAAAATTATAGATTAAGCTACATCGCTGCAAGCAGTAGCAATCAAGTTCTGCAAGTTTGTAAGCAAAGGTGGTTTGAAGCTTTCTTATCTAGAAAATTTTTCCTTGGTGGGTACAAAACTTCTAATGGGAATTTTAAAAGTTTTGTTTCTTTTCAAACTTGAATTTAATTAATTATCAGCCTATTTCATTCATTTAAATTGCACTACAGACTAAAAATATCCATTCTTAGCAATTCTGAAAAGAGTCTGCATGCATTTCAGATGAGATATTTATCTGCTATTTTAAGTGACGTAACCAAAAAACGCCCAAAAAGAAAAATATTTTGCGCGCGAAAAGACATAAGGAAAATTATATGAAATTAATAGTTTAAAGACTTTTTCTGTGACTAAAAGAGTTCAAAATAATATTGTTAATATTCAGGAAATAAGCTGAAGCTACCGAGGATAATGGAAAGAGAGCAATTTGATGAAATTTGCTCGAAACTTAACATTGACGAATATACAAAGTCAAGTGCTATCAAACAATTCACAGAAATAACCAAAACTACTATCCTTGAGGTGAGATAATTCTGTTCTTTAAGTATTATCTGTTTAATTGTATCTCCAGACCGTTTTTAAAAATAATTGGAATCAAATCCATATTAACCTCGAAATCGTACATAAATTATTTTAATTAAGTGAAAAAATAAATTCCAGGGTAATCAACAAGAATGGTTCTGCTGTGCATTGTGGAGTACTTGTAACCGAACAACAATTCCAACAGTTGGCAATGCTTTCGTTCATGGAAATGGTGTATCATTTGCAAAGCTTATTCAAGTCTGTAACTTATCGTAAGTTTTCCCTTTTTTTTTACTATCACCGAATGGCTATAAGTTTTGGCGCTTAAATTTCTTCTTTTTCCTTCTTTTACTCATTTCAGGATTTATTCATTTTTTGAGAAGATCGAAACATGGTTTAAGGTATCATCAGTGCCGAATTTCATGCATCAAAAAATAGAAAACTTAAAGAGGAGCTTCAATGTATCTCAATTAATTTATCGAGAATATAGTGAGATGTTTGCTAAAGTTTTCAATTGCAACGATGCAGCTGAAATTGATGACTCAAAATCAACGAAGAGTCGAAAGAAGTTTAAGTAAGAAAATCTTAAATTCCTGTACGATTTATTATTAATAAAACTTTTTTCTTTATTTCAGGAATGTTCCATATACATCGCAAAAATTATTTGAAGCATGCTGGTCACTTTTTGTCTGTGTCAAAGGAGAAGTTCCTGATCGTGGCACTGATCTAGTGACTTCAATCAATTTATTATTGTGCTGCTTGGATCTCATATTCACCAATGTAGTTCACGACACCCGCCGAGATTTGATTAATAAATCTTTCACTGGTCTCCCTAGAAACTTCTTCTCACCATCATGGGACGAAAGCAATAATAAAAGCATCAGTATGATTGAGAAGCTTAGTGATCGTCATTCGTTTGATGACATAATGAAAATCAAGAATACGCGATGGGACATTGTGATTAGACGACTCTTCTCTGAGAAGAAGCTGCAAGGCGATACGAGCTCAATAATTTCTGTTGAAAATTTTGAGGCGAACTTTAAGAAGGTCAACGATCTTTACGAGACTTACATTCTGAGCTGTGGACAATTTGACGAGAGAGTTTTCTTGTATCATCCTGAAATTGGGTCAAAGTTTTTTGGAAAAACTTTAACTGTCGGCCAACCAAACTCTCAGGAAGAACGTCACGAAGGTATTCGTAATCAAATGACTTCAAGTTTGATGCCGCAAACGCCTTTAAGTGGTCAAGACTTTTCACATCAATCGGGCAGCAAATTGTCGCCAATGTCCAGTTACAAGCAAAATGTACAGAAACTTCAAGCACTTTACAGTGGACAACGTAACACTCTCGAATCACTTAAAGGACTCCTTGCATCATGTCCTGACAATATTTTCGATTCACTTGATAAACGTTTACGAAATATGGAAAAAATATTCTGCACAAAGATAAAGGAAAATGGACGAGATCGTTTTCAATATGCTGAAGCTCTCTATTATCGACTTCTTGAGAGTATCATTAAATCTGAACTTCGGACTCATGGACGGTTCGATCTTTTCATTGATGATGAAGATTTTAATCAAGCATTGATTGTTTTATGTCTTGAAATTGTTCTCTTCACATTTTCACTGCACAAAGAGTTGACAACATTGTTGGATCATTTCAATTTGGAGCCTTTTCATTTCTATAAGCTTATTGAGGTTGCCATTCGTAACAATAAAGATTACTTCACAAATGACATCATTAAACATCTGAAAGCGATTGAAGAACAATGTTTGGATTCATTAGCTTGGACTTCTGGCTCAGTTTTATGGGAGAAAATTAAAGATCATAAAGGAAAATTACCAACAAGTCAGGAAGTTGATTTACCGCCACAAGCATCTCAAAATGGAAGTTCACAAGGAAGTCCCAACAGTCAAAAAACAAATTCCAGCCAATCACCAAAGAGTCTAAGACTCTTTTTGCGTAAATTCTATCAACTGGCACATTTACGTTTGATGGATTTAGTCAAGAACTTGATGTTTACTAACAATTCTGATCTTTTGAGAAAGATTTGGACGTTGTTTGAATATGCTGTCATTGATCATACGACATTGATGAAAGATCGTCATTTGGATCAGATAATAATGTGTTGTGTTTATGTATTGTGCAAGATAAGAGTAAGTTTGAATTGATTATTTATTTAAAGCTTTATTAATTATTTAATCTCTTTAAAGGCTGATGAGAATCGACACACATTTGCTGACATCATGAAATTCTATCGTAATCAACCTCAAGCTGATAGTCACATTTATCGTAGTGTCTTCATTGAATATATTCAACCGGAAACTACCGCTGAGCGTAATGATAAAGATCAAGGAAATGCAGCTAGAAATGCAGCCGAGCCGGATGTTGTAAGTGGACGTAACACAATTTATGGAACGGAACTTCGTGGCGATATTATCTGCTTTTACAACAAAGTTTTTGTTCCTAAAATGCAAACCTTCGCCATGCGATTTTCAACTAGTTCATCACAAGTAAGTTCATTATGATTTCATGGTGAAAGTTTTAATTAAAATTCTTCCTTGTCAGAGTAATTTGTTGCTTTCGCCACTGCCAACTACACGACCATTAATTTCTCCAAGGAAAATCTCACCGTATCATGATGTTTATGTACAACCACTAACTAAGCAATGCGTCTTGTCACCATCTGCACACACTTTGACGTTCACAATCGAACAGAGTCCATTGAAGGTAAGAAAAAGCGAAATTTCTAATTAATAAAATTCATTATAATTTTTCCTTCTTCACAGGATCTTCAAAAAATAAATTCAATGATTAACCAGAGTCGTAAGTTGAGTGTCACAAAGCGAATCAACATTGATCCCGATCCGGCATATCCGGCGAAGAAAGTTTCAAAAGACTCTTCATTACAGCTTTTGATCTCTGATCGTGAAGAATTTAGCAACTAAAAAACTCATCTTAATTTAATTTCTGATGATGATAAAATGAGAAGAAACAAAAAAAAATTGATAATCATTTTTTTACAATTCACTTGCTTCAGTTTAACTCCACGCAATATTAATAACTTTAAATGACTAGATTTTTTTTATAACTTAAGAAATGAATTCAAATTAAGACTTTACATCATATTCATGTTGATTCTTTAAGTTCATTCTCACAAAATCAGATAATTTTCAAAACTTCTTTTTTAATTAATTAAATAATTGTAGTTTTTAGTGGAGTAGAAAGAAAATCACTGAATTGGCTTAGAATCGTCATTGAATTGAAATTCTTATCTTCATACTTCATTGTGATGTTCTTCTGATTTATTTTTTTTTCTTTGTTAAAATATAATTTTACGATTCTCGCAAGAAATGAACTGCATGATGAATTTCATTCATATTAAAATAAATCATTCTTATCGTATATCTAATTCACAATAAATAAATATCTATTATATATTATCTAATCGAATTCCCAAAACTTGTTTAAATAACTTTAAATGTTTATTATCTGTCATTGACTTGAGACAGGCATTCAGCAAATATTTGTCTACTTTTGTATTTATTCTAGGTCAGAAATGGACAAATTCTTGAGTAAAACTAAAATTAAAAGGTTTAGTAACAATTTCTCGTTAACAGATCGGAATCGTTGATAACAACTTCCGTTATAGCTTCATAAAGATCCTAAATCTGACTTCATTTCGAATTACATGGTAGTTAATACCTGCAAAAGTAAGTAATTTGTTATTTGAATTATTTGAAGAATTTCCTTTAGGTCATCATAAAAGCCAAGGATTTTTTTATTTCGAAGAATGTCAACAAAGAAGCAAGAGATAAGTTAGTAAGTAAAAGCTATAAAAAACGTTTTTAGATAAATACGAAGCTATGAATGGAGAAAGATAAATAATAAGTTTTTTATGGTCCTTTCACATATGGTTTAAAATTTTGATATCTTCAGACTGATTTTATCTCATTCAATTCTTTAAATAGAATTATTATTAATAATTGTGTATCATCATCAAAATTTTAACGTAAATTTGAAATTTAAATTTGTGCAACATATTCCAACCGACAGTGTTTCCCTTATTTTATGATTACTAAATGATGTACACTTGTAAGGAGATAAACGCATAAAATTCTCCTATTAAATTTAATTATCTTGTAGTAAATCTATTCAAAATGACTTAATTTCTTTCAGAAATAAAGGTTCCAAGTGAAATGTTTTATGAAATTTATTAAGAATTAGACGGTTCGGTGAATTTTTTTGTCTAGCGACAAAAGTTGAAACGTTCCCCAATTATTTCCCCTCTCCAAATTTCAGTTTTTTTTTCTAGATTCTCTTCAACATTTCTCGCATTCAAGTTTTGTCGGTTCGAGAAGATTGTTGCATTGTCGTGTTTTACGATTTTTAATTATATATTTTAGCTGAAGTACAGCAAATTTGAACAATTCATAAGTGAAAAATTATTAAAGACTCAAGGAATTGTCATCTGTTTATAAAAAAACACAATTTAAAAGGTTATTATCGTTGGATAAAGGAATTAAAATTTAACCGGGATAAACGAATAAAAAACAGACGCTTTAAATCGGCACAATAGATTTTTTGGATTTTTATCACCAATTAAAGGATTATAGAACGAGTTGGTGAGTTTTTCAGGACAGTCGATGATTTGGCTTCAAATTGGACATAATTGGTATTTAAAGATAGTTAAAAAAATTGAATAATTAATATTCCATATGTTAAAGCGGTTGCATCTTCGTCTGATACATTTTCCTTTAGGAAGATTTCACAATCCTTTTGGAGGTTATGAAATTCAGACAAATCAATGATAGTTAGATTTCTAAAAACGGGAAAGCTCGATTAATTAAATTAATTCCAGTCGGTTAACTTCCTTATGGTGTATTTTTATTCCCTAATATTCTCGTCATAATTTTTGTCTCTGACTTCTCAACATATGGTCGGCTGTTTAATTAAATTATCTTCACTCTAAAAAACAATATTTTTTCATTCATTTTCGAGGTAACGGTTAACTCAAATCGAGATCAATTTTCCAATGTTTTTCATCTCTCATTACGTTGGCCTCGAAATGAAAACGACGCTTCCATACACGTTTCTTTTCATCTTCTTTCTTCTTCTGGAGCTCAATGCAAATCAATTTCGATTTCAATTGAGAGAAAACATTTTTTTCTTGACAAAAGGAAAGAAAAGAAAAAAGGGTCAAAAATCGTCGATAGCACACCCAGAAACCAAAGAACACAATAGACAATTCTTCTTTTCAGGGCTCTCCTTTGTCTACTTGGCGTTTTGTTTTGGGGTGACTATTTTTCTGGTCAGTTAAATTCGGTGATAAATTTCATTCTTTCATCACATTATTCGACATTTTTCCTTCCAAACTTAGTCTCAGTACGCGTAGTTACGCCTGCAAGTGCATTTTTTCGAATCTTTCAATTCTCTTTTGTTTGATATTTTAATGGAATGAATCTCCATATCGAAACTTCCTGCTGCATGACCAAATTATGTGATTATGGCGTTGGTATCACTTTTAGAATTTTAATCACTGAAAAACTACAAATAATAATAATGACTAATTTATTTAAACTGCTTTTTAATGCGTCGATTGTGATGAACATTCAAACAGTAGTATAAGATGCGGGAGGAAACGTAGAAGTTGTGACTGAAAGCTTTATAAAAGAAGAAAAAATGCGGATTGGAATTCGATATTATTTACATTTGTTGTCATAGCTTTGAGGAATTTAATGTCGATATTTATTTGATATTCAATAATTATTCAGAAAGAATCTCATTGACGCCTTATTCACACCACAAACACATTGCTTTGGATTTAATATGACTATTGTTAAAAGTTACCTAGAATGTTGATATTAGTCAGCAAATTTATCTTTCAATCTTCAACTCATTTGTAGAAAAGGCGCAATTAAAACGTAAACATTTAAGTTTGAAGGGAGATGATAGAAATCTCAAATATTTTCACATTCCTAGGAAACGACACTCGACTTATTGGAATCCACTATGCATCAGCTATGAAAATTTTTTTATTTATTATTCATCGCATCCATCTTTAGAGTCGCCAAGTTGAAGAATGAAAATAACAATCTCTGCGTTAAGTGATTCATTGTATCGAGTAGTCTTATCACGAAACTTGTATTGTTTAGCAAAGCCTCGTTTCGATTCATACATTCTCGCTTTTCGCATTCCAACATGTGTCATAATTTACACAAAGTTAATACTATAATTACTAATTATAGTGTTGAATGAATTTATTGGAAGAAAATATAAATATGCATCAATTAAAGGAGAGCTTTTATGTTATTCATTGATAGATCTATCAACCCAAGATTTATGACGTGAAAAATCAATGTCAATTACCACTCGGAGGGGATTAAATTACTTTTCTGTAATCAAGGGATTTTTATTGATCTAGTAAAATCGTATCGTTTTACTGCCTTTACACTAAGTTAATTAAAAGCTTAATGCATTCATTGTGAAACTGTTTTATTTTTTTATGTTTCTCCTACTACAATGAATTTATTTTTTAATTGCTTGATATTTTTCCTTCTTTTTTTTCTGATATACCTAAAATGACATTAAATCGTAAATAAAAAATGATGATGTCAGTTGTAAACGATTTATCAATGTTTTGATTGGAAATTGCATAATAATTCATTCTCATCATCACGAGAATGCGAATCTGAAAATGATGTTCTGTTGTGAATTCCCTTAAGGGAAAAGTGCTCCGAAAATGGAGGAAAATGTAATCGAATTTTCGTACACTTCTTGATGCCAGAAAAAGAGAAGCTTGAACATTCATCACAGCCTCAAGCTATGATATGTTTGAATACAATCAAGCACATATCAATATTCATTTTGTTGATTCTCAGCTCCTGAACTTCTGTTATCATAAATCACTTTACTCTCCCTTAACGAAGAAAGTTGCGCCCTGAGATGAAATGATGAATTCGATTATCAGAAAATTACTTATGATGATTTCAATAGAACTGATTCTTGTGTGTTGAACATTGAGTGTTGTTCTCTTTGATCTTTTTCATTTTCTTTCATGCCATGATGTTTTTGTTGTTGTTATTGATAAATCTCCTTCACTGCCGAGATATTAACTCAGTTGAGAGTTAAATTAAAGGAGAAAGTTCATGTGATTTATATTCCTGTGATGAAAGTTAAACCCTTCGTTTCTGAAAGCCTTTAAATCACATAGAATATCATTAGATCGTTAATCGATGATAATTTGATTTTAATGAATAACAATGAGCCAAACATGAGACTGTTCTGAGAATCAAAGCCAATATTTCTTTTCTCTTCCATCCCCTTTTTATTCATCTTTAATTAAGGTCTTTCATTTACAATTTCCGCTTCTTTTCTTCTTTGATTAACAGGATCAGAAAAATACGTTAACAAGCAAAAGAAGTAAAGATGACTGAGACAACAGATACTGTTACAAACGCTCCAGCTACAACTGAAACAACAAAGGCAGCACCACCAGCAGTAGCAGAAGAGCCAGCAAAGCCAGCAGAAAATGGACATGGTGATGGAGCTGAAGCTGAACCACAAACAAATGGAAATGGAACAACAGAAGAAGCAGCAAAGGAAGAAGAAAAAAAAGAAGATCCACCAAAAGAGATGCGCTCAATTGTTTTGACAGGATTCGGTGGCTACAAAGGTGTCAAAATCTTAAAGAAGCCAGAACCAACCGCTCAAGCTGGTGAAGTTTTGATTCGTGTTCGTGCATGGTGAGTCATCAAAAAATTGTTTTTTTATTAATCTAAATTCGAGTTGTTGTTGCGTAAAATCATGAGAAATTGTTAAACGATTACGAAGTTGATTTTCTTTGAAAGAAATCATTCATCATTGATTATGAAGAATGTCAGTTGACGACGCTTGTTTCCTTAGCATTCTTTATGGTTGGCGTCTCAATATAACTTTTATTACCTTAAAAATGGATGAGAAACATTTAAATATTTATCAGACTTCATTTAAGAATCAAGTTGCTTGCCTTTCTCCCTTGATTTTCTCTCGAGAAGTCATCAAATTTAATGCTTTTTTCCCAGGGCCGGATTCCCGATGTCATTCTTTAAAATGCATAAATTACTCTCTTTTTATCGTTCAATTCAATGAAATATTTACGCTACGAAAGCGAGTGTCATGTGAGAATTGCCAGATGCAAGAAATGCACACTTTTCATTCTAATCTTATTCAATTTGCGCTTAACGTTGTTAACACAACGGTTAAGGCTCGATATGCTTTCAAGTAGCTCATAATTTATGCTCTTATGATGTTTTAGTTGTAGCTTTGCGTTATCTCTTTGCCCTCCCTCAACTCTCGTTCAACTCATCGACAAATTCCGGAATGAAAAAAATATTCCAACGAACGAGAAAAGTTTCACTCGGGACTTGATGATTGTTTTTTATTACTTTTCCCTAAAACACAATTTAAAAGAGTCTCCGGTAACATGTGTTATTCAGATGGCAAGAGTTATCATCCATCTATCCATATTCATGAGATGATGCTTTGGTTCTCGACTGCTTTTCATTCCGTAAACAAAAATAAAAACAAAAATTCTTGCGTTGAAGACGAAAATGATGAAAAAAGAATTTTCTTTTAGAGAATTGTGAGAAGAAGAAGAATGAACTTATTAATTCAAATCACTGCATTCCAGTCAAAGATCAGAAGCAACAAAAAAAGAAAAGTTTTATCTAAGTAAAAGAAATAAAGAAACCAAAAATTGATTAATTGGATCAATAATAATAGAAATTGGTTCTCAACCTAACTTAAATGACATGATGGTCCCTGATGAAGATATTTTACTCAATTACAAAAGTAATTTGTACAAATCATTGATAGCGGAATAAAAATCAAAAAATCATTTATTAGAGTTTAATGAAATGTCGCACTGTGAGTGGAAAATTTGATTAAAACAAAATTTCTATTAAACGTTAATGTAATTTATCAAATTGCCCCCGAAACTTGATTATAATGAGAAATTCTACGGTATGGCTTATGAAAAAGGAAGGGACGAGCTCGAATATTTAACAACAATGCCCTCATCCAACCGTCTTGCAAGCATATTGCAGTTCTCGTCATTATTTATTCAGAAAATAAAATTCGTTTATTTAATTTATCCTTGCACACATTCAAGCATTCTGTTTATGTATGTTAGTGAACTTTGTTTGCTTTTTAGTTTCTCCGATTATTAAAGCGAAAAAACATTTTTAACTTCTGAAAAAATATTTTTGTTCGTTTATGATTTATGAAATTCTGGAGGCAACATAAACAATCTGCAACATCAGATGGTTCAGTAAACTTCATGATCTTATTATTCTTCTTGTTTTTTTTATATATGTTTGTCCAAGCATGTTGGCGATTTCTTTTCACTCACATTGAAACGTGTTTAAGAGTTGTTTGTTGAGATAAGAACGATAAAACGAAGTAAAGAAGAAAATACATTCTAAGATCTCGTTTTTATTGTCAAAGACTCAGTTCCATTGCTTTAAAACAGAAGAAAAAGAAGAATCGACGAAAGAGAATCTCGAATTGTCAATTTGTTTTATTTGCCGAGGTTGTTCGCTGTTGTCAGTCGTTTTCAAGCAACAATTTATTATTTCGTTCACTTATTTAAGACAAAATCTTTTCATGTTTCTTTTTTGTGTGTTTCTGCCTCATTGAATGAAGTAAAGTCACTTAAGATGATAATGCAATTTGGTTGATGCGACTCTTGAGCACTTCCTTATCAGCGCTCTTCAAATTTTCGCTTTAATTTGAGTTGTCGTAGATTTTATTAACAGAGACGCACATTCCCAATCTAAATTGAATTCATAATTAATGCTTTCTTGTTTCGTTGTTATTCTTTTTTTCGCTTGAATTTCCATCCGCGACTTAACTTCATTTAGAAAATTGTGATTTATGAATCAAATGCGATGCATATGTGACTCCCCTCTCAACATTTCATGTTCATTTCGAAAACGGGAATAAGTGTCATTTGAAAGTTGCTTTAACAAGACACGATTCGTCTTATGTTGTCTTCAAGAAACAATTAATAACTTCTTACGACTGGCTTTGCTTCATTCTCCATTAAATTCTTATGTGTTGTGTCAAAGACAAAAAGAAAAATTTTCGAAATGTTTCTCATGCTTTGCGGAAGAAGCGTGCATTTGGTAATAAAACTTATGATCGGTACGTGATGCTACTGTGACGTGACTTCTTTAATTCCCACCTATAAATGACAAATTTGAAGGATTTCTTTAGATTACCAAATTTTAATAATTTCTAAAATGGCAAATAGAAATTTATCGACTGTAATCTGTCATGAATTTTAATTACTACATATTTATAGAAAGCATTACAAACAGGAAAATTTTAATGACGTTATTTCACAACTCTAATGGATCGCTTTCCATAACGACAGTCTTTTTATAGGCGCGGGATGTTTTATCACATGTAATGAAATGAGACTTTTATTAATCGCATTCAAGGGAAAAATTTTGAGCGTTAAAAAGATTTTGATTGACAAAACAGCAGCGAAAGAGTGTGAGAGGGTGTTTGTTTGTTGAATGCTAGGGGTTGCTTTGCTACTGTGAAGCATTTCGTCAGATATGAAATGATTAAACTCAATGAGAATGAATAAAAAAATTTCTTCCCATCCTTCGATGTTTGCTTAACTGCGTGTGTCTAAAAAATGTTGCCACAGGCATGAAAGTTTCAATTTCATTTTTTGTCAACGTCATGTTTCCTTTCAAAAGAAGTCTGACCGCAAATAGACTGAAAAAGCTTCTGTTTTTATCAAAGTTTTTAAGAAGAATGGACGCAGCGCAGCATTCGATCAATGTTTACCTAAAAAACGCACGACAAACCGCCAGCAGGTTTTTATTTAATAAATGAAGAGTTTTTATTGTCAAACGCAATAAAAAGGATAAACAGTTAAAGAGAGGCTTGTTTAAGTGGATAGAATGAAGTGTTTAAGTAAGCACAAGGGATAATTTATGGTTTTCGTCTGGGTCGCTTTTCATGTTTGACTTTCATGGTTCTCTTAGAATCATCGCTGTTGATAGTCAGACGGCGTTAAAGCTTGTGAGAAAATAAATAAAATGTTTTCTGTTTGGTCAAAGAATAATGAAAGTTGATAAGATAAAGAAGCGAATATCATTTTAAATAACTGAATGTGAACTAAATTTACCATCGAAATGCCATAAATTTTAATTCAATATGACATCTGAGAGCGAAATTGTTGCTACAGAGTGTCATTGCCATTTTCTCATCTCTGAGGAAGCTCGCAATGCTGACGTCACAGAAAATTTAAAGTCCAACGACACCCGGTAGTGAAAAAGAAGACAAGAAAGAAATTTTCAATTTTTCTCATATTTTATGCTTTCGATGAAAGCGAAGAACTTTTTTGCTTTCATTCTTTATATATCGTGTCGTAAAAAAAGCTGATCACGTTTTGCTCATAGATTCTCTTTCTTTTTCGTGTATTATATTTCCATTTAATATAAGAAATGACTTCCACATGTTTTCAATTTTTTTTTCTTCTTGACTTTCAAATGTAAAGCTTAAATTCCGGTGATGTTTTCTTTCATTTCCTTTTGAGTAGCTCGCATATTCTGAATAGTGCCGAGAAAGGCAAAAAAATGCGACGACGAAATATCCACAAAGAAAGCAACAAAGATGAGAATTCAGAAGATATTGAAAAAATAGCAATGACAACGATAGCCTTTCAATCAATGATCTTAAAAGAAAAAATTGAACAAATATTTGTTTTCCGTTTCAATAAGAAAATTGAAATATTGAATGTCATGTTTTAAGGAAAATTTATTTGGTTGAAGTCTTCAAAATTTAAATTCCCGCGAGGGTTGAAATCTCATTTCGTTTATTCACATTCATGCTTTCCTAACTTCTGTTGAAAAAAGAGAAATTTAGACGATGAAAAAATCCCAATTAATTGTCAGCGAATCTTCTTCTGATTTCATGCTTTTTTCCATCATTAAATAAACGATGATTCACAACTCTCACCAGACTGGAAAAGAACAAGAGACGATAATATTTTCGAAACTTGCTGCACCCCTCAGACTGTTAACCATAAATAAAAACTTTAGAATTATGTACGATGGTGTTGTTTATGGGAATGTAATATCGTTTAGACGTTAGACGCTTCCCTGTCTAGGCGAGAAGAAATAAAACTTTTTATTACAAAAGCAAGCAAATTATTTTTCGAAGACCGCTTGAAACTCCTCGACACAAATCTCACCCCGCTTTATTTCATTTTATAATGCTTGTCATTGTCATTGAGTGGATAAGAGAAAGATGTAAAAAATACGAGAAAGAAATTGCTAAAAAATTACATAAAAGAAAAAGCTAGACGATGGAAAAATCTTTCTCGATAAATCCAACATTGAATCGAGATTGAAATACAAAATTATTCTGTCTCGGTTATCTCTAATAATTCTTTTTTATCGAGAAATAATTATGAAAATCGTGTTGTTGAATGTTTATGAGACTACGAAACATGAATGAATAAGCAACAGGATGTTAGAAAAAAAAATAGAATTGATTAAACTAAGCTGAAAATCATGCTAAGAACGTCTCTTTCCTGTCTTGTTGTGATTCATTCTTCTTGATTTGGCTTCAATCCAAGAACTTTCCCTTTTCTTTCTTTTATTATTGACTGAAAGCTCACCCAGAAAAGAATTTTCCATGACTCAGACTCTTCTCCCCTTTCATTTTCAGTGTCTGTTCTTCTTCCAATACTTCAACGAAGTTTTCCTTTCTTTTCTTAATGACGTAATAAAAAAAAAGTTTAAGCACTTTCTTGTTTACGAGGAAGATTTCCATCGAGCTTACAGTAAACACGAAAATATGACTGTGCTGTCTTTTCTTTATTTGTAAATACTTACGACGAGAAGGAAAAGTAATGACTTTGAAGCAAGGAAGCAACGAACATGCCATGCACGAAATATCGACCCAAAAGTGGAAAAAAGTTCGTAAAATTCTGCTCATAAAAGTTTTCACACACATTTCTGATCTTCGAGCATTCCAAATATATGTAAAAGTCTAACATTTGAATGAAAGTTCAATTTGTTCGTGTACATTCTTATGATATAAGATAATGGACCGTCTGATTAAATTACTTGTAATCTGGCAACACAGCTTCCTACAATGAGAGATTTCAGTTCGAAGCTTCAAGAATTTCATTATCCGAAGCCATTTGTTGGCTTTTTTTTCTGTCGTTGTGTGTTCCGATGTGAAATATTCTGTAGTTGAAAGGAAAAACTTTTATTCACTACCCGCTTTAAGCATCCCTAGAGCTGTGTCCCATCTCATACCATCACTCTTTCATTTTTCTTCCAACCAGTGAAAATGGAAAGAAGAAAGAAAATCGAGAAAACTTGTGTACGTGCTGTTTGTGGCGAATGGCGGATGAAATGTGGGGAGGGAAACTGTTGGAAAGGGATTCTGGCATGAGCAATACATTGTAACACTTTCAACGTTTCCGCATTTCTGGTCGTCAAGTGAAACTGAAAGGTGCACAACTTCCTCGCCGCCCACTCACTAACAAGAAGAAAAGTCGTTTCTCTCTCTTTTCTCTGCAACTTTTGTCAGCTGAGGTGACTTTAGCAAATAAGCAATTGCAGAAGTAATAAAGTAACTTTTTTTTATTAATTTTGAAAAGGGTAAAATTGTGTAGCAGAAATTATTTACGACCCTAAGCTCTCATGGTGTCCATACCCGTATAATTTATAATTTAGATTTCTCTATCGTTTCGTTTCTTTAATTCAATATTCGGAGAACTGATTGGCATGGCTAAATATAAAGGCATCTAATTAATTAAAAAATATCAGACAAGCTGATTCGGATACACAATGCTGTTAGTTGATTGCACGCTTGCTTGATCATGTCGAAGACATAACATCGTGGAGATTCATAATTAAATAATATTTTCAACGAGATTAGAATGCGCATTTGCTTGCTTTGCCTTCATGTCTTTTATATTTCTCGTAAATTTATGCTTTAACCGTCATCATCGCATGCACAATTCTGTTGTCTTATTTATTTCGATGAGATTATTTTTTAAAATGTTGCTTTTGTGAAGGTCATTTAGCAATGTGAAGAGAATACATTTGAGTCACAAAAGAATGCTTATGTTTACGATTTTTATGATGGGCGGGCGTTTCATAGAGAATCGTCGTCAACGGAGACTCGGGATTAGAAAAAAGAAAACAACAAAACTGTATAAATATTTAATTTATTCAAAAACGTTTCGTGTGTCAAGCATGAGAAGAAAATTGAGATTCTATTCACGAGTCGGAATTGTAGTGAAGTCAAACGAGTTGAAGATATTTCTTTTCACTTTCTTTTCATTTATGTCCAGCATAAAAAAGAAGAATTTCATTAAAATCTTTTATTCATTTTTTTCACACTTTATTATTTGATGGGGGCATCGGTTTGTTTGCTTCTTAGCCAGTTTCATAAATGAAGCTTATCATCGTCATGAGTAAATTGATGTGGGCAAGCGAGAATCTTCTCAACTACACCAACTACGAATGCGCATTGGATGCGGTGCAATTGAACGTAAAAGTGAAGAGTTTCTTGAAAGCAACACGTGTAGATTGAAAATATTCAAATATCGTCCATGATAAAATTAAAACTTTGATTTTGTTCTTTATTCGTCTTCTCCCAAAATATCTCTCGCCACCTTTCCGTCGCCTTCTTTCCTCAACTCATTTATTTTATTCCCTAATAATAAAAGAAGAATTCTTCGGCCAACTGCTGAGTTAATTTGACATGAGAAGGGACTCAACACACACGCGTTGCTTCGATTGTAAAAGTATCGAGTGAAAAGGTAACGTAGCTTAGTAATTTCGATTCTCTGTTCTTTGTTGATGTTAGCATTGTGTAACAAAAAAAATAAAATCAGAAAAAATAAACGGAAAAACAAAGAAGTTAAGAACGAAAGCAAACGAAGAATAACGTAACATTACATAGTACATGTTTGAACGATGATTGCTGTTATATGTTGTTGTATCATGACCGTCTCTTGTGTATTGTAAAAACATATTCGACGAATGAGTTCAAAAACGCGTTCATTTCGGAACTATTAAAAAAAGCACAAAACAATAATATCAAGAATGCCATCAGGCGAGTAAAATTTTATGCCAGAATGGGAATTAGATTGTACTGTGATTAGTTTGCTGAGTTTTTATGATGAATGAGTCTTTGTAGACGGTTAACAATTTTTTTTCTTGTATGATCCCCTGTAATGCCAGGAAAGTCAAAATTCTCTTTAATTTTGTTGAGGAAAACATGAAATAAACTGTTGCGTCTGCTTTAAGTTGTTTCTTCTTTCATTATTTCCCCAAAAAACGACAAATATAAATAAATATGAGAAGAAGAATTGAACCGTTAAATGAAAGTTTCTTTTGTTGCAATCAACAGTTCTATAAATTATTTCATAACATTGACATTTTCTTTACAAACTTTAGAATAATTAAGAAGATTTTGCTCTTCCTTTCATTAGTTTGATGGTCACACAATTGTGCAAAGCAGTGCATTCAGTCGAAACTACGTAACTTACTTTAGCTTTCAAAAACTTACTCAACAATAACGTGTGAGAAGAATACATTGAATCGACAAAATTGTTTTAATTTGAATCATTAATTCTTTTTTAAAACAAACCGACAATGACGTGATATTTAGAACGAGCGAGCAAAACAACTATTTAGAACAATAAAGACACGACGGTTGGGTTGTTAATGGTAATGACTGTTCCAGTAAAAGTCGCCGCATTGCGTTGTCGATGTGTTCTTGTGGAGTTTGTAACAATCTAATCGATAGATTTATTTAACAAACAGTGAAAAGATGAAATTGATGAATAATAAGTTATTGAGAGAACTATTTAAAGGGAAAACGTGATATTAAGTTAACAACATGCTGGGCGTCGGTTCATCATGATCACGTCAATTGTGTATTTATCCTCTTATTGAATAAGAGTTTATAATTATAATAAATCAAGATTGGTTCGTGGTTCAAGGACATTAATCAGGTGAATCGAATGAGTCACATTTCAACTTATTTAGAACATTTGCGTGAGATTATTTACATGAGAAGCTGATGGAAGAAATAAGAAAAAATGAACAATTAGAATCTTAATTTGTTATTTTATCATCCCATCTCATCGCAATTCGCTTCAGTTTTTACGATCTTTAAAGCCTTCGATGATGTTTTTAACTTCTTTTTTGCTTAACTTGTAATGAAAATCAGAATTGACAGTTTCTCGTTTCTTTGAAACTTAAGAATTTAATTCATTTTGATGTAGCATGTCGCATGTAGCATTTTTGCCATGACTTTATTCTATTACCAAGTCAGATGAAGAGAGTTTTGTTAGCAACATCAGTGAATTAAAGTAACAACAATAAAACAAATATTCATTGTGGAGAGGTTTATGGCCTCGTGTAATGAGTGATTGCTTCAGTGCACGCACCAATTGGCAGAAGTGTGAAGCTCATCTGTGTGCCTAGTATAGAATTGCAAATGTTAGCTTGTTACTTGTTTGCTTAAAGCAGTTCACTCGATCACGATTAGTTCTTAGCATAGCACAGCACCTGCAAGAAAATGTTTTATGGACTAAACGGAATGAATAATAAGAAGAATTCTCATGTCTTTCCTGGACAAGCAAAACAAAGCACAATTCCATTTAAAGACGAGGCCATCCACAGGAAACATACAATTAACAAAAATTAATTCATGGAATAATGATTTAAATTATGATCTTTTGAATATTGTTTATGACTTAACGTCATTGATGTGATAGACTTTGCTCGAGAGAATCTGATATAAGATTAATCGACAGTTTGTTTTATTTTTTTCTTGATTGTTACTCACGATGTGCCGCTTGTTTCCGTGCTGATTCAGTAGTCAGTTATGAAGCAAATAAATTAAATTCTACTAAACTCGATAACTGTAATCATTGATTAAGACTTCTTAGAAGTTTTATTGCTTATGACACATTTCAAAATATTTAATTAATCAACGAAACTTTCTTTGACTCATTTTCATAATTGGATTGCTTTGGTTGCTACTCAATTGAAGCATTTAAATAAGTATCGCTTGATATAGATGATTAACATTTCAAAACCGTTCTAAGTGATTCGTGAATGGAAACAATGAGAATTTATTAACGTTGTTTTAAAGTACCAATTAATTGATTTAAATTTTAAATGCCTTGGTAGTCTTGACGATATGTTGAATAAATTTCTATTTATCTCGGTGCGATCATAAGTCGTGGGAGTTAATTGGATGGATTTGTTTTTATTAAAGAAGGAATTGCTAATTTGCCATGAATAATTTTGCAAATTCTTCCATTTTACGGCTCGTCTGGCGACCACGCTTCTTCATTTCGATATCTTTTCATCATCATAATGTTCATGAGTCAACAACGAGTGAGTGCATCGCACTTAAATATAATAGAATGAAATTGATGATAAATTGGATTTTCCATGTTGCGGAAATGCTTTTCCTTCGCTTTTCTTATTAAGACAAGAAAATAAATCGATGATGCAACACTACATGTGTTGCTTTCATTTAATCTTATTCCCTTCGTAGGGTTGATTCATTTCACCATATAATGGTCTAAGATGTGGAAGCGATAAAAGTAATTCATTCACTATTAGAAGAATAAATAAGAAAAAATAAATGTGAGACTATTTAGAAATTCCCAATTGATGTTTCATCCGTCTTCGAGCCTCATAAAATGATTGTTATAATGAGTTATGAGAATTACGCCAACGACAACATTCATCCAGTGTCGTTTTCACATAATTGATTTTGATAAAGTACCACGATAGAGTTGCCAGATGGGAGGATTAAATGAGGAAATTCTTTTCAACTGACTTTAAGGTGTTTATCATAAAATTTATGACATCCGAAGGCGGATGTTTTCTGCTTTCATTCGACATTGCCTTAAAGGATGTAAAAGGTACATATTTGGTTAGCTTTCGCAGCCATCTTTCCAACCCTTTTTATCGGTGTTTGCTTGTCGTGTTTAATGCGATCGAAAAGATATTTTCAAGACTTTTTCCTTTCTTCTTGTGAAGAGGAAAAGAGGGAAGACGAAGAAAGTGTTAAAGCATCATCGTTACGACTGTTATGAAGGCATTCCAATGATAAAGTTCATAAATACAAGTCTCAAAATAAACTTTTCCGACAATTCAAGATGGAAATTGAATTTGGAAAATCTCTTTAACTTTCTCCATCCCTTGATGAAGTTCCATTGAAGGTTCGTCTTCATCATCACAGAACAGTAAACCTCATTACGGAATTAAATTTCAATTGGAAATCTTGTTTGAAAGATGAACCGAAGGGCTATCAAACAATTAAGAGAAAATTAAAATTTCCGGAAGATTTCTTGTTCAAAGCTGACAAAGAAGAAAAGGAAAGCTCGTCCGTTCGTTGAAGTTCGCCTTGGCAATGTGGCAAATAATAGAATATAAAAGAACGTTCTTATAAATTTACAAACAGTCACTTGAGTCATCATCTTCATAGCATGAAAAATGAACGAAATTATTAATTTAATTTAATTTAATAATTTCTTTGTTAAGAGAATCTTGAATACAAAAAGAGATTTTAGGGTGGACGTGCAAAATTTTGTATGTTATTTCGAAAGCGTTTCAGTGAGATTCAAGATTGTCAGAGCCCGGCGGATGTTCAACTTAAAAAAGGGAAGAAAAATATTTGCGAGACTTCAGAATGCCTAGGGAGAGAAATTAAAAATAACCGACAGTCACATTGAAATGCTTTTAAAATAAATGAATTAAAGTTTTGATTACTTGATGATTTCCTGTTATTCTTCTTGGACTTTCGATTATAAATAAATGACGATTGATGAGATTATTAATAGATGTTCGTGACAATTTCGCTTCGCAATCTTCAATATCATTAGAACTGCTAATCGATAAATAAAAATGGAAATCAATTTATTTCATTTCTGTCCCAACATTAATTTAATATAAAAAGTGGTTTGGTGTCATTACGGCTTCTTATTCTATTGTGAAGCATAAAGAATTTCGTCGCCATTAAACGATTCTTTCTCATGTTCAATAAATATTCACACCCCAAAACAGAATTGTAAGAAGATCAATTCATTTTTCACACCGTTTGCGCTTTATTTTATTATTGATATCATTTCGGGAGAGAAAATAATATGAAAGAAAGAAAATTACCGAGATATAAAATTCAAGACATTCGCTCACACCATGATCAGTGCTTATGCCTCCGTATAGCATTTATAATTTCTCTCATTCCTTTTCTGGGTGTGTCGCTTTCAGGAGAACAAAAAGGTAAACGAATAAGTTCTTTATGCCATCTAAAGCCATCAGTTTATGCCTGCTCGTCGTTCACAAATCACAATCTGAATCGAAAGGGCAAGAAAGCAACCAAAAAAAATATCAAAATCAAAATCAAATCTTTTACGGAGAATTAAAATATTTAAACTATGGGTTCAACCGATGTTTTGGTCGTTTTCATCTCGTGTAATAACAATAATCATTCGAAGAAAACAGCCCGAAGAAATAAGTTTAACAATAAAAATATGCTATAAATGGATTCCCATTTAATATAACATTCGAGAACTCACTGCTCGAAGAGAAACTGAAAAAGAAGAACAAAAAAATCTTTAATTTTGACTTATTCGCTCCATCATCTTTCTACGTTCGCTTTTTCTCGGTCCAATTCTCATTTCACTGTGCAGCATACATGTGAGTGTAGCAAATAAAGAAAAATTAAAGAACAACAGAAAGTTCGTTGAATGTTTTTTTTTTTATTTTTTGCGTTACTTCATGTTTGCTTGTTTGGGCTCTTTAAAAATTACAAAATCAAGTTTTGGGAAGCCTAACAAAGCGACGAATGTGAATAAAAAAGAGAATAAGTTGAATGAAAGCGAAAATTACTTGAACATGTAACAGGAAAAGATTGAAGAGTGAAAGATATCTTCACAAGATTGTTAATAACTGGCAAATAAAACGCAAATTATCTGCTAGAATATCCAACGAAGCTTAATTTCTTTTTTCTCCATCTCATGATTATTTCTTCTTATTCTTTAGTTTTCTAATTTACTCGATTCTGTGTACAAAACATTGATGATTTAGCTAAACAGTCGAACTGATGGAAGTCTCGCGAAAGTAGAGATAATCTTTGCTTCGCCTTGTAATTTCATTTCGTCGAGGCAGATCATCATCAACATAATATTGCGAAACGTTTTAAAGCTTCTAATTCATTAGAACTACTTTAGATAATTTCTTTTTTTGTCTTCTTTCAATTTCAAGAATTTCGTAAACTAAAAAATGCACGATGAAAGCAAAGTAAAAAAATGTTATGTAATTAAGTTTAATTCACATATAAAAGCAATGCGTGATGAAATTCAGAAATACCTTCGCTTTTAATGTCTTTTCATTCGCATTCCCATCACTACATGCAAAGAAAGTTTCATTAAATGTTTCCATCGATATTTGCAGGGAAAAGTTTTTTGTTCAATCGATGTTACTTAAAGATAAACGTGATTGCGGGTGGTTAAAGATGGAGAGGAAGTAAAATAAGCAGAAAGAACATTTATTTACAAAGAGTTACATGGAAAATTTTGTAAATATTTTAACTTATGTAATTTGTTCTCATTCACTCAACCAGCATTGCCAGACTTTGTGTATAATTAAAGTATAAATTAAATAAATGATGCGCAGAAGAAAGGAGGAAAATGGAAAAGAATTTTCCATCTTGTAATCATTTCTAAAAGACAGTAAATCGGAGGAAAAAGAAAATTTGTATTTGCTTACTTCAACATATTTAGCGCGATGATATTTCATCGTAAGTATGGCCGAAAATATCTTGTTTACAAACTTATTTTTGTCTAAGATGCTGAATTACTAACAACAGTTGGAAACGGTTTTTCTTCTTTTCTATCTCACTGTTATCGAACTTACTTTGATATTCACTCGAGCTTTGTGTTCAGTTCACGTTACGTGTGCCTTTTGAATAAACAAAATTCTTTAAAGCGCGTAAAAGCTAGCGCAAAAAAAACTACGAGAGTAAATCGTGATGTTTTACATGCCTTTTAACTTGAAAATATTGACCAGAGACAAATATAATTGAGAGTGGGAAATCGGCTTTAAAATCTTTAGTTCTATTTAAATTGAATGATTGGAATGCGATATGTTGATACGGAAAATCAAATTGTTAATTATTGACCATCAATGTAAGCGATGTTAATATTGATTTAAAATGTTCAGCAACAACAGCAGCGACCACCTTAACTACAGCATTCCCCAATCAGTTCACTCTCCTCGATATCTGTTGGAATTCTCACGTTTGCTGTTCGTGCCTTTGTAACTTGTTTGAGATTAAAAGAATCGAAAAGATGCAATGCCAGGTATGGTAATCTTGATATGATTAGCGTAGGTTTTTTTCCAATGCTTCTCCTGTTTCATTCTTCGTCGAATTAAACGATTTTCTACCTGTTCTCTTTCTTTCTTTTTTAATGCCATCTGAAAACATAAATATTTTAGAACGTTTTGTTATTATTGTCGATTCTTTTTTCACTGAGATTTATGTTTAAGCTTCGGTGCATCTTTGCTTCTTGTGATATTTTTGGAGAAGAATAGATCAGGTTCTTTGCTTCGGTTTGTTACTGTTAATGGGCAAGGACAATAACAAAACACTGTCGTTCAATCTCACATTCCTTTTCTTCCAAACATTCCCCTCAATTCATTGTCGAATACGATGATGTGAAGGAATCGAATTGGATGTGGTTTTCACTTCTCTCTTTACTGTGTTATTCGACACGATCGAAAGAACGGGACTCGATGAATCTTCTGTGGGGGAAGCTTTGCTTCTTCGTTTTTCAATAACATCAAGTCATTCCCGCCTTTCACTATGTTCGACATGATACCAAAGAAAAGTTATTGCAGCGGTGCAAACACAAATTTTAATTAAAAACCTGATCCTTGTCACAACTTCTTACTCCACTTGCCAATTGGTGGTCGTTTTCAATTTGTTTCTCCATCATGTGGGAACAGGAAGAGAAAATATCCGGAAATTGTCTCTTAGAATGAAATTAATAAGACGGAGGATGGAATATTAGATAAATTACAATTTCTCTCGTGTCTCAGACAATGAATAATTATTTTAGTCTTTTCCTCTATTGGGTATATGTTCATTAAATTAATGAAATGCTACACAACATAACTCGAGTGCTGTGTTGGTTGTTGAATAGTTCACTGCATCATCTTCCTCTCCTACTCTTTAGCTGTGCATCATTTAAACTCTAAACTGTTTGTAATTATAATTTTATTGCTCTTGATCTCTAAAATGAAACAAGAAAGAAAATTGCAATTAAAAGCACACGATTGTATTTGGTAATCGTTGTCGAGACAGATGAGAAGTGAAATCGGATTCGGAAGAGAAGTTCATCATTTATGGAGCGTTCCTTTTATTCCAATGAAATCTTAATGAATTTTTAACATCAAAATAATCGATGCTTTGAGTTTTTTCGTCAGCAACTTGTTGGCTGTGCGCTTCAGCAAAGAAACGGTTCAAACAGCGGTGAAAGTTTCGCTCAAATTTTCTTTTCTTTTGCTAGTGAAATAAATAATTCAACGGAAAATGTTCCACAACGAATAGCCTCAGAAGAAAAAAAAACTAATTATAATTACAATAAATTAAGTTTAAACCAATTCGTTCACTTTCATATTGTTTTGTCGATTTTCGTGGAAATTTTCACGTTTCCCAAATAAATTTTTTTTTTTAGTTCACTTAAATGATGTAAAATTTTTAATTAAGTTTGAATATGATTTTTGACTTTAAATCGGGTGGGGGGGATTGAAAAAAAAATCTTCTCATGTGCGTTGAAAAGCGATAGATAATAAAATAAAATAAAAATCTGCTAAAATCTCAAAGAAAAAAAAATAAAGTAATAAACATCAAGAGGGAGTGAAATTTATGTTTCTCTTGACTTTTTTTTCCCATAACGAAGCGTTTAACGTCATGTAACAAGAATCGACTAAAGAGTTTGCTTTTCCCTAATAATAAAATTTCATATATCGGTGGAATTCTAAACACAGTAATTTTAATGTGATAAAATGATTTTTCCCTGACTCATCGAGATGAAATTTAATGTGTGGCATGGGCACAGTTTTGTTTGAGATTTAATGCGGGAAGCCATGAAATTTCATAGAAAGATTTGAAATTATCTTTAAAGAATGTTATTAAATTTATAACTAGATAGTAAATAGCTCGATTGATGATATAAAAAGAGTAATTTAATTTGTAATTTATTATTGTTTTCATTACAACATCGTCATTTTCATTTTATGATGGCTGCACTCTTTACCAACGCTTCACTTCCCATCACAAACATGATAAATATTGCGACTACCGACAAAAATTAAACATATCAGTTACTCGATCATCAGAGTAGAACTTTACATACATTGATGATGTTATAGATAGAATTGGAATGTGCGATGCTCGTAAATGCGTTTTGTTACTCTTGTCAATCAAACTTAACATCTCTCATGCGTCTCACATTGTAGATCGTTCAATCTTTTTGTTTATTTTCAACACTCAAATATTTCTTCTCCACAAATATCGAAGTTGAAGCGGGAAAAATAAATCAATGAGAAACATTCCTAACCATTGCGCGATGTGGATAACAAGTTTTGTTTGTTTTAAAAAGAATTTCAGTTGATGAACGATCGCTGTTTTTTGACGAATAACTTGTCGTTTTGTATCCAGTTGATTCATATGCGACTTAATCAAATGCAAACAAAGAATTGCATTTATTTTTTAATCATATTGCGCATATTTCTTCATTTCCGTGCCCTTCCGTTGATTGAGTGAAGATAAAAAACAAGTGAAGAAGCGTTTCATATTACGAGGCGATCATCAGTCTTGTTTATGAGTTAAACATTAAAATAAATTCAAGTATAACAAAAAAATAGAAAGATACAGAGTTGAGAGGGTAAATTAATGATATGCCGACAACAAATTAACTCTTTCATCCAACAATAAAAAAAATTCGAGGATCGTGTTGCATCAACGTCCATAATAATGAAAAACGAAGAAGAATTCAATAATTTTATTATTTATTTGTTTCTTTGCCTCATTTCTCATTCTTTCAATGGCATCTAAGGATTTTGAATAATTTTGAGGGACAACCAAATGAAGATTTAGTAGTCGGGGAGGGTTAAAAAAGAAAAAGCAAGAAAAATGAGCGTCAAAAATTTATTAAAGATTATGTTTCGTAGAGATATGAAATGAAAAAGGGTCACACAAGTCTAAGAAAAGAACAAAATGAATCCCCGAGAAAAAGAAACAATCCAGATGTTGGACTCGAACCGAAGCATTCAATTTTTGTATTATTTGCTTTTGTGGATTATACGGCAATGTCTGTTAATTTAGATTAGATTTCTTCCCGTCGTTCTTCTCTCCTCGCATCTTACAGTTTAATTCTTTTTTATTTTTCATCTTCAAAGTCATATACCAGAGAAGAGTAGGAAAAGAAAAAAAATATTCTGAAGTGGCTTCATTTCTGGTTGTTTATTCTCCAATTTCGTCTTTATAAACTGTAATAATAACAAGGAGAAGAGATACGATTTGGAAGCAACAGAAAAAAAATATATCCACTTGAGATTTGAATTTGTTCATGCGTTCGTTCATTGCCTCGAAAAAGAGAACACCATGCTGACGATAAATTGCTCTTGTTTTAAAATAATCGTAGATGTTGTAAGAACGTCGACTTTACGAGGCGAAGATATCAGAATGAGAATTCAAATTTTGATTTGATTCACTTTTGTGTTGATCTCCCGCTCTTGAAAATGATTGAAAGCATTGAGATGTTTAATTTATGGTATTGGGAAGCTAAATAAAGTAATTTGTCTCGATGTCTGATACTTACTTTCATAAATGGATCTTTAACGCTCGATAAGAAGCTCAACTAGTTCATTTATTTTGTGACCTCACCGCAGTTTTATGTCTATGTTTTAACTGCCACTTGAATCAACATAAATGTTATGCTTCCCCTTGTTGAATTTATGTTCGTTCATCGTTCAATGTCAATGCTTCAAACAATCGAATCATCATAATTTGACTGAGTTAAAGCAGATTTCTCTTTAATATTATGAGAAGTTTACATCTCAATTATTAAACATTTTGTTTCGAGATATCTACAACTGTAAAGTTAAGTCTTGTTAGAGATTTGAGTATCAATCATAATTAATACGCGAAGCAACGGACTGACATTCAGTCAAACTTTTTTTCAAGACTGATTAATTCACGTCACATTCCTTCAACTTTATTTTTCACGTTCGACTCTGACGGAAGATTACGAGACTTCCATATTTTCCGAAACTTGTCTATGCTTACATGTTTAGACACTCATTGTTGTTTGAACGCGAGTAAATTGCGCAAGAAGTAAATCATCTTCGAGTTTTTTTTTTATTTGTTGAACTGAACTCTGAACGACGTTGAAAAACCTGCAAAATCTCAAAACAACAATTTTGCCAGACAGAGGGTCGCTGCTTGTAAGATTTTTTTTCCTTTTCTTCAGTTTATTTCTCAAGTGGAATGAACATGAAATTACGACAATAACAACAACTCTTAGCTTCTGTCTATAATTTCTCTCTAAATGTGTTTTACTTCATTCTGTTTTATTGCAGTGGTTTGAACTTCCAAGACTTGATGGTGCGCTTGGGTGCTATTGACTCACCGCCAAAAACCCCAACAATTCTCGGATTCGAATGTGCTGGTGAAGTTGAAGCTGTTGGTGAAGGTGTTGAAGATTTCAAGGTAATTTCATTTCACATAAGAAAATAAATCATTAAAGTTCTTACTTTGAATCTTCTTTTTAAAAATAAAAACAGGTTGGCGATCGTGTTGTTGCATTACCAGAGTTCCGTGCCTGGGCTGAATTGTGTGCCGTTCCAACTAAATATGTCTACAAACTGCCCGATGAAATGTCATTCCAAGATGCTCCTGCCATAACAATGAACTATTTGGTCGCTTATATCATTGTGTTTGAATTGTTGTCGCTTCGTCCCGGAAAATCTTTGATGCTTCATTCAGCAGGCGGCGGTGTTGTGAGTACAATTTTTCATTTCATCTTTCACATAAATATCCTTCCATCACTCTCCATGACTCGACGCTTTTTCATTCGTCTTGAACGTCAACTTTGACCTTTCAAAGATTTTCTCTTCTGCCTTTTTTTTGTTTTGTTTTAAGCTACTTGGCAGCTCGAGGTTATTTTTATTTCTCAGCACTTTGAAAGCGAGTGATTATTTTTAATATTTTATGATTCTCGAGTCTCTCAATATCATTTTCAATTCCACGAAAAGCTCGTCCAACGCCCACGCGAATAAATCCTTGTCGAATGAAAAATTATTCAAGATTGTGGATATTTGCGTGAAGCTCTTGTTTGAAAGAAAATGAAAGAACATGAACCAAAAGCTTAAAAATAACGAACATTATCGAGTAGCATTCACCGCAAAATTTATCAACGATAAATCTTTTCATTACTTTCGTCTCTCGTCTCAAAACGTGACTAATTTGTGTGTGATGGTGATTTTATTTTCTGACTTTCGCTACATTTTTATTTCACCTCACAGGAGAATTTAATCCTATTTACCATCCACCCACAATTACGCACACATACACACTCATTGATATTTGTATTCATTTCCATGATGCGCTGATTCATTGCCCATCGTTTCTTGATGGACATTAATTTTATTTATTTACATTCGTTCTTTTGTTATTGGCTTCAGTCTGTGGTTAAAAGAAGCGGGAAAAGAAAGAAATGAAGACCTTTTAACATTATTGGTTTGTTGGTAACATTTTTCACTTTATAAGCGAACGCAGGGATTGGAAGTGGTTGAGAGTGAATGAAACATAATATTTTTGAAACCAGACAAGTTCCCAGTCGACCACTTCACTCCCCTTTTGAAATTTCGCAAAATTTGTCTCCCTTGCATCGGTAAATTGAGTTATGACGAAGCGAACAAAAGTGATTCGAGTACGTATCGATTTTATTCAAGTGTAGTAAACAATTCGAGAGTAGTTGTGCGTATGGAAATAACAATAAAAGATTTTATTCGCCTCAATCCATTTTGAAAATAACAAAAAAGGGTTTTGCAAGTGCAGAAAATGTTTTCTTCAAATCGAAATGGAATTTCCACGGTTTGGGTTTAATGAGCTTAACTCTTAATGAAGACGATAATAAAAGGGTTAATTGCTGTGCATTCAGTACCCTAACAAACAATTTAACATTTATACATAATGAACGAGAAGCTTCGCATATGTTTCAGTCTTTTTTCCTTTAAATGAAAGGGAATCGAGCACTTTTACGACTTTTTCTTTTATTTCTTTTGCGTCAAGTGTCGCCTCACATTTTTATTGAAGTTTTTTTATGATTCGCGAGCACAAACAAAACGCGAATTTCCTTTGCTGCTTTTTTGACAAAAAAGTCGATTCTTGAGTCTCCAATCTTTTGACGGTTGTGATCATGAAGTTACGCAATTATTTATAGCAACGAATAATAAATTTTCTTGAATGTTATTGTTAGAAACAATTCCCCGGGAAATTGCAGAAAAACATTTTTGTCAATGACGACAATTTGCAAAATTCTTCATGTTTCAGTTCTGCGGTTATTAAAATTCATATTGAGTGTCATTCTCTCACTCTCTCTTGTTATTTATAATTGACAATAAGAGTCATTAAAAATTTGTTTAAACTTGTTGAAAGTGGGTGCGGAAATATGAATAACAAATAAAAATATGTTTGAAGTGTTCTTCTCTTGGGGATTGAAGCAATGATGATAATCTTTCTGGTCAATATTTGTTCAACTGCACTTCTTTCTCGGCTTCTCATAATCTGCTTCTTATTCACTCCCTAATGATCTTGATGTGGTTGGCTCTTTTCTTTCCATTGTTGTTAAAACTCACTGGACCGATTATTTTGATTCATAAAAATTGATGAGAGAATATTTGTGGCTTCTTTTATGTCTCACGAATTTTATATTTATTCATCCAACGTCATCATCATTATTTTCTTTTTCTCATGCTCTTATCATGTTATTTATGTATTTGATTATCATTCAGGGAATTGCGAGGATTTTCTTTAAACTTCCAAAGCATATTTACAAAGTCCTTTATTTAAATGTTTAAAGCTATGAAATTACTTACATTTGTGTGTTTAAATATTCAAGAAGGAAAAGATTTTTCCATTTCATGAATGAAGAGGTTAACGACTCTGTACATTCGCGAATTGATGTCGTTCTCGTTCTGCTTGTTATCACTTAGCTCCCCTTCATTTTACATCTTAAAGTTGAATGGAAACATTTTCTGATGTTTTAACAAAAAAAAATAAAAGTCGAGCAAAGTGAGCAATTTAATGTTATGCAAAAAATATTTTATGTTCACCATTAACTTCATTTCACCCAAACTCTAGTGAGCAGCACATCCCTTTCAACTTTGTCTTCCAGACTCCAATAAAATCTCATTCAAACTTCGTAATGTTGGAATTTGTAAATGGGAAAATATTTTTCACTCTCCTTCTCTTCTAAAAAGAATTTAATTCATCCAAATTAAGGGTGTGGGAGCGTTTTTAGGTATCAAGTGAATGAACAGCAACAAAAGAATTGCAAAATATTTTTATAAAAAACAAATTAAATTTTTTTTTTTGCATCAGAAGGCGTCTTAATGACTTTTTCGTTATTCCAATGCACTCGAATATCTTCTTTTAATATAATTTGTTAATATTTTCCACACGCTTTTGATGTCCATGGTTGATAAATTATTAATTTTCCGGAAGCATAAAATCAATTCTTTAAATAATTGTCCATTAATTTTTTCCTGGTCGCTTCTTCTGTTCATGTTTTTCCATTTATTTTCTTATCTCACCGACTAAATCTTTCATTGTTGCTGTTCCTATACATTGTTTTGGAGAGGCAGTTGGGGAGTTAATTTTATCTAAAAATTCAGAATTCACCATAAAATTTCTGCTCTGTCTAGCGCAAACTCAAATGGGAGAAAAATTTATTTTCATTCAAAGTCTGTGCAAATATTCTCGTGGCAACAAAACAGTTTTCCACTCTCGTTGATGGTTTTTTTTTGAATTATTTTCAAGTTGATTTCATATGCACATGAGTATTACATATCCATAGAATTTCAATGATTTTTTTCCGGTGAAAATTTTTAATTTGTTGCTTCTCAAATGCCGACAAACAATTTCAATCTCTGATGTTGATTTTTTGAGTTGTTGAAAATTGTTCATTCGAAAGCCGATAACTTTCTTTCATCCCTTCGAACATAAAACGATATAAATTATGTGGAAAAAACACTTTCATGTCCATGTTTAGTCTCTCGGAAAAAAAACTATTTTTCACCACCCACACCCACGCATAGTTTTACATCATAGGATTTTATTGTTGCTCATGAATCTTAATCAAAAAACCATGTAAGGGACACAAAACTAGGTTGGAAAATGCTTCTAGGGAAGAAATTACTGTAAATGGAAATTTAATTGTTTCTTGTTGAGTTTTCCTTCCTATCTCTCTTTAATTTTTATTGCAGTCATGTATCATTTTCTTTTGTGCGTTTGTGTGCACAAATTTTAATCCTACAAATGATCATTCTTTGCTTTGTTCTATGCTTTTGTACTGTTGCTAAGAGAATATGAATTAAAGCAATTTATTGTTGTGTGTCAGAAACGACTTTGTGATAAACAACATCAGTTCATTTCTTCTCTAATGTTAAAACGTCACGAATCACATCGCTTTGTTTGAGTCTCTGTGTCCTTACTTAGACTTTAATACTTCAACAACAAATATAGAAAAAATGTTTTCCCCACGCTTCATGCTGTTGTGTTGACTCATTGAATGGATAAAACTATTGAATTACCTTTAAAGAATGACTCAAAGAGTTTTGTTTGCATCGCATGGTCGGCTTTTGAAAATGTTTAAACAGAAGTGCATAAACACATATCGGGCACGAAGGCAAATGTGTAATTGGGGCGTCAGACAGACGGTCGTCTTTGGAAGCGTTTTTCACATGAATTTATAATGACGCAGACACTTAATGCCACGGAAAAAGGAATTAAAAGTCGGCTAACGGCACCCTTTGCAACTTTTGATCCCATTTTCTTTCTGTTTTTTTTCTCTAAATATAACAAAACATGTGATTTGATATCACGATAGAAAAATAAAACATAAATATCCGTTTCTCACAAAAATGAAATAATTTAGTGTCGCGACTCGGTCTTTGAACTGTCTGAAAGTTGCTGGTGAAGAATGCGGGCAAAGTTAATCGATTAGCCTAGTCAACTATTTATTTAACATCCAAAGAAGCGCGTGTTGATAATTATGAGGTGAAAATGTTTCACATTTTAATGCATTCATCCATTAGGTTCACTTTAAAAATTTAATCCATCGATTGTTTCAACATGAAATTAGACTAAATGGAAATGAAATTTATGGCAAAGCAAAAAAGCACTGAAAGAAGCGTAAAATGTAAAGATTGTTTGTGCCAGTTGCACTTAGAGCAAATATGAACTTGCAAATAAAACTGAACTGACTTTAAAAGCAGAATGCCTTAAAATATTGAAACACGATCGTTCATGATGAAATATTGCAAATGCAATTGAAAAATGATTGAATGAATTTTTGTTTTCTCTTTCGGGCACCATATGGGAAAGAAAAACGATTACATAAAGAAGACTTACAACTTGTAAGTGCTTTTCAAATATCGAAACATTTTGACAGTGAACTTAAACTTCTTCTTTTCATTTTTTTTCTTTTGTTTCGGAAATAACTTGAGCTTCGTTATTTTTTTCCACTGCTGAAACATGGAGAAGAAAAATCAATAAAATCGTCGGATAATGTTCGATGTGGAAATGGAAGAAGAAAAAAATATTTTTTGGGGTTTCACTGTGCAGACTGTTGTAGGCTAGTCAGCAAATCATTCTTTTACACGCACACACACACAGTTTTTTTTATGTGAATCGATGAGAATTCAGATATTCAACAGATATCATTCTGGTTTCCTTGGGGTTGATAATTTCAATGTTGTATTATCCAGAGACTTCGAAATGTTTTCAACTTCCTCGAATTTACTTTCATTCATTCTCATTAATTCTTTTGCTTGCTTCGAAAGTAAATTCTAAGTACCAGTAAAATGTTGTTGTTGCTTATTTAAGTGTCGATATGATATCGTTCAAAAGGAAAATTGCCTTGAATATGGAAAATTTTTTCAACGATTGTTTGGGGGGTGTAAAAATAGATTTTTTCATATCGACGATTGTGAATTTCGAAAAAAGAAGAACTTTTTATTAGCTTTCGCTCCACTTTATTTGTCGTATTTATTTATTACATTGACTTGCTTTTAACAACATCAAGAAAAATAAAAGTTTCATGCTTAGCTTCGTGATGTGAGATTGGGAAAAGCGTTTGCTTTGTGTTGTTATCACATGAACTTCAATTAAAGTCATTTCTTGTGAATAAAAAAGTATTTTGAATTCCACTCTTCAGTCATTAACAAAATGCCTCGAATCGAGAAAGAGAAATGCTCATTGTTGAATTCTTAGGAATATTTTATTGACATGAATAAGTGAAAGGAAATTCTTGGGGTGTGTTTGCAAGTGCTTCAACCATCGACTGCTTTTTATTGCTCAAAAGAAAGAAACTCTCTGCTGCGGCGTTTTTATGAAGTTCTATTGATCATATTTTATTGTTGCTTTTAGTATTTGTTCCTATCCAGTGGAAAAAAATAAACTTTACGACTCTCTTAATGTAGACATAGCGAACGTTTGTTGATTTGAAGCTTTTATTTTTTATTTTTCATTTTGTTACGTTTCGTTTGATGCTCTCTTCACTCAAAGTCATTTAATCTTCGAGATATTTGTTGCAGTCATTAAGTGAAATGGATCCTCCTTATCGTACTTCATTTCATGACTTTACGTATGCGGGTGGCAAAATAATTGCTAATTGATTTTTAAGCTGTGTGTGTTCGTTTCTGTTTGGCTATATTTACATTGCAATTCTGCCTTTCATCGGGTGCGCTCTTTTTACATTATAATTTGAATGAAAAATTATGCATTTTTCTCCACTTAATCTTTATGAGTTTGTTTACATTTATTTTTTGTTCTCTTTTGAGATGAAATGAAGGAAAGAAAAAGTTTACTGAAACTAAATTTATTTATAATGCCATTTGATGCTTCTGTTGCTGCTGTTAAACTTCTTCGTTTTCTTTAGTCTATTGCGAAATGAAATAAGATTTCCAAAACTTTTAATTTAGTTAAGAAACAGCAAGTTATGCATTTTAATGTCGCTACATGTGGCAGATATCAAACAAACTAAAATAAACATTTCGTAATTTGATTTTAATTGTTGTTGGATTGCAATCTGCTTGGTGTTCTCGTGTCTCACATTTAAATCTTATTTTGTTATTTACTTGCTTATAAAGCAATCTGAAGATGATTCACGGTCATTACACCATCGTTACGTTTCATGTTCCGGAAATTTGTTGACAAAGAAATCTAATTTGAGTGTCCGAGGTCCAATCAATCGAGGCAGAACTTTGTTGAAATATCATGAGAATTGCGTGATGATCTTTCCAAATTATTCTCTGGTTTCATTTTGTTTTATCTTCACTAACTTCGCAAAGAATTAAATTTTAAATTACCAAAAAAAGCGAAACATTTTCTCCCTTTCAACAAAAGATTTTCCATTACAATTACATGTTACGCATTCATCCAGAATACACATTTCTCTTAATTTCACGTGTAACAAAGAAAGAAAGGAAAATCATCTGTTGCTTTAGATTGTGAGAGAGTGAACGTAATTAACTAAATGTTCAACTTCATCTCGATAATTGAGATTATGATAATTACAAAAAGAGTTTTCTTGCAAATCTCAAATTGCAAAAATAAACAAAGAATTATCGCTTAGTAATATTATATCGTATTATCTAATTAAGGTCAGCACTTGAAGTGAAAGAACTCGATACGACATTAAACTTGAACGGAAGATGAAAGTTTCGTCTACTGTGGAGATAAGCGAAACATAAAATTCATTTCTTTGTTTGCAAAAGCATCGTAAAATCATGGATGAGAAATATTTTTTTTATTTAATTGAGAGATGGGAAAAGATTGTTAATTACGATGTTCATTTAGATACATAATCAACTTTCACATGAAACAATTTCGTTTTCATTTTCATTTTCTTTTGCTTTTCAGGGTCAAGCCATCGCTCAATTGGTTCGCACTTTCGACGGTGTCACTATGTTTGGTGTGAGCTCAAAGGGAAAGCATGAACAGTTGGCAACTGGTGGATTGTTTGATCATTTGATCGATCGTGCTGACTATGTCAATGAAGTCAGAAAGTGAGTGTTGAATTGTGTTATTTTATTCATTTCTCATTATCTTATCAATCATCTTCATCTTCATTTTATTATTAGAATTTCACCGGAAGGCGTTGACATTATTTTGGATTGTTTGTGCGGTGATGACTGCAATCGTGGCTATGGATTGCTTAAACCTATGGGAAAATATATTCTTTTCGGATCATCGAACGTCGTAACTGGTGAAACTAAGAGCTTCTTTAGCGTTGCTCGCTCGGTAGGAACGAATTATTTTAACAAAAATTTCAAATCATTTCAACATTTTCTTTAAAAATAAAACTTTTCAGTGGTGGCAAGTCGACAAAGTCTCACCAATCAAGCTTTTCGACGAGAACAAGACACTTACTGGCTTTAATTTACGTCATTTACTCTACCAACAAGATGGATCTGAATATGTAAAGAAGGTCATAGATGATGTTTTTGGTATGTGGAAAGATGGAAAGATTAAGCCAGTCATTGATTCAACATGGGCACTTGAAGATGTAAGCATTGATTGATCAATAAAATGTTCGATTGATTAAAGAGAAATTATTTCTTCTTTCTTTCCATTTCCAGGTCACCGAAGCTATGCAAAAGATGCACGATAGAAAAAACATTGGAAAGCTTGTTTTGGATCCAGCAGCTGAACCGAAACCTAAGCCAGCTACACCAGCCAAGGTTAAAGCCAAGAAGGAGAAAAAAGAAAAAGTTCAGTCGCCATCAACCGATGAAGAGAAGAAGGTCGAGAATGGCACTGATAAGCCGGCTGAGAATGGAAGTGGCGAGAATGGCGAAGCAGCTGAAGCTGAAAAGCCAAAAGAGAATGGCGATGGAGGTGAAGCAAAGCCGTCTGAGAATGGTGAAAATTCAGCAGCTGCTGAGACCAATGGCGATGGTAAGCAAAAGAAGAGCTTAACGCTCAGACTCACGAGAATGTTGAGCAAATAACTTCAAAATTATCCTGCATATCCTGAACAAAAAATGATCAAATTAAGAAAATCCATTCAATATATTTTTTCATATCTACGATCAATTGTTGTATACGGTTGATGGGTGTACATTTAAAATGATTATAGCTTTCTTGTATTCTTTTTGTCTTGCATGATTTGTTTATATATTTCCTGAATGAAAAAGAAAAAGAACAATGAAAGCTTAAATTGTAAACTTTAAGGATTTCCCCTCTTTTCGTAATGAATGTGTTTAAGAAAGAGGAGAAATTTGGAGAGTTTAAGCTTTTCACGCACCCTTCAACTCTCCTTAATTTTGGAGAAATTTCTCCTCAAGAAATGAAGAAATTTTTCTTTTTCCATCAACAACACAGCAATTGAACGAACAATCATTTATAACTCAACAAAGATTTTTTTTATGATTATTAAACTTAATTGATAGAGAATGAAAAAGGAAATTTTAGTTTATAGTTTCTTTTTTTGTATTTTTTTAAAGAATATTTTTGTTTGTTACATGAAGCAAGATGAAGATGAAGAAGAAGATAAAAATTTTAGATCGTAATTATTATAAAAGAATAAATTAAATTATTATTTGTGTGTGTCTTTAGAGTATTTGCGGTTTGGGAATTATTTGCAAGTTGAGTAAAAAATTGTTGAATTAACCGAGTATTATAATTTAAAGTATCATTTATCAACTAACAGCGATGTAAGTTTTTGACAACATTAATCCCACCAAATCCAAGAAAACATTAATCCTTCTATTCACTCATTCGTCTTCTATTTTGGAAAGAAAACAAACGAATTTCTAATCCATGATGATGATGCAGCTCTTAGTCTTGCAAATAATTCCCAGATTACCTCGAAAAGACAAGAAGAAGAAAGTTGAAATTATTTTTGACCTTTTGTGTAACAATTTATTAAAAAAAATATTAAAAATTTTAATTTGATTCTTCGGAACGAAACAAAAAAAAATGAAACATGATCTTTTTTTTCTTTCTTGAGTTTGTTAATATGAAAATACCTTTGGAACCCTTTTTTTCTGCTGGTCCGCTTTGTGTCGTTTATTTTTATTTTTGGAGCATACTGTTTGCTGTCATGTCACCTCTCATATGTACAGGCGATGAAGTTTTGTGAGATTTCATATAATTTAATTAATAATTATTTCTTCAAATCTCAATTTAGCAAATAAGAATGTCGGAAAGTGATCGTTTGTTTTATTCTATCTTTCTTTCTTTAATGAATGTTGTTAAATATTTCAAAGCATGTTGTGTGTGTTAAAAGTCTTGGCTTAAGAAATTAATAATAATAAACAATAATTATACGAACTTTATCAACATATCTCGTCAAAACAAAACTATTCATGATATCAAATTACTAATTCATTGACTTATATACTTTCCATTTACAGAAAAGAAACAATCAAGCTGAACGCCCAAATCTTAAAGATAAACTAAGGCCAAGATTGAGATTATAATCCAATCTGTCTCTTTACTCTTACGCAATTTCTTTTTTTTATGAAACTCTTTCATTTATTATAATTGAGAAGAAGTCGAAAATAATTCCGTCAGTGTTTTTTTTCTAATTTTATTTTTAAACATTTATTCATCATACTTTATCTTTTATAATAACAAATGTTTCTTTTTATGAATATTATCAATATAAGAAAAAGTCTCTCATCGTTTATTTCCAGTAGAATTGTGTAACATATGCGATAAGAAAATCTTGATGTGACACTAATCCTTGTCGTCTTAAAGATTCAAATGTCTTAATTTAGCTCTTCATATTAAGTAATAATCAACACTTGAGAGTTCTACTTAACATCTGATATGTTGTTTTGATTAAAAATTTCATCTATCAAGGACATGTTTCATCGTCATGATTTTCAATTGCTTGTTTGAGTGTGACATGAAATGTTGAATCACATTTCAAAACATACAAACAAATTATTCTTATATTTCTTTGTGTAAAAATGATGAGATCAAGATTACTTATCTATATCTATCTATCAATCTTCTTACATACTTATTTCTGTTTTCTAATTGTGTAAATCGATATGCAAAGATCGCCTTTCCAGCAACTTTTGATCGTTTCACATCATGGCATTGCACGTCGACTATAATATTTTTGAAAGAAATGGAAAAATCATTTTTAATTCCTGTAATCGAGCTCATATCTGTTAATTCACTGAAAAATGTCTTTCAAAAGAATGTTTTCCATTAAATTTGCTACTTGAAGCTTTTTGATGAAAATTCCATTATTAGAATATTACAAAACTAATTTGAGAAAAAGAAGAAATTGAAAAATAAATAAACTTATAAGATATCGCTAAACAAGAAGCTTTTGATGTTATCTTTCATGTAAAACTAATAACAACTGTCTCGTTTCTATGCTTTAATCCCAATTTAAACAAGAAAAAGGAAAACAGAAGGAAATTTTCTTTTCATACTTTCTATTTTCATGCAAATTTCATGAAATCATCGAATAATAATAATAAAAATAATATAAAAGAAGAAAAAGGCAAACAATCGAAGAGTTGTAAGGATCAAGTTTTGTAAGGGCATATTTTCAAAGATAACTTTTATTAGATAGAATGGAAAAAGATATCCTAGGACATTCAAAACATGAGGCTGAATATTAATGAATTCATTAGAATTTGATGGACGGTGACGTGATGTAAGTGCAATGAAAACTTTCGAATGAAATATAATGGCAGAGAAAGATTCTTGAAGAAATTAATTACACTGCCAGTAAATATTTATCTCAATTCGATGCTGCTGAAAGCTTTTGGAATCAACTTTAAGCTTTGCAAAAATCAATGAGAAATAATTTTGATATCAAACTTTTATGAAAGCTTTCATTAGCAGCCAAACAACAACGAACACTTTTAAGAGCTTGCATATTTTTTTAACATGTAGCTTCTTAATTCACTCACCCCTTCAATGAAACAACATGCAAATATTATCAAGATGAATTTATAGATAATAAAATTGCACAACCATTTCACGCGAACCAATTTTTGAAGGAAAATTTTCCTGTTTGTCTCATTTTTTTTTTACGCAAAGAAAGTTTTTGACACTTCAAGTGACATATCAATAGGAGAGTCACTTGTGACGTTTCGCTTTTGATACTTTGATATCTTTCTATCAACATATAAACATGATTTTTTAGCTTTTTCACTAAACAGACAAGAATTGATATCTATAAGAAGAATGAAATAATCACAAAAACTTTGTAAGCTAAATGAATAAATATCAAGAAAATGCCATTGAAATGTGAGAAGAATATATTTTCTTAAAGAAGAATCAAAAAGATGTAAGAAATAAAGTATTGGATAATGTATGATAAATGCTGCTTTTTCTAAGATTATGATGAAGAAGTTCTTTACTAGCTCTGAGAATATTTCTTTTAGTTTGGAAAGTTGAAATGTTTTCTCGTCTTGAAACAAGTTAGTTATCAAATTATTGTTCTAATATGTTCATGACGAGATATATCTTGCACATCGGTGTCAACTTTAGGAAAGAATTCGATTTAAATTTCAAGATTTTTTTTTGTTAAATTGGAAAAATTGAAATGAGAAAAGTAAAAGGAAATTTTTGCATTTTTTAATTTCTCTATATTAAAATAATTATCTAAATAAGTAAAATTAATTACTGTTAATATCATAAGGGCTTGTATCATCAGATATAATTATGAAAAAGCATAGAATAAAGAAAATTTAAATAAAATTAAATTGTGAACATTTTTTTATTTCTTGATTTGATTGTTTTCAGAGATGGCAAATAGTTCTGCATTTTATGTTATTGGAAACAAAGTTCATTCCAATCCCTGAAATCTTAATGGAAAAAAGAAGATTATGAAAGGATTTTAATATCCAATGTGTTTGAATGACGTCGTACAGCCAACAACCTTCGGTTGATAAGGTCGTGACCGTCCTCTGCCTCTGAAACTACACGAAAAATTCTTTTCTTGATGAAATTCCCCATCTTGATGTTGAAACGATTCAGTCTCGAGGAAAATATCAAGCGATGTCATCGCACGTTGTAGTTGAAGTGACAGAACATTATCAACACTGTCACATTTTATTCCGTTAACAAATCCCTCGATTTCTCGAATATGCGATGAATTTTCGGCATTGTATTTGTTGTCATAGCTCAATTGAAGTGCAAAGATTGGAAAATTGTCTCGAACAGCGATGTAGCACTCAAGTTTGGCAGATCCACGTGTTACAACCGCTCGATAAAACAAGTCATTGGCACCAACAATTTCACTTTCAATGAATCTTTTTGTGCATGGAATAACTGAATACTCAGCGAAAGAAAGCGATACAAATTGTTGAAGGATTGACGAGATGCGAACATTTCCACTGATTGTTATTTTCCCAATCTCAAGTGACTGAATTTGATGGTAAAGTTTCATTCTTGCCGATACACGTTTATGCATTTGACGAATCAACTGTGGAACTGTCTCGTCGCAAAGTTTGAAAGATTCGTCAATATTCAGCTTCGATGTTACGCTTATTCCACATAACCTTTGTGCCCATTTGTAAGGCTTTCCCAGCATCTTCTCGTCTAATAATTTACTTAAATCTTTTGGATTTAATTGAACATTCTGAAGTTGGTAAGATGTATGAGGACTTGGACTCTCCATACCATAATCGCCTTCATACAAACCACTTAAGATTCGATCTGGTGTCATGATGTCACCAGCTGCAACAGATTGCGCGTTGTCAAGATTAAATTTTCCTTGAACAGTCACAATTGACATATCAGGAAGATAATTCAATGTCACTGACAAAGTTTCCTTTCTTTTCTTCGATTTCAGTTGAAATTGAACACTCAAAGGATGATGAGCGAAAAGTTTCTGACGCTTCTGATTCTGCGATTCAATTCTTGACTGTCGTCGTTGAACTTTTCTTCGATTATCCGATTCTTCGAAATCATTTTCCTCAGCTTCGTTCTCAGAATCTTCATTTTCATCTAATTCCTTCTCATCCTTTCCTTGTTTACGTTCGTTTTCCAACTGAAGTGCTTCATCTTCATTGCCATCAACTGACACTGAGAGATTATTGTCAATAACTTCTGAGTAAGCCAAAAGCTTAGTGTAAGCCATGTAAAGTGGTTGTGGGAGCAGACGAACAATTTTTTGAATCTCCCATTCGATCTCGAATGGCATGTTGAGGATTTTCTGAATCGGGCGTGTTGCTTTGCAGACATTCTGAAGATTTGGGAGAAGTGAATCCAAATTATCCTTTAAAGCAACAATTTTCTCGGCAACTTCTTCTTTTTCCTTCTCAAGTTCTTTGCATTGTTTTGCATATTCTTTTCTTTGTTGTAATTCAAACTCTAAACGAGCCATACGAAGCGCATGTTTATCTTCGAGAATTTCTGGCGTTCGACTTTCTTCTGGAGCAATTTTTAAGAATTCTTCCATCGAAACCAATTTGATGTCTTCATCTTCACTTTTGAACGATATACATTTATTGATTTCTTTCTTAAGATGATCGGCTTCGTAGATGAGATTCTGTAGCTTAAGGCGGTTACTGTCAACGTTGAGTTTCTCTTTTGCAAGCAATTCACGTCGATTAGCGAGACGAATCTTATCAAGACGATTCAACTTCTTCAATTTAACGATAATCAACGAGCCTTGAATTCGTTTTTCCACAATTTTCTTCTTTGCCTGTTGTGATAATAAATTAATTATATAGATTTAATTAAGATTATTGCAATTTCCTCACCTCTTCAGTGTTCTTTGATTTCAAATCTGACACTTCCTGAATAAGTTTGTTAAGTTCAGTGAAGCATGTTTTGAATTGATCTCGATTGAATTTACTTTCTTCCTTCTCTTCAAACTCAATAGCGTTCTATTTAATGAAATAAAAGGGTTTTCGTAAGAATTTTAGAAAGAACAGAAAGGTAAAAGTTACTTACACTAAAAACTTCTTCTTTTATAAGTTTCACTGGAGTTTGTGGTGTTGATGATGAAGTAGACGCATTTTTACTTCGTTTCTTAGTTTCTCCTACCATTTTTGTGATTTGTTAGTTTATTAATTTAGGAAATTTAATGTTGATGTTGTTTGTTTACACACGCGTTTGATTTACCACATTTGCAGTGAAAAATGTACAAAAATTCAATTTGTCTGACTGTCAGAAGATTTGAAGTTTTGATTTGAGATTGCGAATTTGACCGGCTTGAATGTTCATTCAAAGACGTAAGTAGCTGACACTTATTTTAATTAAATACATTCCATAAATTTTCATAAGGTAATATTTTCTTGAAGTATAATTATATTTAGTCATTCATCTTATTGATTATTTTGCGTTGAACATTTTAATAAAACTTTTCCAGTTTTTCATCAAACTAAAGTAGTGATGGGTAAATTTATGCTAAAAGAAATAAACGGAGATTTATTCTCTGCAAAAACTTCGATGGCTCATTGTGTTGGTGCTGATCTAAAGATGGGAATGGGTATTGCTGTCAAGTTTAAGCAACTTTATGGTAGAGAAGATGAATTGCGCAAACAAAATGTAAGTTGAAATTTGATTGCAATCATTCAATGAAACACAATTTTATTTAAGGTAAAAAATGGAGGATGTGCTGTTCTTGATGTGCAAGATAAGTTCATCTATTATCTAGTTACTAAAGAGAAATCTGGAACAGGATTTTATCCAACTTATGAATCCCTTGAATCTTCATTGAAATCCATGCGAGATCATATGGTTGCGAATAAAGTATCGGAATTGGCAATGCCTCAAATTGGTTGTGGAATTGATGGTTTAAAATGGGATCAAGTTGAGGAAAAGATTCGAAATGTTTTCTCCGATACTGATATCGAAATCACTGTGTACAAATATGTTCCACCAAAATAAAAGTTTAAATTCGGAATAAATTTAACGGCGTTTAAGTTTTCAAATTTATAAACAAAACTATTTCCAACCCCTTGTGAAATATTTTTATCTAAAAGTTGCAAGTTTTGTCTTAATTATACAAGTTCATAAATGAAAAACGTTGTCTTGTCTTTCAAAAATCATTAATTAAGTTAAATTATGTAACTCAAAGTAACGTGTTATCTGTTGATAGTTGAAATCTTTACTTTTCATAAATAATTGACGTCATTGACGAATTGCTTCTATTTTTAATATCGATTTTTCTTGTCGTGAAAAATATCTTTAAGCAGAAGAAATTGTAAAATTACAACCTTCACTTGAGGTTTATAACTTAAGAAAAGTTTAGAACTCAGTGTGTTGGATTGGAGGGAGCGCTGGGTGTGCCAGTTATTAAACTAGAACTAAGCATTTATCATATTTAAGTGTTTTTTCATAAAATTACTTTTTTGATAAAACTTAAAAAGTCATCATGAATCCCAATCTCGATCCATTTGTGGTGACAGCTAAAGAAAGGCTTCGGTTTCAAGATCAATTCAATGCTTTGGGACCAGTAAATGGAATTGTAACAGGAGCGCAAGCAAAAGGTTTCCTTTTAAAATCACAACTCTCGCCACTGGTTTTGGGACAAATTTGGTGAGTCATAAAAACAATTCCTGTTTATCACATTCCCATTATCAAATATATTTTCTATTTCATTCTTAAACAGGGCTCTTGCTGATACAGATGCTGATGGTAAAATGAATGTGATTGAGTTCAGCATTGCTTGTAAATTGATTAGTTTGAAGTTGCGAAATATTGAAGTTCCAAAGATGTTACCACCAACACTTTTGGCGTCTCTGAAACATGTTGGAACACCCATTCGCACTCCAACAGGAACAATGAGTCCCGTCGAAGGTTACAAACAATTCTTGCCACCAGTTGCAAATGTACCACCACAACAACAACAGCAACAACCAATAATGGCTCAACAACAACCAATGATGATGACACAAGCACCTCTGCCCCAAATGCCGACAATGCCTGTTATGCCAATGACATCACAAGCAATCGCTGGTGGGGTTGTTCAAACAGTTTCACCACAGCAGCAAATTTCACCTGAAATGTTAATGCAACAACATCAGCAGATGATGATGATGGCACAACAACAGCAACAACAATTACCACCACAGCAAATAATTCCAGCAAGCATTCCGACAGGAACAATTCTACCCACACAACCAGCTATGATGATGTCAAATAATATTCCAATAAGCGCTGTTGTGCCACCACCAGCAAAGCCACCTTTAGTTGATCAATTGAGTAACAGTTCGCTTCTTGATTCACTTGCACAAGTGCAACCTTTACCAATCGCTACAAGTGCTTTACCAGCAGCACCAACTCCAACTCCACCACAAAGTGGTCATGCTAGTCGTTCAATGTCGTTTTCAGAGAAAGCACCATCAGTTCCTGAATCTCCGTAAGATTTCCTTTTGTTTTCTTTTTCTTTTAATAAAAGTTTTTACTTTATTTTTAAGATCTTCGGAATGGGCGGTACCACAATCATCAAAACTTAAATTTACACAATTGTTTAATGCGACCGATAAGACACGAAGTGGCTTCTTAACAGGCACGCAAGCACGCGGAATTTTATTACAAACAAAAGTACCACAAGCTGAACTTGCAAGAATTTGGGCACTTTCAGATCGTGATGCTGATGGTCGTTTAGGATGCGAAGAATTTGTGCTTGCACTTTATCTTTGTGAAATGTATATGACTGGAAAACAAATTCCTGTGGAGCTTCCAGCTGATCTCATTCCACCATCATTCCGTAAAATTCCATCACGTCATGGATCGGTTGTAAATTCACGACATGGTTCTGTTTCATCACAAGGTGCAGTTTCAGCTCATGATATTGATGCTGCTGCTGGAATGTCACAATGTAATTAATTAAAGTTTTTAGAATGTTCATTGCAATCATTAAAATTTTTATCATTTTTCCAGCATCGTTTGAAGATAAAAGAAAAGAAAATTATGACAAAGGACAAGCTGAGCTTGAACGGCGACGTAAAGCACTTGCTGACATGCAAAGAAAAGAACAAGAAGAACGTGAAAGGAAAGAACGTGATGAAGCTGATAAAAGGGAAAAGGCTCGTCTTGAAGCTGAACTTAAGAAACAACAAGAAATTGAACGTGAATTACAACGACAAAAGGAACTCGAAGAAGAGAAAGAAGAGCAAAGGAATCGTGAATTGGAGAAGAAAGAACAAGCCAGAAAGTGAGTTTCTTATTAAATATTCAAAACTTTTGATTAAATGAAATGAAAAATTTCAGAGAGGCTGAAAAACAACGACAACTCGAATGGGAAGCACAAAAACTTCAAGAAATGGAGCAAGAAAGACAAAAGGAACAAGATCGTCTTCTCAAACTTAAAGGACAGAATCAAACATTAACAATTGAACTTGAAAGTCTCGATACGAAAGTTAAAGAATTATCACAGAAAATTTGCGATACTCGAGTTGCTGTGACAAATGTTAAGACGGTTATTGATGGAATGCGATCGACAAGAGACACATGCGTAAGTGAACAAACGACATTGAAAGCACAGATTAAGGAACAAAATGCAAAACTTGTAATGTTGAGTCAAGAAAAAGCGAGGATTGATGCGAAAGGTAAAGTAAACTCAACGGCCGATGACCAAGCTGTGTTCACAAACAAACAGGTGAGATTAACATCAAATTTGTCATTTTCTTCTTCATTCATTTGTTTTTTTACTTAATCTTAGATCATTATAAAGCAATTGAAGGATAAAGTGGGGAATATCAAAGCAGAAATTGAGGAGAAATCGTCAGATATTACAACTCATAAAGAACAGAAGAAGGAAGCACGTGATGAACTCAATGAGCTGATAACCAACTGTGAACAACTTTATAATGATTATGATGTCGTTCGTATTCAAGTAAGTGTCAAACTTCACTTGATGTTCAACTTTTTTAATCAAATTCTTGTCACTTGATAAATCCAACAGGTGTTAGAATTGAAAAATAATCGAAAAAACGATTCTTACTCATCTGCGTGGCCAACAACAACAACAACATCATCGACAGCGGCAACGATGAACAGCGCATGGCCGGTGGAAGAGAAAGAAGCACCTGAACCTGTTGATACAAGTCGAGACGTAGCACCAGATGGTTATGTAAGATATCGAGCAGTTTATGAATTCTACGCTAGAAATGAAGACGAAGTTACATTCCAACCTGGTGACATCATTATGGTGCCATTAGAGCAAAATGGTGAAGCTGGTTGGCTTGCTGGTGAGATTAGTGGACATACTGGTTGGTTCCCTGAGTCATATGCTGAAAAGATCAACATTAATGATCCAGAACCATCACGTGTTAGTGCAGAAGTTGCTGCTGTTGTGTAAGTTTCCTGAAATTTATTTTAACTAAATTTAATTTAATTAAAATTTATCTTTTTAACAGTGAACCAGAGATAACAAAAACAGAAACAACAAACATTGAAGCAACAAATTTATCAGGCGAACGATATGTCGCTTGTTATCCATATCAATCAGCTGAAGCTGGTGATTTAGTGTTTGAAGCTGGTGAAGAAGTGCTTGTTGTGAAGAAAGATGGCGATTGGTGGACGGGTGTGATTGGAAACCGAAGTGGAATATTTCCAGCGAATTATGTACAGCCAGCAGACAATACATCAATGTCAACGACGACAACGACAACAACATCAAGTAACATTAGCGAGATGAATAATAATTTGAGTAACATGAATATCAATGGAACAGACCAAACAGTCAATAATACGAACAGCAGCATGTCAGCTGAAGAAGCACGCAATCAAGCTGATGCTGATAGTGAAGTGTCACAAATTAATACACAAAATGTTACAAATGATGCAAGCATGCAAGAGTTCCGTGGCATGACGGCATCGGCAGTAAGTTTTCTTCTTAACATTCTTCAGAATTAAATTTTGTTAAATTTATTTTCAATTTTTTCTTATTTCAGAGCCTTCGTGCAAAGAAAGGAGAAGTTGCAACAGTTATTGCGCCTTATGAAGCGACCAGTAGCGAACAACTTTCACTTCAGAAAGGACAATTGATTATGATTCGTAAGAAAACAGATTCTGGATGGTGGGAAGGCGAACTTCAGGTGAGTTGAAAAAAAGTTTGAGAAACACTGGAAAATTTAATCAAAATTTTTTGTTGTTGATTTATTCAGACAAAAGGAAGACGTCGTCAAGTTGGTTGGTTTCCAGCGACATATGTTAAAGTTCTGGCAGGTGGTCGAATGAGTGGACGAAGTACACCATTGTCATCAAGTAAAATTAATCTTCATGAAACTGTCATTGGTAAATTATCTCGAAATCATTTTTAAATCTTCTCAATTTACATTTTTATTATTACAGATAAAGTACAAGCGATGTATCCTTATAAAGCTCAGAATGATGACGAATTGAACTTTGAACCAGATGATATCATTAGCGTGTTATCGCGAGATGAGCCGGATTGGTGGCGAGGTGAACTGAACGGCATCACTGGTCTCTTCCCCAGTAATTACGTGCGAACTTTTGTCTCGTCAGGTAAAATATGAAGTGATTAATTATTTTATTTCCTCAAATTTATTTTCTGAGACTTTTTTTTATACTTTTTCATCATGAGGTCAAAGATTCGTGTTGAGTTTTGAAAATTGTTTAAAATTTAAAAGATTTTCGGAGTCAACATGTGACAAATGAGAATTTTTTCTTTTGATATGTTAAAGTTGATTTAGTAGTAATGTTTATATATCAATTATTTGTTCATTTTTTATTTACATTAATTTAAATGAGAGCATAAATGTCGATTCAAATATAATAAAGTTTCTTTCTTCTTTTTCTCTCCAATTGCAATACAAAAAATTAAATTCATCATTACATTCGATAACAGGTAACATGTAAGACTAATCAAAAAAAAAATATATATAAATTGTACTATTAAGTTGTAATCTATCGATATGATGGTGACTTCTTTAAAAAGATAAAATAAATAAAAAAGTTTCAAATTTGTAGTGATACGCGACTTAAGTTTGATGATTTATTCAGCAGCGGATTAATTTAATCTCAATCTCAAAAAAAAATAATAATAATAACAGGAAGAAATAAGCTCGACATTTCGATTAAATTAGTGAATTTGATTAGGCAAAAATTAAAGAAGAAAAGAAATCTAACTTGTTAATCAATCACAGCCATTCGTAGCTAGGAGTGATTTACGATAACAACCAATAAAGTATTCAAAAGAACTTTTTCTCCTTCTCCCATTTTCGTTGCCGATTGAGTTGTTATAATCAAAAATTTACAAAAGAATTATGAAAAAAAAAATAAATCGTTAAAGCTATGAAGGAAAGGAAAAAAAATGATAATATATCTCGTTTCACGTAATAATAAAGAGAACATTTAAATAGAGCTGAATTAGTCAAATAGCTACATAAACTGCTTCTTCTATTTATCGTTTAAACTTCTTGAGTTTGCTACCAAATTCGAAAATAAATATTAAAATGACACTTGAAAGTTAAGTTGAAGATATAAATACTATTATTATAATTATTATTATTATTATTACTGAACAATAAAGATTATAAAAATAAAAAGAAGAAAATAAAACTTATATTAATTAATTAAATATACATAAATAACTGCAAAATACTGTAAACAAAATAAAAACTGTTACGATTAAATGAGGAATATTTAGTGACCATAAGCATAAAAAGAAATAAACAAAAAGTAAAAAAAAACTTCTGCCTAGATATTCGTTTATAACATTAACAACATAAATATCTATCACAGCTGAGATAATAATTATAATAATAATAATAATCATCATCAAAGGTTTGAAGATCAAATCCAAATAATTTTGTTCTTATGAAAGCAAGAAATGAACGATTTTAAATTGTTTCTGTTCAAGCTTTGCTGTATCTAACTTCCTGAGAAATCTTTTTAGATATTTAATTGATGATCAATGTTGATGTTTTTAAAAAATTCTTTCCCTTTCAATAAATCATAACAAAAAAAATAGAATATCAACAACAAAAATGATATCGGATATTTTAAGCAATTCTTTCCCATGTTTAATGCTGAGTGTTTACTGTAATAATTGTGTAATTAATTAATAATTATTCATTGTTCATTGTAGAACATCCATGTATGTCTGACAAACTGTTATAACTCAAAGTTTATAAAACAAACTTTCGGATCAATAAAATAAGTAAATTATACTCAAAGAAAACATTTTTTTAATCCAATCACTGATTCAGAGTCTTATCGCATGCTTCTAACATTTCTACTACTCTCATTAAAACTTTTTCTCATCATAAATTGAATAACTTCAGTGAAGTAATCTCATTCAGTGGAAATGTCTCGTACAATTAAATTCATCGTTGTAATAATTCTTACTTTAATTTCTCTCTACACTATTGGAAGTTGGAGTGAACAAACAGTGATCAATTACTTCGTATCCATTATTTCCAAATCAATAAACCCAACAAATTCAACAATTTTAATTGCTGACATATCAAATAAATCATCTCAAAAGTTACCTGAAAATTTTAAAATTGGAATATCAACATCGGCTTATCAAATTGAAGGTGCTTGGGATGCGGATGGGAAAACACCAAGCACGTGGGATACTTTAATTCATAGCCATCCAGAATTGATTTCTGATGGATCAAATGCTGATGTCGCATCTGACTCTTATCATCTCTTTAAAGATGATATTTCCGCAGTGAACTCTATCGGGGTGAGAATATTGAAGATTGATAACGTCATTAGTTATGAATAATTGCAATACTTAATTAATTTCTTGTTCTTACGATTGAAGCTTCAATTTTATCGTTTCTCAATATCATGGACGAGAATACTTCCAAATGGATCAGCAATCAATCAAAATGGAATCGATTACTATAACAAAGTCATTGATGAATGTTTAGCGAATGGAATTGAACCTGTTGTCACAATGTTTCATTGGGATTTACCTCAATGGTTGCAAGATCTTGGTGGATTACCAAATGAGATTTTTATCGATTATTTTGTTGCTTATGCTGATGTTCTTTTTAAAAATTTTGGTCACAAGGTGAAGATGATTTAAAACATTTTAAAAAGAATTGTATTTCAAGATTAAATTGTTTAAAGGTCAAGAGATGGATAACAGTGAATGAACCATACAATTATTGCATCATTTCCTATGGCTTTGGTATTTGGGCGCCAGCAATTAAATCACCAGGTGTTGGTGACTATCTTTGCGGTCATCATCTCTTAATTGCACATGCAAAAGCTTATCGTCTTTATAGAGAGAAATATTTCAAAATGTTTGGCGGTGAAGTTGGAATAACACTTGAAAGTCCTTACTACATCCCGAAAGATTCTTCAGTGAGTGATAAAGACCATCAAAGAGCTTTACAATATCGGTTGGGATGGTTTGCAAATCCTTTGTTTGGAACTGGTGGTTATCCCCATGTAATGATTGATGAGATTAACGAAAGAAGTAAAGTTGAAGGTCGTCCATTCTCACGTCTTCCACAAATGAGTGAAGAAGTGAAAAAATTAATTCTCGGTTCAGCAGATTTTTTAGGGATGAATTATTATACAAGTTCACTCATTTTGATCAACAAAGCTGAAAGAGATCCACGTGAAGAACCTTCATGGTTTAGTGATTCTGGCGTGAAAGAGTCTGCTGATCCCACTTGGAAACAAGCGAAAACTTTTTGGCTGTACAGCGTTCCCGACGGTTTGAAAAGTCTTCTTAATTGGATAAAAAATGAATACAACAATCCACCGGTGTTCATAACTGAAAATGGGTGGAGTGACGAAGGTCAAATGATTGATGATGATCGCATTGACTACGTCAACTCGCATTTACTTGCTGTGGCAGAAGCAGTAAATGAAGATCAATGTAATGTTATTGCTTACACTTTATGGTCACTTTTCGATTCGTTTGAATGGAACAGCGGATATACACTCAAATATGGCTTCTTTCATGTTAACTACTCTAGTCCGACAAAAGAAAAAACTCCTAAAAAGTCAGTTGAATGTATCAAGAATATTCTGAAAACCAGAGTTGTAGATGAATTATGAGAAATCTTAAAATAATTCATTTTATTCATTAATTAATTCGAAATTAATCATTAAAGTTATGTGAGGTTACGTTTAATTTTTCATCTAACGTACGGAAATCTTTACGTTACGTTATTTTACGTACATCCAGTTTTCCGTGCGAAGAAAAATTCGTGAGAATCAGAAAAATTCAAGTTTAAAAACTTTCAGAAAACTCTAATTTTTCATTGCTCCAAATTTTGTTTCCTTGCAATTATTTAAAATAAAAACTCCCATTATGGGACTTGATTATTACGCAATTCTTGATATTTCTCGTTGTTCATCATCAGAAGAAATTAAATTAGCATATAGAAAGTTGGCATTGCGATTACATCCAGAACGAACACAGTATCCTCAACATCCAAATCCAAGACCGAAAGGAACATTTAATTTGTCTTTACCATCATTACCGGAAACAACATATTGGGAGGTTGTGAATGAAGCTTACGATGTGTTCTCTAATCCCTTGCTTCGTGAAGCTTATGATTTATACGGCGAGGAAGGCTTAAAAAGTGGAATTAGCGCACCAAATGGATACATTCAGCCATACAAATATCATGGTGAACCGATGAAAACTTATTTCGAATTCTTTGGAAGTGTTTCACCGTATGCGGATCTTTGCGATGCTATCACAGAACCACCAAAACTTTATTCAGTCAATGAAGGAGTTGGAGTTAAAAACAAAAATCCATCAGTTGAGAAAATAATTTATTTAGAATTAGAAGAAATCTTTCATGGTGCGATTAAATTGATTGAATTCTCTCGTTATGATTTTATTGATGAATCGAAAACAGAAACTGAATTGAAAGTTGTCACAATTTCTGTTAAGATTCCACCAGGAATTTCTGAAGATTCTAAGATTGTTTATCCTGAAGCTGGTGATCGAAGTGCGACAAGTATTCCCGGTGACATCATCTTCATATTTCGTAGTCATCCACATAAAATTTTTCAACGTGATTCAAGCAATTTAACAATGAATTATTCGATAAGTTTGAAAGAAGCTTTAACTGGATTCAAAATGACAATTAAAACGATCGATAATCGGCGATTGAATTTTCTAATCACTGATGTCGTCAAGTAAATTTCTAATTTATTTATTGAAAGATTTTATTTTCACTTTCAATTTTAATATTCAACAGTTTTGATTACACGAAATGCATTCCATTTGAAGGTTTACCAAATCCAGGCAATGTCGATTTGAAAGGAAATTTATTAGTGAAATTTAATGTCAAATATCCAGATTACATTCCGAAATATCTTCGCTTGAAGCTTTCTGATGTTTTAGATGAAATTGATGACACTTTGAAGAAGAATGAAATCTTTTGTGTTAATGAGAATTTGAATAAAATTTAATTTATTTCCACAATAAAAATTTTAATGCTTTTGTGCTGTTATATGACTTTGATAAGCTGTTTTCTTAGCAAATCCTCGTCCACATTTGCAAACGAAAGGATAAAGTCCGGAATGAATGTAAAAATGATTTCGTAAATCACCAGGTGTTGGGAAAGATCGAGGACAGAGACTGCACTTGTGTGGTTTCACTTGGAAGTGAATCATTTTATGATAGTAGAGATTGGAGCTGGCTGTAAAGCTTTTCCGACAATAAACACACTTGAAAGGCTTTTCACCTGAGATAAATTTTAATGTTAAAATGCTGGAAAATTGTTTAAGTTGAGAATTTTCCTGCTTACCAGTGTGAATCCTTTTGTGAGTGTTTAATGAACTTGAAGTTGAAAATGCTTTGTTGCATTCGTCACAAACATTCGGTTTTTCACCAGTGTGACTTCGAACATGTCGTATCAACAACGATGGTCGATCAAAGAACTTGAAACAAATGTCGCAGATCAAAATATTTTTGTAGTTCTGAATTTTCATCAACTTTTCCTGAGTCAAATGCTGAAGAGCTTTCGGATACTTCATCAAAATGTTTAGCTTTGAAAGAATTTCTTCTGCTTTCGATAATTTGAGACATTTCTTCATCTGATTCTGTTGTGGCTTCTTCACTGTCAAGTCAAGTGGCTCTTCATCCATTTCTATCTCTCTAAATAACTTCCTATCACTTGAAAATTTCTTTTTAAACTGAAGTGGAAAATTATGTTCGAAATGATTTTTATACAAAAAAATTTCCTATGCTAAAAATTATTATTTGTAGTGAAAATAAACATAAAAGGCTTTTGAAAGGAAATTAAAAGGAAATTTTCCGGTTTATCAATCGATTCACACTCGATATGGGTTAAATAAAATCGCACGATGGGAGGTTTATGGATGATGAAATAGAAAATCATGATTTACCAACGAAACTTGGAACACGATGATACCAACGAAAGAAATCACAAAAGAAATTTACGTAAAGTGTGAAAAATGGAAATGAAAATTCACTTTTCTTCTTTTATAGACCAAGCAAGAGAGGAGGCGAAGGGCACTTGAGTTTTATATCAACAGCAGTAAGCGGCGTAACAAAAAGCTTTTAAGTGATATGAAGGTGAAATTCTATTTCGTTACCATCGAATGACTCAACAAGAAAATTGTTATGTTGAAGTTGTGTTGATACTCAAATTGTATCCTTGCTTGTGATTGCCGCCACTTAACTACAGTCATTGATTTTGGTTGTAAATTAGGTTTCATTTGATGAAACTTTAAAGATTAAAGGTTAATGGTTTATTGTGTTGATGTTGAAAGTCAATTCAAACCTCCTTCCAATTATTTCGAATTCCGTATTCAATTCCTACCCATAAATTTGAGAATAAATTCTTTAAAGAAATAAAACAAACTTTCAAGTGAATTAATTTTATGCCATTTTTATTCATATTTTTTTATTTTTATAAGGTGACTTTTGATAATTTTTTTATGCTTTTTCTTCAGTTTAATTATGAAATCTGTTGATGCAATTTGCACAAATCTTTTAATTATCTTCATGTTTTTCATTTCGTTTATTAGTTTGTAGAAAAAAAAGGATATTTACTTGTTCACATAAATGCTATGTATGTTTTGTTTTAAAGGTTGTTTTGTTTATCATATTTTATGTTTCTATGTTTGTAAAAAAAACGATTGGATGGTGGAGGAGAAAACTTTTTGATTGCTATTTTCTTTAGGATAATAACATTGAACTTCTTTTTATTAATAATTCTTCAATCAAACATTTTTAGAGTGTCTGTGATTAACTTTTAATGTTTCTTTTCATTTTTCTCTTAATAATCTTTAATGATCCTTTCAAGTGAATTTGCGTGTGTGGGTGAGCAGATAATTAAGTAAAACATGCGATGTGGGTGGAAAACTTTCTTATTTAAATTTGATGCTAATAATTTTTTTTTTCACTTCTTTTCATTTTATAATAAAATATTTTTCTATTTATCATTTTCATCTTCAATTTTGACACTTGAAAAAAGAAATGAAATGAAACAGAAGAATGATTATATGCATAGATAGATATTGATAAATAAAATTATGATTTTTCAATTTTATCGTCCAATAAAATTGCGTAAATATTTAAGTAATAATTACAACTTCACCAATATCTAGAATATAATAAAATCTCTTATCATGAAAAATAATTCCTACAAATAAAATTGCTTGCCGTTTACTTTTCAATCAAAATCATCGTGAAATTTAATTAATTGTCTCTCTTTCATGCTATATAATAAATGTTTTCTAAATATTAATGCAAATATTTATGCATGAATAAAAAAATTATCAACTAATATCATCTACCAGTTCTTAATTAAAATATAAAATGCAAAACTAAGTATCATCATCTGTTATGTATATTTATATTTCAAGAGAAATATTTAAAAGAAATTCGCTAGAGAATACGTTGGTGTAACTAAATAATTGTTGGAAAGTTTTCTTCTTCTTTTTTACGCCTTTTCCCATTTACTTTAATACTTTTTCTCTTTTAATTTAATTATTTCAAGGCGCTCACATATTTTGATTTCAAAAACACTTTCAACGGGAATGATCAACTATTAGCGAAGAAGCTTCTTATCATCTCCTTCCACGTCTTTCTTTCATTTTAATTTCAATAAATTAAGGAAATGTTGAAGTTTTGTGTTATCTTGCATTTTCACTCGTGGAATTAATTAAATCATGACAAATAATTTCTTTTCCCTTTAATTTTTCATTAAAAAATCTGTTCTATTTAGCAACAATTCTTTCAAGGATAATTTTTAAATATTCGCATGCAAATTACACACAGATGCGTGAGTGATTGTGTGTGTAAAAGGGAGGGAGGGGGAGTAGTGAATAGTTTTTAAGAAATAATCAGCAGCGAGAAAATCTTTGTATACATTTATGAAGAAAGCTTTCTTTTCGCGCAATTCTCTCATCGTTATTCGTTATTAAATGTTACATAATAAAAATTGAATTCGTTTTCGTTACAATTTTTGAATTTGTTGATTGGCATTGATAAGAATATTTTTATGCAATATGTGTGTGTGTTTTTGTGTTTGCTGTTGTTTATAATTTTCCTTCCTGTTTTCTTACTTTTATCGACAGAAAAGTTTTATTTTATTTTGATGGATTCTATCGCTTCAATGCTAAAGAATTGAATTTGAATAATTTATCATGTTTCTGTTCGTCTTCCAACTGGAATTTTCCTTTTATTTTATTTATGTCTTAAATAATTCGGTCAAATGTTAAAACAGAAAATAAAGCTTAAAATGTTATTGTAGTTGGATTAGAAAATTGGTGTATTTAATTATTTTATTTATTTAAATTTTTACACAAAAATGGGATGACTTTTTTTAATGAAGAAATAAAAGAGTTAAAAAAGTGTTCATCATCGAGTATGAATATGTTTGAGTGAAAGGGAGAGATAGATAGAGAAAACGCTTTGATTACAAAGAAAAAACACGCAAAAGCTGCTTCCGCTTTCGTTTGCTATCAAATATCTCACATCCTTCTCCAAATCTTTTCTTATCTCTGTGTTTTTATCGTCTATGTACATTCATTTATCACTCGGTTTTCTTTTCAATCTTCTTTCACCAGTCCCTCAATAGAGATGCATTATTTGGCAGAGCTTTCCACACTCGCTAGTTAAAAGAAAACTTTTTTTTCTCAATTTTAATTATTTTTCCTTATCGCATGAATTTTATTATTTTCAATAAATTGTAACAATAATTTCTTGTTTTTATCTCCACGGCAATAATTAATTTAGATATCAACATTCATAGTATGCATGTGTGTGAGTGTGGGCGTGTGTGTGTGTTTAAAAGTGAGATGAAAATGGGGTTAAAAACGTGGAGAGCTTTAGTAATGATAATCACTAAAAAATTTAATGAGATTTAATTTTTTTCCATAAACTTTTTAACATTACCGCATCAGTTTGCCTTCACTTTTTCTCTTTCTCATTTGTCCGGTGTCATTTTTAATTAATTAATTTTTATTTACATTCAATCTCATTTCAGTGTTCATCAACCGGGCCCAAAGCATTTTGTGTCCCATTTTTATTTAAAAGCTCGTGACACAAACAATTTGTCCACTTCGATGTTTCTCCCTCGCTTTTTATTTATTTAATTTTTTTTTTCATGTAATTGATCAACTTTACTGTTTTAATTTTCATGTTCTGCCTCAAACATTTGATTAATTACACTTAAAACTTTGTTTTTATTTTATATCTGTTGGTTGTCTTGATTTGAGTGATGTGATGTTTTCCCACGTCCATCAGGTCAATTTTTAAAAAGGTTTCAGTTTGCTTTTTGTTACATTAGTTGAACAAAAACAACATTTTTCCGATTCACACACAAATTTCTTTTTATATTTTGTTGTCTTATATTGATAGAAATGTAAAATCACTAAATGCACTACAATTCTTTTTAATCTGTTGTTGTGTATTATTCATTTGATTAAAGGATAAGATGATTTTTCTTATAAACTTGACACATGACGAAAACATGCAATCATTGTGTAATGTTTAAATCAACTTATAAAGGTCCATTTCCCTGCATCTGTTGTTGGTACCGTTGGCCATCTTCACCCTAAAAAAATTATATTTTAGAAAACAAAAAAAAGTTTGAGAATTTTTGGAGACTTTTTGGAGACTTTTGTCAATTATTCTGGATTAAAGTATTAAATAGCAATTTTTATAATCAACTCACCCGTTGGTACATTGTTCCACCACTAGCATTGCCAGCTTCCCTTGAATGACCACCACCCGGTTGACGTTTCATTGTGCTATCTTCATATCTCGTTCCACTCTGTGACGCCATTGGACGGTTTAAGGTGCTGATAACATTATTCGGTGAATTTGGTGCAGCATTTCGTGCAGCAATTGTCTTTGTCACGAAATCTTGCTCCTTCCAACCGTGCTTCTTATAAACATCTCTTAGATCTTGATGTTGCCACATTGTGAATAGCACTTGACCGGCAAATTTAAGAACTCGTGGCGTATATTTTTGTCTTTGTCGTGTAATGTTCATGAGTCGTTCAACGCCGCCAGCATCGAGAAGTGACCTCGAAAATTCAGCATTCTTCTTAATCACCTCATTGAGTGTTGCAAGCACAGCTGCTATGGTATCATCTGACGTTCCCTGATCATGTTGCGCATTACCTGATGGTAATTTTTGTACTAAATCGCGCATTGCATATTTTCCAATCAACTCTTTATTTCGCTGATCAATGGCAAGATTACGAAGTGCTGTCGCAACAGCACAAACAACTCGATCAACTTCCATTCTTAGAAGTTCAACAAGTATTGGTAGACCTTTATCTTTTCTCACAGCAGCACGTATCTCAATACTCGGCTGCCAATAACATGCGGCAAGATTTTGTAATGCACCAGCAGCTGCTTCAAGTGTCTCAGGATTACTGCAACTTTGAAGTAGTGCAAGATAAGATTGAACGACTTCTGGTTGCCATAGAAGCTCGTAGCCTTTTGGCGGATCATTTCTTTGCAGTGAATTGTTTCGGGATGAAAGTGAATTGCCACTAGAACTTGCAGCACCATTGCTTTGACCTGGAATTCCGCCATTACTTCCAACCATGTTCACAGGTCCATCTTTGCCATCACCATTAGTGCTGCTATTCTGTTGATCTTTCTTCTTTTTACTTGCACCAAAACATCCAAGATTTTCACTCTTCGTCGTTGCCGATGATCTCGTTGGTTGTGGTAATGGATGCTTATCATAATTTGGATCTTCAACTTCTTGACATCGATACGAAAGATTTCTTAAAATACAAACGCAGTTCTCAACAATCTTGTTGCCAATGTTTGTCTTCTCAATCGCCATCTTCACAACATATAAAAGTGCATCAATTAAGCCTTCTGCTTCACGTAACTTTGTTCTCGCATATTCACCAGCTGAACTAACATTACGTAAGATTCCACTGGCATTTCTGAACACAGTACTCCAACATGTGTCGCCAGGATTTATTGGATCCCAACCCGAATGTGGAATGATGATGTAAGTGACAATTACACCACAACCATCATCAATAATTGACCGCTTAAGATCTTCACATGACGACATGTTCCAAATGACACCAGTGATGAGTTCCTTGATGTCACTTTCAGTTGATCTTCTTAAAAGATTGATAAGAGCTGGAATGCCATTTGCATTCTTTATTGCACGCTTATTTTCATCATTTTGTCGTCCATATGAAAGATTTCTCAACGCGCCACTCGCATTACGATAAACTTCTGGACTTTCATGTCCTAGAAGCTTCACCAAAATTGGAATGCCGCCGAGTGCACGCGTTCGTTGTTTGTTTGGATCGTCCATGTAACATAAATGTTGCAAATATGCAGCTGCATTCGCTTTAATCACATTATTTGGATTGTTTAGGAAGCTGATGACTTCAGTAAGGTTCGGATCACGCCATCGCATTTGTCCTACGCCACTTTGATCATCGCCAGCATTTGTTACACCACCAAGTTGATGGTTATGCATCGAGAGGTTCGCCATATGCTTTTGAAGTTCATCATCTTCGTCGTCAACGCCAGCTGTGACTGCAAAACCTCGCGTATCATAAGTTGGATTAACACCGCCAGCACCAATCGGTTGAAGGGCCGCAACATTCGTCGTACCATAAGGGGATGTTGACACATAGCCATAGACCAAAGCTGCCGGATCATCAGCATAACCGCGATCTAGTGCACCACCTGGGGATGGCGTTATCCTGTAATCATCATATTGTGCTTGCAAGTAGGCAACTCCAGCAGCACCTTGTGGAACTTGGTGATGAACACCAGCAAGCTGATGTGGAGAATTTGAGCTGGCATGTTCACTAGGCGATGGTGGAGTTGTCGCACGTTCATTTAAAGTAAACTTACTCAGATAACTTTGATTTGGACCAACAGCTTCAAGACCATTACCGCCACTTACACTGCCGCCACTTCCAGGATAATTGGAATTGGCGTATTGGCCAGCAGCTGGATATTGTTCGTAATCCTGGTAGTGCGGGTGATATTGTCCACCGCCAGCTCCAGGATCACCAACATACATGCCAGCTGCTGCCGCTGCTACTGCCGCTGATGGATCCATATGATTATAATTCATGTATTGAGAGTGTGGTGGATAAACTCCCATCACGTAATCAACTGGAACTGGTTGTCCATTAGGACCGACTTGGAGTGGCATCGCTACGTAATCCAATGGTTCACCGTCTGCCGGTCCAAGATGTTTCACTTCACGAACAACTTTCGTGACAGTCGTGACTTGTTGCGTTGTTTGTTGTTTGTGTGTTCGTTGGGCAATTGCGTATGTATCTTCGCTGTGCATCGACATGTGTGATGAATTAGGAGAGTGTTGACCATTACTATGACTGAGAAGAATATTTTTCATTAATTTTCTTAATTTTTAATGAACTTGTAGGTCAAACAATTCAGAAAGAATAACCAGAAAATTGCAGGAAAAAAGAATTAAAACCACAGAAAGTTGTTAAACTTTTTAAGTAATTTTCTGTGAAAATCTTTCTTGAAAAACTTTTCAAAGATGTCAAATAACATTATTTATTGTGCAATATTTAAGAAATAAAATTTTCACTTGAAGTGTTCAAACAGATTTTAAAAGTTTTGAACTTACTTGTAATGTTGCATCTCTACCGGTTCCGTTTCTCGAAGAAGATTTCTAAAGAAAATAAAAGAAAATCGATGAGATAAAAAAGCAGATAATTAAATTAAAAATTCAAATTCTTAGAAAGAAAGAAAGAGAAAAATTAAATAAAAGAACATGATTTGACTTTAACGCTTTTCATTTTCTTTTCCCATCTTCAACCAAGTTTTTGCTTCTGAAATTTCAATCAGTTTCACTTAAATAATTGGTGTCTGTGCTAGAGACTGAACACGAGCTTGTTTAGAGAAGCATTCATTGTAAAGTTTCTTCTAATGAAGCGTGTTGAAGAATGAGAAGGAAAGAAAGAAAGAAGAAGTTACACTAACGACTCCAGCATGAACAATTTAACTCCCGAAACCACCACAACCACCCTTAAAACCCTCTGAAAAATTCAAATCCTTATACATACTTCTCCGTGAAACTAGTATGAGTTATACTATGCTGCTGATGTTTCTCCACGCGACGTTTCACTAATCTAATGTTGCATGATGACGATGTCCCAAAAGAAGTAAAAAATTTCCAAAAGTAATTTTACCAGAAATATAAAAAGAAAATTCATCGTCGACGACACGAAGGATGAAAGAAAAAGAAGAAAAAAAAAGAAAATTTCAATGAAAAATAAGATTTTGTGTTTCATTTGTGAAATGTATAAATATTTAGAATGTTATTTAGAGAAAAAAAAGGAAATGTAAAAAAGCAAACGAAAAGATGGAAAAATCTCAATAGATTGGTGGTAAAAGTAAAACTTTATTCATCTTCCCTTTTTTTTGTGGGAAAATTTCCTTTCAAATTTGAATAAATCCTCACCACAAATACAAACAAACAACACCGGAAGATAATAAAAAAGAAAAACGATGAAAAAGTGCTCTCAATGTTATTCTAAGGATGGAAAATGTTTGTCTATGCGTTTTCTAAATATCTTTCTACTTTCGTCAAGTATAATATGATAAGAAGAATGAAAGGAAAGCTAAAGATATCATCGTCACATGGTGGAAGCATTAAATAAAATATTATATGTACTTAACACTCATTCATAACATAAATAGCTACATAAACACAATAAAACATCAACATTATCGTAAAATTTGGCATTCTTCTAACAATCTTTATCTACTTAATTATTATTTAATGAGAATGTCTTATATAAAAGTCAAAAATGTGAATTGATTTGAGAGTTAGGCTTACGGTTAGTGGGTGTAACATTAAATACATTTGAAGAAGAAAATTCCTCTTTTGACGAATGAAAAAGGATCTTTTTTTAATGATACACTGAGACTTTCTGTTTCTTTTGAAGTGGAAAATTAAAATGAAGATTTATCGAGAAACAAGTCAGAAGATTTTCTTACATTTCATTAGAATTGTCTGTGCAATCTTTAGAATCAAGAAGAACTATAATATCAAAAAGAATTCTAATCAGTAAAAGTTTGACGAAGTTATTTAGAAAAACAAGAGAAAGTTTCTTCACATATGTCTCGCTAACACAAACAGCTTATATCACTTGTCACCATCGATTCAAACACTTCAACTAGGGAAAAACAAAACGCAAAAAGAAGAAAAGGAAAAAGTTGGTTGTGCAATGATTTAATCGTTAAGTGGAAAGAAGGAAATTCGCTACAAAAAAATGACAGACGTCATTACTTAATTAAGGATAAAATGTGAATACACAAATGAAGTTGAAGTGTGTACGTAATGAAGACGAAAAGTTCGATAACAACTCAGAACAAAAGTGAAGCATACAGAGCAATTTCAAGTAAGTTACTGTGGAATGCAATTCATTGCACATTCTTTCATTCCTTCTCTCGACATCTCGAAATAGAACAATAACGGAAAATGCCAAGTTACTCATGAAACTAGAGAATTTTGATGAGTCAGATTGAATAAACAAACGTGCAAAAATCAACTTTATCGCTTATGTCTATAAAGCACTTTTAAAAAACTTTTCTCCAGACCACCATCGTTGAAAGATTTTCTATGAAAGTTTGTCATAGTAGGAGAATAGAAAATTTGAGATAGGAGAAGAAAGAAATCGATGATTTCAGGATGTAAATCAGCAGAAAAAGGAAGGAGAAAAAAGTTTTAGTCTCGCCTGCCATTTGCAGAAAAGCCCAATAGCGATGTCAACGTTTTCCTATAGAATTATGTGAGATTTTAATATTCAATATGCATTCCTTAAATTGTATGATCGGTCGGAAGAGAAGAATAGAAAATTCCCTAGATTTTTGGGGTCTTCTCTTCACTTTGCTTTTTGTTGTTGCTTTCTTAGTGGTTTTTTTTTTCATGAAAAACATCTTCGACATCATACCGCAAACCGCACTCACTTCTAAGAATGTTTTTGAATGAAGCATTCCATAAATCAACTTATTACTAAAAGCTTAAGCAAACTTGTAAGTCCCATTACCACATTTTCTATGAGAAGTCAACCTGTAAATGAACGGAAACACATTGAAGGAAGGAAAGCGTTCCGCTTGTTAATAATGAAATAAAAAAAAAGGACGACAAATTATTACGTGCATTTACTACTCTCGTATCGATTTTCCCATGCGGCTTTCTCTTGTGTCGACGAAGTTTCGTATACGAGAGGAAATGGAAGAAAAGAGACGAGAAGCGTTAGACGAATGAACTTTTAATGCAAAAGCTAAACATTGAGCCGAGCCCTGACAGTCGTTATCTGATGAAGGTGCGATTGTGGATATAAGAAATGTTCGAATGAAGCTGCAGACAAATTCTAATCGAGCGTGATAACTATACGTACGTTAATCGAGATCGAATAGTTGGAAGTGTGGAAAAGTGGAAGAGGAAAACCCGCAGAAATTTATGAGCCTTCATTTGAATATTACTTTTACCATTTATATATTTTTTTAGCTGTTTTCCAACTCGCCCTCAAGAGAAAGGATGTGAGGCGAATCTGCAATTTCTGTCGGTCGGAAAAATGAATAAAAAAATTTTCCTTCAACATTTTCCCGATGGAAAAGTTTTTCTCTCGCTTTTTTTTTGGTTTTCGACCAACGACAAGGAAACACAAGCCGCAACAATGTTACTCTTACCTTTTCATGTATAAAAAAGAAAGCTTTTGTCTTGTATGATGTGCACTCGTAAAAGCATAGAAATGAACTTCCGTTCACCCCTTAAAGCTTTGCAAACGACATTGTCTCATGCAATAATAAAAGTTTTCATAGCTTGGGTGTTTATTTAGTCAGAGTTTCCAATTTAAAGCAGCAACTTAACTGCCAGATTAAAATCGATCGTTTTCATATTAAATGTCTACTAATGACTCACGTGATACCACAAAATGTTGATTAGGGAGAGAAAACAAACAAAAAGCAATGGGGGAAAATGCAAAATCACAAAACAGTTAAAAGAAAAACAATAAAAAAAAAAATTTCCTCAATGTCAAAAAAGCATACACGCAGATGGTGAAAGGTGAAAATATTTGCTTGAATCTTTTAAAAGCATACACACAAACACCCTTCATGATTGAAATCTAAAACCGAGCTTAAAGAAAAAGTCATTTTTTACTTACAAACACGAATCTACTAGTTGATTGTTTGACATGATCTCATAAATATTATGAACTGAATTATGAATGCGTTTATGATTTTAATGAGCAAAACTCAAGATGATGTGAAACTGTACAATGAATAGAGAAAATAAATGTGCCAACGGGAAAAAGAAAAAGAAGGTGAATTACACAAAGCAATGATTTTTTTGCAACATAATTGGAAAGCAAAAGATGAAAAATAAGTTTTTAAAAAGAACTTTCTTTGAAGAAGAAAGAAGAAAAGGATTAAATTAAGATTTCTTTAGCTAATTGAGGACATTTAAAGCTTGTGTAGTTTTGAGGAAGGAGGAAATCTTTGAATAACAAAGAATGTGAAATTATGAATGTTTTCGTCACGTGGTGGGATGTAAAATGATTTATGTTTCTGAAAAATACTCACATTGTATCTCCTTAGACGTCCTTGGGAATGTTTAATCAGCTGTAATCACCAGACACTGCTTCTGTCTTTTTCACTTGCTTCTTCACCCCCTACTTGTTTCTATTTTACTTCGGGTTTCTTCTGTTTTCGTTTTTTATCATTAATCCTCGTCCGATGTTATGAAACAAATTTTTATGCATAAATTTTCTTCTAATTTGTTATCATCTAAAATGAGCCACAGACGTAGAAAAAAAACAACATTAGTTCACTCTCATATTTCTTTTCAGTCCTTGCCGCTTTTTCTCTTTGGTCGGCTTGAAAGCAGAATAGAAATTGTTTGCACAACTCATAAGGCATTAGACATAATAACATAAATCGATGAAAAATTCATCACAATCGCGAAGCGGAGCGGATGAAAAATATGAATCATTTCTCGTTTGCCGAGAAATTTTTCCATCTTGTTTTTCATCAACATCACCACCATCATCATCATCACAAAGCCGGGGAAATTTTTCTTAGTTTTCCCTTTTTCCGAGTGTCGTGGAATTTCAATAATTATCCGATTGTTTTTCCTCCACAAAATGTGAAACAATCTTTTCATTTACTCTCCGGTCAAGCGACTCGAATCAAAACATTTTCTCGGCTCTCTACATTTTTTTTTCTTTCTTCTTTTTTTCTCGTTACTCTGCTTGTGCCATGCACAATTAGGTAGTTTGTTTGTGGATGATGTATATTTGATATTAAATTTTATTTCTTTTATATTTAGGTCGTCTTTCTTTCTTCATCTTCTCCTTTCTTCTTTTCTTCGCATCTTAATCCAACTCTCTTTTTCTCTCCTCATCATCATGCCATGAGTTTTACACTAATCCACAAAAATACGTATAAAACGCAACGAACGACGAAACAAAACGAAAACATTCATCGTCGTTTTTTTTATAAAACATTGAACTTTAAGAGAGTGAGAAAGATTGACGAATATTTGAAATTATTTGAACCGAAAATTGGATTAATTTCATTCTGAAAATCTTAATTGAAATGCAAATGCTGGAAGCTCACGACTTTTGAATGAAGATAACAATGCTACGGATCTTTCTTAATTAATGTAACATTGAATAGAGGAAAACAATTGAAGAGTTGGATTTAAAAATGACGACCCAAGAAAAATTGAAAGGTAAAAGTAGATAAGAAATGAATGTAAAGTCAAAAGTTCAAGAAATGTGAATATCTACGTAAGTTTACGATGGTTACATTCTCATGCGTTTTTTTTCATAATGTATGGCAAATCATTGCTCTCGCCATTCAACCCCACCTCTCGACTTCAACTCTGACCGAATGACAGCAAGAAAAATGTTTTGATTCGCTAGTGTTCACTGTACCGAGATTTTTTTTACTAATTTTATGTCTATCAAATAGAATATACTGTATTAAATTACACTTTACTGAAATTCCACACGCTCTTTACAATAATTTCATTGTTTTCGTTACCGCACTCTTCACAATTGCGACGAAAGCAAAAGGTTTCGCGTTTGTCAAATTCGCAGGAAATATTTTTAATGTCATAAAACGCACCATTTACACAATTTTGGTTATCGCGCACATGATATCCTTTCTAATAGCATTATTCTGCAGTTAATGTAACATTTTTTATGTAATTGAAGTTTCAATTTAGTTGTAAATTTTAATAAATACAAAATTTAGTTTCGCCCAATGAAAATGATTTTTTACTTGTAAAATGAAGCGGGTAAGTGTATTCGCTAGACTAATACTATGATATCAGAATCAGTTTTAAGTGCACTCTTCACCTGAAATTGGACCTCGGGGAAGTAGTTTCAGGTGGAGAGTGTATAAATCTCGCGGAAGGAGAAAATCTGGACCCGGTTAATGGAATAAATCTGGCCGCTTTGTATTGAAAACTGGTTTTGTCAAATCCACGCAAGCCGACTATTATAGACTAATCCTCTCTCCATGGTTTCAGAGGAGAAATTTTTTGCTCAGTTTGTATGAAAAACTGAAATTCCAGTCCGCGGAAAAGTTACCGTACGGTCCACCACGAGACCTTCATGCATGATTGACCCCGTACAAGACGCACAACAAGGGGTATGTAAAAGTTAAAGAACCATGCGAATGCGAATTGAAAACCCCAAAATCTTGAAGTTTAAAACCGTTAAAAGTTAATGATTGAAGGTAAAAGAAATGTTTTTAATTCTTTTATGTTTTATTTCAAGTTTATTAAGAGCTAAAGTTATTGGCTTACAGTTCAGACATTTTTCTTTCTTGTGTAGGGTCTCTACTTCATTTGTTTTTCTCCCACTTCATATCTCTTTACTTAATTAAGCATCAAATTTTGATGAAATGACTTAACAAATCCATTATACTGGTTCATTTCCTTCTGCAGTTGTTCCAGTTCATTTATAATTGTCTTATCGAAAGGTCGAAGTGCAAAAGCCTTTTTTAGAGATTCGAGAGATTTATCCAATTCTCCAACTTTCATTAAAGCACGACCCAAAGTAAACAAGGCTTTAGGATTTTTTCCAATGTCAGAATACTCTTTAAAGGCACTTATGTGCTGCATCGTACTATTCCAATCCTCTTTTTTGTTGTAACATATTGCGAGATTCAAGTGAGTTTGGGATAAAATTGATTTCTGGTTGCTGCTCTCTTTTTCATTGTCTGTTTCACTCAAATCAACATTTTGAAGTATTCTTTGATATAATTCTATAGCTGAACTCCATTTCTTTTGATGAAAGTGATCCAATGCTCTTAAACGTGTTTCTTCAACTGAACCTTTAATATCCTTGAATTTTTGTTTCGAATTCGACGTTTTCAAAACTTTCTCTTCATCTCCTACCAACTCTACTTTAATAACTTTTAAATCAAGAAGAATGTCAGCTTTTGGGTTTATCTAAAACCATTATTATTAGATATACCTATGTTAATGGTACTTAAATATAAGATAAACATCATGACTTACTCTCGGCTCACATCCTGTTTCCTTGAACATTTTTTTGTAACTGATAATAAAGATTGAATGTTCGCCTTCTTTCATAGTTGAAAGTGCTTCAAGAAAACCTTCCAAGTAATCACGAGGGTTCATTGCTAAACAAATAACGTCAGTTTTATTGTTGAGATAAGTCGAATCAAAAGGAGAATCCTCATTTTCCATATACATATTCCGGTGATATGTAACCCGAGTAGTATTCAAATCAATATAATTTGCTGCTGGATCTTCTGATTCCTCTAATACTTTTTTGAAAACACCTTCTGAAGTTTCAATCATTTGGGCCTTCCATTCAGTGAAAGATGTTGAACAAGGATTTTTATGCTTATCTAAGTCCTCATCAGGCACATGCCAAATCAGTTCATCGATTTCTTCTTGAACTGATGAAGCAATCTGTTTTTCATCTACTGATGAAAACTCAAAAGTTGTTCCAGATAACAAATCACTGTAAAAGAATAAGTCTAAATTATAAGGTCTTTTAGTTAGGTATTAGGTTTTTATACCTTAGTTTAATTGGTTTCCGAAAATTAGCTGAAGAATTTTCCATGTTTAGTTATCTTTCGGCTGCCTTTTGCTGTGAATTTAATGAAACTGTTACTGCACATAAACTATAAAGAGTTTTTTAACTAATTTTTGGCAATAAATCAAACAATTATTGGTGATTTTATTCCTTAAATAAGATTGTCGTTTGGCGATTGGGTCAGTGGTTTCAAATTACAAAAAGCTTTAAAAAGTTTGCGATCATTTTTGTTTAAATTTTGTTAAGCCGTTAAATTTTTACTGATATTTCATGATGAACTGTTCCTTATGCGTGATCACAGTTATTGTTAATTACCTAGGTATATACAGCAGTACTAATAAATAAACATGAAAATCAAAAATCATTTAAATAACACCATCTATAAAGAGCATCATTTTTGTATCTTCATTGTTCGTTTGTATCTTTAATCGTAGCTTATACGACTTTCAAAACATTCACTGAGTGTGGATGAAGTTGTGGTCATTTTAAGAAATATCATCGCAAATTCTGTCAAGAATGATGCTTTTGTATTCCAGGATTTGTCAAGGAATCATCAAAAAAACGATGCATTCGTTGCAGTGAATATCAAACTAGACCATGTAAAAATGATCGTAAGAAGTTGATTTGTACTTTCGCCTCAATAAGTTATTGAGCGTGGGAATAAAATTCTCAAAACTTTTTGTATGGAAATTTTAAATGTGTTTAGTTTTATATTTGAAATATTTAAATATTATTGAATTTCTTTCTGATGTTTTTAACAATTTGTGAGACTCTTCAAGTTGAAGTTCACGGAGATGGATTTTCTCATCTCACATTCGATATTATCATTGTCCAAGTTATCAAGAATTTTTAAAAATTGTAAAAAGAAAGTTTTGGTTTTAAGTGAATACTAGTGGGAGAGCTTTGATTCAGCATAATTTCTCTCATTATTCTACTTAATATATGTACATACAAATTAAAATTTGTACTACCGATCACTGACCAATGGGGCAAATTTGCTTCATAGCATTTGAGTTAATAATATGTTCTGCTGAATTAATATTACAATAAGAGATTTAAAAAAATAAAGTGTGTTGAAATTAATTGATAACTTTAAAGAAAGAATGATGCCGGTTTGGAAGGTTCACAGAACTCGTAGATTGACAAGCACTTGAAAATTATTCATTGTTTACAGATGACTCATTCATATTTACTTTATTTCATTCACGTGCCATTCTGTTTTTTACTTTTATATTGCATACAAATTTTAAAAATATCAATTTTCGTCTTCTTTTTAAGTGTTGTAGATATTAAGTTTATTAATTGAAATTTTTATTCGATCATAAAAAAAATGTTTGAATAAAATAAAAAAAATTTAACTTAGTTTGAATTTATCAAAATTCTAAATGCTAATATAAAGTGATTTATAATTTTGAGCTGTTGTGCTTAAGATATGTAAGTCTGCAACTTTTGAAAAAGCTTAGGAAAAAATAATTTAAATACAGCGGAAGCTCGATTAGCGAAAACTCAAGGGAGTCACTTACAACGATCATCATCAACCTAGCGATGCATTTCAATATATATCAAAGATAATGCATCCTAAAGAACTTTGACATATTTTTCTCCAAGGCTTGAACGGCTTTCATCGGTATTTTTCAATTTTATTATTATTACTTTTTGTTTCTAGAGTTTTTTTTCTATGAATTTGCTGCATTTGTATTTTACGGGTCTCTAATATGTATTATTCTTATAAAGAAACACGATGAACACGTTGGAGACTGCAAGACTGCTTTTTTTCTCATTTACTTACAACGACCGTGATTTTAATAAATATATACTTTCATGCTCACTACGGAGCTATACTTTCATCGAACTTGTACTTTCAACGAACGTAAATTGTTCGAAAATGTGAGTGTGTCGACATTTATCGAGCTTTAACGCTAAAGTGAATTAGGTACTTTTATCTAGCTTCCACTGTAAAAAGTTAATTATTATTATTGTCATTGTAATTTGAATTTTATAACTTTAACCCATATTTGCATTCTTTTGCATGCATCTATTATTTTCCAATTCTACTCTTTTGTAAACTTATTCAATTTATCTTCCCTATATCCATCTAGTATCTTCAGCTTGTACCCGGCCATTTTATTTTTTGTTCACAAATAAACTTTTTCCAAGGCAGATGAGCTACAAATATTTATTTTAGATCTGGCTTCAATACACTAGCGAAATATTACAAACGAAAAATATTTTAGTTTTAAGGAATATATAAACATAAAAAAAAACTTTGACGACAGTTGTATGAATTTCATACATTTTCATATTCTGTAATGAATGAATGTGTTAAGTTCTAGAAAAATAATATCACTTCAGTCGTTGATATCGTTTTATCGCAGCTAGTTCTATATTTTTCCAATCTCCAGGATGAGACTGGAAAGTGCTTTGGCCTACGTGGCAATTATAGCGAGTAAAAGTTTTCTCATTTTCATTTTTTGAAAGAACATTAAAACATAATTCAATTATTTTTCCAGTTTTCTCGTTTTCAATATCAAATGCAGGTAAGTTATAACTAATATTCTCTAAATAATTTTTAAAATTGATTTGCGGTAGGTTTATAGTACAAAATTGCAAGAAACAAACTTTTTCAACGGTTTTTAACTTGTATATAATTTATGTTGGAAAGCCCCGATTAACAATTTCAGATTTACACTTAAAGTTGATGAAAAACGATATTTTTATATATTTATTTATATTTATTTAAATACAGAAACATGCGGTGAAAATGAAAGTTACAATTCATGTGGAACTGCATGTCCCGTAACTTGCGAAACACTTGGCGAACCAGTATTCTGTATTGCACTATGTGTAGCTGGATGTTTCTGTAACGATGGATATGTCAGAGGTCCCAATGGAAATTGTATCCCTGATGACGAGTGTCCTAGTAAGTTAATATCATCCAATGACTAATTATTAGACAGAAGACAATAATTAATTCAAATTTTAATTATGACTTCAATTTTAATATTTATGTAGAATGCGGTCCCAATGAACATTATGAAAGTTGCGGTTCAGGATGCGGAGATCTGACATGTGACAATTATGGTGAACAATTAATCTGCCCAGCTGTATGCTTATCACAATGTTTTTGCGATAAGGGCTATGTCAGAAACAACGAAGGAGTTTGTGTACCTTTGGAAGAGTGTCCAAGTGAGATCTACTTTTCTAAATAAATTATTGGAATAATCATTATCTGGAAAGTGTTCTCTCCAATATTTTTATCATCTTTCAGATGTTTGTGGACCCAATCAAGAATTGGTCGCCGTGGGACCAGCTGATGAATGTGAGCCAAATTGTCGACTTCTTATTCCAACCCAATGTCCCGAAATCGGAGTGCTGAATAAATGTGTTTGCAAAAAAGGATTTGTAAGAGTCTCCCAGTTTGATAGAAGTTGCGTTCCGGAAGAGTCATGTCCATGTAAGAGCTGTGAAAGTTTGCTTCTTAAGATACCATAAAAAATTTTGTTTTTATCAGCCTTATGTAAGGCTTTTGAAACATTCACGGACTGTGGATCCGGATGTGGTGATTTAACATGCGAAATACCAAATCAAGATGGATTGCCCTGTCCCGAATTCTGTCAAAAAGGATGCTTTTGTAGTCCAGGATATGTCAGAGATTCAAATGGAAGATGCATTCCCTGCAGTGAATGCCAAACTGGTCCCTGTAAGATCTTCAATATTTTCATAGAAAAGTTTAACAACGTTTTTTTTTCTAATATTTATGAAAAAGGTGCATGTGGAGAAAATGAAAGTTATAACTTATGTGGCACTGCATGTCCTGATACATGCGAAACGCTTGGTGAACCAACATTTTGCACAAAACAATGTGTAGCTGGATGTTTCTGTGACAAAGGATTTGTCAGAGGACCCAAAGGAAATTGCATCCCTGAAAATGAGTGTACAGATCTTTGTCCCAGAGAAAACGAAATATTCAGCCCATGTGGAGCTGGTTGTGAAAAGCAATGTAGTGACCCATTTAATGATTTTATTATTTGTCCGGCTATCTGTAGACCTGGCTGTGTCTGTAAAGATGGTTTTAGAAGAAAAGGTCGCCGTTGTATTCCAACCGAAAAATGTAGGAAACGAGGTTTGTACCATTTTCTTTATTAATTTCTTAATATTTTATTTATTTATTAAATAAACTCTCAACATCATCAAATAGAGTGTAGAAAGAGAAAGAATGAAAGATATCTCGAATGTGGGTCTCCATGTGAAGCAACCTGTGAAAATCCGGATCTTCCCCTTCTTTGCAAAGCTCCCTGTGGTCCTGGCTGCTTCTGCAAAAAAGGTTTCCTTCGTAATGCAAGTGACGAATGCGTTTCACCGGATTGTTGTGAATAGAAAGAGTGAAATGAAGAAAATATCGCTAGACAGTTATATGAAATATTTGTTTCATACTATTGCGGAAAAGAAATTCTCAATGGCCTTCAAATAAAACTTATAATATTCATCAAAAGCAATTAAAATGCGTTTTTATTATAGAAATTATTTCAATTCGGTTTCAGTTTAGTTCTGTGGTGATCACATATTTTATATACTTCTTTAATTTGTTGAATATCTCAGTTCCTGGATACACCTAAATGAGAAAGTTTTTGATATCATACAAATTAAAATTTTGAAAACACATGTCATTTGATAAGATCATACTTAACTTATACTTGACTGCATACATAGGTTTTTGATGATTATAAATTCTTATTTATTATCATTCACGAGCAAAAGTAAATTTATGTAGATGTTCAGCTGTTTTTCCTTGGAACTTCCCAAATATGTATAAGAATCATTCAGTTCCCAACGCTTGTTGAATTTCTATTTTACAAGACATTGATGACGTTATAAAAATGTCGAGTTGAATGAGTATATTCGACAAATAATATTAAAGTTAATTCAGGTGTTTTAGGATAACTTTGTAGATAGTTTCTAAGTGATATTCCGTCGACGCTGCTGAAATTGATAAAGTTGAAGACTAAGAACGCTTCTGAAAATGGAACACTCGCAATGCGGCCGTTTCCAAGAGTTCGCCGCATCACAAATGAAACTCTGGAAGATGGTTTTCTTTGTCATTGACAAATTCAATCATCTCTCGCCTGAGGCAGAAATGCTTAAGGCTCAAACAAAGGACAAAAAGCTATCAGATAAATGAAAAATGTTAACTGAAAAGAGAGGCACAAAGGCTAATTCCTTCAGCCTAATGTCATCTTCTGTTAGACATAAGGTGGACGCATAACGGGCGGTTGTAGCAGTTTAACTGTTATCAACCATAATGTCCAATGCAACATGATTGCTAACGCAATCATGTGGAGTCTCTCATAGGGAGAAACTAGTCCGAGACTTGATGATGATGATGATGATGGGCTTCCTTCGTAATGCAAATGGCGAATGCGTTCCACCGGATTGTTGTGAATAGAAGAAGTGAAATGAAGAAAATATCACTAAAAAGTAATATGACATATTTGCCTCATACCATTGTGGAAAAGGAGTTCTCAATGGCCTTCAAATAAAATTTATAATATTCATCAAAGCAATTAAAATGCTGTTTTTCATTATAGAAAGTATTTCAATTCAGTTTCAGTTTGATTAATAATTAATTAATAATAATAATAATAACATTTTATTCCACAGACTCCTTAAGTCCACAAAGAACGTCATCAATTTACATGTTTTACATTCATAGTCAAAAACATATCATAAAAGCAAATCATAGCAATGCAAAACAATAAATTTTTAAAATCAATCAATTTAATTTTAACTTATTTTTGAAGTCTTCTTTCTTACGATGGAATTCAAAATGACTGTACTTTTTTGAACTCTCTAGCCATTCTTGACAATGGATTGTTTCTGCCGTAGTCCGTTTTGTGTCTTGATAAATCCCGCAAGAGTGGAGCCGTTCTTGATGTCAGCATTGAGGTATTGATGTTAAGTGCAGACAACAATTCATTACAGTCAATCGTACCATTTAGAATTCCTGCTACAAATATCTAGATGGCCCGCATTTTGTCTTCTTTTCTCCAACGATTCTAGATTCAAGAAACTGCATCTTTCGCCATACGACAAACTTCGTTGTGGAACAATTCTTTTACAGGCCATTGCAGTGAATTTCCGTTGAACTGATTCGACCCTCCTGATGTTTTCTAGCGCATGGGGAGACCAAACAATGTTGCAGTATTCGAGATGAGGTCGAACAAGTGCGCAATATAAAATTTTCAAAAGATGATCTTTGAAATCTTTTGTGAATCTCTTAACAAATCCCAGAGCTTTCATAGCTTGAGAAGTTATGCGATTAATGTGTCTTCCAAAATTTACGCTACTTGTTATATCCACACCAAGATCTTTAATTTCTTTGACAAGATTCAATTGATTACCATCTAAGTTGTACTAACGTTCTTCGTTTTTTCTATTTCGTGAAAATGAAATGGAAGAACATTTATCATGATTTAGTTTCACTTCATTTTCATTGCACCATTTGAAGAAATTGTTGATGTCGTTTTGCAAAAGAAGTTGGTCTCTATCACAGTTGATGGTTCTATAGAATTTACAATCATCAGCAAATAAATTTATTTCTGAATTTTCAAGACTTTCCACAAGATCATCTACCATAATCAAGAAAAGATTTGAACCTCCATGAGTTCCTGCTGGTACGCCAGATGTAATTTTGTATTGTTTTGATCTTTCGTTATTAAATAAAACAAACTGAATTCTGTCTTGAAGATATGACTCAAACCATTTCAATACTGAGCCGTGAAAATCCAAATGAAATAATTTCTCTGAGAGAATTCGATGAGAAACCTTGTCGAAAGCTTTTGTAAAGTCCGTATAGATTGTGTCAACTTCTTTTCCTTTCTCAACACTTTCAATGATATGCGACACATAAGGCACCAGACTTGTGTTTGCAGATCTTTTTGATGTGAATCCATGTTGTTTGTTGTTCAAGCTACGATTGAGGATTGGACGAATGCTATCAAAAACCATCATGTCGAATAACTTAGCAAGAGATTTCTGAATAACTACGCTTCTGTAATTCTCAATGTTTGACTTCGTTCCTTTTTTAAAAATCGGAGCGACGTGTGAAGTCTTCCAAGAACAAGGAAAAATTCCATTGGACAATGACGAATTGAAAATATCACAGAGTGGTGAGTCAATGCATGATGACAGCATCTTGAGTAGTCTTGGTGGAATTCCATCTGGCCCTGGACATTTGCTACCATCCAATTTGAGTAATCCTTCACAAACTTCTATTGGAGAAAATGAAAGCTTAAAAAGATTAAGCCTTGAGTTTATGGATGGTTCTGAGAAGCAGCCATGAGATGAAGGATTATAAACTGATTGAAAAAAATCTGCAAAGTTATCAGCAATTCTTTTATCACCTGTTATTGTTACTCCACGATATGTCATGTTGATTGGAAATTTATTTGTTTTTGGAGTTTACAAAATCGAAAAATGCTTTTGGATTTTCTTTCAATTCATCAGAAATTTTTTCAGTATACATTTTATACGCCAAACGATTGCGATATTTAAATTGTTTTCTGATATCTTCGTATGCTTTCACTGACAATGGGTCATGTCGATCAATTTTCTTGTGCATTTTGTTCTTTTTCCTACAAAGCTTTTTGAGATCATTATCAAACCAAGGAGGTTGACAAACATTTGATTTCACTGTGCTAACTGGTGTATGACGAAGTATTGATGAACATAGGATGGCAGTGAAAATCCACACTTTATTGTTCACAATGCATTTATTTAGTTCTGTGGTGATCACGTATTTTATATCCTTCTTTAATTTGTTGAATATCTCATTTCCTGGATACACATAAATGAGTAAGCTTTTGATATCATACAAATTGAAATTTTGAAAACACTTGTCATTTGATGGGATCATACCTTACTCATACTTCATTTGGTTTTTGATGAATATAAATTCTTATTTATTATCATTCACGAGCAAAAGTAAATTTTTGTAGATGTTCAGCTGTTTTCCCTTGGAAGTTCTCAAATATAAGAATCATTCAGTCACCAACGCTTGTTGAATTTCAATTTGACAAGACATTGATGACGTTATAAAGATGTCGAGTTGAATGAGTATATTGAACAATAATATTAAAGTTAATTCAGGTGTTTTAGGATAACTTTGTAGATAGTTTCTAAGTGATATTCCGTCGACGTTGCTCAAATTGAAAAAGTTGAAGAAAATTGAAATGTATATAAATGTTGCAATATACGAGAGTCTTTAGTTCATTATCGAAAGTGACATTCAATAAGTATACTTGAATAAGTTGAAGTACTTGAATATTTCGAAAAAGTAAACTCAAAAATGTTTTTCAAAGGAATCATAATAGTCGCCCTTGTAGCAAGTGAGTTTTAATCTAATTTACAGCTAAAGTGAATAGTTATTTCTCATTTGTAATTTTTTTTATTATCTTTCAGTTTGTAGTGCAAGAGAAGTTTGTGAAACTGGTAAAAATCATTTCATTCTTTTATTTTCTTCAGATAATTCTTCATTTCTTCATAATCTTTTTTTAAATAGTTGCAACAGGTAACCAATGTGGTGCCAATGAAGTATGGACTGACTGTGGACCCATAGACGATTGTGAAATGGCATGTGACTCGCCTGCGCAACAAGCTTGTCCCGCTATTTGTCTTTCAAAATGTGAATGCAAAGAAGGATTCGTTCGAGCATCTCAAAATGGAGACAGAACATGCATTATGGAAGCATACTGTAATGCTCCATAATTTGATTTAAAACAATCAATTTTCATGAAATCAATTTGTTTTTCAAATCAATTTTTCTAATGTTTTTTTATGTGCTTCAATTATTCGCTACTTAGTAAGCTTCTACATAGTCATACATACTTTGGAATTTATTTATTCAACTATTGTTTTATTTTACATCATTTTCATTTTTTTCATGGATTTATCAATGACACGTGGAAATTAAAAACATGTTACAAATTTCAAAGTAGCAAGACAACAACGACGTTAAAAGTTGCTAGGTAGTGTTAAAGACTTTTTATACATCATACACACGAAACTAAATTTATTCAAGTGTTTTCTAAATAACAAGTTGTCAGTACTAAATAAAACAAGAATCAAAAGTTTCACGCTTTGCACGATATAATAAAACTACCAATAGATTATATATAACAATTGTGACTCATTTGATGATATTCTAATCATAATCAATCTCCATTTGGACATTTAATGCTTTAAAGTTTGTTAATGTCGTCTAATATAATTTAAGCTTTTCCTTATCAGTTTATGGTCACAAAATGTTATGTTAAGTTTTTTGATAGTTTTAGGTTAACAAGACATCAATGTTCTTGTAAATTGTCTAGTCATGCATATTAAACTTTGAATAATTCAGGTTCTTGAAAAATATTTCTTTTACAACGCTTATCAAAAAAGTACTTAAATTGAATATTATTTAGGACTTGTCAGGAAGTTTTTCCTATTCATATTTCAAAGTGACATTCAAAAGAAGTTGAATATTTGAAAGAAAAAAAGACTAAAAAAATGTTTTTCTCATGGCAAAGGTACGTGCAAATTATTAACTCATGTATCAAACATATTTATGATTTTATAACACTTTAATGACATTATGAAGGTTTTGAAATGAATGAGTATATTCAACGAATAATATTAAAATTAACTTTTTAGTATAACTTCGTAGATAGTTTTATAAGTGACATTGCGTTGACGTTGCTGTTATTGAAAAAGTTGAAGAAAATTAAAATGCATCATCATCAGACAAGTTGATTGCTTGCACTTTTATGCGATGAAGTAAAGGTGGGAGTAATCCTCCATCTTGTTTATTAAAATGTATATAAACGTTGCAGTATGCAAGTGTCTTTAGTTTATTCTCGAAAGTGACATTCAATATAAGTACTTGAATATTTCGAAAAAGTAAACTCAAAAATGTTTTTCAAAGGAATTATAATATTCACCCTTGTAGCAAGTGAGTTTTAATCTAATTTACAGCTAAAGTGAATAGTTATTTCTCATTTGTAATTTTTTTTATTATCTTTCAGTTTGTAGTGCAAGACAAGTGTGTGAACCTGGTAAAAATCAATTCATTCTTTTATTTTCTTCAGTTATGATAATTTTTCATTCTTCATAATCTTTCTTAAATAGTTGCAACAGGTAACCAATGTGGTGCTGATGAAGTATGGACTGACTGTGGACCAGTTGACGATTGTGAACCGGCATGTGACTCGCCTGCGGAACAAGCTTGTCCCGCTATTTGTCTTTCAAAATGTGTATGCAAAGAAGGATTCGTTCGAGCATCTCAAAATGGAGACAGAACATGCATTTTCAAGGAGTTCTGTCCATAATTTGATAAAACAATCCAATTTCATGAAATAAATTTGCTTCTCAAATCAATCTTTTTAATGTTGTTCTATTTGATTTATTTTTCCATTACTAAATATTTATGTTCTATTAGTCGTACTTATCTGATTAGATTTAGAGTTAAATTTAATCAGTATTGCTTTATTTTATATTGTAAATATTTTCGAAATTTCAAAGTAGCAATACTAGACTTTNGATTAATAATTAATTAATAATAATAATAATAACATTTTATTCCACAGACTCCTTAAGTCCACAAAGAACGTCATCAATTTACATGTTTTACATTCATAGTCAAAAACATATCATAAAAGCAAATCATAGCAATGCAAAACAATAAATTTTTAAAATCAATCAATTTAATTTTAACTTATTTTTGAAGTCTTCTTTCTTACGATGGAATTCAAAATGACTGTACTTTTTTGAACTCTCTAGCCATTCTTGACAATGGATTGTTTCTGCCGTAGTCCGTTTTGTGTCTTGATAAATCCCGCAAGAGTGGAGCCGTTCTTGATGTCAGCATTGAGGTATTGATGTTAAGTGCAGACAACAATTCATTACAGTCAATCGTACCATTTAGAATTCCTGCTACAAATATCTAGATGGCCCGCATTTTGTCTTCTTTTCTCCAACGATTCTAGATTCAAGAAACTGCATCTTTCGCCATACGACAAACTTCGTTGTGGAACAATTCTTTTACAGGCCATTGCAGTGAATTTCCGTTGAACTGATTCGACCCTCCTGATGTTTTCTAGCGCATGGGGAGACCAAACAATGTTGCAGTATTCGAGATGAGGTCGAACAAGTGCGCAATATAAAATTTTCAAAAGATGATCTTTGAAATCTTTTGTGAATCTCTTAACAAATCCCAGAGCTTTCATAGCTTGAGAAGTTATGCGATTAATGTGTCTTCCAAAATTTACGCTACTTGTTATATCCACACCAAGATCTTTAATTTCTTTGACAAGATTCAATTGATTACCATCTAAGTTGTACTAACGTTCTTCGTTTTTTCTATTTCGTGAAAATGAGATGGAAGAACATTTATCTTGATTGAGTTCCAATTCATTTTCATTGCACCATTTGAAGAAATTGTTGATGTCGTTTTGCAAAAGAAGTTGGTCTCTATCACAGTTGATGGTTCTATAGAATTTACAATCATCAGCAAATAAATTTATTTCTGAATTTTCAAGACTTTCCACAAGATCATCTACCATAATCAAGAAAAGATTTGAACCTCCATGAGTTCCTGCTGGTACGCCAGATGTAATTTTGTATTGTTTTGATCTTTCGTTATTAAATAAAACAAACTGAATTCTGTCTTGAAGATATGACTCAAACCATTTCAATACTGAGCCGTGAAAATCCAAATGAAATAATTTCTCTGAGAGAATTCGATGAGAAACCTTGTCGAAAGCTTTTGTAAAGTCCGTATAGATTGTGTCAACTTCTTTTCCTTTCTCAACACTTTCAATGATATGCGACACATAAGGCACCAGACTTGTGTTTGCAGATCTTTTTGATGTGAATCCATGTTGTTTGTTGTTCAAGCTACGATTGAGGATTGGACGAATGCTATCAAAAACCATCATGTCGAATAACTTAGCAAGAGATTTCTGAATAACTACGCTTCTGTAATTCTCAATGTTTGACTTCGTTCCTTTTTTAAAAATCGGAGCGACGTGTGAAGTCTTCCAAGAACAAGGAAAAATTCCATTGGACAATGACGAATTGAAAATATCACAGAGTGGTGAGTCAATGCATGATGACAGCATCTTGAGTAGTCTTGGTGGAATTCCATCTGGCCCTGGACATTTGCTACCATCCAATTTGAGTAATCCTTCACAAACTTCTATTGGAGAAAATGAAAGCTTAAAAAGATTAAGCCTTGAGTTTATGGATGGTTCTGAGAAGCAGCCATGAGATGAAGGATTATAAACTGATTGAAAAAAATCTGCAAAGTTATCAGCAATTCTTTTATCACCTGTTATTGTTACTCCACGATATGTCATGTTGATTGGAAATTTATTTGTTTTTGGAGTTTACAAAATCGAAAAATGCTTTTGGATTTTCTTTCAATTCATCAGAAATTTTTTCAGTATACATTTTATACGCCAAACGATTGCGATATTTAAATTGTTTTCTGATATCTTCGTATGCTTTCACTGACAATGGGTCATGTCGATCAATTTTCTTGTGCATTTTGTTCTTTTTCCTACAAAGCTTTTTGAGATCATTATCAAACCAAGGAGGTTGACAAACATTTGATTTCACTGTGCTAACTGGTGTATGACGAAGTATTGATGAACATAGGATGGCAGTGAAAATCCACACTTTATTGTTCACAATGCATTTATTTAGTTCTGTGGTGATCACGTATTTTATATCCTTCTTTAATTTGTTGAATATCTCATTTCCTGGATACACATAAATGAGTAAGCTTTTGATATCATACAAATTGAAATTTTGAAAACACTTGTCATTTGATGGGATCATACCTTACTCATACTTCATTTGGTTTTTGATGAATATAAATTCTTATTTATTATCATTCACGAGCAAAAGTAAATTTTTGTAGATGTTCAGCTGTTTTCCCTTGGAAGTTCTCAAATATAAGAATCATTCAGTCACCAACGCTTGTTGAATTTCAATTTGACAAGACATTGATGACGTTATAAAGATGTCGAGTTGAATGAGTATATTGAACAATAATATTAAAGTTAATTCAGGTGTTTTAGGATAACTTTGTAGATAGTTTCTAAGTGATATTCCGTCGACGCTGCTGAAATTGATAAAGTTGAAGAAAATTGAAATGTATATAAATGTTGCAATATACGAGAGTCTTTAGTTCATTATCGAAAGTGACATTCAATAAGTAGGTATACTTGAATAAGTTGAAGTACTTGAATATTTCGAAAAAGTAAACTCAAAAATGTTTTTCAAAGGAATTATAATATTCACCCTTGTAGCAAGTGAGTTTTAATCTAATTTACAGCTAAAGTGAATAGTTATTTCTCATTTGTAATTTTTTTTATTATCTTTCAGTTTGTAGTGCAAGACAAGTGTGTGAACCTGGTAAAAATCAATTCATTCTTTTATTTTCTTCAGTTATGATAATTTTTCATTCTTCATAATCTTTCTTAAATAGTTGCAACAGGTAACCAATGTGGTGCTGATGAAGTATGGACTGACTGTGGACCAGTTGACGATTGTGAACCGGCATGTGACTCGCCTGCGGAACAAGCTTGTCCCGCTATTTGTCTTTCAAAATGTGAATGCAAAGAAGGATTCGTTCGAGCATCTCAAAATGGAGACAGAACATGCATTTTCAAGGAGTTCTGTCCATAATTTGATAAAACAATCCAATTTCATGAAATAAATTTGCTTCTCAAATCAATATTTTTAATGTTGTTCTATTTGATTTATTTTTCCATTACTAAATATTTATGTTCTATTAGTCGTACTTATCTGATTAGATTTAGAGTTAAATTTAATCAGTATTGCTTTATTTTATATCGATTTCATTTTTGTTCATGGGTTTATCAATGGACACGTGGAAATTGTAAATATTTTCGAAATTTCAAAGTAGCAATACTAGACTTTTTCTTTTTCCCTTGACTTTTTAAGTTACCTACCCGGATCGTTCTCAGTTAGCAGTTAATGAAAGTTGTAGTTCTTTGATTAATTCGAAGCTGTTTTATTTATTTAACATTGTCAAGACATCATTCAGGATATTTAGTCCCGATCGAAAAGGAATTTAAATAGTTATGGAGCTTCAATTATTATTTTTGAACTGTATATAACATTAGTGACAGTACTGCTTGTATCTTAATAATATCACAGACAGTTCATGTTTTGAAAATGAAGTATAGCTGCTTGTGGAGCAAATAAATAAAAACAAATTCAACCTCGATTTTGTGTACAATGGAATTATTTTTCATCTTCATTTTGATAAAAAGCGATCACAATTGAAACAAAATATCTGTAAGACTTTCGATTGACGTATTATTAGTTCAAGTGTTTTCTTTTGCAAATAATATCACAAAAGCAAAAACAATATATGAAATGATATTCGACTTAATACATTTAAACACAGGTAGATATTAAATAAAATGGATGATTAATTTCACTTCAGTTGTTCATTCGCGTTTGAGGAACTAAAACAGTTGTTAAAACGAATGGAAATGTTTTCGAAAATAATTCTTTTTGTATTTTTTATCACAAGTAAAGTCACGAATTATATTGAATTTCATTTATTTTTCATGATTAATAACTCTTCCTTATTATTGCTTAATAGTTTGCGGTGCTACTAAAAAATGTGTTCAAGTCGGTAAGAATTTAAATATTCAATTTTTAATTTTTACATTTTTTAAAAATATTTCAATGCAGCAAGTCCTGAACCACAATGTGGACCAAATGAAGTGTTCAGTACCTGTGGCCCTGTAAATGATTGCGAAGCTACCTGCAAACCTTTTTCATCTGATATAGCTTGTCCGTACATTTGCCTCACAAAATGTGTTTGTAGAGATGGATATGTTCGAGATAACAGCGAAGATAGAAATTGCGTTCCAGTTGAGTCATGTTCATGTATGTTTTGGAATTTAATTTAATTTTTATATTATTCATGATATCTTGAGATGACTGAAGAAAAATTAATTTTTATAGCTCATTGTGAAGAAAATGAAATTTACAGCGAATGCGGATCTGGATGCGGCGACGCCAGTTGTCAAAACTATGATGCTGAACCAGGGTTTTGTCCAACTTATTGTAATGTCGGATGTTTCTGTGATAAAGGGTATGTTAGAGGTCCCAACAAAAAATGTATCACTGTTGCCGAATGCACAGATCCCACAGGTAGATGTTTTCAAAATATTTGAATTGATTTTTAAGAATTTCATATTTTAGATCGTTGTGGAGAAAATCAAGATTATGTCTACTGTGGATCTGCATGTGGAAATTTAACTTGTGATAATAGAAACGAAGCTGCAAGAACTTGTCTTGCTGTTTGCTTGGAAGGATGCTTCTGTAAGGAAGGTTTTGTGGAAGGTCCGGATGGAAATTGTATAATTGCCGAGCAATGCCCTCGTAAGTTTTCATTTTACTTTCTTATAACTTTTCTAATAATTACTTCTTTTTTAAATGTTAGCAAGTTGCATCTTTAATGAAGTGTGGACCGATTGTGGAAGACCCGAACCTTGTGTAGCAACATGCAATAATCTGAATCCATTTGACAACTGTGCAGATGAATGCATTGAGAGATGTGAATGTGCTGATGGATATGTTTGGGATAATGTCAACGATAAAAATTGCGTTCCCGTTTCTTCATGTTCTGGAAGTAAGTTTAAAAACTGTTTTTGCAAATAAAAATTTATGATTTTAATTTTATCAATTTTAATGATGAATTTAGACAGTTGTGGTGCCAATGAAGTGTGGACCGATTGTGGAAGACCCGAACCTTGTGTAGCAACATGTAATAATCTGAATCCATTTGACAACTGTGCAGATGTATGCATTGAAAGATGTGAATGTGCTGATGGATATGTTTGGGATAATGTCAACGATAAGAACTGCATTGCTGTAACTTCATGTGCTCAATAAGGTTCAACACGAAAGAAGTTCTGAGCATAGAGATTGAATAAATTGAATTCGAAATCGTGCTTGAACGATCTTCAGTTACGTAATTGAAATAAAAACATAAATAAAGTTTTCAAATTACAATTATGTTTTATTTTGTACTTTAATTAAATTTAAATTTCCTTCATTAACTTTTACATTTACATCATTTTATAAATTTTGTTGGGCCCGTGAGGAAACAAAAATCATTTCTATTAATAATTTTAATGATGAAAATTTGTTATTTACATCAATTAATATGAAAAGCGTCAATAACGATAATGTGAAAAATATTCTAATTAAATGGGAATTAAACGTCGGAAGCTCGATTGAAATTAATTTAAATTATTTTTTAATGGAGTTGATTGATTTTAAAGTTCTCAATTAAATTTATAATTTTACTCATCTAGGCCAAAAATGTTTTTAAATTTTGTTCACATTCGGTTACATATCCAACATTGAATTTTAAAAACTTCCAACGATATAATTATTTATCTTTCAAGAATGAAAATGGCAAATTATCTATTTTTATATATATTTTCGTCATCTTTTTAATTACACAATGAAATTTCATCTACTGAAAAATGGTGTTCCATATTAAAAGAATTTCTCTTTCAAAAAGAAAGTTTAACTTAAGGCACTTTGAATAAAGAAATTAAAAGGGGAAATTGAAGTGTTTGTAAATTTAGTCGATAAATGCAAACGATGCTTGATCATTCAAAATATAAGAAAATTAACTCTATTTGATTCATTGCTCTATAGATAAATGAATGTTTGTTGTTTGCAAAGAAATATTCTTAGTATGAAACATAAAATGATTAAAATGATGATAAAAGTTCTTTGTAGATTTTTTCTCTTTGTTATTAGTAAGTAAGATTCGTTCTTGATCAGATTGATACAACTATATACTCAAATACACAAATTAAATATTTTTAAGGCCATTCAGGCCGACATGTTATGCGATGTCATCAACATGAACATCAATTTCGTTTGAAACATTTAGATAATTTCATTTCATCAGATTCATCATACACATCGATCGAATTTTAATTTTAAACAATCATTGACATGACAGATTCTCTTTCTTTTCAGACATATTTCAAATATCCTTAATAAAAGATAAAATATTTTCATATATTTAAAGTAGATAATTTAATTTCGTCTAAATATCAATTTTCTACATAAAAATTATTAAGTTTTCCTTTCTAAATTACTCAATAATTAAGTGGCACAGTTTTTTATTTGTTTTTATTTGATTAAAATTTCTTTCTCTTTTTTTACTCCGTTTCCTTAACTAACTTTAAATAATAAATTAAGTTGCATCATTAAAAAATGCGAAAGTTCAATTTGTTATTTTGTTTGTATTCAACTCTAATTATAATTTTTTTAAGTACATCTGTCATTGAGTTCACAACTTCATTTGTTGATTCATTTTTAATTACAAATACATTAAGAATTGAGAATTGAGATCAACATTTACATATTCATTAATTTATCATTTGAAAGACTCTTCATATCATTAAAAATTTAACTAACCACTATTTGACTACGTTGTTCTGGACATTTTCCAAGTCATAACGATGACCTTGTTGCTCTCACATATTTACAAATGAACATTTTTAAACTTTCACGTCGTCCATTCAAACTTTTTGTTTCGTTTGGCTTGTAACAGCAATAAATAGACAAAATTTGCTGAAGAAGATTTAAGTTTTGATTTAAATAAATAATTTTTTTGTTTCCAAATATTCTACTAGAATTTAAAGAATATTTTGTTGTTCTGAAAAATTATTCGTTTGGTCCCGAAAACAAAGTAGCTTCTATGAAAAGATGGATAAAATTATTTATTTTTGTAAAGATTTCAAGCAGATTTAGAACATTGAGAATGTTTGTTTAAAGATTCATTCTGAATGAACATCATTAAGATTAATATTCATTACAAATGAGTTCACTAAAATTATTGATTGGCGAATCGTGTTCTGTTTCACTGCCATATACTTGGAAAGCTGCTTGCATGTTAATGGGACCATCAAGAGAATCAAAATCCCATGGTTGTGGGCTCTCGACATCTGATTCGATGCTGTTATTGTAATAAGGATTTGGACTTTCTGAAGACGTGAAGAAAGCTTCGGAAAATCTTCCAATTTCTGTTCCACCGAAAGTTTGAAGAAATCCGGGAAGCGGCGTGATGTTCTGTAATTAAAAAGTTATGTGAAAATTTCTGTAATCCTTTAAATAATGTTCAATCAACCTTCATTAACTCGTCTTTAGGATCATTCTTTGGTGGGGTATCAGACTTTGCTTTTCTTTTTCGTTTCGGTGGTGGTGATGAATCTTCATACTGAAAACAGAATTTCATCAGTAAAACATCGCAAGATAAAACGATCAATTTACCAATTTATGTTTCTCGTTTTGGATGTTTCGATTGAATGGAACTGATGATGGAAGCATTTGAGCATCGGTGTAAGAGCCACGACGATTTCTCATGTAGGGATTCATCATCCAATTGTGGTGAGGTGGCTGATGTTGCTGCTAAATAATACAGAAAATTATGAAAATTATTTGAATATGAAAAAGAATGATCGATCAAAAATTTTATGATAATTTGGAAAGAAATGGAAAACGAACTTACCGAATACCAATAATTGTGGGCTGCTGCAGCGTGCGGAAAATTGGGTGGAAGTCGTTGATGGGGCGGATAATTGTGAGGTGGAATGTGACCATGATTGAACGACGATGATGTCATGTTGGCGAATGGGGTTGAGCAACGATTAAATGGATCATTAGTCTGAAAATGGAAAACAAATTAGCTACAGGTTTATCGACATGTTTCCACTTAATAAGAGGAAAACTTTTCTCGCGAGTCATGTTTGTTAGTTCAATAATAATTTTTTTATTTTGAAATGTCTAAGTTCGTTGATCTGAAGAGCCTTGAACCAAACAATTATTGATTATTATAGCCAAGAACATAATCATTAACCTTATTTTGTTTATCTTAAAAAAACAATTAATCGAATGGACTATAAATTGATAAAATCTGTAACTAAAGAAATCCTAGAAAGTCATCGCTAGCTGAAGTCATTTTCATCATTGATTATTTATGGATGTCACGCAATTGTTTAATTAATTGTTGTGCAATTTCCTTTCGCTCATGCAAAATAAATCAATTACTTCAAGGTAGATGACAGTGAAGGAGAAAACATCGCAATGGTGTTAATTATTGATAATGTTCAACAGTAGCGGAATCAGGGATAATTTATTGACGATAAGTCAATAATTGAGAAATTAAAAGTTTCAAAATTGATTCTCATTCATAAATTATCACATGAAAATTAAGTGAAAAAAACTTTTTAAAAGTTGTACTAATTGAAGTTTATGTTCGGTTTTTAATGCCAAAACAAGTGTTTTCACATCTCAATAATATGCGAATGAAATTGCCGTTTAATTCTTTTATTGTTTTTCTTATGCTAAACTTCTTCAGAATAAAAGAAGAAATTTTGTCATAAAATATTCATCACGACTTCATCCACCAAATAAATAGAGGGATAAGAATGAACATAAGGACGCCGCAAAAAGGACTACCGAAAATCATAAATTTTAATGTTACGCAATTTATCATAATTGAATTTCATTGCCGCTTCTCAGTGAAGAATAACATGAATTCTTTCTCATGATAAAAGTTTCAATATCAGATAACTCATGAATCTTATAAGTTGCCCAAAATAATGTTATAATACGATCATCGCTGTCGATGCAAATTAGTTTCACCTTTCCGACAGTGTCGATGACATGACTAAGAAACCATTATTCAAATAAATGAAGTGTTTAAAATCCTATCAAAGCATTTTCACTCCTGCACGCTGAACGCATTTCAACAACTTTATCATTGAGATAACCATGAATGAGCGATGAGAATTTTCCATAAAAACAACTTTTTACGAGTTTTATGATCATGTGCAACATCTTGTTTTTATCGACGACAGTATCTCCTCATATTTATTTTTATCTTTCCATTCTTTCATCTTTATATTTGAATTTTACGCTCTCTTTATAATATAAATCGCTATATAAAAAAGGGAATAGTTTTAGTCCTAAAAAATAGGCGTTGAAGTTCATTTATTTATAGACGAAAGGGTTAACATATCATTACCGAGTTCATTTTTGGTAGTGGGAATGTGCAACATGTCACACATCCTTAACTTATATCAATGAAAATCATTGCCATCATTTATGCCAATCTTTTATCTTTCATCCAAAAAAAAAAAGGATTCATTATTAGAAGATAATTTGAAGGCAATTTCTTCCACTTAAAAACCTTTATGAGTGCTTTATAACATGAAAATCAATGATCTGTGTGACGATTGTCGGATGTTTGCGTTGTGTCGTAAACATTGAAAATGTTTTCCTTCTCGGACGTTGATACATTTTCCACAGATGTCTATCAGAGCGATTAATTGGGAAGACGAAATTTTATCTGCTTTTTTATAAGCTTTAATGCATGAAGAAATAAAAACTTAGTGAATGTACACGTTTTCAGCTTTCTTCAACTCATCGGAAACAAAAAGTGAACAAATCATGAACCCCGTGCAGAAAAGGAAAAAAAGCATTTGGAACAGGTAACAAACATCCTTTTTTCACTGATAAAAAATAAATAAATCCCGGTTCATTTTTACAATCCGCAGGAATGAAAGTATGTGAAAATCAAGCAGAGTTTGAGTGAAAGCGGGAAAAAAGGCAAAAACATAAATCAATATTCCATCAAGTGAAAAGAACAAAAAGAATATCCTTCAAACAACCAGACAGCTCGGTTAACGTTTATTCTATATCTCCCTCTCTTTCTCTCTCTTTTTCACGGGTTAAAAGCTTTATAGAAAATTCAAACACATCACTTCCACATCGAACGAAAATAATCGGAAAAAGTTGGGTTTTTGTTAGCGGAAGGAATTTTTTTTCGGTGATTTCGTTGAACATGAAAATTGAGGGGAGTGACGGAAAAAAGGTTTCAAGCTGATTTCCAAAACTTTCTCTGCAAAGAAGCTTGAAAACCTTTGAATTACCGATTAAGTGGATTCTGTGAAAAGTTTCACTTAGGTATAATAATATTATCGATAGGAAAATCTTTTATTTCAACGAATTGGAAAATCTAGAAGAACTTTGAAGTATCTAACGAAATTCTTATAAAGTCAACTTTTAAATTGAGAAAGAAAATAAAGAAAATTTTGAAAAACCCTAAAACCTAAACTTTTTCCTTGCAACATCTCAACCACGAGTGTGAAAAAGTTTCGCTTCAAAGATCTCTTAAAGATGGAGCAAAATCCTTGTCGGATATTTTTTTGTTTTAATGTCAAGTCAAAGTATTTCCACCTCACCCACACTCTTTTCCTGAGAGATTTCTTTCAAAGTGTTTGTGAGAGAGAAAAGTTTTTCATGCTTTTTCCCACTTTTTCCAATAATTGTTATTTTTTCTCTCGTCATTCTTTTCTTCTTTTTATTGATACTAACACCAAAACAAACGATTCTACTCTTTTCAAAGCGATTCAACAAGTGGCTCGTACCGCTTTTCTTTCGATTTTCCCACACCAACTGAATAAGAATGGGAAAAGTTTCGCACATGTAAAACTCTTTTGGTGATGTACTCGCCTTGTGTTGATGTCAAATAAAATATAGAAATTGTTGGTAAATTTCTCTCATGTGTATGCGCGAGAGAAATTCCATTGATGGTTTTGAGGTGAGGGTGGGGAAATATATGAGTTGAAAAACGATGCTCGGCAGGGTTCGTAAAGTGGCAAAATGTAATCGAGATTTCTCATTTCTTGTTATACAAGCACGTCGTCAGATTGAATATGCAAAATCAATTTCGTTCAGCCTTAATCATACTGGAATAGATTGAAATGCCTAAGTATTAAGTCAGGGCTTAGAATTTTTCTACCTTTCAATTATTTAATTTTGAGTTTAAAACTATAAAACATGATATGAAGATATTAACAACTTCTTTTGTAATCGTTATAAAAACATTCGTAACAAAGTTTAAATTTCAATGTCGATCAATGACTAACGTCAACCGACATGTGATCAAATAAAATTATTTAACTGAGTTTAAACTCAGCAATGCAATGTAAATAATCAATGTTTGCTTAATTTAATGAAGTTGTTGTTTATTAAGTTCCTCATCCTTAGCTCAAGTGTTTCTCATCATTTAAACTGAGATCAATTGTTGCTTTAATTTTTACACACTTGGTAACTTAAAAAATCTTGTTACTTAGTCGAAAGTTATTTAACATGTAATGCTTCCATTCGATTCCAATCCCTGTCTAAATTAGATCAATGAATATTTAAATATTGATTTTTCATTAACTTGTGTAATGATTTACATTCGAGTAAACATTAAGGAACACACACAAATCAAATTCGTCTGTAATTGAGCATCAATATAAGTCGAGAACAAGCATCACCCTAATGATGATGTTGACGATGATGTATCGAGTTATGTTTTAACATAATATTTTCTTTTTTTCTGTTTTCTTAAAAGAGATATAGTCACAAGGCTATGTTTGTAACGAAAGCACTCGAGTTAGGAAAAACTTGTCATGCTTTCCACTCCTGTAAATTTGTTATGCTATAAGAGAAACATAAATCTTTTGTCATGAATTCTGATTTGTATAAACTCATGAAACATCCCCAATCATGACTTGGCAGTTTTAATTTTTGAACAGCTAACTTTTGAGACATGAGATGAAGGGTCAAGTGAGAGTGATTAAACATGACGTTTTCATTTTTCAATTCAACCTAAACATTCACAAGACTGTCAAAATGTTGCAAAGAAACCTTTAAACTGATTTCGTGCAACAAAATATTTACACATTAGTTAAATAGTGTCAATCACACTTGACATCATTCGATGAAAAATTACAAACTTGTTTAAATTTTAATTTTCCCTTTGTTTATGCATGAACTTTGGCGACCCTTTTTGCTAATTATTAAGTAATTAAGTTAAATAATCGATTCTAGCAACCACATTCTCCGTATTATTGACAGCATGCTATTTATAGTAATTGCTTAAGTATGGACATCTGTATCGATTTATTATGCTGAATTTGATTTAGAATGGCACAATATAATTAAATATCAGACACTGAACAAGTATTGCAATTCTAATTGAATGAAAAAAAATCATCAAAAAGATGAATTTTTAATGGGTGAAAAGCAACAAACAACAATACAAATAAATCACTTGTTGCACATCATTTTCGATTGTTATCGCATAAAAAGAAGTTTGTGTTGAATATTAAAAATTTATGAATTTGATTCGTAGGGTGAAAAATATTCGATTTGTGTAGGATTAAAAAAATCAACGTCACTCCCTCACATTGAATATTTATGTTAATAATAGTTTTGGATTCTTTTTTCGCATGATTAATTGCTTCGAGAAAGATTGTGAGTTCCTGTGTGTATGTTCATTTGCGTGTCACAATAATTAAATTATTTTTGTTCGAAGTCTTTGCGTCGATTTCTTCATAGATGCCCGTTGTTTCGATAATTATGAGTAATCATTGACGTTCCTGTAATTAACCGTGGTTATTAAAATATTGTACGTGAAAATTATAGAGCGACCACCATTGAAGTCATTTCTGCATGAAAAGTTTCGACAGGAAATTTTAATTGAAGCAATAGTTGGAAATGAATAACAAAAGTTGTTGCGGTTGAAGTACTCCTTTTGTCTGAAACGGATTGTGTTCATTTATTTGCAATTTGAAGTGGCAAACTTTTCATTACGAATAATTATCACAATTATTTTCCATGAATGTTCAGACAAAAATTCAGAAAGCAGAAAAAAATGTTTTCCAATGCAGATTTTATAGAAATTTATTTCAACTTATGGTTTTTGTTATAATATGAGATACAAAATAAAAAAGTTTGCTGCAGTTGTGGCAATGCATGAAGTCAGTGGTGAGTTTAAAAATATTAAGTAGTTTGCTTTAAAAATAATCAAAGATGTTTAAAGCATTTAATAAAACAAATGACAAATAAAACATAACTTAATTAAATTTTTATATACGCAAATTAACAAATTGAACTTCATCACGAATATTTATCACAATTACTTTGCAAGAATATTTAAACAACAATTCTTGTCACTAAAGCTTACAAAAGATTTATTTAAAATCGATCGCATTTCATCTCTTCGAATCGTATTGAGAATATATAATGCTATAGAACCCAAAGGCGTGTAATTCTTTTCGATTTTTTTTTTGACGAAATTGAACTGGAAAAATGTCTTTTCGATACGCAGAAAGAGGAAACTTGATATGTAATTTGAAATAAAAGCTCAGAAGGCAAAGTAAAAGAAATTGACGAAATTTAGAAAATTGTAAAGCATTTTTTAAAAGCTTTCATATCTCTAACAAAAGTTTATCAAAGGACCTTTTCAAGAGAAGAATCTAAATCCAACAAAGAAAACTTTTACTTTATTTCATGGGCGGGAAAAAAATTATCGACCGACTTTTTGTGCCGTTTGTTGTTTCTGCTTTTTGTTTTCGTTTTGAGATCAGAGTTTTATGTATCGAGCATTCAATTCCCTCTTTTTTTTCCACGTTTCAATATCAATTACAAGCCCACAAAGAAAAAAATTACTTCATTTTTGTTAGAAGTGAAAAAGTGTTTGCTGACGTATGATAGTAAAATGTAAAAAAAATGAGAAACCGTGGTGCGAGCTAACAAACGGGCGATTGGAAGCATGCAGCGGGGAGCCATTTGAAAGTTTCCAGTTTCAATCCCTTTTCTCCCTTTCTTTCATCATATCTCTTGTAAATTACACATTGCCTGCTTTTTGGTGGTGCCCTTTTATTATTTTTTTTCTTCATGTTTTTGGGGGAATCGATTTTTTTTCTCGTCTATGGACTTTATACCGGAGAGAGAGAGAGAGAGTGAGGAGACAGAAAGTGAGAAAGGAAGGGTGAAGGAAGTAACAAGCATAAAAAATGCCATCAATTGGAAAATTTCCCTTCATACCATCTCGAAACAGCAACTTTGTTGGTGTGTGAAATGTTTTTCACGATATGAAGTATATAAGGATGAGACGTTGATGGGGTGAGTGAAGGAGAACGAAAGAGAGTGAGAGAGAGAAAAGAAAATTTGAGAGAGATACAAAAATATTTGATCCAATTTTTCAAAACGCATGTGTCAGTGCGATGTTACAATGGGATGAGTTGATTTGAGCTTTTGGCGCGCTTGAATGAGTAACGAAGGGATCATTGCTACACATGCGAGCTATTTCATGACAAGTAAAGAGCGAAAAATTGTCTGAAAGCTCAAAATGTAATCATAGCTTTGTGAATTGGTATCGCATGTGGATGAAGATGTGAGAAGAATTTTTCATCTCTTTCAATAACTGTCGTGAATGGTGGGAGGGTTTTTGGGAATAACCGAGTTCGCTACTATGTACAATATGAAGCTCAAGTAACATAAACATCCCACGAGAAAGACGTTTATGCTAATGAAATTGTAAAATCTCTGCTCCCTACTACGGTCGCTTTTCTTTCTTTTCCGCTTTTAGTATAAATTGATACTGACAAGGAATCCTTGTCAATTTTCTGTCGCTTGCAAAATAAAAAGAATTTTTCATTCTTTCTTTCTTTAAGATGATGGCATAGGCATGTTCAAGATACTAAAGAGCTTGTTTATCATTGGGAAAAAAAAGTTTGAAAGATTTCATGACAAGGCCCATCTGAAATGAAACAGAGAGAAATGTTTTGACAGATTTCATGTTTTGATTTTTGAAAGCTTTCGGTGTTGAAAGGAAGTAGGAGAAATGAAAGCTCAAAGTAGAATTTTCCTTAAAAAATGTACCGGAAAGAAAAAGACGTATAAAGACGCAATTTTATTGAGTGACATACGCAAAGGAAATTTTTATGTAAAAATAAGCATCGAGAAGAGCTTTGAAGAGCCTCAAATGTTCTTTACATGTTTGACAGAAAATATCTCTTCATATTCCTTTTTTTTATTTAGAAGAAAGGAAAGGAAAACTTGTCGATTCTCAAAGAATATGTGATGTGTAGCCTCACCTCTTTTCACCGCATTACCTGACACAAATCGTGAATTTCAATTTTTCTAAGTGGAAAATTGACGGTGAAGAGTGAAACACAAACTATTTCCTTATTCATTTCTGTGTTTAGTATTTACAAGCTATTCATGTTTATGATTTTTTCGATATGGAGAAATACGAGTGGCCCGATAATAAGGCGAGAAATTTAACGTCATTCAATATTTATGATTGAAATGAACACCACATTTATTGATTTATATCATTTTTCCGATGCCTTTTTGTTCCACAAAGCTTTGCTTTCGTTCCTTTTCATTTTGCCTTTGGTTGAAAAAATAAAGCAGAAACAGAAATGCTTTTTTTCTCTTGCGCCTTGCTGTTAGAGGAAAATCGATTTTGCTAGCTACGCAAAAAGGGAAAATATGCTCCGGGTTTACAAAGAAAACTTTCATTTTATTCTCGGTTAGACTTACTATTGAAAGCCATGACATTTAACTTAAATTTCATACTAAATAAGTGATGCTTGGTTGATTACTTTATATATTCAAATTTAAAACTTTTCTCCTAAAATTGTTAAGAAAGAATTAGTTGAGAGAATTGTTTTAATAACCCTGCGGTTACTGACATGCTCCAAAACATTGTAAACTATTTTTACAAAGAAACAGCAATAATGAACGTTAATTAGAGTGGAAAAGTGTTTCATTCAAAAATATCTTTTTATCTTTTTTCAAAAGATGGAAAATAATTTATGATGTCAAGCATAAATAAAAGAAAAGCAAATTTATGTAGCACTTTATGCAGTAAAGTTTTTCCGTCTAGGAACATCGTGTAGGTAGATAAACAAAGCCCTCATTGTGAAAAAAACTTTAAATACACTGAAATGCTTAAGGATAAACATGAATTAAAAAAATCTGTTGCAAACAAAGCCTTGAAATCGCTGACATTTTAATGGAAGAAACACTCAATATGACTCTGAAACAAAAAATGATGCAGAAACATTCAACTTTACTTGTGAACTTTCAATTTATTTTCTGAAAACTTTCTGTAAACTCTCTTGCTTGCAGAAGGATTAATTATAGAGCTTTAGAACGATTCTAAATAAATGTATAAATCCCCTTTCTCATTATTGAGCTTTGTTTTAACATTTCAGTGAAATTTCAAGTAATGGGCGCTCTTTGTGTAAACTTTGCTGCTGCAATTATCTAGAACGTTGCTTTGTGTTTGTTGCTCTTCTTTTTCCATCTTCTTTCATCGTGCTTAAAATATTTCGCCCCTCAACTCACTTGAAGTAAAGCATTTTACACGGAATTACCGCTTTGAGATCTTTGACAAGCTTAATCACGTACTTGGAGTTAACACAACTAAAGCAGAAGGAACAAAAATGTTTTAATCCGTTTCACTTTATGATAGACATGAAAGAATTATTTTAAAAGGAATTTCGCTTCTTTGAATTTTTCACAATGATAAATTACGAGATGAAATTTTATCTAACAAAACTGAAATGTAGCGTAAACTAATAACGGTGAAGAATGAAATAAGTATAATTAAACATAATTTTAGCACTGGCTTTAAACGTCGTTCAAAACATCCCGAATATAAATCTTCAATTCTTTTAAATAAGCAGAAGTAATATGAAAATCTAGCCTTCAGTGAAATGATTATTTTTCTTCTTCAGTTCCCTTCGTTAACATAAAAATGGATTATCAAAAGTTTTGCATCCATTACGCTCCTTTTTTTAAAGCTTTAGCTCACCAACGCAATCTTCATGCTTTCATTAATTTTTATTTACGCTTACACAATTATGAAAAATGTCTGAATGGTTTTTCCTTTTTCTCTTTCATTCTTTTCCCACTTTTCCTAAATAATGCAAATTTATGACGGAAAAGATCCTTGACAACAAAAGGATGAAGAAATATTTTCTTATGATTTTTCCAACGCCTGAAACTTTACTTGTCGTAATGTATTTTTTAAGCTTTACACTTTCTTTTTTGTTTACGTTCTTGATGCTGTTGATATAAACACGTTCCACTTTGAGTGCCATTTATTGCTTTCTTTTTAAATTTATTGAAAGATTTCCACATCGAGCAAAGAAAAAGTTTGATAAATATTTGTGAGGTGGAAAATTTTTGTATTTTAACGGAAACTTAGCTAAATATTTAATTAATTGATCGACTGTTTAAATTGATAAACAAGAATAATTATCCTTCGATTATCAATTAAGAAATTCAATTACTAATCAAATAATAATTTAAGTTCCAGCCATTTTCCGCTGATTAAATTGTGTTACGAGCGGTGCAAAATAAAGTGACATGTGTCAATTTAAATTATTATATTTGGGATTCCCCAACTAGATACCTAATAAACATTGACGTGACGTGTTTCAGCAATCAATTTTCATCGTCGATTATTTATTTGCTTACGGAATTTCAAGATGTTGTCGTCATTAGTTGCGTGTGCTTGTGCTGAATATTTTCTTCTGTTTTATTCTTATATAAATATCTTTCTTGAAATTCAATTGTGCAAATAATAAAATACACACGTGAAGTCGACAAACGACTTACGTAGGCGTTTTTCTTCAGTCATAAGCAATACAATCAACAATCTCCCGACTCAACTCTTCAAATTGATTTTCAGCTTCTTTGATGCCATTCATGGCCTTGAGTCGAATATTTTCGTTAGCTTGTTGAAGTGAAGTGGCAATTTGTTGGAACCAAGAACCAATGCGATCAAGAATCTTTGAACGATTTTCTTCTATCTGAAAATTAATTTGAAGCTTTCTTGACTGCTAGTAATTTGAGCTTACATAATTATTAATTAGACATTCTTTTGTAACTCACGTAAGTGTTGATACTTAGTGGTGTTGACGATTTGAAGTGGCTTTTGGACAGAACATCAATTAATTTGTCATAATTTGAAGACGCATCTTGAGAAACCTCATAAATATTCTTCATTAAATTTTCACGCTCAGCAAGAGATGAGCTTTTCAAATCGTTGATCGTGTTCAATCCCAAGTCAAGCAACAGAATTTTAAATGAATCCCAGCACTCCAGCAGCATGTTATCATCATTACGGTTGTTCGGGTCTTGAAATTTTAAAATTTCCTTTTCAGAAATTTTCCTAAGATTATTTATGAAGCTTTGATATGTCTCCGTTAAACTTTCATTAATGTTGTCTGATGTGAAATTTTCCATCAATCTCTTCATTTCATCTTTAATACGATTCTTTACTTGAAGTACAAATAAGTAAACATGTTTGGCGTCAACGATAAATCCATGATTTTCAAACAGTTGTTTCGAGAGTGTTGAAAGATTTTCCTCATAAATTGTAATCAAATTTTTCCATTGGGAAAGAAAATCAATCTCGGCAACACTTATCTCTGATTGGATGGCCTCAAGGCTGTCTTGAAATTGCGATAAACCATAAAAATATTCTCTTTCAATAACATCTCCAGCTGAATCCATAAACACAAACTACAGAAGTTGTTACAGTAAATTAAATATTATGAAAGTCTTTAATAGCAATTAAAAGCTCACTTGCACATTCGCAATCGTAATGATAGCGAAACACCAGAAAAACATTTTTAAGTCATTGAATATCGTCTCAGAACCTAACGTGACGCCGTCAACGTGACATTTCAAACTGATAATATGAAGATCAACTTTTATATTAATTAGTGAAGTATTAAAACGAGAGAACACCTCATTAAATATTTTCAAAGAAACAATAAGGTCGGTAATTTCATAAAAAAATTCCATTTTGTTGTTCATTTTCTCACGTCAATTTGATGACAATCCAATTCTTTCATTATTATTTTATTCCATTATAAAAATGACACAGAATGCAAGAAATGCGCATAGTTAATTACTTAAATATTAACATTACTTACTAATTCATCTTTAATGTCCACGTGTGATTGTTAAACGCTTTCGCAAATATTTGTCATAAAATTATAAATTTAAATTTTGACTCCATTTTTGTGAAAAGAGATCAAAATAAAGAAATGAAACATCAAACAATTGAATAAGAATTTCCACGCAATGAGGTAATTGTCGAATGTCATGTTAAAGAATGTTATTAACATCAAAAGTTTTAATTATTGCCTGGCAGTTGTAGCTAAGAATGCTTTCATGATTTGAAGTTGAGAGAAAAGCATTTTTAAAGTCATGCAAAGTTGTGGGAGTAAAAGCTTTACATTAGCCACAACCACTTAAGCCACAAAATGCTCATGATTATTTGTCAAACATTGGCACTTTGGGAATTTGATGAAATTGATGAAATCCCAAATCTTGACACAACAAAGAATTGCAAAACTTGTTTGTATGAATGATTAAAATTCAGTGGTATTAATTAAACACGACAATAACAAGTTCAAGCTTTAGTTTTGAGGCTCATTTTTCCATATCATGAATGGATAAAGTCAAAGAGAATTTTTCGTGATGGTGAAGGTGAAAACTAACAAAAATGACCTAAGTTAGATGTTAAACGAAATTTTGTGTAATTGATGTCAACTTTAAAGTTCAATCGAGCTTTGATACTTCACATCAACTCAGGATAGGCTGAGTGTGGAAAACTTGATAATGCACATCATGAGAATTTTATGCAAATAAACCGACGGGTGGTTGGAGACGACATAAAGTAAAAGAAGATGAAATTAGTGAGTTCATTGATGATTAAATAAGTTAACCTTTGAGTCTGGAATTATGAACTTAATTGATTTATTTTAGATGGTAACTTTGATGATCTATCAAGCATATGGAGCTGCCGATGCTTATTTATACTGAAACGCAATGCGTTTGCATAAATAATGGATTAACGGCATGGGACAGAAATTTTATGAAAACGTTTTTAAAGATTATACTTTGAAAAGAAGTCATTTTCAATTTAACCAAGATATCTGCATAACTTTTACGTTCTCGTCTTTTAATGTCTGAATTTTAGCGACATGATTTATCTAGTAATGTCTGTCTCTTTCTCTCTCTCTCGTTTTTATATTTCCATCCGAATGAATAGCTTCGAGTGTTGAAATTTAAATGATTACAGTTTAGCACTCGAGTGCCCATTCATTGAAGTGTGACAATGTTTGAATAATGTTAATGACAAGAAAATTGAGAGATTTTAACATCTTTATACTGTTGACTACTGGAATGATCATAAACAATGGATGCGAATAATTTCCTTGAAATATTAAGTCATAATTCTTCAAAGAAGTCAAATGATAATTAAAATTCATTTTTTGTTCTTAATTGAACGAGAAAGTTTTGCTTTTGCTTTTGCTTGTCCTACGTAAACAATTTTCATTTCCCAATAACAATAAACAAGAAAATTCGACGAAACTTTTAATGACAATATTTAAATATTTGTGTGTACTTACATTGGGGCTGATTTCGAAAGATTTCCGATTGATGTTGCTTCCCTTGAGGCATTTATCCTTTTCCCTCAGAGATTTTCTATGTCGATTGTTTTGTGACTCTCTCGCTGCTTGTTGACAATGATAATCTTGTAGACGGGAAAAACAAGAGAAAAATTATGATAACATGGAACGAATGCTAATAAGGCTTCTCTTTTTTTATTTCTGTCTTTTTTAATTTTAATACGAAGAACATTTGTCGACTTAAGAGTTTTATGATGCGATAATGACAATGCTTTGAATATTTTTACAATTGAATGTCTTATTTCGCAAATTTACACATAAAAATGTTAGCATAATTTTCTTAACAAGGAAACGAAAAGTAATAAAAAAAAGCTTCAAGGCTTTGTTGGAAAAGGTTTGAAAGTAAATATTTAATATTTACAACATTTAATTGCAGATAAAATTTTGTAACATAGTTAAGGGCGAATTTAATTATTAAAATAAAATTGACAACGTCACGGAACTCATCTGGTGATGAAGTTAAAATTTCAATTTATTTTTTAGTCTGTTTTATAACAAAATTATTTTTTTTGTGTACCTAGGAGTGAAATCTCAACAACTCAATTAAACAGAGCAGTTAAAATGTAAACATAGTTAAAGCACAATATTTAAGTTGAGCATTTTTTAACAACACCCAAGGAGTGAAAATTATTTATACAATTCTTGGAAAAAAGTTTTTCATTATTTTTCACAAGAATTCCTTAAAGGTAGCATAATTAAAAAAATTTATTGATTTTCCGTAAAAGTAAAGAATCACATTGAAAGAAAGCAATAAAAACTATTTTGTTTGATGAATAGCGGCAGTGCCAACTTGTTGCGTCGCTTTTCTCTTTCTATTTTATTTTGTTTAAGTGGAAAACATAATCGTAAAAGTTTTTGGCTGAGATTAGGCTGTTAAATTGTCGCTCAAGTCAACGCAATGACTTTACAATTTAATTAATGAAACGATTTAATGTTGAATTTATATCCCTCGCTTTACTCCCTATTTACTTTTTTAACCGAAAAACATTCACTTTAATTAATTGATCAAAATTAAAATTCGACAAAATGAGATTTATTTGTGAAAAGTTTGTTATTATGTAATGCATAAAGCAATAAATACAAATTTTTACCGCTTTCTTCTTGATTTTCTTGCTCTTTCTATGCCAACCTTAAACATGAATTTATGTTGGAAATAAATTTAACTTCGTGAAACAAATAATTTGAAATTCGGGACGAAAAAGAAAACAAAATATAATGGAATGAAAAATAGGAAAATTGTTTGATCTTTATCGATTACCATTACTCTTTAGTCGAGGTCGCTCACAGTCTCTCCTTCGCTTTCAAATGGAGAAATTATTCGTAATTGATTTTCTAAGAAAGCATGAGCGTCATTACATTCTTCTTTTGTCCATAAATCTTCTTGAAGTGGAAATAAAAACTCAACCTGATCGAATGGAAAATTAAAAGAAGCTTTTTCACTGCCAATTTAATTTCAATAAATTTTCCCTCGTCTACCTTTTTTTAACATCAAGAAGAATGAAAAAATTATGCTTCAAACTGTTATCTATGCAGATAAAAGATCAACTGGCCAAAAACTCTTAATTGCATGTTTCGATATCAACTTGATAGACAGAAATTAAATGCAAACGACAGAAAAGTTCGACGAAATTTAATTTCATTCTTCAACTCACCTGTTGCCATTAAACTTTCCGACCCAACAGTTGTTGTCGTTGACTCTTGTGAGCTGGTGACATTTGATTTCGTTAAACTTTCATTACATTGACTGTTATTTCCATTCTCAGTGAAGTGCACTAAAGAAGATTCTTGATTTTCGTCTTTTAATTCTTTATCGTTACTATCTAAATTTTCTTTCACTTTTTCATTCTCGTTTCCGTTTTCCATTTCATTGAAAGTTTCCTTAACTGATGTCTTGTCATTCGAAGAAAGTTGTACTGATTCAGTTTGTTCATCGTCTCGTTTCTTGTCATCGTCAATATTTTCCTGACTCTCCATTATTTGTTTGATAGCTGGTGGAGATGACATTGATGACGATGATGATGCGCTTGTTACATCTGTTAAATATCTCTTGTCATTTTCATTCGACATTAACGATTCGTTGTTCATCTTCTCACTCGATTCATTTTCAATCAAAGGCGCATATGTTTGCGATGTTCCTTCTCCACCCGTGCCCGTTCCCGTGCCAGAATGTGCAACTGAATATGGATCTCTTTGCGGTGTAGATGGTGGCACAGATGGTGGCGGTGTTGGATAATAACGATTGTTAAACTGCTCTGTGGGACTATTGTTATAAGAAGATGAATAATATTGTGTTGGATGAAGTGCAGTTTGGCCATAATTTCCACCATTTACACTACTACCATAGTGATGATGATACTGATAATTCGTCGGTGAATTTCGATATGATTCATATGGATGATTAGTGTAATAACTTGCAGACGTTTGATGGGCATTCTGATGATAGTAATATTGCCCATTCGTTTCATTATGTGTGTGATAATTTTCTCGCACCGCGCCATAATGGCCATTATAGGAAGAAGGAAAGTTTCCACCATTGCTGTTGTGATGATGGTGATGATGATGTTGAAGTTGAGCATGATTGTATCTCGTGTATCCATCAAAGTAGTTCTGTTGTTGTCCGTTCTCGCCGTAAGGTGAATGTGCATGAGAATATCTCATTGATGATGGACCGTAATTTCCGCCATAATACGGATGATTAGCGACAACATTTCCACCGTAATGCTGGTGGTTTGGATGAATGTGATGCTTGTATTCTGAGTAACAATCCATCTCCATCAATTTTGCAGCTGCGTCTTCGTGTCCTTGTCTTGTCAACTGCTTTTCTGTTTGAATGAATGACGAAAGGGAAGTTTCAAAAAAAAATTGCTCGAGAAAATCGATAAAGTTGCGAAAGCTTTGAATAGTGAAACTAACACTTTTCTCGATGTATTTGCTTTTTTTATGTGTTCATGTATTTTTTACAGCGATGACTTCAATTTTTTCTCTCTTTCTCTATTTTATGGTTTTTCTTTCTTTCTTTCTTTTTTTTTCGGGGGAAAAATTGTTTTTCATCGATTTTTCAGCTTTGCTCCAACCGATGGTGGCTCGAATTCAGACAAAACGTTTTGTTCTGCACCTTCCGCACATTGAAAGCAAATCGCCTCGTGACAAATTCAACTCGTAAAAATACATTTCCATATAATTTTTCATCAGATATCTTTGTATCTTTTATTTACATTGATACACTTGTTTAATTAGCTTTAGAGCTTTTCTAATGTCTTTCTGATTAAGTTGTTATGTGATCACTTACTTATAAATGTTTTTTATTTTTAAATACAAATATCACAGGCCTCAAGCCACGTCACTGACTCCACGAATAATTCACAACGTGAATGTCATAATTTTGTGACTTGTGCTTGTCACGTACGACAAAAGCGGCGGAAAAAAACTTTTTAATTTATTCTTCCACACATATTCAACTCTACAATCTTTTCTCTTTTTTTTTTTTTGATTAATTTGTCACGTTTTGATGCTTAATTTGATTTTTCTCTATGTTCCCCTTGTTGTTTTCAGTTATTTTGTCGTCTCACAACACACAATATGGAATTAAAATTTCTACCGTCTGTCGGAGAGTAAATATTTTAACGTTTATCAATCACTGAAAGATAAATTGACATCAAATTAAATTCAATGACATCAAATGGTGAATTTTCCATCCATTTTTCATCCCTCAAATACCTCGTGATAGAAATCATTACGCGGAAAAATAATTTAACCTCCGTTGTCTTATTTTATTATTATTGTTGTTCTTCTTGTTTTGTTATAAAATAAAAGCAACTACGAGAGACATTGAAATATTCATGTGACAAATGACATCATATTACTAATAAAAAAGAAAGTCTCAAAAGGAATTTATCGAGTCAATTCATTGGGGACTTTTGAAAAATGACGTTTAAATTCAAAATATATTTCAGATTCACTCAACATATTACCGAAGATAAGAACGAAAGCTTATACAAACTTTGAAACTCTCATAAATTCTCATAAAAAATTCTCAAGTCTGCTTGAAAACCGAAAAAGAAATAAGAAAAATTTATTTTATGATTGTGAAAGATCTTCATGTTGCATTTCTTAGTTGTAGCAAGCACAGTTATAACTCATAAATAAGTACTGAGAATAAAGAATGTTTTGAGGTTCATTTGAATTCGTTTCCATATTTCTTTAATAAATAATCATTTAAGTCGATAAACTTTCATCTGTTGAGATGAAGCGGATAACAATTTTTATTCATTTTCAAAATTCACCTCCTTAATCCATGGAATTGAATAGGAAATGCTATTGGAAAAGTTTTACATAAAAGAAATCTGATTAAAATCACTCTTTCGAATCACATTCCATTGCATCAATAATTTATGTGAGATGAAAGACATGCACAATAGGATTTTCTGAAAACTTATCGAAACTTGAATATTTCAATCGTCAATCGAGAATGACGTTCATGTTAACTGGTATGATGACAATGTTCTCCGAATTCATCAAGTTTTAACGAAATTTGAGAGCGAGAAACATCGCAAATAATTTTCCTGTGTGGGCGCAACATTGATTATTTTTTTTCATCTTTCTTTTCGCAACATATTTTACGCTTTTTGCTTTTGTACTGACATGACGTTGGTTTTAGTTTCTAGGATTACTTTTTTTTGTCATTACGTAAATAAAAACTGTTTACTTTTTGCGTCTGCCTTCGATTTCTGGTTGTAAACGGTTTATCGATTCAGTAACAAGAAAAAATAAAATAAAAGAAGAGAAGAGAGAAACGATATCGAGCTGTCAACTTGTATATAACAGTGAAAGGCGAAATATTGTCGAAAGGGCATTTCAAAAGAAGCTTGCTTCTCATTTCAACCGAAAAAAATCGATAAAATTGTTTCTTGCCTGTGCCACACAACTTCCTCGCTTTTCGCAAAGTGGAAAGTGTGAAAAAGCGAAGCACATGCAAACAAGAAGTGGAAGACGAAAAGGAAAATAACAAAGAATTCATGTCAGCAACAAGACGGTGAACGAGTGGAAAAGAGAAGCAACAACAATTCAATGTTGATAATTTGAAGTATCGAGCTTGATAAGGAAGGAGATGGAAAAGTTTTAAAGAAGGGAAAAGAAAGGAACAAGACTGGGATAAGAAATAAACATCATAATTATTCCACATCAGCAACAAGAGGAGTGAAAAGTTTTTTAATTTTCCCTCCGTTCACTTTCAAAGCTTTCCTTCGTCGTTGAACTTCTTCCTTTCTTCTCTTTGGGGTACTTAATTTTCAATCAAATAGAAAAGTTATTGAGTCGTGTGTGGGTGGAAGCGAACGAAAGCGATTCAGTTTTCTTTCGCTTTTAGGATTTCCTTCCAGGAAAACAAAAAAAATATAAAGAAGAGAAAGGAAAAAAAATCTATAAAATGTTCTTTCTTTTTTTTTTGCATTACATTCAGCCACCCACATTCACAAACTTATACAAAAAAGCCTGGGGGGTGAAAAACAATTTTCTCTCTCACGCACACATTCACAAAACTCGTGCCATTTACACGAAGTGAAATCGTCGGTTATGCTTTGTTGAAAACGAGCGAAAAAGTGAATTCTAACACAGAATCTAAAAGGGGGCCAAAGCTGAACCGAAATCTAACTACACGTGATGCGCAAAGCGAACGAAATTGCTGTAGTAAAAATGTGCACGTTTAAAGCACAATGTATACCCCGAGATACTAGACTTGATAACGAGGGAGGCAAAAATTCGATATTTTCTCTACCCAAACTTCGCTTTTGTTGTTGTCGTTTCCATTACGAGATACGATTTCATGTTTCATATATTTTTTTTGCGCTTCCACCGAGAAACGATGCAAAAATTTTCCGCTGTTTTATTTCATGCCTTTACATACATCGCAATTTCAAGCATTCCAATCAAATAGTTGCACAAATCAAATAAAAAATCCAACTTCCTCCTCTCATGTTAGTTGTCAATAAACAATTTAAAAGCTAGCTTAAGGCATGAGAAATATGTTTGCTTTCCGGCTTAAGAACTATGATAAAACATACTAGGATATTAAATGATTTATGACAATAAGAAAATTGCAATTGCGAAACATATTCTTACGCAATAATATTTCTATTCACACATATTTTTTATCTATTTGTGATTGCTCAACAATCTGTAGCATGATGTTGGATGCTGCGAAATCGATTTTTGTATTTCTTTCTTTCATTCCTCTTTTGCGTTTTATGTTTCTGGGTACTTTGAAACATTTAACAGCATTTAAAACAGTAGCATTCCCAGTTAATTTGGTTTCTGTAATAATCGATAATATGCTGGTTGGAAAATGCGGTGGAAAAGTTTGTAATATGGGAGAGTAACTTAACACACATAAAATGTCGTTTAAGATTTTTATTTGTGAGAAAAGATAAATTGTGAACATTTTGAATGTTCTCAATACTATTTAAAGTCTTTTCACCGACATTTTATTACATCCATTTCCTTCCGCTGCTCATGTTTGGCACTCAAACGCCTTAAGCAGATCTTAAAGCACCATTTCTGTAAGAAAAATGTCAAATGAAAGCTTCTTTCATGTTTTATGTTTCCTTTTTCAACTTGTCTCTCGTGGACACTTTATTCATGATGATGATGACGATGATGGACAAGTAACAACATTGCTACTTATTTCATTCTATTTTCATTATATTTCTTTGTGGAAATGTCCTCTTAATAAATCATAATTCTGTTTGTTTTTCATTTAAGAAGGAGCAAGAAATGAAAAATTAAACCGAGACTTGTTACCATTGAAGGAAAAGAAAGAAATCTGCTGGGAAATGGTTTTCTTTTTCCCAACTGAAGATAAATTTTACATTTTTCTTCTGGTTGTTTGAATTTCACAAGAAAAAGAAATAATTTGATTAGACACAATTGCAAATTAAGCATTGAAGAAGAAAGGAAAAGAAGGAATATTTTCTCTAGAGATAAATTGCCGAGTGGAAGTACGTCGTGAAAAGATTTCACACCCAAAACTCAAATGAATTTAAAGCAAAGAATTTTTTATGAAAGGGAAAATGACTTTAATCACACCTTAGACATCGATTTGATTGTAATTTATTTATTTTTATAGCTTGTTTGTGTTCATTGAATCTCTCACATTTTATTAGAAAAGATTGCGAAGATATATTGGAAAACATATCTGACATAAGAACTTTCTGACTTTATTTCTTCTTCTCCTTTCCTCGAACTGACATCGAACAACTTTCATAAACTGACAATTTTCCTCCTCAAATAATTCTACGTCGATTGAGGAAATTCATAACATGAAATCATAAATCGATTCATTAAACATTTATGTTGATTTTCCACACATGTTTACACACATCGAATATTATGAGATAGACGTCCCATCTAATATAAACTTTGTTTACGTTGTTTTCTTCTTTTGCATAAATGAAATACTTTGGCAAAGGTTTAATTTGGAAAAGGCTTTTTCTCTTTCTTTCTTTTTGTATCTCATTTCATCATGCAAAGCTCCAAATAGTCGCTTAAAGCACATCTACCCTTATTTAATAAGTTGCTGGGTAAACTTGTTGAAAATCATATGTGTGCTAAATAACGAGGTTTCATTCGAGAACGATAAAGTTATATTAAAGGACACCCACAACAGTAAAAGTCGATTAAACTCTCGAACCTTCCCCAAATGGGAATGAAACACTTTTTTCCGGAATTTTAAACAAAATAAATTATTTCTATTGCAACCAATTTCCCCACACAATTTCAACCGCAGATATGTAAGTATTTGAGACATCTTTCAAATGGATGGAAAATTTATTTAATTTTGTGTTTTTTTCTTCTTTCGAAATTTTCACATGACCAGCATCAGCTAGGAAACAGCAATAAATTCAATTTATTCATCACCTCAAAAGAAGGCGGTTGGAAAATCCGCAACTCCCATTCGGCTTATTTTATTTACCGATTTTCACTTCGACAAAATTTTTTCTATTAAAGGTTTATTTTCTTTTCCTTCCTGTTCAGCACGTGCTGTGGACCGGAAAGATTTCTTTTCACTCTGTTGGATTTTCTTTTTAGATTAAAAGAAAATAAAATTTTCTTCCACAAATTATTTCACATGATAAGAAAAATCTTCTTTGTTTTATTTTTGAGTTTATCTTAAAGTATTTTAGTTGACATCATCTCATAAAGCCAACAGTTTCAGGCCTGTGACAAAGGATGAGTTTTATTACAATTGTTACTACACGTTAAAACCATTCACGTTTAAACCAAAAAACACGTCTTATCGGTTTGAAAATTCTTGCAAGACTGATTTCAATCAGGAGCTTCTGTTTTTGTTGATTTCTCATGGTGAGGGTGGGAAAAATGTGGAAAGAAGAAAAAAAGAAAACCGAATATCTATATGAAAAAGCACGCAGACGACAGAGAAAAAAAAATCTTTCACTCTCTCGGTTTCGATGGGCGAACATGGGCGAGTAAAGGTTGTTGAATGTGAATGTAAAATAAAAAAAGAAAGCTTTGTGAACCCTGAATGATGATGTATACAATCAATGATAATGTTGAAACAATGTATGAATACATGTGGAGAATATTTTCAGCAAGCTGTTTCGAACAGAGAAAGGATTTCTGGGCGCCACACACAATCAAATATATTGAAGAACATTCCACTCGCCGATTCAATCGATTCACATGTGAATGGCTTGTAATAAAATAATCGATTTGCTTTCTCATTTTCTTCTATTAAGTTCTTCTCACTTTATTTACCACCCAACCCACCCAGGAAAATCCACCTTCAGCTTTTCTCTCTCTTTTCTTTTACTCGTGATTGTGTAAATGAAAAATCCATAATTTCATCCAGTTTTCACATACTTTGTAAACAACATTCCTAGGGAGTCTGTCGTCGCTTCCTCCCACGCAAAAAGATACAATTCTTGAGAGAGAGAATATCGATAAAATATCTTGATGATGTCTGATAACTGAGAAAGAGAAATAAAGGAAGAGAGAACTTCGTGTTGGCAAATTTTGAAGACTTTGCATGTGTTAGAAACAGCTGTATTGTTTGAAAAATTGCGACTCTACCTAAATGAGTGTCCTGATAAGCTCGGGTTGGGGAAGCAACGACTGTAGAAAGAAAAAAAAAAGTTACAAAAGTTGAATCGCGTGGGAAAATTGATTTTTATCAGCTATTTGCCACTCAAAATCGACGCGAAATTTTTGTTTTTCGGAAAAGTTTCTCAAGATTCTTTTTCGTAGAAAATAAAATGTTTGTTTAGATGACGATAGAAAGCAGAAAAGCAAGGGTGACGACTACAAATGAACAGTTACGCATCAAGTATCGATCGAGTTGTCCGAAATAAAATTTGAATTGTTATACTTGCCTTTTATGTAGGTCGCATTAACTAAGAGGTCAAACACAAATCGAGAGGATGAAATAAGAAAAGAATGTAATTATAAGTTAAGCTTTATGCGGTCAAATATCAAATGAAAAGTTTGACTTTGTTAAATTGAAAACAGCACGACATTGAATTTACTTATTTTTCTTTCATCGCTACCACATGTCGCATGACAATTTTTATTCGGCATTTGCTCTTATCAACGATTTGTCTCTCGTTACTCTCCTGATAAATAAAAATTTTTGCTTGTCAAAGCTTGTCAACTTAAAAGTCACATAATAAGTATGAACTTCCCATTGCAGATTACTCGGGACTAGCACTTCACAAAGGACCATTTAAAGTTAGCCGACAAAACCACTTGATCCACCCCTTGTGACTTTCTACAGGAATAATAGAAGTCACATTGTTTCTAAGATTAAAAGATGTGAAGATAGATTCTCGTTTGACAAACATTTTTAAGGAATATTGACGAAGAGAATTTTTTTTTTGAAAACTCTTACAACAATTTAATGTTTAAATTCTTCGTCATCATGTTTTGTTGCGCAGTCATCAAAGAGATATCTTTATAAGAGATTTCCACCGTCATCTATTGAAAATTGTTTTTTTTCAAGATTTTCAACTCTGTCAGTTGTTCATCGTTTAATTATTTCGTTTTTTTATTAAACTGTTGTGATGTGAAAATATCTTTATTAATATTCATTTTTCATGTTTCATTTGTTTTTCCTCTATTTGAACTCACATACACACACATGACATGGCGTATAAAATGACAAAAACAACAAAATATCGATTTAGTCATCAGAAGTTTTATGATATGCGTTGATACTTTCAGGGATTGAAACTGATTGAAAATAATTTTACTTGAAAGAGTGAACGAAGATGTTTTGTTTTAAATATATTTGTCAATTCATTCTGACACGAATAACTTAAAGTTTTTAATTCCCAATTCACCCAACCCTGTTGCTACCTAACGTGAATGTTTTCATTCAACTCTTTTTTTATTGCAAAATAAAACAAATCTAATCCATCAAAAGTTACATGTTGTTTATTTTGATTAATATCAGACTTAATTTACACAATTAATTAACTAATTGCTCAACTAACAAGAGTCATATTTAGCCAAACCAATGCGCTCCCATACAATCACGTGTCCATTCAGTTTGACAAATCCAACACCATTCAAAATTGCAACCAGCTCTTGTGCACGCCATGTGCATACAACCGCCAGCACGTTCTGTTGGTGTACGACATTTCGGACACGGCTTTGTTGTGACTTTTATTGTGATTTTCGACGATTCATCCCATCGTGCACCAGCAACACGATTGGGATCAACTGCATATTCACAACTGCTTGAAGTGTTGTTAACAGCTGGTGAATCAGGAATGCAATCACCAATGTGAAAGCCTTGTCGGCAATTTTTACAAAAGACGAACTTTTGAATGAGAAAAAAAATTGTTTGAATGTGATTTTACACTTTTTTAAATTAACTCACGCCACATCCACTCAGACAATGAACTCTCGTACAGTCTTCATCAACAATAATTCCCATTCCGCAATTAGGTTGTGGACATAAAACGCCGCCTGATTGTAATACAAATTCTTCAGTAGCAAAACGTTGGTAACGATCATATTGTTCCTTTGATAAGAGTTTAAAATGATGAACTTCTTCGATGAAGGAATTCTCACAGCCTACGGGACATGGCAATGTGTAGCCGATGTCTGGATGGGGCATAAATTGTCGATCTTGAAGACGTGACGAACAATAAAGTTGAAAGCAATCTAAACAACTGACATGACCGGCTGCACAAGGAAAGACAATAACTGGATCGTTGACATCACCACACGCAAGACATGGCACATTTTTTAGATTTGTTTTTATTAAATTTAATGGAGCTGCGAAATCTTTTTCACCACCTGATGGATGTTCCGCACATTTGAAATAAAATTCAGCAAATGGCAAATCATTTTCTTCATTTGATACACAAGCAATTTCGTTACTTTCACAATGTCCATGAATACGGTTTGGCTCGAGAACGTCTTCCCAACAACTTGGATCACGATGAACTGTAAACGCGCCACCTTTACAAATATTACAACGAACTCTCAACTTTCCACGACAAAGTTTTTTACACTCAGGACAATGAACGAAGAAATGAGCCTTTGTTCGTTCAACATCAGCTAATTGAAGATTTTGTCTCTCTTCGTTACTAATCTGAAGGTCAATTAAAGTTGAAGAAAAAGGTTTTGACGATAAAGCTCCTGCATCTTCAACTGCTTCATCGAAGATCGATTCAAGGCACTTTTTAGTCTTTATCTCTTCATTTCGTCTTGAACGTGCTTTAACTGCATGCAAAACACTTTTCTGTCCCAAGTCACATTCCTAAAGATCAAAATTAATTGTCTTTGGATCTCTTTTGTTACGAAACTATCAGAAAAATAATATTTACGCTTATTGTCGTCGAATCTTCTAACTCTTTTCCAGCAAATATAATTTTTACTTCATTAGGCTGTAACCCAAGTTGAGGTGCAACCAGTTCTTTCACTTTTTCAATATCCCATTGCGGATCTAAATCCACATTTAGCGATTTTCCATTATTTGTCTTCACAGAAATTGAAAGTTTATTTGAAATCCTTTTCCTTCCAAAGTTAAACAATTCTAACATTGTTTGAATAAAATCGATGAGGATGTCAAAAAGATTAGTCATAGATAACACGTTTTGAGTTATTAATTAATTTTATTTCTAACTTTATTTATTTTGAGACGTTTTTCGATACAAAATTACAAAAATAAAAACTCAGCTGATTGAAACGGAATGGAACAGAAGAGAAAATGAAACAAATTTAAAACTGAAAAAACTGTTATTTTGAACCGTTAAATGCTTAAGCTAATAATCCACCTTCGATCGGCATTTTAATACCATTGATGTAACTGGATTGATCACTCAATAAGAACATGATGGGCTCAACGACTTCCTTAATTTCGCCAAACCTCTTAAATGGAATTTTTTCTTTCATTGCGTTTGACTTTTCTGGATCAGCCCAAGCTTCACGACCCAACTTTGTTAGGATAACTGTTGGATTAACAGAATTCACACGAATTTTCTTCGGAGCAAGTTCAATAGCCAGAGTGGTTGTGAGAGCATCTAGAGCAGCTTTTGTTGAAGAATATACACCATGTCCCCAAAAGCTTGTTAGTCCAGACACCGAAGACACATTGACGATTGATCCGCCTTCTTTAATCTTCGGCAGAAGAGTTTGAATGACATTGAAACAACCTTTCCAGTTCACATTGAACAATAGATCAATCTCTTCTTCTGTGACTTTTTCAATTGGATTAACAACAGCGATGCCGGCGTTGTTAACAATTCCATCGAATTTCATGTCCAACTTGCCAAGCGTTTCCTTTGTTAATTTCCAATTTCCCAAGTCGAGCTGAACGGGATGGAATTTTTTACCTTTCAACTCTTCTTTAAGCGCATCTAATGGACCAGCAGAACGAGAAACACCAACAACATTTGCGCCGTTTTCAACAAGCGCTTTGACCAAATCTCTTCCAATTCCTATCAAAAAACAAACAAATGAAGATATTCACAAATTCATTTTCAAGGCCACATATTTAAGTAATTCTACTTGATTATAATATAAATCTTGTTACCTTGACCAGCGCCAGTGACTAAAATTGTTTTTGATGCGAAGGACATTTTGAAGAATCAAATTTAATAAAACAAGTAAATGTGAAGAGATTTGACTGCACTCAATGCGATCTCAATTTAAAATGAGACATCGACAAGCAGCAATTAAATTTGCGGCTTTCTTTATCATCATCGTCATCAATATTTTTGTTTTTTGTAATGATGATGATGATGATGAGCAATTAAAAAAACTCACCACAAGTTGCGGCTTATCGCACACTTGTTTTAATTAACGTTGATAAACAAACTGATATTATTTAATGGTTTTATTAGGAGACGACAAATATTTACTGAAACAACTTAAGTTTATAACGCACATTTGCAAAAAGAATTTTGAAAATTAACAGCTTAGAATAAATTCAAGAATTTTCTTTTTTTATTAATAAAATGCAAATTTTTGTACTCAGCTCTAACAATAAGAATTCTTGAAAGATTTATTAAATAATTTTATAAAAAAGAGAAAGAAAATTATAACAAATTATTTCATTTTATGTTGTATTTAAGAGTGAAAGTTTTTCCTTCTTCTCCCATGCTTCATCCCAAAATCTCAACAGTCGTCCATCATTGTTCGAGCAGAAATCTTTAAAATCACGAAGCAGTCGAAGTTGGAAAAGTTCATCAGTTCCGTTAATCACAAGAGATTTCCATTTCTTATTAGCTATCATGTGATTCCATTGCCATAAGAATCCGATTTTAATTCCACTGATTCCATTACTGAATCCATCGTCACTTGAATCTTTCGACACGTTTGGATCTTTTTGAACATGTCTACTGATATAATTTTCTTTTTGTGGGCCCGAATCTTGTTGACCGTGGTAATAATTCTTCAGTCGTTTCTGTGCACCTAAACTTTCAGCCAATGGACTTGAATGACCGCCTACGCTCAAACCAAGACGTCTCAACGACGGTCGATCACTTGATGGAACTAAAATGAACATATTTCCAGTCACATGAACGTATTGCCAGTCGACACTTATGTCATTCGTTCCCGTTTGTGTCTCACATGCACGCATCACAAAACCAAATCGTCTCACAATTTCATCTTGAAATAAAAGCATTCGATCAGCCCAAGTTTCCTTCTTGAAGTCTTCGAACAACTCCGAACGATTTTGCATGAGACAATCGATGTTTAAAGGCACAAACATTGGACCACGTAATGGATCTGATTTATCGATGAAAGGTTCAGCCATTGGATCTGCAGGAATGGGCACAAGTTGATAACCACATTGCTGCGCTTTTCGAATCCAACCGTAGATTAAATCAAAGACAATCGGACCTGATGCTGTCAACCATTGAACTGTAATTTCAAAAGAACTTCCTGGTTGGAATTGCTTGTGATATCTCGCATGTCCCCACTCAATTCGATCACTTTTCGATGACAAATCAACCTCTAAATGAGATTGCCGATAAAGTCTTCCATCAATATTTCTTTGATTATATTCGTCTCTTAAAAACGATGGAACGTCAACTTCGGTGAGAATTCTTTCACTTGGAGATGACAAAGCCGATGATGGATTTGTGATGACATATTTGAGTGGAATCTCAACTTCCATCCACTCATTCTCGAAAGCTTCCCGATCACCAAGAGGTTTGCGGAAGTCAGGTGAATCAGGATCTTGATTGACGATGTAATAAAGATAAAAGCCTGCAATGATCGGTGTTGTGAAGTCGCCACTTGCATGGCAAATCAACTTTTTCGATCGCATTATTTCAAGAATTTCAATAGCATCGATGACACCTTCGATCCGATTGTGAAGCCACATGATGGCATCGTAAGAACAGAAGGCAAGTGAAGGCATGCTTGGAAGTGGTTCCAGGAAACCAACTCCAGTCAATGGATTTTTGAAAGCTTCGAAGATTTCTGTGATTGGTGATGACGATTTAAGTTTTGGTGGTTCAGGTGCAAAGCTAAGAAACACGAAATGAAATTTTAATTTAATTTACATAAAAAATAAATGAAATATTTTTAATTTAAAACTCACCAATCGTCATTGTCTTCACTTTCCCCTTTCAATGTTGCCTTCTCAGCAAGTGTCGCTTGCAATGCCATTGACATTGATTTCGTCTCAATCTTCGATCCCGATCTGTTTTGCATTGAAATGTTTGAGCTATTTGTTTTTTTCATCAACAAAATAAAATTTCCAAAAAAAAGAACAAAAAGATTTTTCCCAATGATCCCAAAACAAAAAAAAAACAATGAAAGTAAGAAAAAAGAGAGAAAAATCCATTAATGATTGTATGTTGAACGATAAATAATAAATTTGACATTAACTATGCATGCAAGGGAGTGCAGTTACATCCATGTCCATTACATTTTTGAATCAAAGCAAAGGTTGTCAAGTGAGATACTTACAACAAATTTCATTAAATTTTTTGTTACAATTCATCATGCTTTACAATCAATTGAAGTCAAAAACATTTACAAACTCCAATTCATTCTAAACTAACCTTATTGCACTGAAAATCAAGTCACTCGTGCTATGACACTTTTGCAATCTTATTGGCGATTGTGTGGGACTTGGATTTGGTGTTAACATCAAATTATGAAGCAAATATGACAACTAAATATGTACAAGTAAATGAAAACGCAAGTTACGATGTGAAGAGAGACAGGAGAAATTATAAAAGTAATAAATGAAGCATGAAAATAAATCTAAATGTGCAACAACCAAATGCATTTAAACTACGTGCGAATTAATCTTAATGACTAATTAAAAGAAATAAAGAAAAATTGTCAACCTTGGACGCAATCTTTCCGGATATCGATTGCTACCAACACGTTCACGAAACGGTGAATTCTGAAGTGTCTGTGAAAAATGAAAGAAATTTATTTAAACTTTAATAAACATTAAAATTTGTCTCTTTCAATGAATTTTCTTTTCATTTTATGATGTTGAAATTCTTTTCAAAATATTCCAACATAAATTTAAGAAAAGTCATTGACATGGAAACATTTTTCCCTCGTTAATCTAAACATTAATTTTGCCAAGCATAACTGCAATGCTAAATATTATATTTCAGACTCTAATCAACTATCAAAAAAATCCTTTTTTCTCTTTAAGGATCCGCGCTCAATTGTGGAAACCTTTTTAAGAAGGAGACATTGACCTGATTCTGAACAGCTGGTGGACGTGATTGTATGCTGGTGCTTGTACTGTGTCGACGTCTTGTTAAATGTGATTGTTGCGTCGTTGGACTTCCCTAAATATCATCAAATCAATATCGATAAAAAAAAGATGAAATAAAATGACTTTTTATACAAAATGAATTATTTTTCATTAAGAAATGTCTGAGGAGAGAAAATTTAATTTAATTTTCATGCTTCACTCGTTAGTATTCAGTAAATGTGTAACTGAAAAAAGCATTATGGCAATAAAAAGAATTCTCACCCTCGGCTTCTTCACGCGTTTAATTTTATTCAAGTGCGTCTCAACAAAACGGAGAAATTCTTCAACCTGTTGCTTAACGAGCAGCTGAGAATTCTCACGAATGTAAACATCGCAATGTTCAGTGTTTTCATCGATGATTCGTTTCATTATTGGATCGTCTTTAGGTAGAAGATACATTCGATAGCGCCAGTATTTTAATGACTGTTGATTAATGATGAATTAAAGAATAAAATTACGAGAGAAATCTAAGCAAATTCTTCACCTCTTGAAGCATGAAGTCAGTGTCACCACGAGTGCAAATGTATTGATCCATATGATTCCAACTGAAATTCTCCAACTTCTCTGTTGTGAATCTCACACCCGACACTTCATAAGTGTCATGATTTGGTGCGTGAAATCGATAACGATAATCAACGTTAATCGGCGTGTAAGCATGTCGTGGTCGATAACGTGTCACTTTGATTTCAGATCCAGTTAAAGTAATTTTATGAAAGATCCGACCGATTGAGAGAAGAAATTCCTTTGTATGTTCAGGTGAAACAGGAGCGACAACTGAAGGCGATGGTTTTGTTTGTATTGATCCACCACAGCATGGTGCAAATGACGGTTGTTGTGGTGGTTCAGGAAGAACAATCAATTGAAATCCTTGAGCTAATCGTTGTGACACGAGCTCTTTAAAGACTTCTTCCGTTGAAAGCGGCTTCCTCTGAACTGCTCGATGCCTCATAAAGTCAGCGTTGACATCATCCGGTAATAATTGATAGATTGACAACACATAATCATTATTTAACGAGCGTTTATCAGGAAAGTAGTCCGTTGTTATTGGAAGGCATGCAGGTATTGTCAAAGACTTCCAATCAACACCTGTTTACAATCAAATTGCGTTAATAAATTTATTTTGATGACAATTCTACAATTTTAATGTTTTCTACATTCTACAGAATGAAACAATGTAAACAGAAGCAAGAAAAGAATTATTTTTGTTAGTTTTCTGTAACATTCAAGATTAGAACAAGAATATTAGTCATGCGATTAAATAAACTAAATTAAACTACATAAATATGTTTAACTAGTGGGATGTGAAGCTTTTCTTTTTTTTCTTTGTTTAATCCTCTGTTCCATTTCTCTGTTGCTTTGTGTTATTATCATCTCAACTTCAACAGAGAATTATTTTGTGTGTCAAGCAACAATAGTTGTGCTTTGAACTTCTTTAGACTTTAATCCCTCAAGAGACAAAACTTATTAAATAATAATTTTGTGTTTTGTTGTCTCACGAAAACTTTGTTGTGATCAGAAAAATATTTAATGAGAATACACGAAGAGAGTGAGAAGGAGATAAAAAATATTAAAAGTTTTTAACTTATTGACACCTTTCCGAGCAACACAAAATCGTCATAAAAATTAACACGGAAGAATTTTCGTTAGAATTTTACATACGAAAGAGTGGTGAGGGGGGTTGAAGTGGATTATAACAAGTTCTTCTCCTCCCAACTTCCAAACGTTGTTTTATTTATCTTCACAACATTGAAACATTTATAAAGATTAAAAGACAGAGAGAAAGAGAAAGAGACAGAGAGATAGAAACAAAATTTTCACGTTTTCATCGTTCGCATATCAAGTTGTCATCTTTGTCGCTTGCCGCAGTAAGAGTTAATGACATTTAAGTGACTCTTTCAACATGACATGTGAACGATATTTCTTTCTAAACAACATAAAAGTGAATTAAAGAATTGAAAAGCTAAGAGAGAGAAAAAAAAGAAATTTTCTATTTAAAAATATCTAGTCAGAGAAAAACCATAGAATTTCCTCTGATTTTTCATTTTACATATATCCGACCTATGATTGTCTTGCCAGCTATTCGTAGATTTAAGTAAGTGACCGATGGAAGTTGACACGATGAGAAAGGATTTCATTTGCAATTTTTTTTGTTTCGTTCACAACCAACATAATTTACATATTTTTTTTCAACATGAAACGGCGTAAAAAAAGAAAAAAAATTAATTAATTTAACAATGCCTGTAAAAGAAAAACAACATGCGGTGAGTTCTTGATACGAACGAACATTGTTCGTTCGAGTCAAGTTTCCACCCGTCAATCATGATTAGAGAAAAAATGAATTATTTTAATAAATATGATGATGACAGCTTTTCTATTAACATTAATTCTGATTTGATTATCTGTTTACACTCCAATTAACAGTCAATCTCTGGGTTGAATCTTTTTATTTTCATTTGCTTTTTAATAAAAGGAATGAGAGAAGAAGGAAATCAATTTCAACAAAGTTTTAAGATTAAGTTAGCAGCATTTGTTTAGCAATCAAAAAGGTTCAATTAATAGAGAAAGAGATGATGGTACAGTGTTTGATGAATCATTCATTCATACATTTTCACAATTCAATTTCATCTTATAACAAAAATTGTACTCACCCGTTGTTAGTGCTGGTGTCCATTCTTGTTCACCTGTTGCACCCCAAAGAAGTGTTTTAGAAGGTGTTGCTGTTGCTGATGATCCAAAAGGCGAATTCATCATTGATGGCTTACGCTTTTGACCAACTAAGCAAATATTTTTATCAGTTTATTAAAAACGATATTTCATAATTTGAATTTTCATATCATGCTCCTCAAAAATTCGAATTTAAAATTTCTTCAACAACATCCAAATTTAAAAATTAAAGAACAAAGGAGAAATTTAAAAATTACTTACATATTTGTTCACTCAAATAACCAAGACGATCTACTGGCGTGTTATTGACACTTGAACGATTGAAATCTTCATCAAATTTCTCAAAAGATTTACTAATTGAGTTTTGCTTCTGTCGCCATGCAACTTGACACAAAGATGTATGCGCATAATCATCGCAATTCGACAATGTAAAAGAATCTTCACGTGAAAAGTTTGCTTCCGATGATTGAGTTGTTGGCACAGCTTGATAATGATGTTGTTGAATGAGAACACCAGTAGGACCTTTTGGAAAAATATGCGACCAACGTCGTCGATTTGATGTCAATTTGATTGTCACATGTGATGGATCGAAAGGATTAATTAATGCACGTCCGTTTCTAATGAAAGGTGTTGTACGATGAAGTGATTTTCGACTTATCTTCGTCACTGTCGCTGCTGTTATCGGCAAAGCTGATTGTGAAACAGATTCCTTCAGCACTGGAGAATTATTCTCGTAAATGTTGTTATAATTTGAATGATGAATATCCGGATCAGACATTTTCCTTCGATGACTTTTTGTGGTTGTTGGAAAATCCCATTCCTTAGCTGATGATACTGAAGTCGAATATCCAACTCCAATACCGTCAAGACTTGGCACTGAAATTTTCTTCGTTCTTGACAATCTCTGTAATGAAGAACTTGTTCCATGACTAGGCAACACAAACACTTGAGCGTCATAGGCATCGTAATCGAAGAGTGAATTGTGAATATATTCAGTATTTGAATCATCATAAAAACTAATTTCTTCCTTCAACTTTCTAATCTGAGCTGCATTTGCCTCTTCTTCGTTCTTTTTGATAAGTGGCGGCAATTTAATTCGTGGAATAAACGATGAATAAGCGACTTTTTTGTTGGTTGAATAGAAGCTTAAATTGATCCAATGAGGCATTGAATAATCATCGACAGATGTCAATGATGAATCTTTGTAATGAAACTTCAGTAAAGGCACAGCATGAAGCGGTTGTTCACCAACACATACTAAATCACTCGATACACCATTGTCGATTATCTATGTACATATAAATAATATTTTTATACTTATGCCATGCAGGAAAAGTCCAGAAATAAAACGAAAATAAATGATAAGCGTTCACTCACCCTTTGTTTTGTGATGTTTGTAAGTTCACGATCAACTTCAAAAACACCGACACCTGGCGTTATGACGACTGATAATTGACCAGTGCGATCAAAACTTCGATCCAAATAATGTTTCTCAAAGACATTGAGTGAAATGTTGAGAACTTCAAGGAAATTTCCTTGAGCTGCTGTTGAGTTTGTTGCTGGTGGAATCATGACGCCAGGTCGTTGATGATAATTCAAAACCATGTCTTGATATGCAGTGAAAAGTCTTCGAAGTTGAACAAGAATCGTACTCCAATCGTCATTCCTCTCATTCTGAATTGCTACTCGATAAAAATCTTCATAATAACGTCCACGATAATCTTGTTGAAGACAATCACGCATATGAACAGGAAATTCATCCAAACATTTTGCAGCATAGAAAGTTCTCGAGAAAAGAACAATTGTCACTTCATGATTACTACTTTGTTTCTTCCATTTAGCAAACAGATCTGTGAGAAATCCATTCACAGCTTTCTCAAAATAGAGATCACCGTGAATGTCGAAATCCCACATTTCTGAGCTCATTTGGATGAAAAGATAAACTAAACTTGTGCATGAACGAAAGACAACTTTTGTGTCGTCGTTTATGACGCCACAAGCGACGCGTTCACCCATTGACCACATTTCATAAACTGTAACAATTCTCAATGAGTAATGAACAACTTTAATATTTAAAGAATTCACCTTGGCAGCGAATTGACTCGCAATACTCGATTTTTTTGTTGATATAAACACAAGTGTTGGTAAGAAATTGCTTAAGGCGCCACATTTCTGATCTGCCCATATATTGATCCTTGAAAGTTATCTCAACACTGTCAAGGGCGACCGAAGCTGGATCATTAATTACACGCATGTAAACGTCTCCGTAATTCTTAAGATTAAATGTGAGAGCAATTGAAGATTCGACACTAACATAGTCGCGACTTTGACTTTGTGAATCCTTAGCAAGGCTAACTTGTAAAAGAAGCCGACATCGTTGTTGTCCTTTCTCATCATCATCTTCAGGATGATAAATTTCCACGATATCTCCTGTTGTTGTTAACATCATAAGAACACCATAAGAATTCACCTCACTGTCATTTGATTTTTAATTAATTTCTTACCTTTCTTAACTGTCGGATGTTCTTTGGGATTTAATAAAAGGTCTTCAGGATAGACACTTCGCTGGTGATGAACAATTCTATACAATTTCATTGTTTAATATTTTTTATGTTCTGATTTTCTTATTTTAAGCATTAAAACACTAAAATTGTTAAATTTGACTATGAACTTGAATTCATTTTATGACTATCGCTTGGAGCAATGTTTATCACTTCATATTTCGGTTAACATACTAATTTAGACGCAATGATAATGAACTGAATAAACTTGAAGTTAAAAAATAAACTTTCTGACTTCCCGATTACAATAAAATTTCATGTTATGAAACGATGAGTTTGTGACTATTCAATTTCGAGATTTTTTCTTGATAAATAAGATGAAACTTTATTTCACATGAATGAAACATTGATTAATTATAGTTTTTATATAAATAAAAAATAAATATAATAAAAAAACGACAATATTAAGAGATTTCAAGAAATCAAAACAATCGAGCACTAAAACTAGTAAAAATTTGTATAAAACCGAATCGGTTCTTGTGCCATATTCAGCATCATTCCATTTCAATTCAGGATGTTTCATGGTTACACGTGTTGTTTTTGAATCCCATCCAAGTAACGTTTTTTTAATGTAAAGATTTAACGTCGTTTTCTTCATCAGTGATTACGTCTACTCCTTCACCTTCTTCTTTAATAACTTCCTCTACTTCTTCAACTGGTAGTGTTTCCACAACCTCTTCTGCTGGACTGCAACTTTTCAGACTTTCAGAGAAAGGAATAGTTGCTGGAAGTTTCTTGGCAGTTTCTGTAATGCATTCGTTATATTCTGCTTGAGTAGATGTCACCATATTTCTAGCTTGATCTTTTACTGCTGATCTGAAAATATAAAAAAATACAAGAAAATCAGTTTTAAAAGAAAACATCTTTTTAACAGTTACAATTCTTACATCGTTGAGCAAACTTTGCATTGTTCTTCATCTTCGCAATATTTTTCCAAATAAGCTTTAAGGCATTCATTGGTTCTTTCAGAGTTACTTTCAGTTCCAAGTGTAGATGCAAGTATACTTGTACATTGATTAAGTTCTGTGTTCATTCGATTAACTAATGGAAGTGCTGCAAAGTGAAGACGAGTGAACTCAGTGATTGGTGCACGATATGTCATAGAAGCACTTCTCGTGCATGAATTGACAGCATTTATGACTGAATTGTAACGAGTTGTCAATCTTCTTGAATTAATGTTTGCACTTCTTAAGCAACTGTTTTTATCAGATGACTCAATAATGGCTTTCAATCCCTCTAATTGTGTCATTACTGGTTCGAAACTGCTTTCAACTGGCGTCTTCTCATCACTCATGAAATTAAAATATGGAAGAATTGCATTCTTTTGCAAGTAATCAACTGTTGGATCAATGCATTCATTTATGATCGTTGAGAGTCTCTTCACCATATTTTGTCTTACTTCCGGTTCAAGCTGATAATAAGGAAATTTCGATGCCGTTGAAAATAAATTTTCCCTTGCAAGTCTTAAAACATTTTGTGATCTGAAAAAATGTCCATAAACCTCGTCTCTCAGAATATTAACGGGTCGCATAAGTGACGACAAAGTTGAGGTTTCAAAACTTTTGATTTCATTTAAAGCTGACAAGGAAGCTGGAAGACTTGTAGGTGTTTGTCCAATGACCTAATCGAAATTGTTTTAATGAAAATGTTAACAAAATTGATAATTAAGCTTACTAAAGTTGATCCCAAGATCAATAAAAATATTCCACAAATCACTTCACAATTCTTCATTTCGCTTCCAATTTTCAATTCTAACTGAGTCAAATTTGTCTAAGCTCAAAGGTTTAAATAGAAATTCAACTCATCACCGAAAATGAAAATAAAATAAAAGAAGTTAATCTTCTCGACCCAAACACAACACAACTTGACACACAAATTTTGCTCGGTTAAATATTGAAATTAACGGTAACAGAGAGTTAGTGACGACTTTGCTTCCCAATTCTCATGTTGTCGAGAAGCATATCCACTATCTCTTAAATAAAGTGAGTTTAAGTGTTTACTTATTCATGTTTTATGTTGTACATTAATATTTGTTCAGTTTAGAGTTTTCTTAGAAAGTTTAATGATTTTCACATGTTCTGATGCCATCCGAGATGTCAATCAGTGTATAAACATAATTATGCTTCTTAATCAAATTAATTTGAGTGTCACAAGTTTCAGAAAACTTTAAATCAACAACTTGAATTTGTGTCTTGATCAGACTAAAAAATTTCTCGAACTGAAACAACTTTTTTAATTAATTTTTCCGCAAAATTCTCTGAAAATATCAAAATAAAACCAAAGAAAATCTTTTTCTTACACAAAAAATTTATTTTACTTTCCAAGACAGAAATAAGAAATGCAAATTTTATGATGTGGTGGTGATGTTCTTAATTATAATTCCTTTAGATGGTGTGAGTTGGCATCTCCAATGATTATGGCACGAGAGACTTTTAATAACTCTTGAGGAACTCTTTAATGTTTGCCAGATCTCGTTTAAGCCATGCAGCATTTAACTTGATCGTCTCAATCGATTGTTGGACAGTTCGTTCAGTGCCAGGGAAATGATTTGTCTTAAAGAAGTTTTCAACTTCCAAAGCTTTCTCTGCACTCGCAAAATTCTCTGTCAGATGCTTAACAAGTCGTGTTAACAAGAACCCTCCTTGATATTGATCCACCAACACTTTCTGGTTCTCTGCTAAGAACTTCCACGACAAATCCCGTCCAATTGGATTAATGGCAACACTTGCAATAACAAACACAGCATCTTGTGCACGAACTTCATCAGACATTGCAAACTGAAGGACTTTCTGAAGCAATTTAAAGTCTTTAATACTCCCAAGTGCTCGACTTATTCTGTCTTTCTCTTCGTGAAGATCTGTCGCACGATAAAGATTCAACATTTCCTCATAAACTTCTGTGTTAGCTGACTGAAGAAGTGCACGGTAACAAGCCATTCTCAAGTCAGCTGGAAGTGTTTGTTTTCCCTCCTTGTGCAAGTAGAAACTATTTGAGAAGGAAAATAAATTAAAAAGAAGTTTAAAAGTTTAATTAAACTCACCGTCTCTTTGCTTCATCGCAAGTCTGCTGACAGTTAAACGAAACCAAACGACTGATAACGAGCGATCTCAAAAGAGTGTCAAGATGACTTTCTTTCGACTTTGCATCCCATCCAAGTTGTTGAGCAATCGGACCGAATAATTGAATTCCATAAGAATTAAATTGATCGCTTAAATCTGTATGTGACAAAATATTCTTCAACTTTGACAATGATGTTGCAATGGATGACCAAACTGTGTAATTATTCTCACTACGATAAGCGTCGATGAGCTTCAAACTGTCAACTGTTGAGCTTGATCCATTCTGAACGAGAGCGAAAAGATCATCATGCAATCCCAATCGATCAAGTGGCGGTAACGACATATTTTTAATCGCTGGAATGAATTGTTCAAGCATTTGTGATGGATATTGAGTTCGATAATATCCAATCGTATCAGGATTAATCTTTATCCAATCTTTATCAGTGACACCTTCAATCAACACTTCCATCTCTTTCTTATCAAGAACAGTCGTGTAAGCATTCGCTGATTTAGCTGTTGAAATGTTAATTGGAATCATCCAAAGTGATTTATCATCAATACTTCCATCAGCTGTGAACTTTGTCTGCTCCAAAGTCAATCGACGTCCATTCTTCTCTTGAACATTCTTCGTAATCTTCACAACAGGGAATCCCATCTTCTTAATCCACGTCCGCATAATGTCAGTGACTGGTTTACTGCTTGCTTGCTCTAACGATGACCAAAGATTCTCAGTGACAGTGTTCTGATACTGATACTTTGTTAAGTAATGATTCATTCCTTTACGGAAGTCTTCATCACCCAAATAATGATGCAACATTCGAATGACGCTCGCACCTTTATTGTAACTGATCTCGTCGAAAATCTCGTCGATTTCAGATGGATGACCAACAGGAACTTCAATTGGATGCGAGTTATTTAAGCAATCAGCATCAAGTGCTGGCGTATACATATCGGTAACAAATTGTGTCCAAATGTCGTACTCAGGAAACAAATGATTGACGCAAAGAAATTCAACAAAACTCGCGTAACCTTCGTTCAACCAAAGATCCTAAAATTAGATGAAAATTTATAAGTATTATGAATTAAATGATGTTTTATTAATACTCACAGTCCACCATTCCATTGTTACGAGATTCCCGAACCATTGATGAGCAATTTCATGACCAACGATCAATGCAATGCTTTGCTTCCTTATCAAAGAAGTATTTTCAGGATCAACAAGAACCATTGTCTCGCGATACGTCACAAGTCCCCAATTCTCCATTGCACCAGCTGAAAAATCACTGATCGTGATCAAATCCATTTTCGGTAATGGATAAGCGATTTGAAAGTAATCCTTGTAATAAGGAAGAACTTTTGTTGTGACTTCCAAAGCAAACTGTCCTTGTTCTTTCTTTCCAACAGGTGTATAAACACGAACTAAAACACCATCATCTGATCTTGCTTCAACGTAATCATATTCACCCACGACTACAGCAACAAGATATGTTGACATGATTGGTGATCGATCAAACTTCAACAATTTTAAATTATTGTCGAGATTTTCTTCTTTAACGACTGGCATATTTGATAATCCAACACGGTCTTGAGGAATGATCAATGTGATGTCGAATGTTGCTTTTATTGCGGGCTCATCCTGTTAATAGTTATTAATAATTAAACAATTCTCAATAAATACTGTTATAATTGTTATAATGTAAATGTTCAAGAACTTTACCCAACATGGAAAACATCTTCTGGCATCAGTAGCTTCAAATTGAGTTACGCCTGCAAACCTCTCTTCACCAGTGCTTGTAAAATATTTGCTGCGATAGAAGCCTTTCATTTTATCATTAAGTTCACCGGTGAATTCCAGTTCAAGGACAGCATTTTGAGTTACTGGCAATTGCTTTCCGAAAAGAATGTTTACAACTTCAGATTCCGGAAGATAAATTGTTTCAATCGATTCGAAGATACTCGTGCCATCACATCTGACGATTGCTTTCTGAATTTTCAAGTCAACCGAGTTTAAAGTGATTTTGTCTGTCTCATGACTGATCTGTTTTGTGAATGAATAAATTTAAAAAAAATTATCATTAATCATTTATTCATCCAAGAAGTTCTGTTCTGACAATGAAATTTGCAAGTTGAAGTTAAACAACACAGTAACATAAAATTCCAATTAGTATTCCATACAAGCCAGAAAAAAATCGATTGATTCGAGAACACGCAATCAAAGATCATGCATGAAATTGATATTTAAGTTTTCAACTCAACAACTTCTTGCGATTTAATATAAAATTGGCCGAAACATTTTATCACGAAATCAATTTAATTAAGGTGATTAACGTCATTTAACAATGCGTTTGATGATTGATGAGAGCAATACTTAGAATTTCTGAAATGTTTTGTGTGTTGTGTTAACTTCAGCTTAAGAACTATTGTAAGTTTTGCTTTGTGATGACCTGATCCCTAATTTCCCGTTATTCTTTGTGCATGAAAACACCTGGCAGGAATAATAAAAAATAAAATCCCAAAAGGAACGGTAAAAAGTTTAACTGTAAATATTAACTTAAGAAAAGGGCTTTCGGTCTCTCTTCTTTATCTTTCTATTTCGACATGTGAGCCCTAAAATGAGATCTTCTAACGGCAATTATTGAAGGATTGTGTGCATGTCATGTTCATTATGTTTCCTTGTTAAATTTTCTCTCAACTTAAATGATTATCCGTTATCGCGATCGTCAAGTTTCTTTTCTTTCTTTTTTCAGCAGAAAAAAAATTAACGTTATCGCAAAACATTTATTTCGGCAACATTTAATCCACATTGTCTCTCAACATCGAGAATACATTCAAAACTCCTTATTCTTTGATATCTTTAATACAACATTTGATAGATTGAGAAGCTTTTCTATCAATTAAAAAGGTAGCAAAATTCAACTGCAGAAATAACTTAACAATCAAAATATTGTTGCAAAATCTCTTGTTTACTGCTAGTTGATTGTGCGACGAAAGCAGCAACAGCAGCACAAAACAAAACATTCTTTGAGGTTGGTCAAGGTCGAAACTTTAGTGGCGAAACTTCTTTCTTTAATAATAATAAAAGAACGAAAAGAAGGCGCGGAACTCCATTGCAAAAACCGCAAATACATATTTATGATTAAAATGATTCATCTTCATATTGAATGTTGCGGTGTTGCTGATTTTTTAATGGCTTGTTTGAAATGACACGTGGAAGAAGAATCAATGCGGCAAATTATTTTCTTTGCCGGCAATTTTATTATCTTTTTGTTATCACACAACAGACCGCTTAATCATTATGCTCCGTTAAGTATTTCCTTTTCTTAGAAAGTTAAAATATTAACAAAATAAAAACACTTTAATTATAGTTCCTTTTGTAAATAATCAAAAATAAAACGGAGTTCAAGCGTCCCGAAATATTTTTTCAATGTCACAACAACAATATTAAAAATTCATGAAATTCTTATTTTTATTTAGTGCGATAACATCTGCAAAACGCACACACGTATCAAAGTGTTCATTATTTTTTAGTCTACTAAGTTTTCATTTTCCAATGTGATGCAGATTTAGAGAACGAAAAAGCGAAAAATTTGCAATTCATCGTATTTGACTGAATGCTTTCTACTAACCTTAATTGAAGTTTTTGATGTACCGGCAAAAACAAAGTTGACAAGGTCTGGCTGAAGTTGTAATTCGTAGTGAGACGGTGTCACATATTTTGGTAAACGTTCGAATTCAGGCTTCATTGTAGCTTTCACTGAAGACGTCAATAATTTTAATGAGCTCGAAAATTTACGAAATTGAATGCTCCCAGCGCACTTTGATAATTTGTAGTCTTTTTGCGTATGCGCAAAGTCTGAAGAAATAAATCTTGATGCAGAAAAATGCCTTTAACGAGAAATTTATTAAGACCGACAATTGATTTAAGTCTTGTAAAGTTTACGCGAGAATAAGAACTGAATGAGCCAGTAAAAAAATTAAGCAAGAGAGAGATTGGAATACGTTGAAAATGAAACATGACCCGATTGGAAAATTTAGGGGAAATTTATGATTTCACACTCATATGCAAATGAAACTTTATTCGTTAATTGAGTTAATGTTGAACGATGCAGAAGATTTTAGATAATCATTCATGTTATTTGTAATTGTAAAATAATTGAAAAATTATAAACTATTTATCAATAAATGTAATTACCTAATTTATAAAAATTCCAACTGGGTAAACATTCAGGCGCTTTCACAATTTCCCTTAAGAAAGTTTCTTACTTAAAACAATGTTGTTTTCTTATTTATTTTGTGATTTCGCAATTAAAACTTGATTGTCAGAGTGAATATTTCAAACTTACACTCACCTTATCTTTCCTGATATTTGCCTTAGTTTTGATAACTGGACAAATTTTAATCTACTTGATTTTATTACTCCACGAATCATTGCTGGTGTCGAAATTTTATCAAAAACTTAATGTTTTAAGTTCTTAGCTGTATATAGATTTAAACTTGATAATACTTATTCAATAAACTTTAATAGTCAATCTTTATAAGTCAATTAACCATTCATTTCAATGAGTTATGATTATTTTTTATTTCCTAAACACCGGCAAATCAACACCACGTGATTCTCCTGAAAATAACTTTTCTCTCATATAAATTTCTCTTCTACATATCGGCTTGCATTAAAAATATTACAATTGAAATAAAAATGAATGAAACAGTCATTTAAATTCGTGATAAGAATTTTATTTAAGACACAGAGTTTTTGGAAATATATTCATTTGTTTTACATGAGGTGATTGATAATAAAAATAAATTTTTTTCTCTTCTCATCTACATCATGCAGATTTATAGTAATTTATTACAATAATGTCGCTAAAAAATATCTAGTTTAGGCTACAACAATTCTCTGTAATTTTTCAATATTTAAAATTTTCTTCCAGAATCAGCAACGAAATAAGTTTAATAATTTCACTCTTCTGGAAAAATTGCGTTAAGTTAATGAAATGCTTATCAATCGTTGTAATCGAATGCGATAAATTAAAGTCAAGAATGTTCAATGAATAGTCATAACTTTTAATATTGTTCTCTTATGAGTCGGAGGGGATTATTGAAAAATTAAATCCATCATAAAATGCAGTCATATGTTGAACATAAATCATCAAAATAAAGAAAAGAGAAATCTGAACATGTTTAACGATTTGGCAATTGCAATTTGGAGGCCGATGCCAGTCAGCTCTCAAAAGCAAGACCAGATGTATGAAGAAATTTTAAAGACTTCACCAGAAAATCACTTGGAACTGTCACAAATTTGTGTTTCTTTTAAAAACTTTTTTACTCTTCTTCACCACGAACAATTATGTAGAACATTAACAAAAATATGTATGTTGAAAGAAATATGGATGGTTGAATTTAAATATCGCTCTTTTTGACGTTTAAAGCCTTCACAAATTTCACAATAAATCCTTTCTTTGTAAGAATACCGCGACATACAAGCGTTTCAAGGTAACGTACTGTCCACTTCATTTTAAAGTCTTTAAGACTAATTTCGTCGAGATGATGTGATGGGAAAATAACTGAAAGGAAAAAGTAAAAAGAAGTCAGAGAAATTTGCGTGAAATTCAGTTTTTGATGGTTCACCTTGAGGATCTGAATGTGTCAGCAATTGAATGTCGTGATCTTTACAGAATTGCTGCAATTCTGGTGGAACAACACAACATGTTTGTGTATTAATCTGCAGGATTGTAAAGTCGAAGTTCTTATCGTCAAAAATGTCAAGAATCGTGTCTAAATCCATGTCAGCAATGCCAAGTTGTCCGATGATTCCAGCATCTCTTGCTACTCTCAATTTCTTCCAGAGAAATTTGAAATTTCCTTTGCATTTAATATTATTGTCTGCCCAAATGAACTTTTCACTGTCAGTTCTTGATGTTGGATGATAAGCAAGAATGACAGAAGGCGTTGTTGAACAATTCTTCAAAAGATATTCAATCGCCTCGTTAAGTGAATTTTCAGCAAACTCATTAAGGAAGATTTTCGCGACGATTTTAATACTTCCCGCTTCATTTTCTATGCCATTCACCTCCGTCTCATCACAAACTAAAGAAACTAAATCTTTTGTATTGGAAGAAAGAGTTCCTTGTTTTTGTTCCAATTCAATAATTCGTGGTTTGACACAAATCAGCATCTGTTAAAATTTAATTTGAAGAAAATGTTTAGATTTTCGTGATACAGTTAAAATAAGAAAATTCTCGCGGAGCTGATCAATATATCGTGTAAAAATATTTTAAGTAAACAGAGCGAGAGTTTATTTTGTTGTTGCATAAAATGTTCTTCGCTCTTTCATTTACCTCTTGAGTTGGATTTTTTGCCTTTTTGAATTCCTCATTTTCAAGAATGTTACCAGTTCCAACTACTAATGAGTCATATTTGTTGAAAACTGCCGATGTCATGATGATTATGAGCTATTTGATCTTCTTGTTTTACTAATTGTAATTTCACAATGACTTTCGATTTCTAATTTTTTTTCGCCTTCAGCGGTATCTAAATAGGTTTTCTTGTCAAATTTTTGTTCTCTTTTTTTGGGATCGACCGTGAAAAAAAACACAAAAACAACTTCTGGAAATTGTGAAATTCTATTTGAAGCGCTTAAATACTCAATTCTTCACAATCAATTTCATACACTTTGTACATGCAACAGATGATTATTAATTTTGGGAAAAGAACTTCACGTTTAACTACTTGTTTTGCGATTAAAATTAAGTAAAATACTGACTGAAATATTTATCTGCGATGTTGAATGTTCTCAGTTTTTTGTGAGAGAATTTTTTGTCTATGACGTAATGAGAGAGTAAACCTCATAAATGTTCTTTGAGAAACATTTGAGGGGTGTTGTAGAAAAAGTTTTTTATGTCAGCGACCGATTTTCATACAAAGTGTATCCAAAAACTTATTTAAAATTACTGGATAGAAAAACTACACTTAAATTGCTATCTTAATCTGGAACAATGAAAATGCATTTTGAAGGCGTATTCAACAAACAAATGTCACGTTCCAAACTCTTCAAATTATTTTCCAATCGTGTCTTTCGTATCTGTTTCGGTACTGTATCGATTAAAAGAGGCATTTTTTGATATTCTTTCTGCATAATATCCCAATTGTGCCTCAAGCCATCCAACAATTGATTTTTTTCCTCTTGGGTTAAAGCGCGAATTCCTTTTTCATTTCTTCCTTCTTCATGTTGCTTCTTTGATTCGATTTCCATTTTACGAAATTGTTCGTTAATATTTTCCAAGTATCGAGGGACTTTTCCATATTTCGGTGAGTGAATGTAAACTGGTGCCATTTGCTCAAAGCATTTTGGTCCTGGTTTGTTTCGCAAAACTGCCGATTTTGCACGTTTTATATTAATGAACTTAAAGTTCTTTTCAGTTTTTAAGTCTTGCATCGATTGACCCTTTTTCAACTCGTCTAGATGGGGAATGGGTGGACGCCGGAAATTACAACGATGATGAGATGTCTGCGGACGATCGTAATGTTGCCGAATACCTTCATCTTTTTTAAGAAAATTATTTGGTTTTGGCAATGGAAGTTCAGCAAAACCAAAAGTTTTATGTTGCAAATGTTTTGCTGTCTTCATTTCCTTTTCTTTTTCTTTGATTGATTTTTGGAATTTGGATCGATACCTTGAACATAAAAAACACAATTTTATTAAATTTATTCATTGCGTAAAATTTCTTACATTTTCAACTTTAAAGGTAGAAAAGGTTTGTCATCTTGCGAATCAGCTTTGTATCTAGATATTTTCATCATGGAAAGTTATTTTTACTATCGACATGCTTATTTGCTTTGCTGTAGTCTTTTGAACACCTTAAAACCAACTGACGCTATCTAAAGCCGACAACATTGTTTATAGCAATGGGAAAGCTAATAAATTTGATCGATTGAAATTTCTTGTAACCTTGACGACATGAAGTTCGGAAGTGTTCTAGAATGCTTGAAATTGTGAAGAAAAGTTTATTTATTTATGAAACAAAATATTGTTGAAGCACATTTAATTAAACATTATTTTCAAATTGAGTTAAAATTATTATGTACGTGATGATAGCTCCAGACATTGATAAGGCAAATGACCAGTTGATATTAAACATTCCACAAGATAAAATAATCGGTTGACATCTCAGTTTGTTAAGTAAAAAGTCAAGCTTTAAAAAAAAGAATTTTTCGAATTAAATTCATGGAAAAAGCTTTGAAATTGTACCTTAAGTAAAGCGCTTTCATCTCTGTAAGAGCTTGAATATCTTTCAACATGGTTGAGCAGTCGACGACTTTCGTTTGTCGCTTTATCCGATATGTAAATTGAGATAATACAAGGCAATACAAGCAAAACACTCCAAATCATGAGATTGATTAAAATCCATGTTTTTACAATTGGCAAAATTTCAAGCATTGAAACTTTGACTACAAAATAACTTACTAAGACTTCAATAGCAGTTGAGAGGAGAAACAAAGCAATCATCTGTAGGATGAACAAGTCATCGAAAGAGATACTTTGAAAAGCTTAAATTTACCTCTTTTGAGAATACCTCGTTGATTTCATCAACAGCATCCAAAAGCTTATCGTGAAGTAATGCGATATTCCTTAAGACAAATGCTTCCTTTGCTCCATTAAGTTGAACTTCTCTAACCTCTCCCTCATTCAAAGGCAACAATTCTCTGATTAAGATGTTTATTCAGTATTTATTTTAAATATATTCATAGCTAACTCACTTAATGTTTTGGATTAAAATGGTCAATCGAGTTGCAACACAGGCTACACTTGAAATGAATTGAAATGAAACTAGCAAAAGAAACTGAGACACGATCAAATCTGATAAAACGTTTAAAACTGCTATGACACTGTGATCTGGAACTATTCCTTGGTCAACAGAAATAAAATATTCCAAAATAATATGAAACGCCATAATTATCGTTGTCAAAATGAAACATGCGACAAATGTTAGAGATTTATGTTGAACAACTTTAAATCTCCAATCAAGTTCTTCAAGTTTTTCGTCGAAAGTTTTGAGAGATTTTAGGAAAGTTTCAATTTGTGATCTTTTGTTGAAATTAAAAATGATGATTAGAAGTGAAAAGAAATATTCACAACGATATTGCCATTTGAAAACTTCACTTAACACTTTAGATGTCGGAATAATAATAGAATCGTCGTGAACGAGAAATTGTAAATAAATTAAAAGCAGCCAAAATATGATCGAAATCGACAAATGAACATAATTCATAAAGTTCATCTCAAACTTTGTTAATTTTCGGTTAAAATTGTAAAATGCAAGTCCATTAATCTTTAAAACATAAAAACTATAATGAGATGAATAGAAAATATCTTTTTGGATTTTAACTTTAGTCATTTTGAGGCTGCTTCTGGGTCAGACAAACACAAATTTTGGACTAAAATTGATGAGTTGAACTTTTTAATAATTTAATTAATTGATGCTTCAGTCATTTCATTCGATACGTAGATTACAGTAAATTTAATTAAAAGAAAACATTTAAATATTTATAATGTGAAAGTTATATTGATTGCAATATTGTCCATGCGTTTCTTGACCAATCTATAGAGATCATAACTGCTATATAACCAAGGTATTCATATTATATGACAGAAAATCGTCTAAATTATCCCAAAAATAGTTATTTTTAAAGTTGACGCTATCCAATGTCTTTGTTCACAGTATCTAATGAAGAAATTTACAAAATTAATACATTAAATGGATTAATCAATCAAAAATGTGTTTGGAAAATTTCTAGAATTTTAAATGTTTTAAAGCTTATGCATTGATTTTTTTTTAATTAAGAAATCCACTTTACCTAATGTAGATACCTAATTTAAAAGTTTATGTATTTGTTCTCAATAAAACTTTGAATAATAAAACACAAATTAATCAAAATATTTGTATTAAAGAACTTCGAATTGCGTTAGGAAATTTTCCAGCATGACAATGTTTCACTTAATGTATTGATACGACAGTTGCCAAAAGAAATTGAAAATAATGTCATATGAAATCAAAAGACTTAAAAATTCTTTATTGAAGTGTATGAAAGTTAACTCAATTCATAGAATAAGTTCAGAAATTTCAACTTATGATTAACATCATCAAACATCGTGTTCAAGTTGTGTAATAATTATTATATAAGTAGTGATAGCTCCAAACATTGATAAAGCAAATGACCAGTTGATATTAAACATTCTACAAGAGAACATTATTGGTTGACATCTCAATTTGTTGAGCAAAAAGTTTAATTTTAATAAAGAGAAAATGTTTTGAAATTGAAAATCACGTGAATTGTTTGAGTCTTCACAAAAGCTTGAATATTTTTCAATATGGTTGAGTAAATGACGACTCAATGTTGTCGCTTTATCTGATATGTAGATTGAGAAAATGGAAGGTAAAATAAGAAAAATGCTCCATATGAAGAAATTGAGAGAAATCCACGTTTTTACTATTGCATCCATTTCAAGAAACGAAACTTTTACCATAAAATAACTCACTAAAACTTCAACAGCAGTTGACAGAAGGAACAAGAAAGTCATCTGTTGGATAAATAAGTTGTCATCAAAAAGAAAAGAACTTCAAAAGTTGAAACTTACTTCATTTGAGAACACTTCGTTGATCTGATCAACAGCATCCAAAAGATTATCATAAAGAATTGCAATGTTTCTTAAGATAATTGCTTCAATTCTTCGATTATGTTGAACTTCCTTAATTTGTCCTTCGCTCAAAGGCAACAATTCTCTAATAAAATTTGATAAGTTAAATTATTTTAAAATTAAATTCTATTTACAGTTAATTTACTTGATGTTGTTAGTTAAAATGGTTAATCGAGTTACAACACATGCCACACTTGATATAAATTGTAATGAAACCAAAAAGAAAAACTGACACACGATGAAATCTGACAAAATTTTAAGAACTTCTACGACTGTGTTAATTGAAGGTATTCCGAAGTAAGCGTACATGGCATACGCCAAAGCAATATGAAGCATCATAATTATGCTTGCCATAACAACGCAGATTAAAAATTTTAATGATTTATGGTGCACAATTTTAATTCTCCAATCTAATTCTTCTAATTTCTCATCGAAACTTTTAAGAGATTTTAGAAAGTTCTCAATTTGTGATGTTTTGTTAAAATTAAAAATGATTATGAAAATTGCGAAGAAATATTCAAATCGGTATTGCCAGATGAAAACTTCACTTAATATTTTGGATGTCTTAACAATTAAAAATTCCTGAGCAGTTCCAAAAAATTGTAAACAAGTTAAAAATATCCAAAATAAAACCATAATAATAAAATGAATATAATTCATAAAGTTTATCTCAAACTTTGTTAATTTTCGGTTAAAACTGTAAAATGCAAGTCCATTAATCTTCAAGACATAAAAACTATAATGCGATGAATAGAAAATATCTTTTTGGATTTTAACTTTAGTCATTTTGAGGCTGCTTCTGGGTCAGACAAACACAAAATTTGAACTGAAATTGATGAGTTGAACTTTGTAATAATTTAATTAATTGATGTTTTAGTCATTTCGTTCGATACTTTCATAATCAAATAAATTTAATTAAAAGAAAACAATTAAATATTTATAATGTGAAAATTATATTGATTGCAATATTTTCGATGTTTGTTTGATTTGACTATGGAGATCGCAACCGCCATGTAGCCCAGGTCTTCATATGTATGACGGAAAAACGCTTGAATTATTCTGGTGATTGCTATTTTGGAAATAGCTTGAAATTGTTTAGAACTTTTAATCAAATATGAATTTATTTAAGCTTTAAGCGTATAAAAATTCTTTGAAAAAATAACTAAAATATTAACGATTTTGTCTTGAATGGAAAAATTTTAAATTTAATGATGAATTGTTTTGAAATGCTTGTTTTTGACGATACTCGTCAGATAACATGAATTCTTTATTGTCAGATTTAAATCATTATTTCTGTTTAATAAGTACATATATTATCCTTTGAGCTTATCATTGCAATTGATTTTCAATATTTAAAGTTAAAAATAATAATCAGAAACTAAAAGTAACATTGAGAAATATTAAGATCTGTTTTATCTGTTGTTTGAACTTCAATTTGCGTCAATTCCTCTTCAAATAGACGTTTTTTATTGAGATGAATGTTTTTTGACAACGTGATCTCATTTTTACATCTGGATTTTCATAGTAACATCGCTATTATAATAATTATATAAAAGTGCGTATTATCTTAATTTATATTACTGTGACGAGGTAAGTAACTTCTTATTGAACTTCATCAAGAAATACATAAAATTTCTTATCGTGTAATTCTACATAATGAAGTTAAAAATCCTTAAAGCATAATTAGCTGAATTTTATCTCTTTAATTTTAAAGATTGACAAGAAAACATCATGAATACGATGACACTATTTTCGCAGCTGCTTTTATTCGCTGCTGTGCTAGCAAAAGTTTCAGGTTTTTGGTGGTTACTTGTAAGTTATGATTGAAAAAAAGAATCCTTATTAATATGCCGAGAAGTTTCACTTAATAAATATTTTTTTCAATAGCCTGAATATAAAACTGTAACAACAACGAGTGGTAAAGTTAGAGCTATGAAATTTGGCAGTGAAGATTACTACTCTTTCAAAGGAATTCCATATGCTGAACCACCAGTCGGTAATTTACGATTTAGAAATCCGGTACCAGTTCAATCATGGTCTGGTGTAAGAAATGCGTACAGTCACGGAAGTAGCTGTCCAAACGAGCTTGTGTTGGGCATAAATGGAGATGAAGACTGCTTATTCTTGAACGTATACACTCCAGACGTGAGTGGGACTTTACCGGTGATGATATGGATTCATGGCGGCAGTTTTGTTTACGGAAGTGGAGACACAATTGATTACGGTCCTAAATATTTAATGGAAGAAGGTGTTATCGTCGTCACAATCAATTATCGATTGGGAGCGTTAGGATTTTTAAACACTGGAGATAAATATGCGCAAGGTAATTATGGATTGAAAGACATGACCCTGGCAATAAAATGGGTGAAGGACAACATTGGTGCATTTGGTGGTGATCCCCAAAAAATTACATTATTCGGACAAAGCGTTGGATCTGCTGCTGTAAATTTGTTGCTTTTATCTGAAATGTCAAAAGGACTTTTCCAACGAGCAATAATGCAAAGTGGCACAGCTTTAACTCCATTTGCATTCCGTGAAAATGGAGTTGAAAAAGCGGAACAACTTGGACATAATTTAGATCTTACATTTGACTCGACACAAAGTTTAATCGATCAATTGCGCCAACTTCCATATCAAGCGATTCTTCTTGCATCAGAAAGTGTTTTTGGGGTAGATGAGCCTCGCATGTTGCGTCCATTTAATTTTGTTCCATGTGTTGAACCTGACGATTCATTGGAGGAAAGATTTCTGGAAGATAATCCAACCAATCTTTTAGAAGCAACTGGTAATACAAAACCAATTTTGATAGGAACAACCAACAGCGAAGCATTGTACATGATAAGAGAAGATCTACTAGATTTCTCTGTGTTTGATGATTACAATAATAACCCAAATTATTTCGTTCCCTCATCATTCGGTTTAACTGAAGGATCATCAGACAGTACTGACGTTATAAATTACATAAAAAGTTTTTACTTCAATAACCAACCATTGTCATACAGTACAAGAGAACAGTACGCACAATTCCATACTGACGCTCAGTACATATTCCCGACAGAACGAGTGCTGAAACATTTTCAATTTTCTAATGAGCCCATTTATCGTTATGAATTCACTTTCTCTGGAAAGTTCAATCATATTAAAAATTTCTTGTTCTTGTCTTCATATGATGGTGCATGTCATTCTGATGACCTTTACTATCTTTTTGATACGATTATTCCTTATTGGCCCTGGCCATCCTCCGAAGTAGAAGAGGCAAGAACAGTTCGAGATCGTGTTGTAAGGCTTTGGACTAATTTCGCGAAATACGGGTAAGTGAAGCTACTTAAATTTTCATGAATTTCATTTCTTTCTTTTCATTTCATCCAGAAATCCAACTCCAAATACTGATAATCTTGTGAATCAAAATTGGCCACCTTTTGATCAGACGACTCGAACTTATTTAGAAATTGGAAAAGAATTGACGGTTAAGAATGAACCAAATAGATTGGAGGAATTGCATAACTTCCAGTTGTTATTTGCATTGGTTTTTTAAAAGTCAATATCTGTAGTCATGCACTGTTAAATTGGTCATGGCTATTAATTATGATTTTCATTCTTTGATTTATGGTTAGTTTTATTAACATGAAAAGGGAAAATATCTGATTCGAATTATTCCAAATTCGAGACAAGATTAAATATTAATTTCTTGCCTTCGAAATTGAATTTGACGTTTGGATGTGACCTTAATTGAATGTAAATAATTTACTTAATTCAGAAATCATTTATGAAAATCTCAGGGAATTTCAAAGAATATTGAAAATAAAATAAACTTTTGAAATTTAATTAATTTGGTTTGATGCATGGATTCGATGAACTTTCAGATAAAATTGAAAATTTATTTCAAAATCTTCAATCATGTCATTTAAATTCCTTCTTTAATAAATTTATTTATCAAATTGAGTAATTATAGTTAAGTAAGTAGTGATTGCAGCAATTATTGATAATGCAATTGTCCAATCGATGTTAAACAACCCGCAGGTGAAAATTATTGGACGATTAATAATTTTTTTCTTCAGAGCTGAAATCTGAAAACATTTTAATATATTAGAAAAATTAATTGTCATAAATTATTCTCAATGTCTCACTTTTTCTAAACTTTCTTTGTTTTCAATGTAGTTCGAGACTCTCTCAAGATGAATGAACAAATTTCTTCCTTTCTGCGATGCTTGAACCGAAACATGAATCGATAATAGTGAAGGAAAAACAAGATTAAGCATCCAAAAACAAAATTCACTGTAAATCCAGCTGTCAAAGATTATTCCAGTTGACAAAACTTTGACTGTGACAAACGCGAAAAATGCTTCAAAAAGCAATGCAACTGCAAAGAGTGGAATTAACTGCAAGTAAAGTAAGAAATTTTCACTGATTTTAAATCTTCGAACTGAAGTCAAATACTTGTCTTGTGAATACTGAATTAATTTCTTCAGAGATATCTGCTAATAAATCATACAAAATTCCAACATCTTGCATGTCTTTCTTCTGAACTTTGAAAATTTCATATGGCTCGTTTGGTAGGATTAAGCTTGAAGCAATAATTTGTTGAATAATTAAATGAATCAGACCAAAATATACTTAATTNAGTGAAGATTTTTTTTTTTTTTATTTTCCTTTATTGTGATCTGATATCATAAGCAAAGTTGCTTGTAGGATATCACTAAACTTAATAAATTCATAAAACAAGGAAACATAAATCTGAACATAAATCTGAATATAAATCTAAATCTTATTGATCTTAATTCTAAATATTTATATAAATCAATTCATAATAATTATCTGATACATAATATGTTGTTATTATCAGTTCTGAATTCATAAAACTTCTAGATATTTATAATTTCTTCTTCTTATGCAAAATCGTTCTCATGTTCATATTGATCAAAAGTCAATTCTTTTAATCTGTTTTTGAAAACTCCTAACGTTTTTAATCTCTTTAAGTTATCTGGTATTTCATTGTATTTTAACAAGCCCCTTCTAAAGAAATCCGCAAAACCATATCTAGTATCATATTTTTTAATATGAAAGTTTTCAAATCGCCTTGTTCCATAGCTATGAATGTCACCCACATAATTTAACTTGATGTTGTTTTTCAGTAATTGATTTTTTAATTTAAATGCTAACAATATTAATTGATAATTATTTAATGCTGGAAGTGGAAGTATGTTTTCAGAAAAGAGTTCATGAGAGGGAGACAATCTAGTTTTCATTTTGATGAATCTCAGGCATTTCTTTTGTATTATGAATAATGTGTTTAATGCTAAATTTGTTGCCACACTCCATAATGGATTCATGAATGTGAGATGCGAGTGAATATTAGCAAAATATAATTGTAGAGAGATTTTTTCACTAATTAAAGGACGAATTCTTTTTATTGCATATGCCATGGGAAGAATTTTAGATTTAATGTTCTCAATGTGCTTTATAAACGACAACGATTCATCAATGAAAAGACCAAGATATTTATAATTCTCGACTCTTTCAATTTTCTGATCATAAAGTTTTATATCTAGTGAGTTTTCGGTGAAATATTCAAGACGTCTTCGCCCCTGAAATTGTACATATTTAGTTTTTGTGTTGTTTATTTCTAGCCCAAGGGAATTAAAAAATTCTTGAAGCATCATAAGGTCTTCCATTATATATTTTTTCAAATTTTCATGATTGTGTGCTCCATATGCTATTGCAATATCATCTGCATATAATTGTAGATGTCCTTTGAGATTTAATTTAAAGACTGTATTAATGTAGAAAGCAAAGAGAATTGGACCTAAAATTGAGCCTTGAAAAACACCTGAAGATATTTTCAGAAAGCCACTTTTGCAATTATCAACATTAACGCATTGTTGACGTGAACTTAGATAAGATTCAAAAAGATGTTGGATGTTTCTTGGTGGTTTTAGGGATTTAAGTTTTTTTAGAAGAATTTCGTGATCCACACAGTCGAAAGCTTTCTTTAAATCTATAAATAAACATGCTACAATTTTTTTCTCTTCTATTAGGTTGTAAATATTATTCAATAAATGTAGAGCTGCAATTTCGGTGTTCGAATTTGCTACAAATCCAAATTGAAAATCGTGAATTAATTTATTAATATTTAAATGTTCTAAGAGGCGATTTAAGATTATTGCTTCAAATATTTTTGAGAAAATTGGTAAAATGGAAATCGGTCTGTAATTTACTGGTGATTGTTTATCTTTTTCTTTATATAAAGGTTTAACAATTGCTTTTTTGAGACATACGGGGAAAATTCCATCAGAAATACAATTATTTATGATAATGGATAAAGGTTTCGAGATTTCATTTCTATGAAGTTTTACTGTATTGTTAGAAAGTTCAAATATGTCACGGGCATTCGATGATTTTAAATTTGATATGACATTTAATATTTCATTTTCATCACTGAGTGGAAAATCAAATTGATGTTTGATTTCATAATCATCAAGGGACTGGAAGCTGGTTGAATTTATAATTTTACTAGCAATAATATCTTTTATATTTTTTGCAACCATTACAAAATGTTTATTGAATTCATCTGCTATTTGGAATCTATTATCAACTACGATGTCATCAATTTTTAGTTTAACGCAATTTTCCATTTTCATCATATTGGTGTTGGTTAGCAGAGAATTAATTTTCTTCCAAGTTTTTTTAGGATCACTGAGATTATTCAAGAAAAATTCGTCATTCTTTTTTTTCTTTTCCTGTCGTATAAGTTTATTAACTAAATTCCTATATTCCTTGAAAGTATCAGTGATCCATTGTATATTCGGATATTTTGTTAATAATTTCAAGTAATTATCTCGTATTTTCATAAAATTATAAATGTTGACATTCATGAAAGATTTTCTAAAACGTTCTTTATAGGATTTTGTTGATGTATTCTTTTGTATTTCGTTTTTTATAAAATCAATTAAGGTGTTGAAAGATTCAGTAGGTGCTTTGGTTAGTATTTTCGAATTAATTATCTTATCATGATCAGTAAAAGTGAAAGTGATATATTTGGAGGCTACTTTATGGGATTGTTTATTTAAGTGTGATACATTAAGCATTACGGCATGGTGATCAACTTGAAGAATATTTTCGACAGCAATATTAAATTTATATTTTTGAAAAATATCCGTGAAGATATGATCTATACATGATTTTGTGCCATGCAATTGATCATGTCTTGTGAACATATCTAGAGATCGAGAGTTTAGAAAACGAAATCCATTTGCTTCCGTTGTATCAATATATTTTTTAACTTTATTGTCACCAGAAAAAAGATTAATGTTAAAATCACCGCAACAAAAAAGATTATCAAATTTTTCTAAGATAATATCGAGTTTCACAAGAAAATTCTCAACTTTGGCATCAGGTGGTTTATAAAAACCTCCTATTTTTAAGTTAAATTTCAATAGATCAACTATCAGGAAGTTACTATTTTGAAACTCAAAATTTAAAATTTCATTGGTAGTAGAGAATTTCTCCAAAACATAAATGGCAACTCCACCCCCTTCTTTTTTTCTAATAGAATGATGTGAAAAGTACCCAGGTAAGTTATAGAATTTAATTTCATTTGATGAAAGGCGAGTTTCACATAATACGATAACTTGAATGTCTTTATTCAAATTTGTGATATAGTTCGTTAATTCAGTTAATCTTAATCTCAAACTTCTTATATTAAGTAATAATATATTGAAGAAGTGATTGTTATTATTATAAGAAAAAATTT